GTCATGGCTATATACTGCTGAGGAGTACCATATAAGAACAAAACGGTCATCCAGTGCTTCTAGATTTTCAGTAGCAATCTAACTGAGATAAGGTATCCATTCATAGACAATCCTTGTTTATTTCGATTAGTCCACTCATAAAATGAATGATAGTTTTAAAATTAAGGTAATAGATGATTGTGTGCAAAAGTATTTATGGGGATTATAATATGAAAATACTACTAACTCAAAGAATACTAATATTAAAGTGATACTAACTAATGAAAACAATGACATCAAATTATACAATAAATACCTAATTGTTAGACTACATTTGCACACTTAGTATGAAGTAATTAAATTGTTGCTGTCAGCAGGTCTCCTCTCCACTGGAACTTATTAACTGTATGGAAGATGTTTCGACGTCGTAATCGTCTTTACTCTCAACTGCGTGTAATTTGGTGAATTAACAACTTGAAATTTACTTTTTATCGACTTCCTAAAGACTTTTGAAGGTTCTTTTGTAATAACACTGATACAAATATAAATTCACAAATTTATTTGAGTATTGAGTAATTTGATTTATTATAATAGAGTTGCGAAGATTGTCAGACCAACATTAGAAAACTGCAGGCACTATATGACTGTTTCGCCCTAGACTAGGACTCATCAGCAGTGCGTATCCACAATCTCCTCTTGCGGGCATCAAATTCAGGACCTTCAATCTTGCGCTTAACCTCTAGATTACTGAGCTGTTATTCCATGGCGTTAATGTTTAGGTTTAATTTGATTAACTTTAGAAATTGTTCAGATAATACAAGCAATCTATAAGACAGGTTAATTTCTTATTGTAGGCTTCGTTTTGTATAAAGCACATATTTTTTTATCAACGTAATTGTAACACAATTGCATTATAAGCACTTACAAAAAGATGACTTTAACTAATGCAACTATTTGAAATGTATAATTCATTTGTTTACAACGTTTAATTCACAAGTTTAAATCTTCTTGCATAAAGTATATTCTGTGTCAATCATTAAGACTGCATTGTGTAAACATAAGTATCATGAAAACTTTTTCAATGTTCAATCATTCCAACTGTTCAATACAATATTTATTCTGTCATATGATTATTATGGTAATGATTGGTGTTTTTTTCCCCCATAAATAAGTGTCGAACTAAATAGTTAACAGATAACTAATTGGTATGGAGTAGAGTTGCCTTATTAACGATTGTGATGAAGAAAATCACTCGAAAAGAAATTGTGTGAAGAGTTTATTCTACAAAAACCATATACATAATGCAATTGAAACCATTTAATTTGGTTATTTTGAAAAGAGTAGTTCAATTGTATTGCACATTTTGTCAGAGATCAACATCAGTGGAATAAATTTTTAAAATCATGAAGTGCTATACATCTGCTTCAATCTAAATTTTAGAATTCTTCACGAGTAGCCGTCGACAGGCTTTCATTGAACCGCATATTGAACCTTCATATTTTGCAGTCAGCCTAATTGCCTTAAACTGGATGATTCCAAATCTTAGCGATCGGTAGTATTGAAATCTATTCTCAGCAAACTATTTCTCCTTCTCACTATCGACTCTTCTTAAGATAGATTTCTGACATTCCAAGGAGGTATGGGGTTATTTAACAACGTCAATGAATGATTATCTCAATAAATTTTCAGTCTACTAATGTCTAAAATTTGAACTGTTGAACTGAACTCTGAGGTTCATAATTGTACTGAATTCGAACTCAACCGAATGTTTTTTTGAACTTATTTGTCTACACGTACATTTAAAAACATATTGTGAGAAACTTTCGAATCAGAGTCCGGGTGTAAACATAATTAAAACTAGTAAAACTTGGCTGCTAAAACACAAATTATCTGACTGACTATTTGAGAATGCAGCCAAAAATGACAGTAAAATAAACATAAACCAAATAATAATGAAAAATATAACAAATAGGGGACCATAAGACGGCAGTAACTATGACTCTCTTGAGGTAGCAAAATGCCTCATCGTCTAATTAGTGACGCGTAATTTGTGCATATTGATTGACGCGATCGTGCATCGGAAATAATCACTACATATGTACTCTCGTGTGTGCTTAGTCGATGGCGTTGCATAGATAGAGCCTTCTGGGGGTTGCGGTGGCGGCCCACCTCTTCGAGGTCTTGCTAGGCGACGCGGCGTTGTTAATAGTGCTGCGGCCAAAAGCAGTTCTTAACGCCTGAGATACCGTGCCCAGTATGGTCTAGAATAACGGTACTTGTTCATGGTCTCGAAGCTGAGATATGATTTTGCCACTCTGGTGGATTATGACTGAACGCCTTTAAGTTTGATTCCCGTCCATCTGGCGTAGGAACATTTGAAATAATGGTTTGAGGACTTATCTTCTATTATTGCTTCGAAAGAGATGCAGTCTTTGAGCTTTCTTGAAAGCTGCGCCAGACGATTTGTTTGAAGAAGCAGTCTTGGACTACGGACGTTCAACCCTACGCGGTTGTCCCGAACACTACGTACCTCGGTGTAGCGTGTCAGCTGGCGTCGAGGCCCTTTAAACAAGGGTCTCCAGTTGGGTTATGGGATCCTGTGATGAAAGGGCACTTGATCGCACATTACGTCTTCTCACCCTAATGTATGGGTACATAAAATCTACTCCATGGGAGGGTGTACATTCTGGGTGACCTTATGAGACAAATTCGATCCTTGGCTTTGTGTAGGGTCTTGAGGACTCCGGTCGATTGTATCAGCGCACGGCAGTTGGAGGTCAGTTGGTTGGAACGGCTGCTGGTTAGTACAAAACTGAGTAGCTCGGTAACTCGTACAGGGTACCAGGACTAGATGGATAAGCCCGCCTTGCAGATAAGGGATTGGTTGGAAGGATTGGACTGATTCATAAACACCCGTGAAGAGGTGACTGCTCCTACGCACACAGATTGGATGATCGACTTGCTTGCATGAGAATCTAGTCAACATGTACATACCCTTTTGGGAAAAGAGAATCGCGTAACGGCATACGTGTGAACCTTTGCGATGTGTAAAAAGCAGCATGTGTGCATGTGCTGGAGGCAGGCTGGTTAACCCACAACTTTAAGACAGTCAAACTTTCAAGACTTACTTACTTACACCTGTTACCCCCAATGGAGCGTAGACCACCGATCAGTATTATCCAGCCTAATCCTCCTGGAGCCCCTCTGGGGTTACTGCTAGCCCAAACCCCGGACATATGAGCAGTGATGGGCGTGGAGTTGGCCACCTTACCTCGTTGAAAACTCACTCGTTAAAAAAACGCTAAACAGAAAATATAATTCATACTTGCAAGAAGAGTATAGTTATTATTATTATTATTATTTAACGATTAGATGAAGGCAGACTATATACCAATATCAAGTTTATAATAGTAGGCGTTTAAAATAAATCATTATTAATCATTTCAATGACAGACATGACTGATTAGCTTTGAGTAGCAGTCTATAATACAATAACTTTCTAGACATTTTTTTTCAGTTTCTCAATTGTTATGCTTATGACGCAAACCATCTCCAAAGAAAAATTTTGATTCGCATGTGAAGCTATGTCATAATTAATAGAGCCGCTGTAAACAAGATTACATACAATAAATATGATATGATTGAATTATAGATCATTCATTTACAGACAAATAAATAATTGATTACAACAATAGCTCAGAATTTTCTTGTTGATGATAGTAAAAATTGAAATTTGAATATGCCTTGATAAAGCTTTTCGGCTGCATGTTTTAATTTCACTTATTTTTTTTAAAAAAACTGAGTTTACTGCTGATTATATAAGAACACTTTATAAAGTCTCTGTTCAAAACAAATCCAAGTGATTCTTAGCTGAAAAAAACAGCGAATAAAATTCTTGTTGTTAGAATCATAAACACACTACTGGAATTCCTTTAGAAAGACTTAGACGATGCCTGAGAATACACGTCTTTTAAAAATGGCCATGATAGCCCTAAATTAATGATTCTTGCTGAAACAGTGTGAAGAACAAACGTTAAATTTTATTTTAAGATACAGATGCGTAGCAAAATAGGAATACGTTATCTCTAGAAAGCCATACTCACTGCTGATGAGTCTCATACCAGGACGAGACGGCTATCCAGTGGTACCAGGTTTCTAATGGTTGTCTAACATCGATCGATTAATGACTTCAATAAGAGATCCATTCGCAAAACAAGCTAATTCCTGGCTGTCTTTTCTCACATATCTTTCAGTTTTCAAAACAATTCGATGGTGCTATACATCCAGATCAGAAATCCTTTACTTCAACAATAACTTCTGGATAACACTACATTATGTACTACTCATAAACCATGTTGCGAGTAGTAGACACCTCAATAAGAACTTGAGTAATAAAAAATACAGCCCAACCAACTTTTTTATCTTAAAGAATTACACTTAAATACCATATGTAAGTTCACTAGAAGAATGTCTTTAAAAATAACAAGTGTTAGTAAGTCATTCTTTACTAACCCAGCAATAGAAAAGTAATTCACTACTTGGTCTAAAATTCTCATGAATACGAAATCATTAATTGAATACAAATATGATGATAGAACTATGTGATAATGTAAACTAATATGAGAAACATCACTGTGGCCTGATAAGTCAAAAACAGTATAATTGATTAGTAAGTTCACATATCAATTACTGTTCAATGTTTTCTATAAAATTAAATAAAAAAACAATTCCAAATAATCAGATAGAAGAAATAAGCGTTGTCATTTACTGATCAAGTTAAATTATAAAGTCCTTTATTTGAAATTCTTTTCATGAGGACTTTAAATTTAAGTTTTAACTATTGATTTGTTGGCTAATTAATTTTCTTCTTGGGGTTGAAATCTTTCCCATCATCCATAGACACTTCTCTTTCGTCTCATTTTACCATTAACGTTTCTGACAAATAAGAATAATTCAGCTAACTAACTAATCATTTAACTTTCATATTGATAAATATTCAAATAATTAAGAAAATGTTAATTTTTTTATTTTAAATTCACTATTTTTTTTATCATTGTAGTTAACCAGAGAAGTCAAAGTACACAAATTAGTTCATCATCCAAATATTGGTAAGAGTTCATTCATATATACATATATGTATATATATATACATATTACGGGGTTATGAAAATTGTTAATTTACACATTTTGAAACCATGAATGAATCAATGTTAGAACCCTATTAGAACCTGTAAGCACTGGATGGCCGATTCGTCCTGGTATGGGACTCAGTTGGATGCTGGCTCAGTGATCCAGAGGTTAGGCGTTCGCGCACAAGACCGAAGGTCCTGGATTCAAATCCTGCGATATGCAGGAGTCGTAGATGCGTACTGCTAATGTGTCCTATACCAGGACGAAACGGCCGTCCAGTGCTTTCAGGTTTCTAATGATCTTCTGTTGAGTTGTCATAGTTTTCATTTCTACTAGTTATTTGTTTATTATTTAACAGAAATAAACTTTGATAAAGTCATATATACATATATGTACAAGTCATACAGACCACGTAAAAGCATTGTGAACAAATATAGAGAAAATCATTTTGATTTTTAAGATGAATGAAAATGATTTAAATAAGATTTTTATTAGATAACTTGAATGAAGTGCTACTCAGCTGATGAAATCTTACTTTCATTATTCAAACTTCTTAAAAAGGAAATTCATATTATTGCTATTAATCAATATTGATGATATGAAATACAATACATTTTAGAATATCAGTATCAAAGTGTTTATTTATTTGTTACAAGATCCACCTACATAATCAATGATCGAATATCAGAGTAAGACTGTTTATTTCAGGTGACTTGTAACGTTCAATTATTTAAAACTTCATATCAACTATTACTTACTTCATACGAGTGAGTTAACATTGAAAGATAATAGGATACAGAATATTCTAGTCTACACATTGAAATCATCAATCAATCATTGTTAGAGCACCATAAGAAAGCTGAAAGCATTAGAGGGCCGTTTCGTCCTAATATGGGACTTATCAGCATTGCGCATCCATGACTCCGGCTACTCAGAGGATTCGAACCCAGGACCCTCAGACTTGCGCGCGAACTCCTAACCTCTAGACCACTGATCCGGCATCCAACTGTGTTAATGTCTAACTCTGATTAATCTAGGGATTTCGTACGACCTCACCTGTTTGTCTAAGGTAGTTACTGCCTACACTCGACAGAGTTGAACTCCACTGATCACATCGAAGTGGTTTTTACAGAACTTTGATGAGTATATCACTTAAATCAGGATGAATTTATGTAGAGGTTGCAATAAGACAAAGTAGATTGTGAAATATTTAAATATATTTATATACACTTATATATAAAACCTAATATGCTGAATGTCAACTTTTATATATATCATCTGTTCTTTTTAAATTTTTATATTACAGTTCAATTATATGAAGTGATTGAAACAGGAAGACATGTTTATTTAGTAATGGAATATGCCAAGAATGGTAAAAAAAATATTTCTAAATTATTATTTACGTACAGTAAATAATTTATGTTCAATATATTTAAACATAAACAACAAGAAAATTTGAAACTTAGTTTTCGGTTAGTTAGGATTTATTTAAACGGTATTTTTTTCAATAATTAAGGATTCATTGAAATCATGAATCCGATCAATGTTAGACTACCATAAAGAAACCTGGAAGCATTGAACAGTACTTAACAATCTCCATAAACTCATAATGCAATTAAAGATTCAAATCGCAATCAGAGGACTTGAATATATATGAGTTTGATTGATTTAACTAAGATGTCTACGTTAATTGAGCAATGAGTAGCAACAAGTTTCATGTTCGTTCAATCCAACAAATCAGGTGTTAATTTGGAAAAAAACTGAGTTTTTGATTTTTGACAAAACTATTTCCAATGGTAGTGAAGAAATTTCTTGATACAATTTTATATACTTTTCAACGATCTCCCTAGAGTTACGATTCATGATTCATGAAAAGGTAAGAAGACGTGTAACGGCAAATAAAAGTTTCCTTAAGACGATATCATTTCTGGAGCTAGACAATCGTATTTAATGGTAATCTTTCACGGAGTGATCTACAGAGGTGTTTTACAAAATTATCAAGGATAGTCAAATTTATTCGAATGAAAGACAATGAAAATGAAGTAGTTTGGCATAATATGGACAAGATTATCAAATGGTTTGAGGTGCCAACGTGTTACGCACGCACGTAGACATGTCAATTTGATATGCTTGAATTATTACGAGTTTACCTTAGTCGGAAAACGAGAGCGAGGATCTAGTGACACGAAATTCTGTTCTAATCCAAGCGTCCAAAACCCCCATTGAGTAAAAGAAGAAGACTTGATATGATGTAGAATATGTATTCTACAAGCATCCAGAAAGTACGAGGTCCGATTCCAGAAGAAAATCAGGATCGCGGACTAGGGATCCGGGTCATTAAACATTACAGGTAATGAGTGTTTATACATTTAGGTCGAATATGGAGCAACATCGATGTCTGTGACGTTGACAGTTAAGTCGACCAATAGGAAACAAAATTTGAGTGACATTAACAGTCAGGTCGGCCAATCAGAAACAACATTGGAGCACATGACATTGATATCTAGGACGACCATAAAATTGACCAGTAGGAATTAACCAATGGGAATTGACAAATAATTCTCTTAGGATATTGGATGAATATCCTAACAGAACGTGATGTTCGAACTAATTATTTTCTCAGCGAATTGATCTTGATATCACAAACATAAAATTTAAAAGACAGAACCATTGTCAGATTAACTGAATACGCAAATATTCATTAGTTATCTAAATGTCATTTATTTTCGAAAAGTTCATTCAAATTAATTATTACTAACAAACACATCCTATTTCTTTTATAAAATAATGTTTATTCAGCTCACGTAGGATGAACGCAATCACATATAAGAAAAAATATCAATTAGAACGCGATAACAGATACGAACAACAGGATAATTCAAACTATTACAAACTGAGTTAACCTAATACATAGGGGATGAGCTAGTGGCTATCTGTACTCAGTAGTTAAGCGAATCATGCTTTGTATGTTTAAATTTAGAGGTAGTGGGTTTGAGCGCTTGTGGAATGCAGCGACATTTACCCGACGGGACTCAAACAAGACTAAATACTCTTCGCAGATTCTACTGCTAGTCATAGGTCATCTATTCTATAAATTTTAAAGCAACTGTGTTTGGATTTAACTAAAAACTGTCTACAGAACAATCTTTCTTATCATTATAGCGTTGTAAAGATTATTGAATTTCATTGAAATCATGAACCAACCAATAGCAGATCACCGTTTCACACCTGGAAGCACTTGATAACCTTTCATCCCCGTATGTGACGCTTTAGCAGCGCGCATGCATGACTGCACATGATGAAATCACACCCAGGACCTTCAGTTTTGCTTAATCTCCTAACTAGTTAACCGGTAACCTAATCTCAATCGATCCGCGGTATCGTCTGACCTCATCCACTGTCTTCGGTGAACAACTGCCGCACAGTTGACATGGTTGAAGTACACAGGTCACTGCCTCTTACTAGAACTACCGGAATTTTCCCTGAAATCTATTCACATGATTATTTTCAATATAGGTTTCCAATGGAGGTCTAACATTGATCGGTTCATGATTTCAATCAATCTTTCTTAAATGCTTCAGTTTAACTACTAATCTTCATTAAGATAATTTATAGGGTCTGAGCAAATATTTCTATACCTTTTTATGTTCAAGGTGAAATGTTTGAATATCTTTTAAAGAATGGTAGAATGAATGAATCTGATGCACGTGAAAAATTTCGTCAGATACTTTCTGCCGTACACTATTGTCATCGGAAAAATATTGTTCACCGAGATTTAAAAGTATGTTTAAGTAATTATATTGTTTAGTAAGATTTTTTAAAAATCTAGTATGATGTATGAAAAAGGCCCTTTAATATTTACTGATTACTTACTTACTTACTTACGTCTATTAACCCCAACAAAGCATAGGCTACCGACCAGTATTCTTCAGCCTACTCTATCCTGCGCCTCCCTTTCTAGTTCTGTCCAATTTTAATGTTTATTGAATACAATCTGGTTTGCTCAGACTCTCAGTAAACTATATCACAAAATGTTAGAACTGAAATACAATGAACAGCTACTTAAAATAGAATCTTCGAGATCGAAAAAATATTTTCACAAAGGCTTATAAAATGAGAGTGTTGGGGATGTTAGATCCCTAGAACTCACTTGATAAATGTCTTTATTTTGGATTTTATTCATCGATCGATCAGTTGACCTAGAGATCACATTTCCCACCAGGAAAATACTAGGCTGTGATTGGTTGTTGTGTATTTAAGTGTGCTATTTTTGTGACTGTCACAAGGACGTCTCTGTGGAGTATAAATAAACGCAGTTTGTGTGCTTGGATTCATTGTGTGTTGGCTGAGTGTTTCTAGAATACACTTTCTACACTATTGCAAGACTTCTTGCTCGTACAATTGGGACAATTGGATCACAGTAGCCTACCTGGACGCTTGTTCATTGTTTTGTTCTCGTAATTCGACTAAGGTGAACCTGTAATAGTTTTAAGCATACCTAGAGATGAGTATAACAGAGAAACCATAATTATTAATAAAATTGTATTTGTAAATTAACAATCATCACTAACTATGACATCTTCTGTTAAGGAATTTATGGCGAATGTATCAAATTCATCCAGAGAAAAATTTACATCAAGAGTTGAAATTTCTTTTAATTTGACTTATATCTAAGTTACATCTCCTATGTGCACGTATAAAAAATTATTTTCAACTACTTCAAGCGTTTTGAGTTATTTATTAAGAGCCTAATTATACATATTTTTCATTACGATACATACTATACCCCTCTATATAAAATCTGATGAATGCTACTTTAAATCTCATTAGTTTCCAGAAAGTCATCGGTATTATATCGCTTTACTAGTTCTTCCGACATATTCCTTGTCTAGCAAAATTCTAGATTACTATAATGATGTAATAAATTTATCGTATATCACTTTCTTACTACTGAATTCATGAATGAATGATTGTTAGACTACCGTTAGAAACCTAGAAGCACTGGACAGCTGTTTCGTCCTGTTATGGGACTCATCAGCAATGCTCATCCACAACTCCCGCTGCACGCTTTGATATTGTACGCAAATGCTTAACCTCTGGATCACTGAGCCGGTTGTCTAACGACGCTACTGTATGACTCATTCATGATTTCAACATTTAACAACACTCTCCATAACTCTATAATGAAAAATTACAAAATATGCTCCCTAATCACTAGCTTCATGAGACAATTCTCAGAGTTTCATAGAGGGAACGTGACCGATAAAGTTCAATCATGACGGCTGTATTCAGTAACTATTGAAGACAAATGGATGAGGTTGAGTAAAACCTTAAATAATAACACCGTTGAATACTGGCTTAGTAATCCAAAGGTTAATCCTTCACGCGTAAGACATAAGGTTCTGGGTTCGATTCCTGAGAGTAGTAGGAGTCATGGATGTGCACTGCTGATGAGACCCATATAAGAATGAAATAGCTCTCTAGTTCTTCCAGGTTTCAAATAGTGGTCCGACTAAATAAATCTTGTCATATCTAATAACAATCGCTTCCATATGCTTTTCTTCATTTGAATTATTTTTGTTTGTTTTGGAATTCAATTTAGGCAGAAAATCTTTTATTTGATAATCAAAACAATATAAAATTAGCTGATTTCGGTTTTTCTAATCATTTCAATACAACATCATTATTGGATACATTTTGTGGTAGTCCACCATATGCTGCACCGGAATTATTAAATGGTGAAAAATATATCGGACCAGAAGTTGATGTTTGGGCATTAGGTGTTATTTTATATTTATTGATCAGTGGTTCTCTACCATTTGAAGCATCTAATTTTAATGTAAGAAATTTGTTTTTGTTTTTTTTTTTAAAAAAAAAATCTCCATTTTCACTGTGTATCTCTTTGTCAATCAATATACAATATACACAGTATACATCTAGGTCACTATTTCAAATGAACAGTATTTGGATGAGTGGCATAGATATATGGGAATAATGTGAAGAATCTTCATTTTTTTAATCTACAGTAATTTCGTGGTGGTGTTTCGTTCTCTGAGCTGGGATCTACTTCAGGACAGAAGCGTGTATAAACCAGTCGACACATACCCTATAAAAAAGTTGGACAATCAAATCTCAAGGACTCTAAATAGGCTTGTCAAAGCAGGACAAATATCAAAACAAGATCAATGGAGAATGAAATCCAATGGACCAATAATTCCACGATTCTACGGTAGGCCGAAACTCCACAAACCTAACATCCCACTACGTCCTATTGTATCCCTCCCCGGAACCTCGACCTACAACTTATCAAGAGAAATTTCAAGGATATTAAAACATCTGGTGGATGAACCCAACTACTCCATTAAGTCTGCCACACAACCAGCTCAGAGAACGAAACACCACCACAATCATCCACCTGAGCTACAAGTTTTCTCCACCATCTACAGTTATTTCTTATATGCCTATATGAGCATTAGTACATTAGTGAAAGTATTTTTTTCTCAATTAGAGTTATGGAGATCAATGTTTTCACGCGTTGAAATCATCAATCAGCCATAATTAGACCATCATTAGAAACCTGGAAGCACTGGACGGCCGTTTCGTCCTGGTATGAGACTCCTTTGCAATGAGCATCCATGACTCCTGCACCTCACAGGATTCGAATTCGGGACCTTTGGTCTTACACGCGCGAATGCTCACCTTTGATGAGTCCCATACCAGGACGAAACAGCGGTCCAGTGCTGAGTGATGATTTCAAAGTATTTTGCTAAACAATGATAACAATCAAGTAAATGATATAATCACAATCAATAAAACGTTCAGATTGACAATAAGATCATAGATATACTAGTAGGAATAACAATAGTCACAGATTGAACTGTTGATTCAACATAAGAAGTAGGTCAGAATCAGGGTAAACCCATAGTAAAGTCTGATAAAGATGTAATTAGAAACAGTATAGTTTTTTTCTAAACGTCTTAATTAACATAATAAGAATTATCAATATGTAAGTGAATCAAAACGGTTTACTGATCAAGCGATTGACTAAAGGTAAAGGTCGCATAACTAACGAATTATCTTAAGATTTATTTATTGTTTAACATATACTTCATTCAAGGTCATTAAGGACGATAAATAAAGTAATATTTCACCAGTTAACCAATTATATAGTAGTTACTATTATTAGTAAACTTGATCAAACTATCGTTATCCAAAAAATAGTTCAAGAGTAATTCATGAATTTTGAAATATAGTTCAAAAATATTTTCACATTAGTCAGTCAAGTGTTTTCTGGCTCCTTACTCGTTTCATTGTCATTAAACATTAGCGGAAAACTCGATTTAACGTTAAATGGCTTTGTGAAATTTAATCTAATTATAAGATAATCAGAATGCAAGTTATACAGATCAATAATTGGTTCCATTCGAATCATTAACCCATCTTTATTAGACCAACTGGAAGCACTGAACGGCCGGTTTCATCCTAGTACAGGACTCATCAGCAGTGGACATCTATGATCCTCGCTTGCGGTAATCGAAGCTGTAACCAGTGGACGTCAACCATGTCGAGTGTAGGCTGTTGCCTACCAAAGACGATCGGTGAGGTTGTGCAATATCTTCGATTGGATGAAGTTACATATTAGCATAGTTATATGCCAAGTCACTGATCTAGAGGTTAAGTGTTCGCGCTCGAGGCCAAAGGTCCTGGGTTCGATTCTCATGAGCAGGAATCGTGGATGCTCACTGCTGATCAGTTCCACACTAAGACGAAACGGCCTCCCAGTGCTTCCAGGTTTCCATTAATGGTCCAATAATGATTAATTCATTTAAAAAATTTGAATTGCGCACTATTAAATAAGAACTAGGTCATATGTACAATAATAACAAACCATTTTCCTCTTTTTTAAACATGATTTCTGATCTTACACAATTTGAATATGATAAATTATTTTATTTTATTGTATTTTTTTTCAGGAATTACATCGACGTATTGCTCAGTGTGATTATCGTATTCCTTATTTCATGTCGACTAAATGTGAACTAATTATAAAACGTATGCTAGAAGTTGATCCAATAAAACGAAGTAGTTTAGAGGTAATGTAATGAATGCTGTTGTGTTCTTTTTTTCTTAACAAGTACTAAACAAAAACAAGGATAATTCTGTTGTTTTATGGTAGGATGATTTTCCTAATAGAGACTGGGGATAAACTCCACTCTGTCACATCATCTAAAAATACTGTAGTCAGTAATACTTACTTACTTACTTATATACTTACGCCTGTTACCCCCAATGACGCATAAGGCACCGACCAGTTTTCTCCAACCAACTCTGTCCTGGGATTCCTTTTCCGATTATGTCCAAATTTTGTTCATTCTTCTCATGTTTGTCTCCATTTCTCGGCGTAATGTGTTCTTTTGCCTTGCTCTTTTCCTTCTACCTTGAGGATTCCGAGTGAGACCTTGTCTTGTGACACATCTGGGTGCTCTTTGCGCAGTGTGTGTCCAATCCACTTCCAGCGCTTCTTCCTGACTTCTTCTTCCACTGGAATCTGGTTTATTCTTTTTCACAATAGGTTGTGGCTGATGGTGTTTGGCCAACGAATCCCAAGTATTCTGCGGTAGTCAGTAATGACAGTCATGCTTTTGTTTATTTAACAGCTAAATTGTACATATTTTGGAATAATTTTAATGACAATATTGACTGGTTTAGCTTTTGCTACATTGATGATTCTTTTCATCATTTTTGACTGTACATATTTGTAACAGGATGGAGTCATATTTCCATTGTAGAAAACTTTTCATTATTTATGACTTTCTGTAGGTGAACCATTACTGAAAATAAAAATGCTCGCTTCATTCTAATGGATTCCCAGGTGCAGCGTCAAAACAGCAAACCATAACGGAATTAAACCCCCAGCCCTAATAGATGACTAATTTTTAAAATATTCATTGATTTTTTCACATTTAAGAATCATAAATATATTAAAAACTAATATGAATGAAAGTATGACTCATTATTGCCAAAAAGCTATTTTGTTTGATAAAATCGAATTTCAAATTGGCATTTAACCTTGCCTGTGTCCCAATATTTGAATGTCTGTCTTCATAATGATTATTACATTTCTGTTAATTAGAACAAATCAATATATTTAATTGTGATGAACTATTCTAAATATATATATTTATTTATTTACTTAAATATATTACATAGATATTTTTGTTCCAGTGGCATATTTGTATTTTAATGACAGTTTTATTTTCCAGTGGTATAGTTAGTCACTGAGTCAGTTAGTTTGTCAAAAAGTATTTTAAGTATTTAAGTCAGATGATTGTTTTAGCTGCGACAGTCACTTCAAGGTAATTGAAATGTTAATTATACCAATTAGTTAACATTATTCTTGTGTAGGATGCAGACTGAGGTTTGGACTGAGGCATAACTGTCTAGATAGTTTAAGTACTCGCTATTGCCCAGCTGAAACCAAAATAAAGCGATTTGGGTAAATGACGGTTCTAACATTCATCATAAATATAAACATACATCATTACTTAAACAAATATTACCACTCAGTTATTCCACAAACAATTGTTCAATTATTTAAATCAACAGAATTAAATAAATGTTGTTCTATCCCTCCTGGATAGATCAGATTCGTTCGACAGATAATATCTGGTCACTATATAAAACAAAGTGCTTCTCATTCTGGAAGGGTGCTTCGATTCACAATCAAAATGCACAATTCCAGTCAATGCAAGCAACACAACTAAAAGAGGGATAAATCAATATGGCTTCCGTCAAGACTAAGTATCAGCTAAAACAACATAAATGAAGTTCAGGAAGAAACATAGAAACTCAGTAAAGGCATAAGAAATATAAACTGTAACAAAATGCAAATATTACCATCTCAAATGGAATCGACGAGACTTACAAAATATACAACTGAAGGAATCAATAAGAACAAATTGCAAATGTATTTTCACATACAAAGCCTTCAAAAATAGATCTTACATCTTGTAAATATAATTACAGTCAAGCAAGTGACTTGATAATGTCCATTCAGTTACATCTGCTGTGCTTAATTCATGTCACTAACAATTGTACTACTTTCATGATTACCTATCGTATTTCAGGATACTTTTAAAATAAAATTATAAATGACAATTGAGTTTCCTACTTCTAAACTGAGGTTTTTGTTTAGCTGATAAATTTGTGTGAAATATTCCAGAAATGACGACATTATTCTTCTGTTTCAGAAATGTCTGCTTTTCAATGATGTTGTCAATTTTCTCTTCTGGAATACTTGTATATTTAGCATACAAATCAATAACTAGTTTGAATAATTTAATGATTGCATTGCGGGGTTGTGAAGATTGTTAAGTTACACATTTGAAATTATGGATCGATCAGTATTAGACCACAATTAGAAACTTGGAAGCACTAGATGGTCGTTTCGTTCTGGTATGGGACTCGTCACCAGAGCGCATCAGAGACTCCTGCACTCCAGGATTTGAACCCAGGACCCTCGGTCTTGCTCAAAGTCGTGACCAGTGAAGTTCAACCTGCTCAAGTGTAAACAATAAATACCGAAGACTGTATATGAGGTTGCGCAACTCTGTGAATTGATCAAAGTTATACATCAACACCGTTAGATACCGGCTCATTAGTCCAGAGGTTAGGCGTTCGCGAGAAAGACCGAAGGTCCCTGGTTCGAATCCTGCGTGGTGTAACAATGATCGATTCATGATTTCAAATTTAACGATTCACAATTATTGTCTTTTTTGATGTACATTTCTATATATTGAAATGAAAATGTAATTAGAACTTCTTCGATGTACAAGATAATATGACTGTTTTTTTTAGTTTGTAGACATCCTGAATTGAATCAATGAAATAAAACTAGTCAATATTAGTATAATTATTATTATTCTCTATTAAGATTGTTTGATTTCTACTTAGAAGAGTTTTATATTTTTAGTTTACTAAGAAATAATTTCAATTGATTCATTGATCGTTCTTTGTTCAAGTGTCAATTATTTTTTAATTGTGTAACATTATTTTAATGAGATAACAACTTAAAACTTATAAAACATGTGCATATTGATGAAGTATGCATATATAAATATGGTAAATTGTAAGAAAATATTGTTAAATGAATGTTACATGATGAAATGTTGATCTATAATATAAACATGTCATTTTGTTTTTAATTTAAATTACACTAAAAGAAATTACTATAATTTCTCACTTTTGCAGATATTTTAAGTAGGACAATTGAAAAGAGAGAAATACACCAATCATAATTATAATAATATTTTAGGAAATTAATGAGTGAGGCAGAAATTTATTTATTTCACACTTTAAAACATATGGTTTAAATAATTGTCAATTAGAGTTATGGAGATTAGTGTTATTACACATTTGAAATCATCAATAAATCATTGTTTGACAACCATTTAAAACCTGGAAGAATTGGATGGCCGTTTCGTTCTGGTATGTGACTGATCAGCAAGGCGCATCCATGACTCCTGCACATCGCAGGATTCGAACTCAGGACCTTCGGTCTTGTACACGAACGCCTAATCTCTGGATCACTGGACCGGCATCCAACGGTGTTAATGTCTAATTCTCGTTGATCAAGGGGATTTTTGCGACATCACTTATTTGTGTTTGATAGTTACTGCCTACACCCGACAGGGTTGAACTCCATTGATCACGTCTTCTCACTAGAACTCCTAGAATTTCCTCACGAAGCTAGTCACTAGTGAGCTTCCAGGTTTTCAACGGTGGTCTAACAATTATTGATTGTTGAATAATTCTATTGGATAATTCATAATCAGTTTGAACCAATCAACAGAGACTTCTGTGATTTACTTTCCCATTGTATTTTTAATGTTGATTACGACTAAAGCGTATCACAGGATCAGTGTGCTTGTGAAATCAAATGAAAGGTTTTACAAACCAACAGATTATCGTGTGATAGACGATATGATAACAATTAAACTGAAGAGTGAATTTTATTCATTGTTCATTCATCTTCTAATCAGTCATGTACGATAGATATATTATCACATCAATTCACTCAGTGATCACTTTGATCAAATTTGCTTAGATCATGTTAATTTATGCACACTTAACTATTCAAACTCATAACTAGCATAGATTTAAGTCTATATAAATAAGCTTTCTTTCTAACTTACTGGATATTATTTAAGGATGAAAATAGAATCATCTAGTAATTATTTTAAACAGTTAAGTAAGGTAATTTGTCTTGGTGATTTGTCAACCAGGGATCAATGGTAACTTACAAATGAAACATGTGACTGTATTTATCTACTCCCTATAGAAGCCAGTCACAACACACACACACACACAAGCATAGAAACGTACATTCATGTTGAAGGAGCCATATGTATAATACCTACATGTAATCTATCATAATCAAGCTTTACAAATATTATCTTTTTGAAAAAGCTCTTGTAACAACTTGTTTAAAAGATTAAAGCTGTCAATTTCGAAATTTTTCTTTAATTTACAAAATTTATTTCATTTTTTTTGTTTACCGATAATTCGAATTTAACCGACACGTAGTGCTTAATAATTACGAATAGAAATTTGTCAAAATACTGTTGAAAGATTTTAATAAGAATAGAGGATAATGTAGACGATAGAATATATGATGAAATATTTTAGTGAACAATTTTTGTTTTGGCAAGTTAGTTTTTTTGGTGGGATGGGGTCGTCAACCCCATATGCCCAACCCTCCTCCTTTATCCGAGCTTAGGACCGGCAGTAGCCCCGAAGGTTCGACTGGCGGATCGGCAAAGCAAGGGCTGTATTTCTACAATTGAACAAAATCTGGAACTCCAAACAAATATCAATCAACATCAAAAGCAGGATTTTCAATACAAATGTCAAGACAGTTCTACTGTATGGAGCGGAAACTTGGAGAACTACCAAAGTCATCATCCACAAGATATAAGTGTTTATTAACAGTTGTCTTCGCAAAATACTTCCGATTCGTTGGCTAGACACTATCAGCAGCAACTTACTGTGGGAGAGAACAAGCCAGATTCCAGTTGAGGAGGAAATCAGGAAGAAGCTGTGGAAGTGGATAGGACACACACTACGAAAATCACCTAACTGCATTACAAGACAAGCCCTCACATGGAACCCTCAAGGTCAAAGGAAAAGAGGAAGGTCAAGAAACACATTACGCCGAGAAACGGAGACAGACATAAGAGGAATGAACAAAAACTGGAAAGAACTGTAAAGGGAAGCCGAGGGCAGCGTTGGTTGGAGAAAACTGGTCGGCGGCTTATAATTCACTGGGGGTAACAGGCGTAAGAAAGTAAGTAAGTAATAATCAATAGAAATGTTAACAGATAAAATCAAAGCAGAGAATTCAATGTATGGTAGCTTTGTCTCATTTTGGTTGTGACTTTTTTTGATTAGACATTAAAAATGTATACTGACCAATCTAGAGATTTTGTGCAACCTCACCCATTTGTTTTTAGTAGTTACTACCTACAACTGACAATGTTGAACTGCACTGGTCAAATCTTCTCACTAGAACTTCGAGAATTACCTCAAGAAGCTAGTGGCCTTACAATGATTGATTGATGAATTCAAATCTGTAAAAAACAATAGTCTCAATAATTCTAGTTGCAAAATCGTAAAATGTACTTACTAGTGACTAGCTTGGAGAGGAAATTCTAGAAGTTTTAGTGAGAAGATGTGACCGGTGGAGTTCAACCCTGTCGGGTGTAGGCAGTAACTATCAAAAACAAATAGGTGATGTCGCGAAAATTCCCTTGATCAACGAGAGTTAGACATTAACTCCGTTGGATGCCGGTTCAGTGGTCCAGAGATTTGGCGTTCGCGCACAAGACCGAAGGTGATGGGTTCAAATCATGAGATGTGCGGGAGTTGTGGTTGCGCACTGCTGGTGAGTTCCATATCAGGAAGAAACGGCCATCCAGTGATTCCAAGTTTCTAATGGTTGTCGAACAATGATTGATTAATGATTTCAAATGTTTAACAACACTAATCTCCATAACTATATTTGCAATATCTATATTCATCTAGTAGCCCAGTTAATTTGAAGGTCAGTGAAATGGCGGACAGTTGAATAAAATATAAAATTATCAATCCTAGCTGATGACAGTAAAATTATTCAGTGAAATTTAAGGATATACATTATTTCCGTGTTGTATTTTTGGAATTCAACCATTCAATAATCAGTGTTACTTATTAGTAGTTTGCTAATTTATCTGAGGAATTATTTTCAAAACATAAAAATCATACTACTTGATTTTTTTTAAACAAGCAAGCAATCAATAAAAGTGCTATTTTTTTTAAAGAAATTATATTTTTTTTCTAAAATAAAGGAATTAATGGAAGATCCATGGATTAATATTGGATATGAAAGTAATCGATTAAAACCATACATTGAACCTCAAGAAAATGTGATGGATCCAATACGTATTGGTAAGTGAAATTGTTACGCATGCACGTAAACATGTCATTTGAAATGGTTGAACTATTACGAGTTCACCTGAGTCGTAAAACGAGGGCGAGGAACACGTATCCGGCTACTCTAATCCGATTGTCCCAAACTCCCATTGAGCAAAAGAAGAAGACTTGATACGAAGTAGAACATGTATTCTATAAGCATCCAGAAAGTACGAGGTCCGAGTCCACAAGAGAATTAGGATCCCGGACTAGGGATCCGGGTCCCGTCCCTAAAACGTTACAGATACATTTAGGTCGAATAGGAAACAACATTGAAGTCTATGACATTGACAGTTAAGACGACCAATAGGAAACAACATTTGAAGTATGTGACACTGACAGTCAAGACGACCAATAGGAAACGAAATTTGAATTATGTGACACTGACAGTTAGGACGACCAATAGGAAATGACCAATAGAATTAGACTTAAAAAAATAATTCTTTTAGGATATTTGATGAATATCCTAACAGAAATATTATAAAATTAAAAAATAATGTTAACAATTTAATACAGACTTAATTGAGAGAATTATTGAACTAATATATATATTTTAATAAAAATTTCAATACTACTCCTTAATGAAGTTTAAAATATTATAGATAGAAGTTAAACAAATTTACGATTATAAAAAATAATAATTATCATGTGTTCCACTGATGATTGACATGCAGGAGAAATTTCTAGCATCCTCTGCCTAAAAGTTACACAACCAGTGTAATTCATTTATTTCTGTAGATTATGATGAAGATAATCATAAAAATGGTTTTGCAATGTCATTCAGTTGTTTAAAATTTAAGCATTCACCAATACAAACCTAAAAGTCCTAGATTTCAAATTTGATTGTGCTACTGCATATAATTATGTAAACGTAACAGCTGTGTCAATATCTCCTGACTTTCATTGATCATTTAACGCAGAGGTTGATAGTAATCATATCAATCAAATTCAACTTTCATATTCATAATTAATTATTTTATGCAAATAAACAAATGGTTTATGATAGATATCTAGGGTTGATGCAGTTTTGAAAATAAACTGAGAAAAAAAAAGAGAAGATAATACATGACAAGAATATCACGTGACTAAATCATATGGATATTTCTTCATTTTTTTTCTTTGAATTTTAAGCCATATATATATATTCTATCGTGTAAAATAAATTCACATTATAAACTGACTAACAGTGTTATTATGGTTTATTGCTTTTTGTGGCAATTTGAAAACTAAGTCAACTTGTGTATTTAGATTGTGTTTTTTTATGAGTTTAAAATTCATTACATAATCATTTAAAAATCTAGAGTATATGAAATATCAATGTTTTCATTTATCAATGTTAAAATCTAATATTTCAAGTTACAAGAGTCATGGATGCGCACTGCTGATGAGTCCCATACCAGGACGAAACGGCTATCCAGTGCTTTCAGGTTTCTTTGATGGTGGTCTAACAATGATTGATTGATGATTTCAAAACACGAATCTCCATAATCCTAATTGGAAATTTCAAGTTTCATTTGACTTTTTGTGGAAGCAAGTATGCATATCAATGGGTTTCAGTAAATTTCTTGTAATCTGTAAAATTGAATGATATGAGTTTATAGAAGAAGCAATATAAAGACTGATTAGAATTAACTTTATTGTATCAACAAAGTAAAAAAAAATTATTCGATTCAAACTTAGAATTTGTTTAAAACAAAAAAAATATTAAACATATATTCAACTTGTTATAAACTCCTCTTCAATGAACATTGACACATTGAAGTGTATAGCATACATGTAGAGGGATTTTTTCTAATTTCTAAATCAAGAATTAAATTGTGCACAAACGAATTAATTGTAATTTATGTTCAATTCTTAATATTATTATTATAAAAATTAACAATTCATTATTTCATTTTGTTCAATATTCTTAAACTATGAAATAAAGTACTTATGTTGAACGTTAAATAAAAAAAAACTGTTACATTTTCAATAATTGAATGACTTTTCTTTTCATACAAACATAAGCTTCTTAATACATTAAACATGATAAAGTGTAAATACTTATATTGATGTCAAAAAAAAGTTAAATATTTCACAACTTTAATTCATTTCAAGAAATATATTTTGTGTGGATATTATTCTAGTATTTGCACATAGAACAATATAGAAACCAACCCACACAGACGTAATTCTCAACTACGGTAACAACAACCCAAGAACCTACAAAATCAACTGCATACAAACTTTGTTCAAGAGAGCAAAGACGCGCTGTAGCACATATGAAGCACTAAAAAAAACGAGGAAAAAAACATCTTATGATTATCTTCCAAAAGAACGGCTATCCACGCAACTTCATCAAAAGATATCAACCGAAAGCGTCAACAGGAGCGAAATCAAGTACATGAACCAATAAACGGATCATCCTACCGTACAAAAAAGACATATCCGAGTAGACAGCACGACTACTGAAACTATTTGGTATAGGTGTGGCACATAAATCAACAGAATCACTTCCAACAATCCTATGTAGACCAAAGGAAAAAATGACAAATGAAGAAAAACTAAATATCATCTACAAAATAGATTGCTCAGATTGTGAAAAGCAACACTACATAGGGCAAAGTGGACGGCTTCTTCAGCTTCGTTTACGTGAACACCAATTAGCAGTCAAACGCCACAACAGTTCTTAGCCTATACCAATACACACCGACAATAATGGACATACATAGGATCAAGAAACAGATCAAAAGGGGGATACAATCAAAACAAAGATGCAAACAACGATAGGTTTAAGGTCAACAGCAAACAATCAATACCGAGGTTAGCAGAACAAGCCTACAGGTCAAACGTGGAGAAATTCGAATGCTTCACTTCTATCTGAAGTTTGTGCTGATGATGCAGTTCAGTAGAAGCGCAATGAAAGCTCCACAACTAAAACATCATCCAGCTCAGAGAACGAAACACCACAACAACAATATAGAAGAATAGTTCATGTATAGTTGAACTAGTCCATTCTATCTGAATGATTTATAAGTATACATACATATATATAAGTAGTATGTTCATTGAACAAAGTAGTTTATTTTGGGGCAGAGTTTGGGAGGTTTGTGTTTTCACACATTTGAAATCATCAATCAATCATTGTTAGACCACCATTAGAAATCTGGAAGCATTGGATGGCCTTTTCGTCCTGGTATGGGATTCATCAGCAGTGTGCATCCACGACTCCTGCTCCTTGCAGGATTCAAACCCCGGGACCTTCGGTATTGTGCGCGAAGCAATTCATGTTTAAAGATAGATGAACATAAACTTTTTAACTTAATTATCTAGATCAAACTTTACAGAACAATGTTTCAATAGAAATTCAATTACACAGATGAAATAGATCTAGTAAAACAAACGCAAATAACATGAAATTATCTGTTTTGTAATGGATGATTCATAGTCATTATTAAAAAGATCATTTAATATAATATGATGATGGTTTTATATTTTGTTATTAAACAAATAACACACAGAAATATGATATTCATTGTATGCTATCCATTTCAATGAGTTTACACACTCATTTTTGACACTCAATATTGAAGTTGATGGTCAAACAACTAGTAATCACAACTAATTTTTATTGTAAGGTGAATAGATTAACATAGAAAAAAATATATATGATTAGATGAGTTATAGAACTTACTCAATATAACTTCCCCATACTTGTTCTTGATTGGATATGTATCACTAAGATGTCATTTATAGCGTTTCTTAATATGGATTACAAACTAGTGTCAGTTAAACCATCTCTAGAGACAAAAAAGTACCTAACCACTGTAATATGACGCTCTTCAGCAGAAATCAATCTCAGAACCTCCAGTCTCGAGCGTGAATGCTTAGACTATAGACCGCCTAGTCGGTACCCAATGGTTTACATGACTACCTTCAACAAATTCACGATAGTGGTCGACTATCATTAACTGGCTACTATAGGTAACTGTCTTACACTGGAAATAATTGAAATCCAGCAGTCTTGATTTAGAAATAAACCAAGTGTCTTAGGACGAAGCAGTTGTTCACTACCTCTTGACTCTCAATGATGGTTCGCTATCTAAAAGGTTAAAATCATACAACGTGCATAGACCTTTCGATCATCAAAGTATATTTCTCATTGTTCAACATGTCAGTAATTCATGGTTTAGATCCGACTATCTAGGGAATCTCAGCACAAACAAACGATCAACAATTTAGTTCAATAAATAAATAAAAATTATAAACACTGATTAAAATTTACATTCACTATAAAAGAAGTTATTCTTTATATTTATTGAAAGCTATTGGTTCAAGGTCGTAGCGTCTACTATAATGTCTAGAAGAGATGAGAAAAAGTTCAATCAAAACTTAACATTAAAGAACTGAAGTTTTCTTTTGATATAAAAGTCAACAACACTAGAAAAGAGATTGTATTGATTACACATTACTTAACTTATTATAATTTATCAGAAGTTCAATTTAAAAAGTCTACACTATTTGATTTTTGAATAAAAACTTGTTACATAATTCTTTTGGTAATTACTATCTTTGCGTTTTTTCATCCTAAACAACTTTTTCAGTAATTCAACACACTGATGTATAATCTTTGTAGATTTGACTCTTCTATAATTAATTAAAATTTATTTATTTTAATTACTAATCTTACAATTTTATTGAATGTACAAACTTATCTGAGTTTTAATTACTTACTTCCTACGCCTGTATCCCCACATGGAGTATTGGCCACACATCATTAGTCTTCAACCTAATCTGTTCTAGGCTTTACTTTCCAGCTGTTACCAATAGCTATTCATTCTTTTCATGTCTGTCTCAAATTCTAGATAAAGTATGTTTCATGGTTTACCTCTTTTCTTTCACCCTCGGGAACTCCAAGTTAGGGTTTGCATCGCGATGCATTTGAACGACTTCTGCAATGGATGTGCTATCCACTTTTATCGCTTTTTATTAATTTCTTGCTCATTTGGAATCAGGTTTATTCGCTCGCACGGTAAGTTGTTGCTGATGGTGTTTGGCCAGTGAATCCGAAGTATTTTGCGTAGATAACTGTTAATAAACACTTGTATCTTATAGATAATGGCTTTTGTAGTTCATCGAGTTTCCACTCGATACAGTAGAACTATACTGACATTTGTACTTGAAACTGTGACTTTGGAATTGTAAAACTTTGATTTATTTATCCTAAACCTGTCTGTTAAATAAAATTGTTCATTATTTGAGCTGTTAATAGGTAAAACATGACTAACTATTGAACAGAATATTTTTATTTTAATAAAATGTGAAATATCCAACAATTTTACTTTTGTTCATAGTTTGTGTGTGGGTTTTTTTTCAACTTGACCATAGTAATTTTTCACAAATTTATATTCATTTCACTTATTTTATTCTTAGCCATTATGAAGAAACTTGGATTTCGTATTGAAGACCTATGTGAAACATTTGAAAAACGTTTATTTAACAATATTAGGGCAACGTATCTCTTGTTAGGCGACATTGAAACACAGAAGAGAATTGGAGAGAAATTAATATCGGTTGGGAATGTATTATCCAATAGTAATTCAAATCCAGATATTGAAGTGAAGAATCAAAATGAAACTGTTGAAAAGCGTGAGTAAATATTAATCTTTAAGGGAGTATAATTCTTTTAGAAGGTATATTTTGTTAGTTGATATTAAGTAACTGTTATGCTCATCATTTGATATGCTTGAAACTATTACGGGTTCACATTAGTCGATAAACGAGAACGGGAAAATCAACCAGTGACACGTTATGTTACTCTGATCGGTTACCCCAAAGGAACTAACGAAGAAGTCTTGATATAGAGTGGAAAGTGTATTCTACAAACACCCAGCAAACACAATGCAATCAAATCGCGTTTATTTACACATCATAGAAACGTCCTTGGGAGGGCCACAAAAACAACACACTAAAATAACACAGCGACCAACCACAGCTAAGGATTTTCCTGGTGGGAAATGTGATCTCAAGGTCAAGTGATCAACCCATGCTCGGAAACATAAAATCCAAAATAAAGACATGTATCAAGTGAGTTCTAGGGATCTAATGTCCCCAACAGTGACCTAAAACTAACTGCGATTATCTCTATCGTCAATTCTGTCATAGTCATTGTTTAGATAAATGCTATACTTTTAAATAAGGTAGTTACATAGTTTCAGTATCCTTGTTTCTCACTAAAAGATACACTTAGAAGAGAAATCAGCTATATAACATAAATATCTACTAGGAAATCTGTGTATTATTGAATAACAAACTCTTTGAGTTTATGTTTCGTATAAAAATCAATAAACAATAAAATCTTCAGTCGTATGTGGAAACTCATCAACTAAGCATGAACAATAATCCTAAACTGTTTATCATAATATTGGCTTTTAATCACAAATTCTTAATTATATATTTGAATTGTAAGTAACAATAGGAAAAAATATTATCCACTTTAAATAGAATAAATAGAATACGGTTAGCAGTGGAATCCAGAAAACGCGTTTCGTCCGGTTCGGGACTCATCGATTTGAATTAAATCCTTAATTTTATGTTCTATAGCTTATCATGTATCTCGGTTTGACACCGATCAGGAATACAGTGCACACATTGATGATAAATAGCAAACTTACTTACTTACTTATTTACTTACACCTGTGACTCCCCAATGGAGTATAGGCCGCCGACCAGTATTCTCCAACCTATTCTGTCATGGGCTTTCCTTTCAAGTTCTATCAAATCGTTGTTCATTCTTCTTAAGTCTGTCTCTATTTCTCGGCTTAATGTGTTCCTTGGCCTTTGTGTTTTCCTATAACCTTGAGAATTTCAAGTGAGGGCTTGTCTTGCGACACAGTTGGGTGCTTTCCTCAATGTGTGTCCCATCCACTTCCAGAGCCTCTTCCTGATTTCCTCCTCAACTGGAATCCGGTTCGTTCTCTCCCACAGTAGGTTGTGGCTGATGGTGGCTGGCCAACGAATCCGAAGTATTTTGCATAGACAACTGTTAATAAATACCTGTATCTTGTGGGTGATGGTTTTCGTGGTTTTCTAAGTTTCTACCCCATACAGTAGAACTGTCTTGACAGCTGTATTGATAATTCTGATTTTCGCGTTGATTGATGGTTGTTTTGAGTCGTGGATGTTGTTCAATTGAAGAAATGCTGCCTTCTCTCTACTAATTCGTGCCTTTACATCTGCATCAGATCCAGCTTGCTCTTCAATGATGCTGCCCGGATATGTAAACTATTTCACATCCTCAACTGCGATTTAGATGGTTCATGTTGTGTTGTATCTGAAACTCTTGCTTTTTCCTTTGTGTATGTTCAGACCTACTGCTGTAGAGGCTGCTGCTGCAACACTAGTCGTCTTCTCTTACATTTGTTGTTGCGGGTGTATACTTTGCATCCCTCCAGACACTGACCTGTTCATAATCCAGTTGATCACCAGGAGAGACAGAAAGGTTGAGAGTAAGCAACCTTGCCTGACACCGGTCTTCACCTCTAACGAGATGTGAATTTTTTCTAGTTAGCGTGTTTTAGCGAGTTAGTTTTCTACGGGATAGGATTGCCAACCCCATGCCCAAATTTCCTCGTTTATCTGGGCTTAAAACCGGCAGAAGCCCCAGAGAGGTTCCAGGCGTAGTTCAATATCAAACTAGAATGACCTAAATATTGATCATTTCCTAATTTTCACTAATTCTCCAACTAACTCCAACTTATAATGCACCGTAATCTACAAAAAAATTCTACAATCTATGTTATCCATTATTTGTTCATCAAATTTTGTTATTGATTATTCTAATTTAAAAAAATTACGAATACACAGAAGATTTGTATATTTATAGCTCTGCATAAAAGCATCAAGTAATATTGATCAGTTTTTCATTTTATGATCAAATTAGTAGATTATTAGGCTAACTGTTAAACCAGATTTTGTAGAGAAACCATTAACTGATAAGAATTTCTTGAAAAAAAATTAAAAAATAAATTCATACACAATGTTGATATCTAAAAATAATGTAATTATGATAGATTTGAATTTCTGATCAAGTATTATTATGCTTCTAATTTTATAAATCTTACGAATTTGAAAATCAACCTAAAATGGAGTTTGTAGAAATCTGAATTAATTACTTTCTTTTATTTAAATATAATCACATTGATAAGTGAAAATGGGATAAAAAAAACTATCATTGTGCTCACTAGTGACTAGCTTCATGAGTAAATTCTCGGAGTTCTAGTGAGAAGACGTGGCCAGTGGAGTTCAACCCTGTCGGTTGTAGGCAGTAACTACCAAAGACAAATAGATGAGGTCGAGCGAAATTCTTTGATCAGTCATAGTTAGACATTAACACCGTTGAATGTCGGCCCAGTGGTCTAGAGGTTGAGGCGTTGGCGCACAAGACCGAAGGTCCCGGGTTCGAATCCCGCGATGTGCAGGAGTCGTGGATGCGCACTGTTGATGAGTCCCATAACATGACAAAACGGCCGTCTAGTGCTGCCAGGTTTCTAATGGTTGTCTAATAACGACTGATTGATGATTTCCAATGTGTTAAAACACTAATCTCCATAACTCTAATTGAAAATAATACTATCATTGTTCAATTGTCCCAAAGGTTTATAGAGTTATATTATCGGGATAATTAAATATTGTAAATCAAAAATGCACAATATCTATTTTCTTCTTTTCGGAAATATTATAAATTGTAATCTTTTGACAAAAAATTTTTTTAAAAATTTTAAACAATACGGATAAAAATTGCCGGATATAATCAATTCATCAAAAGTTCAAAGCTTTGCATTCAATGAAAATAGTCGATAAACGACAATAGTAATATAAGATAAATTGTAAAACGTTCTTTTATTACATCATATATGTAATCAATAAAGATGATCACTTTTTGTGTGAACATTTTATTTTGTATTGATTGTCTTTTTTTGTTTTAATCATCTATGACTTCATGTTCAACAATCAATCTAAATTATTATGTTAAACTATATCTTGTTGCCACATTCTTGTTTCTTATGTGTTAGTTTAAACTCTAAACTTCATTGATTTTACCATTGTAATAAAATATTTTCATGATAATATTATTAATATTGATTTAAGTCATTTGCAGTCGATAAGAAACCTTGAACTATAATAAATTCACTCTTATTTTGTAAATGTTTTTCTTTCGACTTTATTGAACTATTTCGTTCTAACCGTTTTTTTAATACTTTGAACTTAAAACTAATTAGTGAAAAAGTATCACACCCATTAAAAAAATTGGTGGCTATACAAACTTAGAAGCCTAGTTGATAATACCTTAAGGTTTAAGTAAAAGGTATTATGTCCGAGATCCAGTGTGAGGAGTATCAACACTGAGATGTGGCAGGTGTATTAGTTTGATGGGGTCTTCAGCAGAGTGAAACACATTTCCTTAATCTCACTGCTATCCACAGTCTTATGATTCGTGCGCAATACTTAAGGTTCTGGGTTTGTTTTAGGTTCGTCACTAGGTACGCTTGAAGCTATTACGAGTTCACCTTAGTCGATAAACGCGAACGAGACAATGAACCAGCGTCCAGGTAGGCTACCTTGATCCGAAAACGGCAAAACAGAAGTCTTGATAAGCGTAGAAAGTATATTCTACAAACACCCAGCAAGCACAATACAATCAAGCACACAACTCTCGTTTATTTATACATCATAGGAACGTCCTTGGGAGAGTCACAAAAATAGCACACTAAAATACACAGCAGCCAATCACAGCCATGGATTTTCCTGGTGGGAAATGAAATCTCAAAGTCAACTGATCAACCCATGCTCGCAAATATGAAATCCAAAATAAGGCATTTATCAAGTGAGTTCTGGGGATCTAACGTCCCCAACAGTTTGACCCTGAGTGACTGATGTGCACTTGTGGAGTCCCATACAAGAGAGTAACAGATGTCCAGCACTTCTATATTTTCAATAATTTTTTTAACTTGTATTGGTTCATGATCTTAACGAAATTCAATACAAATCTCAATAACCTTCATACTATTACCAATAAATATTGATTATCATTTATTTGATGTGACATTTTTATATTCTATCATGTATTTCAGAATTGAGTATAAAACATGAACAGAAATCAGAACCAGTTGAACAGCATACAACTCCAGTAGTTATTTCTACTTCCTATGATGAACAGTAAGTTAACTAACTGACTATAATTTTCTATCTTTATGAATCAATAACAGTTTACAATAAATATATCACCATAATCTACAGTTACAAGTTCTTAATTATTGTATAACAATGATTAAAGCAAGGTAACATGTTGAAATAATGAAATTTGTATCGGTCAGAGCAGCCTAATTATGTTCAACATGTTTCTTTTATTTTTAAATTAGATAAGTCATGTAAGAAAGAGGTAAACTTTATTTTTTGTGATGCTTTAATATAACATCAATGTCAAACCTAATAAACAATTTTTTAGTCAGTATTTATCGACTAGCCCAGGACAGAGTAGATTAGACAGCATAATTGATGAGCATGATGGATCCAATGCAGACGTGAAGGTGCGGATCGGCAAAGTGAGGGCTGCATTTCCACAATTAAACAACATTTGGAACTCAAAACTACTATCAACAAACACTAGAGTCACAATTTTCAATACAAAAGTCAAGACAGTTCTACTGTTTGGAGCGGAAACTTGGAGAACTACCAAAGCCATCATCCAGAAGATACAAGTATTTATTAACAGTTGTCTACGCAAAATACTTTGGATCTGTTGATCAGACACCATCAGCCACAACGTATTGTGGGAGAGAACAAACCAGATTCTAGCTGAAGAATAAATTAGGAGAAAGCATTGGAAGTGAATTGGACATACATTGAGGAAAGCATCCATATGTGTCATTAGACAAGACCCCACTTGGAACTCTCAAGGTTAAAGGAGGAGAGGACGGGGTCAAGGAACACAATATGATGAGAATTCGAAGTAGACAAGAAAAGAATCAACAGAAAATGGGAAGGAGTAGAAAGAAAGGTTCAGGATAAAGAAGGTTGAAGAATATTGGCCGGCAGCCTATCTTCCACAGAGAGTTAACAGGCGTAAGGCAAATAATTAAGAAAATAATTTATCAACTACAAATATTTTATTTACTCATTTCTTTTTCAATAATTATTATGTTTTACAGTAAACCAATTGTTTCAAATAATCAAATGGATTTGATCATTACATCTGATCCAGATCAATGTGAAAATATAGAGCAAACAATAAAAAGTTATGATTCAAAAGAGGTTTCTTATATTATTACAGATCAATCGAATGATGATGTCACTACAGCAACAATAACTAATTCAATAAATATTTCACAAAATGATTACAAATCTTCATATGGTCTACGTCGTATACGTGCTAAATCATTAAATGATAATATTGTTACCAGTGAATCTAATGAGAAAGTGATTATTTATAATCAAGAAAATGATTTAGATGATTTGAAAAATATTCAAGTTGTAAATAATAATTCCAAGTAAGAAATTTAAAATTGAACATATCATATTCATTCTGTTACGAATGTACGTATACATGTCATTTGACAGTTTACATTAGTCAGTAAACGAGAGCGAGGATCAAGGATTCGGCGACACGATAGGCTACTCTAATCCGAGCGTCCAAAACCAACATTAAGTATAAGAAGAAGACTTGATATGAAGTAGAACATCCAGAAAGTACGAGTTCCGAGTCCACAAGAGAATCAGGATTCCGGATTAGGGATCCGGGTCCACGTCATCAAACGTTACAGATTATGCGTATTTATAAAGTGAGGTCGAATAGGAAACAACATTGTAGTACGTGATATTGATAGGTAGGACGACTATAATCTTGACCAGCAGGAACTGATCAATAGAATTAGACTTACAAAAATAATTCTCTTAGGATATTTGATGAATAACCTAACACATTCATAATCAATTTGTTTAATTGTTTACAGATGATATGGTTCTGTGGATTTAGCTATGAAACAAAATGGCTTAACTTTAGAGTGTAAAGAATTGACTTTAGAAAGCTGGGTAGTGTTATTGGCCTTCACACAAACAGTGTATGTCAACAATGAGAACATATATTTGTGCTTGATGAATGAATTACTGTATAGTAAGCTGCATTATTATTTGCCATTGAAGCCTGAATAGTCTGGTCGTAATGTCTCTAATATTAATAATGAATGATGAGTGTATGAATCGTATATAAGGAAACAACTTTGTCAAGATTAAAGATAAGTTTTATTGATGATTGTCAACTTGGACGAAACTTAGATTCAAAACTTCATACTGATCATGTTCGGTCGCCTATTACAATAATCGATTTAAATCATGAATTAATAATCTGGTTGCGAGACTTTTGTATTTATTAGAAATTTGTAATAATTGAGGAAACATTGAAAAACTTTAACTAACTGCGTTAATCATACCCTGAAAGCTCACTATTTAGATATAACCAATCCCTATTCTACATACTAAAAGCTTTTAATCATACTAATAGTCTAGTGACACTATTTTGTCTTATGTAAGAAATTCAGTTACCAATTTTAAATTCGAATTTTTTCTCAGACATGAAATTTTATTTCTGATATATCATAGTTGTTAGTGATACAATAATTAATATTTTGTGAACTGAATTGTTAGTGGGACATAGATGGAATTAAAGCACGACTACGTTGCTGCGCGCTGATTGGCTAAATTCCTATCCAATCAGCGCCTGATCGAAGCTTGGAGAACAGGGTAGAAAATTCTCGTATTATTAGCTGCATGCTGATTGGTTAAATCCAATCCAGCCGATCACGTGAATTTTCTTCCAGAAGCTTTCTCATGTAAAGGCTATAAATAGACTGGCGTTGTGTTTATTTTTGCCTTCTTTGCCTTGGCTTTCGCCATCACCCCCGGCTTCTTATTCCTTGCTATTTTGGAATATAATCTTTCCTGTTCAAACCGTGTTTTGACTTGGGGGACTTGTCCAGTGTTTTGTGTCAAGAATTCTAAGCAATAAGATTTAGCCGGGAATTATCTTAAGCAAGCGTTACAACATGAATAAACGATGGTTAAAGGCTTCGAATGACATGGGTCCAAATCACCTACAATGGCGCAGATGCATCTATTTTCCAACATAATTCACTGGGTTATACTTTAAGAACGATGTTTTCGAACCCTTATCATTTCGATCACTGTTAACACTGCTACTAACTGTAAGATAGGATTTGAATTGATAATTCCATCTCTCTGTGTTAATGTGGTATGGTAATTTGAACTGATGTACGTACGTACCAAGTTCTAAGTTGTAACTGACTGACTTGTCGACTGAATAGTAACTCCCAATTAACAGCTCCCGTTAAGCACGAAGGATGAATGGACGGCTTCACCTGGCTAAGTTAAAAATCGAAAACCTTAGACTTTGGTGCTGTGACTGCATGTTATCTTTCCTATTAAAAGACCCAAAACTCATGGGCTCTATATGAAATTTTCTTTTTCACGTCCAATAAATCTCAAACCAGAGTAAAAAATGGAAACCTGGTAATCTCTTTTGCATTATACAAGTTCTTTAATTAATATAAGTCCACCAAATAAATTATTCATGGCAGTGTATTTTTTTTAACAAAAATTTTTAAATACAATTTATTTCATTGTTAGTTTTTTTTTTCCTAAAACTAAAGGAGTACGAATTCATGTATACAAAATCATTTAAAACGTCATTTAATCATTGATAGAGCACAAACAGCAGTGCCTGATTCATTAGATAGTCGTTTAAAACAAAATTTAATTATTGTTACTGATAAATCACCTAGTTGGTATAATTTACCATATGATGAAACAGGAAGAGCAACAGCACCGATTGTAATCTATCAACATGAAGAAAATCAATACTTCCATCATACTAATAATAGTAATACATCTCAAAATCAACATACAAATCATCATAATAATGATAATGATTATGAAGAAAATGGAAATTCAGATCATCATAATTATGATTATTATTATACACACTATTCAAGAACAAAATATAAAACAACCAATTCTATAAGAGTCCATTCTGCATTAACTAATTACGATCATAAACCTCAACAAGAACAACTAGGAAATCTAACATCTAATAGCAGTGACAATGAAATTGATAAAGAAACAAATTTCAAGATAATTGTTTTACAAAAGGAAAAGAAACACATCCCTTATCGATCAGTGTTACCTAAAAGTTCATCGCCTAAAAAATTACCTATAAGTGCAAGCATATTGAGTTATGTAAATAATAATCGATTGAACAACACTGGAATGAATAATAACCAATCATCAAATGAGAATCAACAATATAACGTTTCCAATTTAACCAATGAAAATACAATTTTACTTAAACGAAATCAACCAATCATAACGCATGAAAATGATAAGTCTACTCAAATACACCTGAATGGTTACAATAACGATGAGAATACTATCAACTTAGAAGGACCACAAATATATTTGAATGGATTGGGAAGAAACAGTAAAAGGACATCGAGAATTTTCATTGAAAAAAGAGAAAACTTATTGGAACAAAAAGTTCTTTATAATGGTAATTTATACAAAGAGTAAGTCGTATTTGAAATATTGAGAAAAATGTCGAGTACTTACTTATGCCTGTTACCCCCAATGGAGCATAGGCCGCCCATCAGTTTTCTCCAACCAACTCTGTCCTGGGCCCCTCCCTCTTCAGTTCTGTCCAATGTTTGTTCATTCCTCTCATATCTTTCTCTATTTCTCGGCGTAATGTGTTCCTTGGCCTTCCACTTTTCCTTTTGCCTTGAGGGTTCCATATGAGGGCTTGTTTTGTGACGCAGTTAGGTGCTTTTCGTAGTGTGTGTCCTATCCACTTCCACCGCTTCTTCCTGATTTCCTCCTCCACTGGAATCTGGTTTGTTCTCTCCCACAGTAAGTTGGTGCTGATAGTATCTGGCCAACGGATCCGAAGTATTTTGCGAAGACAACTGTTAATAAACACTTATATCTTGTGGATGATGGCTTTGGTAGTTCTCCATGTTTCCGCTCCATACAGTAGAAGTGTCTTGACATTTGTATTGAAAATCCTGATTTTGGTTGAAAGTTGTTTGGAGTTCCAGATATTTTTCAACTGTAGAAATGCAGCCCTTGTTGAGTACTGGTTTTGAAATTAGGCTTTCATACAGTGAGTAAAATACACATTGTCATTATCACATATATGGTTCTATAGTCCATAAAATGAAAGTCATCATTCAAGAATTAATTATCATCCTAACAAGTATATTGAAATAACAGAATTCAGTAACACTGAAGATAGTTTTATGATCTTTGGTACCAGATAGGGGGACATGTGGACTTCTACTTTGGTTGGGTGTACGGTCCACTTAAAATGAATCACGGCATTTTTGAATTTCTCGTTTACTATGTGATCTTATGGTGACATGTGATTTATCTGGTTGTATAGTAAAACGTTGTACGTAAAATGGATCTCCAAGTCGATTACTCATTCTTCCTGGAAAGGCTATACCCTTACTGACGTCATTATTTTCATGATTTCGATTCAATGAACTAATTCAGAAACTGATTCTTACTTACTGAGTGACTTTACTTACGCCTGTTACTCCTAATGGCTACCGACAAGCATTCTCCAAACTAATCTGTCCTTGGTCTTCCTTTCCTGTTCTACCCAACTACTATTCATTCTTTTCATGTTTGCTTCCGATTCCCGGTGCAGTGTATTCTTTGATATTCGTTTGGCCTAGGGGGATTCCAAATTAAGGCTTGGCCCCGAGACGCAGTTAGATACTTTCCGCAATGTGTCCTACCCACCTCCAGAGCGTTTTCCTAATTTCGTCCTTAGGTGGAATCCGGTTTGATTAATTCTACGGTGTATTTATTGATAATCAAATCAATTCAATTTCTTTAAAGTATCTGATGACAGTTATAGAATACTAGATGACCTTTCAGTTGTCTCTTGATAACTGGCAATTTGAACTAATAAACCTGTTCCAATCCATAACAAAACACCAAGTGATATTTATTACCAACTTCAAGCTTTCATTATCTCCAAACATGAAGCATACTTTCTTGAATACCCAACCGCATTGGAATTTAAGCAGTGGATTGATTAGCTATTAACTTTAAAAAAAGATAACCAAATGTTTATCTGACTATAGCAAAGCAAAACCTTCCACCAACTACTTACGCCTTTTCATAATTCATAAAATTGTACATTCAGCTCTTTTGGCTCAAAAATTTGTTCTATTTTAATTTGCAGAAGAAAATAATACTGTATTAAAGAATATAATTTAAATCAAAACACAATGAAGACAGTGTAGAGTGTGTAGTTTTATGTCAAGCCCACAAGACTTGTCTCAGCCTATAGACAATTTGATCAATTCATTCTCCTCGAGTTATTCACTTATCTTCTGACCCTGTCCATTATTCACTCACATCCTTGGTTGTTTTTATGTGAGTGTGTGTGTGTGCGCGCGCATGCTTACTCCGCTTATTACATGTATAGTCTATAAATACTTTGTCATACGTCATCAAAATCAGTTGGCTCGCGTACCTTCACCACTTCGCTTCACTTGACTTGTACGCTTTACATTCTCGTGTCTGCCTTCACGAACAATTGCCTGAAACAGATTCATCCAACCGAAACTGTATTCAGCATCTTATTGCCGCCGTTGCACAAACGCAGTGCTCCTAAGTATGACATATACGGAAACGGAAGAAGAGATTTATTTTTCAGCTTATTTAATTGTTTGTAAATATCGGAATCAGATTACTGGCCTTACTTCGAGTTCAACGCAGTCACTAAAATAGAATTTATTTATCTCAAAGGCGGTATATTTTAATGTTTATGGATAGAAAAAACAAAAATCGATACAGTAAGATCATCGAACTGATAACTGATGCAAATTTCGATTCATACAGTTTGACAGTCGTTTTTGGGGCAGAGTTATGGAGATTAGTGTTATTACACATTTGAAATCATCAATCAGTCATTGTTAGACCACCATTGGAAACCTTGAAGCACTGGACAGCCGTTTCGTCCTCGTATGGGACTCATCAGCAGTGCACATCCATGACTCCTGCTCCTCTCAGGATTCGAACCCGGGACCTTCGGTCTTGTGCGCGAACGCCTAACCATCGGACCACTGGGCCGGCATCCAAAGGTGTTAATGTCTAACTCTGATTGATCTAGGGCTTTTGCGTGACCTCACCCATTTGTCTTTGGTAGTTACTGCCTACACCCGATAGGGTTGAACTCCATTGATCACGTCTTCTCAACTAGAACTCCGAGAATCATTTAAAACTGCATTTAAATAAGAATTGTTCTGTTGAACTTTTCTGATTGTTTACTTTTAAATATCATCAACATTTAACTATATCTCATGCAATAATATAATTTGTCATTGAAATTGTTTTCTTTTACATAGAAATCTTGAAGAATGTAAAAATAATACTAATAATAATAATAAACCGTTAACAACTAGAGAATACAAACGAACTTTGTTACCGTCATTTCCTATTATTAAAGAAAAAGAAGAAATTAATCAAAAAGAAATTCTTGATAAAGTACACATATACATACCGAATTCGAAATTAGTGAAACGTGATATTTCAATTAGAAAATCTTTGAAAAAATCACAAGATTTTCAATCTAATATAAATTGTCATCAATCAAGGACTACTACTATTGCTATTAATAAAAACAATATAAACAGTAAGTTTAGGCATTTGTTCATAAAAAATTTGCTGGAACTTGTGTAATTCTTTCTGCAAATACCAATCCGCCGATGCATTTATTCTTTGTGTTCTCTCAAATCCTAATCGTCTGGGTTCTTCAACGCCTCTAGTTTTGACTTTCTAAACTTTTCTCATTTAATCATACTTCTTGAATAATATCTTCTAATCCTAACCTCTCCGATTACTTCTAATACCTTTACTACCTCTTCTACTATTGGATTTGAATTGACAATTATATCTCTGTGCTGATGTGGTATGGCGACATGAACTGATGTACTTACGTACGAAGTTCTACGTTGCATCTGACTGACTGCAAATACCAATCAAACTAAGGAAACAAGCTGATATTCATACTTGGTTTAGTCAATCCAGATGGATTAATAAATATATATAGAGAGACAGAAGCAGCTGGGGGTGTGGACTGGTTCGCTGATCCTTAGGAGTCTCATCAGTGCTGATCGCCTGATGACTGACAAAATTCCGGCACGGATACAGAAGGCTCGACTGGCTTCTTGTCAACTTGCGACACTTGTGGCGTAGGTGAGATATCCATCCGCTAGCCAAAGGACGAGTCTACTGTGCAGCAGTTTGCTCCATTCTACTACTATATGGATGCGAAACATGGCTAGTAAGAGTTGAGGATATTCGTAGGTTATTAGTATTCGATTATAGATGTCTTCGAAGCGTTGCTCATGTGTATCCTGGATTGAGATGTATATTGCGAGACAGGCAGATGGTTTTTAATACCTTATAAGTGCTTGAAAAGAAAACTTTTTAGATAGCATAGATAGAAGGTAAACAAAACATAATTAGATTGGAAACTTTGTTTATCTGAGTAAAATTTACAATAAAGTTGGGATTATATTGGGGACTTTAGATCCCCAGAACTCACTTGACAAAGGCCTTAATTTCGTATTTTATTCATGGACTGATCGGTTGACCTTGAGATTGGTTGTTGTGTTATTTTAGTGTGCTATTTTTGTGATTCACCCAAGGACGTTTATATGATGTATAAATAAACGCGATTTACGGGCTTGAATTCATTATTTGCTGGGAGTTTGTGGAATACACTTTCTACACTATATCAAGACTTTTTCATCAGTTAGGTTGAGGCAACAACTCACAGTAGCCTAATGTGTCACTGGTTCTCGTTTATCGACAAAGGTGAACTCATAATAGTTTCAAGCATATCAAGTGACGACCATAGCAGGTTAGTTAGTTAAATCTCGTAACATTGAACTTATTAGAAATCATTAGGTGTAATGTTGTCATGTTTTTGAATGTAACTCTCTCAGAACAAATCCTTACATCACATAGATTCAGTTTACACGCTAAAATTCAGTTATATGATCAGCTAATGTTTTTTCATTCATTTATTTGCCAGGTACAAATGGACCAAAGATACATAATACGCAATATTCAAACGGTTATACAACCAAATCTATTGTCAATCAATATCAAAATAATAACGAAACTACTCGATGGAAACCTAATGGTATAATTAACATCCACAGTAATAATAATAATAATAATAATAATAATAATAATAATAATAATAATAGCCCACAACAGAACACAACAAATTTGTCTAAAATAAGTCGATTGAATTGGTCCTACGGAATAGCTGTACAAAATCCTAATCTAAAACTATTAATGAATACATTAGATAAAGTTGTAAAGAAAGCTTCTATTGATTATGTATATTTTGGTCCTTATCGAATTTTCTGCTCACAACAATATGTACCTTGTACTAATTATCAAAGTCAAATTAAACACAACAATAATCAGTACATTAGAATTTCACTACAATCTAATCATATGAAACATTATGCAGACAATAGTCGTCATATTAATAAAGTATGTTCTTTGTTAAAATGGGAAATGGAAATTGTACATTTGCCAAGATTTCAAACTTATGGTATACGTTTTAAAAGAATTGATGGTGATCTTCAACAGTTTAGATCTATGGAAAAATCACTTACTTCACAGCTTGTACAAACTATAAATAGTAACCAAATCAATTTTTAACCTTGATTTCCAACTTTGTTAATTTTTTTTTGTAAAGGAGAAAAATTGAAAATTACAGTATATTTACAAATATTTATTTTCCTATGAAATGCGACTTTCTCAACTGCATAAATTTTATTCGAATGGTTTAACTACTTATAAGTAGATAAATTAGTATAAGATACTATTAGCAAACAGAAGATCACGCAAAAAATTTGTCAGTTAGAAAATTACAAGATTCAATCAAATATGAAGAAGATATAATTTTTGAAAGTTGATCTGAATACTCTGTATTGGGTTCGTTAACGATCATCATGCATTGAGGGAAATGTCAACCACTGAAATTGCGTTAAGTGAATTGTTTTAAGCACACGGAACTCAGTGCCATTGTTATGAACGAAGCTCAGATTACTTAAAGAAGACACAATCTGCAAGCCAAAAAGTGTACACTTTATCACAAGAAATCCATTTGAAAAAAAACAAACGTATTTTTAACTGTCTTCTTCTACATATATCATTTATTCCTCAACACACCCATCCGACACTTATCTCTTCAGCCGTAACTTCAGGGCGACACTGTTGCACACCTACTGTATACTACTTATAAGCTTCGTTGCAAGTAGTACACAGCATACTATCTACATAATGACAACAAATATTTGGTATGAATGGATTTCATTATTTGCAAATTCCTTTAGGAATCAAAATCATTTAACAACGTCAAATTTCGAGAAAATGATCTGCGAAAATTTTAAATAGGATTTATTCTACTAATTTAGTTACAATAGTAGTTACGATAGATATTTCACATTGATACAACGAAACCAACTGCATCATATTAATGTTGTGTGAAGTTAGTCAGAACAGATAAAATGATTCGAAATCAATGGCACAATAGTGTATTATTACACATTAGATCTGTATTTTTTGAGGGGAATTGTTGATACAATTTGAATAGGCATCACAATTACGCATACATAGATAATGGCGCTATTCTGTAATCATATCCATCTTCAGATTAATCATGATCTTAAAATTATCAACAGAAATTGAAGATGGTATCTTCTAAATTGAGACTTCATGGAAGTAGTAGGGAAGAGAAAAATAACTTTGAAACTTATGTCCCACTAATAAAAGTACTTGCCTACATTATTGAAATACATGCAGTTTAATACGAATATATTCTCTATTGACTTTGATAATAAGTTGATGAACAGTCACAGATAAACAAACTCGCCTCTATAAATGTGTTCCTGTTGTTAAAGAACATCATGCACGGAAGATCAAGTCCTACATGGCTTTATTCAGTAACTTAATATTTCACCACCACCTACAGTATAAAATAAAACACTTTATACTAAGTAGTATATATATACATACATTCTATATTATCAAAAAACAAAGAATACAACTAATCTCATTCTTTTATTATCGACTTCCTATCTATGAAATTGTTTCCTTCTCTGATTCAGTTTTAGTAGATTTCGTTAAATGAACACGCCAATACAATCCGGGTGTATCAGATCGACGAATTAAATATGAATCACCATCTAAATTCGGTTTGGTAACTAATCCTTTCTTGGCTGACCATTCATATGGAGGATACATTCGTGATTTCTCTTCGGATGTCGGTTCAATAGGAACCTAAATTAGATTTTTAAAAATTGGATATATATATAAAATAATCGCGTTGTTGTTAGGAAGAGATAAATAAATGAGGATTACAAACTTTGTGAACTACTCTTTTATAGACATCAGTATTCCTATTTTGCAGTATGTAATTTTTACCAACGTTGAGTCTAAATGGCTTACAAATTTAAAAAAAAAAAGAAAATTACAAACCTTCATTAGACTCATTAATCACTGTCATATTTTTCCTATCCCTTCCCTTAGGTTGACAGATATCGTAATTCCCCGTTTATGATGATGCATTGTAACACTGATATTTACGTAGTTAGTCGTGTAAATTTTCGGGTTACATATACAGTTAGATAGATAAACTATTTGTTATACAGCAACCTTGAACTAATTCAACGTAAACTTATGTATGCAGTAATGTGACAAATTGCTTAAGAAAGGCTATAACAAATAGTCACAGATCGAAATAACAACACAGAATTAACAATACTGACATCAAGCCCATATATACAACTGAGTTATTTTTGTAGTCAGTCAGTTAATCAGCTACAATGTAGAACTTGGTACGTACGTACTTCAGTTCAAGTTACCATATCAGATTAGCACAGAGAGATTGAATTGTCAATTCAAATCCTATACTAGTAGAGTTAGAAGCAGTATGAACGGTAATCGAAAAGATTAGGGGTCGAAGGCATGATTCGTGAAGCGTCATAATCCAGTGAAATAAGTTGGAAAATAGATGCATCTGCGCCACTGTAAGCGCATTTGAGCCATATCATTCAAGATCCCTAACAATCCATTACTACCACCTCGCATGCCTCAACCAGGTAGTCTATACTTTCTAACATAACTCAATCCAGTTGTCAGTGACTTAATGAGTTTGTGCCATGTTTTGTTTTGGCGGCGCCTAACTTTCTTTCAACCTACTCATACACCAGGCATCATCTCTTGTCGAGGCAGTTGGTGGTTGGGAATAAATGGAAATAGGAAACTTTGAAAACTAAACATCAGTGAACCAGTATGTGTATTCTTTAATATGTAGTTCACAAAACAGTTGATTTGTAGCGTTTTGAGATTATTAACGGTTACCGCATCTTTTTCTGTTCATTAATAACAGTGATATTTAGTTAATAAACCCACTACTCAATTTAGTATTATAAAATTCCTAGTTCTGTACATATTGAAATCTGTTATTTGTGTGCCATAGTCGTGTATTGTCAGCAAATAACCAATCACATGAGTTTCATAGTTTTAATACTTGTACTTGTCTAGTCTTGCTGCAGTTCTGATAGGTAGTTTGGGCGAACAGTTTAAAATATCCCATGCGTTATGGATCGTTTATTGTAAATAGTAGCTGTGTTGGTTAACTCATAGTCGGTAGGATAAAATGATAGAGAAGAAAATATAAAAAGACCGGTAGTAATTAGATTTTCCTAAAAAACCAAAATAGTACTTACTATAAAACTTGTTGGATCATACCGGTGAGGTGTTAACATTAATAAACCACTAGCTTCTTTCATTGATTGTTGTATATCTAAAGAATGAGTAGATTTTTCAACTTCTTCAACCACTTGTTGTGGAAGTACATTTTTCCTTCGTAAAAATACTGTCAATAAAGGAGGAGCTTGAGCAACACAATTAACTGGAACATCTGGAGCAACCATATCAGCATTCTTTGCTATGTTCATTAGGGATTCAGCTTCGCTAGGTGATAGAAGACGCCAATCTGGTTCATATGTCTTCGGTATGAGACAAAGACCAAGATTTCGGCCACGAAATATTCGTCTACCCCATGCTCTACATCTAACTTCAGACTATAGAGTAAAAGTGGGCCAAAGTGGGTAGTAGAATAAACAATACATCGACAAATGTAAAAGTGTATACATAAAGACACATTTGATTAAATTAGCTAGAAATAATAAATTCTTTTAGGAAATAAAAATTTAATAGAGACCATAGATGATGTACTTACAGAGAAAAATTTAAATTTTCAAAGAAATGAAGTAGTTAATGTAAATGACTAAATTATACCTTATGATTATAATAAATACAGATAGAAACTAGTGTTACAAAGTTTGACTGAGAATTACATAAATCACCATCATTTTATGAATACCAGAAAGATTGAATTTGTATATTTAGTTGAACTTTTGCTAACTATAAGAAAATGAGATTTCTGATTCCATATAGACTACTTGGCTACAATTAGTGTAAGGAACTAAGCACCCCCCCCCCACCATGGATTCCATGAATATTTCATTGATTCTGTAGGTAAGTAGTCTCTGACATATGAAACAATCAATAATTGATTTGATTCACTCATCCATCACAAGTAAAATCATTTCGAATAAGATGTAACACAATAATATCGAGGCGTTCATATAAAAAAAAACTAATAATTTAATAAAAATTGGACAATTCATCCTTTAAAATAGTTAAAATATTAGGAATAACAATTGTTAATCTTAATTAGTCAAGCATTGCAAAGAGACTTTCCGATTTATGCTGCACGCTTTTCCATGTATGAACGGAAATTTGAAACCCGAAATACAACCATCCTTTTGAACTTTACGGACAAGAAAGATTTAACACAACCAACTATAGATAGTACACATATTTTAGATTACTATTAAGTTTTGCATTTAACGATAGATCACGACTTAGGCATAGATTTCATATATTCAGAGTCAAATTTCGAAACTGAATAGTTAGTGCTTTAGTTTAACGACTAGAAACGTTTGACTACATAACAGATAAAAATTTTTAGTCACTATGAGTTTCAGATAGGTAATATAGATATGTACTTCATTAAAGATGAAGATCACAACTTGCCAGTTGATGAATGGGTTGTATTTATATGATGTTTATATTATACCCCTATAAAATGTAAAATGTAAACACTGAGTAAGACTACTAATGACTTAAGATTCAAAAGATGTACAGTTCGTATTATTATGAGAAACACACTTAAAAATATGACTAACTTTATCGGACATAAGCGGAACGACATTGTGTAAAATGTAATAACATGGTTCTTTGAATTGTGCTGACTCAGTTTCCTTTATTACCACTCTACCTTTGGCACGATTTTTAAGGTTTTTGGCTATTTCCGATAAAAGCTTTCCGTAGAAATGTAGAGACGGACGACCAATATACTCAATTTTTGGCATAATAAATCTTATTCGGACAAAAATTGGTTTTACAATGGAAATTGGACTAGTTTTGTCCGATCACGTGTTTAGTAGGATTGTTCATCTAGATTGAGATAGCGAAAAATAAACAGAAAAATGAAGTGTAAATTTGGCGAAAATGCCATAGTGTTTACGTCAACTGCATCACGATAATACAAAACTTTACAATGTTATCCGATGAAAAAGTATGATGAGAGCATTTTCTACGTGAAAGACATTGGGTTCATGGATGTTATGTATGTGGTGTTCATGAATACGCTGTATCTGATATAAAACAATTTAGAATTAAACCATTAAAAAACCAACACTAAGAAGTCTAATAACAGAATGGAGACACCTGTATTAGTGGTCCCAAAATCGGAAGCGTAAATGGGGCGGAGAAAAGGGATTTATCATGATATGGGACTCATGAGCAATGCGTGTCTACGACCCCCTCTCGCGAGAATCGAACCCAGGACCTTCAGTTTCGCGTGCAAACGCTTAACCTCTGGACCACTGAGCCGGTATACAACGGTGTTAGTCTAACTTAGATCAATCCACAGTCTGTCGCAACTTTAGCCACTGTCTTCAGTGAGCAGTTCTTCACACCAGACAAGGGGTGAACTCCACTGGTCGCGACTTCTCATGGAGTTAGTCACTAGAGAGCACATGAAAATTTGCATTATAGGGTTGTATGGATTGTTCAGTTTCTTTGATATCACGAATCGATCAATGATGATTCCCATACCAGGACGAAACAGCCGTCCAGTGCTCGCAGGTTTCTAATGGTGGTCCAACATTATCCGACTCACGATTTTAAAGAAACTCAACAAACTCCAGAACCTTATAATATGCAACTTTATTATAAGACAAAGTAACACAGTCTGTTATAATGAATGTATGATTTGGAACAAATATGCATCAACCCAGGCTATGACATCTTGCTTACTTACGCCTGTTACTCCTGTTACTGCCAACCAACATTCTCCAACCTACTCCTTGATGGGCCCTCTTTTATATTCCTACCCAACAATTCATTCTTTTTCTGTCTGCTTCCAATTAGCATCATATTTTGTTCTTTTGTCTTCCTCTGTTTCTTTGTCCTTCATGATTCCAAGTGAGGTCTCGTCTTGTAACGCATTTGGATGCTTTCCTCGATGTGTGCCCTATCCACTTCCAGAGCCTTCTCCTAACTTCTTCCTCAGGTAGGATCTGGTTAGTACGCTCCCACAACAGGTTGTCGCTGATATTTTCTGGTCAACAGATCCGAAGTATTTTGCGTAGACAACTGGTAATAAACACTTGTATCTTCTATATGATGGCTTTCGTAGTTTTCCGAGTTTTCACCTCCTACTATTTAACGGTTTGATGTCTAAATTGAAAATTCTGACTTTAGTGTTGGTTAATAATAGTCTTGAGTTCCATATGTTCTTCAGTTAGAGAAATGCTGCCCTCACTTTTCTAATCCGCGCATTTATATCTGTATAAGATCCACTGTGCTCATCAGTTGTGCTGTCAGGTGAGATTTGTTTGGTGTGTTTTATTGCACCGGAAAATCTTGTTTTTCCCCTTGTGCATGTTGAGACCTACTGCTGCTGAGGCTGCAGTTACCATATCACATCAGTATAATAGAAGCGAAATTAACAAGACAAATACTAGAGGGGCCAAAATATTGGTATTATCATTATTGGTAGGATTTTATGTTGGATACAGAAAGTAAAATTCAAGGGAATAAAAACGTGCAATGATATCGAAGATAAAGATTAAGGGGACAGTCTACCTATTATTATGTCCGAGCGTTGAGCATTTTGAAGGAAGGAATAAAGCTTACTGTATTAGCTTTGATATGACCTCTCACTATATTAACAAGACTATTTTTACTACAAAAGATTTGCTGGTGAAATTATAACTCTTGATAACCGAAATTCCGTATTATGTGTTCAAATAAAAGGGGATAAAAACAAAAATATCCAAACGCTCTGGGTTATTAGAAGTTTTTATGAGGAAGGACGATACTTGACGTAATTTCGCGTAGATTTCACGTCAATCGCACTTTAAGTTAACCCTTTGTCCATATGTTAAAGCACGGGACATTTTACTTAACATTTGCTGACTGTAAATTTTTACGCTAAACAATACAATCCTTTCAACTTGGAATAGTAAATGACTGTAAAAATGTAGCTTGCTGGCAAACTTGAGCGGCCTGTCAGGAAACGCTGCCTAGTTATCTAACAAGTAGCGCAATAAGGCAACAAAATACCACTGAAGTAGTAGCGTTTTTCTGGATAGTCAACTCTCGAATTATTTCTTTAGTGGGAGGAAAAGGTGGTCTACATAGTCGGAGTACGGTTGTTCACCAACTAAGACAAGCTATAATGCAAATGGGTTTGGTTTAGGTATTAAAAGTTGGGCTGCAGTTTTGGGAATAGTTCTCCACTTGAGAGTTAGTCTTCACGAACTGACATCATCCATGACACAATTCCTTGCCATTCTAATGTCAACGAACTAGAGACTTAAAGTTGAGACTAAGAGCCAGAGTTAAAAAGGTAGGATATTACCGAACTTCACAAAATACTCTTGACGAATCTCAACTGCTTGAACATACGATTTGTCTTAAGAGAAGTTATATACGGAAATTTAACTAAGTACCAACTTAAACTAGTTTTTTAGTTTTGCAATATAAGTTGATATTGACTTCAAGCATTTTAATGGTCATATATTGACAAATTTTATCTCGGAGTAACGTACAAGTTACCTGGTGCGGTACTTTAAATTTTGCGCAAAATGTATAGGATTTTACTCTAAGTCTGATTGGTCAGCTCAAGGCCATCAACGGATGTCACTTTTACTGAGAATCTTAGGAACATAGACTTTCAAGCACCACGTTTTAAATCCATCAAATAAAACAGAGTGGGACGCCCCGCAAATAATTTCCTTTTAGTAAATGGAGACACTTAGCATACTTGTGAAAGTATACTAAAACTTGTCAGTAATTACTTACGTCATTCTAATCACCAAATAGGATCATATACTAAAGACGGAATTTATCATTTTATTTATCCTTACAAGCCAGCTATAGGATGCGTGTTCTTTGATGTGCATACTGTTGGCATGAGGTTTTCATTGCAGTGGTTCATATTTCATCTTCGTTAAAGTTTCTTGGTTAACTGATGTATATTGCCGGCATTTATGCTAACTTTGTAGCTTAAGAAGGATAACACAGAGAAATCACCTTTATTGATATTGAGCAGATGAATCAGAAGATCGATCCATATAAGTGTGTAGTAATTATCAACGAGATCACTCTACTCGGCTAGATGAAGTATTCACTGTATTTCGTTTCAATGGAATGTTGTGGGAGAAGACCAGAGTTTAATGATAATACGTTTTTCAGCACCATAACATGTTGAGACCTATCGAAAATATCCTGGAGTACTATTCATTGATTCAACATACTAAACTAATAATGGAACGTAAGGAAGCAAGTTTTTGAATATGAACGCAGATACTTCTTATTTCAGCCTATTGTAATGGATTGATGTGGACTTGAACGTCCTGCTTTACATAGAAACTGATGCTGACATCTTATTGATCTTAGATCTGTCTAATAGCATAATGTGGGTTACCTGACGCACTAAGGGTTTTGTGATGTATACTTCACAAGCAGAGATAACAGCTGTCAGCCTATATGTAGTTTTGTGCTCTTTCCATCCTTGTTGTACGTTTCATAAAAAGATGAGTGTGATTCGTTATATTGTCAAACAGTTGCGCACAGTCATGAATGCCCTTAATAAAAGCCTATTTCTGTCGACTGGTAAAAACTAAGAATGCTGCACAGTAAGCTAGCAATTACTATTATTGTGTAGCTTTAACCACTTTATGTTTCAACTTATTTATAATAACAAATATTTGACGGTATCTCGGCAGAAACTGATTGAACCATTAGGGGCTATGAGGAGCTACGCATAACAATCATGCCTTTGTCCTTGGAAATTCGTCTAGTAATGGACTGGAGTCCCAACATCGTCTAAAGTGATACCTGAAGAAGCGCTATTCATAGCATATATCACCGATAAAGGTTTAAGAATGAAACTTTTGAACTTTTAAAAAATAAAAGGAGTCAATGGAGGGCGTCCGGAACTACCCGCCGAATACCTCAGCTAGATTGCATAAAGTTTGTAGAAAGTCGACAGTTTGTTGCTGATAAAAGTGCTATAGTGCCTGAAGAAGTATAACTGCATTCGCGTTGAGTATGATTGGTAAAATAATATATTTTTGGTTGGTGGACTTCCTTATTATGAAGTTCACTGGGGTTCCTGGGAATATACTTGCTGTAATTTCTAGTCGTGTCACTATCCACGTCGATATACGCTTCTTGCTTTGTTGAGGAACAGACTTTCAAATTATTCTACTACCAGCCACCACATCTACTCATGGCTAACTACAGACAACATTAAAAGTACCCTTGTCACTAGATATAAAGTGCTCTGGGAAGAAATCTGAAAGGTCAGCTTTACGGATTCCCATCGTCTTCACTCAGAGAGAAGGAACTGGCAAAATTGTTTGATATTACAACGCAAGGTTATTTCCACGACATGTGTTACGAAGTGCACAAGAGTCAGAAAAGAGAATCCGGTTCTGCAAGCAATAATTAAAAAAGATAATCCTCCATTGATGTCTTATAGATTGACGTTCTAGTGTTAACAGACATAACCGTCAGTCGTAAATCGAGTTAGCATTAGCTTGCAGAAAATGGAAGCTCTAAAATGCTATGACAGGTTATTCCCTGTATTTCTGCCACCGAGTTAGGTTGCTTTGCGATAAGGTCGCTAACCCCATGCCCGACCCTCCTCTTTTATCCGGGTTTGGGGGCGATAGTAACCCTAGGAGAGCTCCAGGCAGGGTTGCGAAATCAAGTACTAAACAACAAAAGGTGTGGTTAATAAAAAAGTATTCGGTAGCTGAGAACCAAAAAGGGTTTCTCCAACAGATCCGAGCGACCTTTCCAGAAGTCAGTCGAAGGTCAACGATCGTTGAAGGAACCATGCTGTAACCTTGAGTTTGGTCAAACACGACCTAACTGTCAGTGGCTGAGCAGGAAGAGACAGTAATTTGAATAATAATGTAAACAGTAGCTAAGGTAAAATGCTAATAACTGATGAACATAAAGCGTGGTTACAGAAGTCTTGAGTATAATTTAAATACAAAACATGGTCAAAGAATAAAGAAAATGGAACACTACCAAACAAAAAGCAGTGATGGGATTTTCGTGGTATTCTTTCCGTCAAAAACATGATGAATATATAAATTAACAGGTCCCTTTTAAGTCTTCATTACTGGATTAATGCCGATATGTAGGAGTTTGGAGTATATACCGTATTTGTAGATAGTGATTAAATTTTTTCGCTGTGGTTACTTTGACCAAAAAATTTGGGTACTCTGAATCTGACAGTAAAAACAACACTGAAAAATTTCTTGTATGTCTACAGATTTTTGCATATTACTGATAGGCTCCACATATTTTCGTAATCGATTTTCTCACTGGGGATACTGTGTTGGAAATATGGTCAGAAAAGTTGGTGCTGTGCGAGTTACGCTCTCCAAGGTCAGTTGCTGATGCAGGCGTAGACAGCAAGTTATTGCTGAATGTGAGACTTGTGTTACCAAGACACAGACAGTCATATTACTGAGTATTCATTTCTAAGTTACAAGGCTTACGTCAATCATCTAGATTATCGAGTTCAAACCAGACCGTTTGCTTTAGACTTCGTGCACCCGACTTTTGAGTTTTGTAGATGACTTTTAATTCATTCGCATAGATGTAGGTCCTGCCTGTTTTGATGCAGTTGTATCTAACTTTGATGTGTAATATGAAAAAATGAACCCAAGACACTTCCTTGGACAACGGCAATGTTTATAGGCTGAAGTGTATATGTGGTGATAATTTTAGTAACTTGATATCCGTTCGTTAGAAAAGATGTAATTCACTGCAAAAGGGGGTCAGCTGTTTTGTTTACAGAACTGATCTTCATAATAGTACTATCAGGGGATATGTTTTCGGTTTCGGAAGACACAGGGGAGGGTGTCGTAGGATTTATATTGCAGTCTTGATTGTAACCGATACTAGAGCATAGATCGGTCTACTTGGCCAGTAGTTCTTTGGCGATTCGACGTTGAACTGCCGTTCTGCCGCGGATAATTCTAGTCTTAAATGTTGTCATGTGCTCAAGTGATGGATAACTATTAATGAATTCATTAACCACTGTTATATTACTGAAATGAAATAGAATGGACTTGGAGACTTTAGTCTTAACTTTGCGTAAGCTTCGTGATACATACCAGGAGTGAGACGAGAACGGTTTTTTAGCTGAGTAATTTTCAATAATAGGACCTCTACTATTTCCATCCTATTTAAATGACACCCCTCTATAAGTATTCTTTCAGTCATTACTTCTCCCTGGCGATCTTATACTTCGGAAGGAATTTCGCAACCGAAATAATGAGTTTCAATTTAGAGTGATCTAACTCCACGTCTAAATTCGGTTGTTAGCAATGAACATACTTTTAACTCTTCATTGTGCAAAGTACTACACCTGGGACGTAATGAAGACTGTGCCTACAACTTAGGTAACTCTCTTCTACAGGCACCTCAATTTGAAAAAGACCACGGATCCTTGGGACCTGATGGCCAAATTTCTTGCCCTAACCGTGGCAAAAATGCCTTACAAGCAAACCTTTCACTGAAAACGACGAGGTTCATCTTTGTCAGCAAGATGTTGCGCCTGATCTTCAGCAGGTTTATGTAATCACATTTAAAGTATGGAAATATAGTGTTCCTTCCATGAGTCCAAAAGGACAGGATTATACTAGAACGTATCCGAAGTTTATCCCCGAAATTAGTCCGAGGATTCAAATTCAAACCTTATGAGGAGAGTTTTAAGTCACTAAATCTTTAGGCGTTAGCGCATACGCGTTCCAGAAGTGACCTTCTGATGACTTAAAGCACCCTAAACACTCCTAAGCATTCCCTAAAATACTTGCAAAATCTCAGTCTCAACACAATCCTAAGGGGCAGTACCAAGAAACTAGAGACACAACGTAGCAAAATGAACTGTGAGCACACCTCAATATATACAGGTAGTAACATTATGGAACTGATCGCCAGGAGTTCTTCAAGAAGAAACGGGACATATTCTTAAGGACTCAAAACAGTATATCAGATTCAGAATTGTGCTGAGGACAGAAGGCTTGTGGCTCTTCTCTTTCGCTCTTTGAATAGGTCTAGATTCCTATCTAGAGGCAGCAGTAATCTACTGTTGCTAAACGAGGAAGTTCTTTAAGCGAAAGTTTCCGCAATTCTAATCATAACTATTTGAATTATTTTGGAAACAAACGTACTCATTCAAATCACGGGACATACAAATCGCAAATAACTGCAAATTGACTAGAATCAGTGCATTCAAATGGCTAGACTCCCGTCCATTGTACCCTAACAAATACCTGAAACCGTACAGACAGAACAAGAATCGAGTGCAGTGAAATCAGTTGGTTTATACCATTGGAAACTTTATGGCGAAGACAGCTTGGAGCTATAACCCCGAAATTATTTTTAACCCTCTTTAAGACGTACGCGCGCCCACACCTAGAGGTTCACAACGTCACCGCACCCCCTCTGCTTAAAAGAGACATTAATCTCTTGAATCGAGTGCAGAGACGAGCAACCAAATGGGTGATAGGGTTGGAAAATAAACCTTACGACGATAGACTATAGCTCTTGGGGTTATTCTCCCTGAGCTTCAGTAGAATCAGACGTGACTTGATTATGGCGTACACCATATTAAACACGCCAGACCATCCCAATGTGAGCATCTTACCGATGCATCACCACCACTCCCCTCGAGGCAATCCTCAAAAGATTGCACATCAAAGAGCAAACACTCAGATTCGTGCACACTTTTTCTCATTGCGAGTCGTCGCAACTTGGAATGCTCTCCCAGCCGAGGTAGTTACAGCCCCCTCAGTGGACTGCTTTAAGAAGAGACTTGATAATCACGTACTCACATGCGGACTATCATCTCCCTCTTGGACAAGCTGTGCCTGATGCATATCTTGAGACCTGCTGGTTGTTACCATTGCCATCTCCTCAGATCACTCAATTAATCTATCTCGCCTATTCCTCTCCCTTGCTTACACTTCGTTCCTCTCTCACAATCTTCACTACCAATTAATAAACTAAATTCATCTATATATTACTCAGTTCTGAAATTTTACTCATATTATCATTTTAATTTACCCTTATTACCCTTATTACTCTCCACATTGCAACTAACTGATCTCCGGTTTGGTAATGTGACGGCTGCTAGTATCAAGAAACCCTACTGCCCTGAAACAAACGTTTCATTCAAATGCCGAGACATACAAACTCACAACCAACTGCCAACTGACTAGAATTAGACATTCGAGTGGCTAGACCTCCATCCATTGGACATTACCGAACACCTGGAACCGTACCGAAAGAACAAGAATCGAGCGCGAAGAAATCAAATTGGTTTACACTAGCTCGTGAAAAAGATATTGGATATTAGATATTGGATATTGGATGGCGGTGAAGTCGTATTTCTCTATCCTCAAGGTGACAGTACTTTAATGTGAGGTTAGTTAAATTATTGATCTATAGGGTGGTTGAGTTTTCTACAGAAATGCGTGCTACACCAATGGTGACCTAAATCTTTTATATATTGAGTTTGATTTTACTACCGAAAACTGACTTCACTTTTAAATGAGTCATTCTAGCGCTAATGTAATTCGATTATTATTCACTTGCGATTGAGCAATCTATCTAAGGACCGGTAGTATTCATGTCATCGCCATTGTTTCTTGGGAGGTAGAGTTGTTTTATTATCCTAGCAGGTTGAAAATTGGAAGCAGACTAACAAAGGGACAATAAAGGGGCAATCCTTACGGAGTTGAGGAGGGAATAAGCGAAAAATGTACCAAAAGGTCTCTCTAAATAATGTTACGACTGAAGTGAGGTATTGCTGAAAAAATATTCTACACGACAAAGTTTTTTCATATCTTAAACGTTGACCTAGATTCCAGAGGTTTCTTACTCAACCTCTAACATACTGTCGACTGACGAGTGCGTTCATTGCAACGTTTTTACTTGTATACTAAAATTTATAAACGAGATGCCTACTTCACAATCGGAGACACTGTAGTGTTCAGTAACCTGATCTTTGGACATGGGAAATGAATTTTTCCATCCTGTATTTCGGTAACATCCATGTCAGCAGGTTTCTGCAAAAACCCATGCTTGCGTTCTAATGCATCTCTACGAAAGATTGAAAACATTGTACTATACTTAACTGGCTTTTTTGTAATGAGTTCGAAAAATACCTAAATAGTCTTTAACAATAGTGTTTCTCATCCAGAAGTAGAACGCTTTGTCTGAATGTTTTTCGCGTAAAAAGCCTAAGAAGCGATTGTCTCTAAAGTGGCTTCTCTGCTTTGGGGAGGCTGTTTAGGTAATACTCCTCCATCCTAGTAGTTTCGGAAGTGTTTTTGACAGCCTGCTATCCACTTTTAAAATAAGACAGCTAACAATCACTTTGAATGTTTGTAAGACCTATCGGGTTCTTATATCCATTAATCTGAAAACTTTCAAATTATAACCACTCCTATATAACTTTAGTTCATGTTAAAAGTATTTGTCATTGTTTTTAGAGCTAATTTACTACTGTCTCATAATGTCAGCAGAAGGTCCAAGTAGTAGTTGTGCTAAAGAAGTGGCTCCTCAGCGACCCATTGGTCCAGACTCAGAATCGGTCGATCTGCTATGTGGTATTAAAAAACCCGTTATACAGTGAGTACTTTTTACATTATTTCTTGTCAAACAAGTTATTTATCTATTTGGACTATCCCATAACTGACGATTACTATTGTTTTCTTGAGGTTATCTGGGGTACCTATAAATTGAGGACGACTTACAGTTTGGGACAGAGTTAGAAGTTTTTGTTGTCAGGTGGCAATCATCACTAGTGTCGTCATCTAGATCGATTCAATACACAACATGGTTAATATAAATATTTCCTCTTGAAACTAATCAGCTCATTGAGTTTCATTTCATTGCTTAAGAAAGCCAATATTTTTCAGCCCTATTAACAATGTTGAATATCAATATGCTTTGTTCTTGAAAGTATTAGTTTCCTCTATTTTTATAATATATCCAGAAGTCTCACTTAACGAAATATTACTGCTAAATATTCATTATATGGATATCAAAAATAATTTCGGATTAGTTCAAAGCTGGGGACCTGTATTAGGTAAATAAGTTACGTTTAAAATCATACATTACATTCGTTTGTGCGATTTGGTCGTATCAAAAGCCTTTTTCTTCCATACCTAGTATTTTCTACCTCTGCTGATACTGTTACTACTCCTACTACTCTGGGATTTGTTTTGATAATTTAATCTCATTATGCTAACGTGGTACTGCAACTTGAGCCAATGTACATGTATATCAGGGTTTTTTTGCCTATGTCTGAGTAACTGGTTTACTACCCAATACATTAAGAGCGTACCAGTTCTGCATTGGTTTTCTTTGTGATGCTTGTTATTTGCTATATTCACTCAACTTGTTTTTGTAACTGAAATTATATCAAACTGATTCAATTTATTTTCTTATTCATATATCAATTGTTAGCAATATGGTTTCTACTGTGGATTTGGGATGTCCCATTGAACTACGTAAATTGGTACTGCATGTTCGTAGTGCTGAATATAATCCACGCAGATTTCCTGGTGTTGTCATGCGTCTGCGTGAACCTCGTGTCACTTGTTTAGTGTTTGGAACAGGTCGCATGGTTTGTACTGGTGCACGCTCTGAATCAGATGCAAATTTAGGTTCCCGTAAATGTGCGCGTATATTACAAAAACTTGGGTTTGATGTAAGTTTGTTAAGTGCCAAGTTTTGTTGGTTGTATGAAATGAATTAATATCTACGATGTACTGTTTATTTTTACTCTTTACTTGTATCAGGGTATATGATATAGAGCATATATTTATAAGGAGTTTTGTGTTGTAAACACGCTAAAGTTAGTTTATAAAGTTACTCTCTTCAAGAGTCTGGTATACCTAAGGATCATTTTTATCATGAACTAAAATCATTTCATAATCCAGTCGAAACTAAAAATAATCAGATAGATGCTCCAATCCCAAAATAACTCTTTGTAATAGCAATCGCTAACTGGTGTACAACAATCAAATGTTTGTGTGATATAGTAATATATTTGACTGATGACGCCAAAAATCTACATACTTATCCCTAGGATCAGGATATAAACCCTTAGTCCCTTGAACTACACTATATGACTGTAAAATATGACCTTTAGAGATAGTTGAGAAACGTTTCGCAATTTTTATATTCAGATCATTTACACTAAGTGTAAAAATACTTTAAGGTTTGATGCTGATTGCTAGGCTATAGTAGAGAGCATTGCGGGGTTGTTGTGAAGATTGTTAAGTTTTATTTGTAACCATGAATCGATCAATGTTAGACCAACATTAGAAACCTGGAAGCACTGGACGGCCGTTTCGTCCTGGGTTCGAATCCTGCAAGGAGCAGGAGTCGTGGATGCGCACTGCTGATGAGTCCTATACCAGGACGAAACGGCCGTCCAGTGCTTCCAGGTTTCTAATGGTGGTCTAACATTGATCGATTCATGGTTACATATAGTAGAGAGATCGGTCTCTAATCGTTATCAGTTAAGATAGATAATTTATGCGGTACGACTGGTTAATTCAGTTGTGTTATCTAGAAGTATATTGTTAGCCCAGTTTTAAAACGCTGTTGATCATATTCGGCATTTGATAGCAAAAGTACAGGTTCAACTCTACCTATTTATATATTAGGGTGTACGTAACCCTACCAGTGCTGCGGATGAATAAGACTATCATGAAGATTCCACCAATTTAGCTTCTACTTATTAACTGAGCCATTGGTTTTAAAATTTAGTCATCCATACCTGCTTTGGAGTTGTTTCATGTTTGACATTGATTTTAAATATTATGTTGGTGAATTAATTAGACATATGTGTATAAATCAGTAGAAAACTACTAGTTATTCACAATTTATTTTTAATCTAGGTAAAATTCATGAATTTCACTATTCAAAATATGGTTGGTTTGGCTGATTTGAGATTTCCTATACGACTGGAAGGTGTACAGTTGGCCAATGAACAGATGACACAGTTAGTTTTGACACAAATATTTCTTATAATGGATCTTTATGATTGAATAATCTGTTATTTGTTGTATTTTGATTCACTACGTATCTGTTATTTTCTAAATGTAAATAGTATTCGGTTCTGATCTTCGACTAAAAAAACACTTATTGACTTGAAATCAAAAGGTATTTCTATCAGGTGAAGAAGCATATAAATTCCGGTTCTCCGTTTACCTAAATTGACAATAGACTAGTGCTTGGAATACACTCCTCACATGAATGTGAAATGTTGATTTATTACCTCATTGCATATATGTCTGGTTTGACATTATAATGTAAGGTAATTGTATGTATTAACCACCTCATTTATCTTATGAGCCTTATTAGCTGGCGTACAGATACAATGATAAATTATTCTCAGCGCATACACCTTTTAAAACAAATGAGATTCACGTTTCTCTTTAGAATGGCAATTTTACCTTGTCATATTTTACCCCTCAGAAATACGAGCGATCAATTGATGAGGCTGTAAACTTTTATTAACTAATGTTGCTGATATATGTGTAGTGAACGAAGACGTCAAGACCAGATGGAATAGTACTGCATTTAGAGAAGACACGGTTTATTTACAAAATATACACGCCTTATCTTCCGATTTCCATTTGCGAAACAAGCAGATTATTGGTTATCTTTTTCCACTTGTCTTCTGGTCTTCAAAGAAATTTGATCGCTCCGTACCTTGGGATCCGACACTTCTTTCCGGTGGCAACTTATGGGTGACACTCTGATGCATACTACTCATAAGCCACGTTGCGAGTAGTGACCACCACACATCTACTTAACTATAATGTGTAACTGAGTATCGAATTAGAAGGAGGCTGTGAAGTTCGCCAAACCGAAACCGAATCTGCTAATGAAGTTATTCACAACTGATGCGATATAGGACAATACAGCCGTTATCTATGTATGAATGCCAGGCTATATAGTTCTAGATTATTTACAGTTGTGTAGACTGTCAAATATATTTCAGTGGTTTTCTTGTATTTACTTTCTTCTTTCTCAGATATGAACCGGAAATATTCCCAGCGTTAATTTATCGTATAATAAAACCCCGTTTAGTAATGCTTATCTTTGTTAATGGAAAAGTCGTTATGACAGGTAAGTAAAATTGTATTTTCGATTAAACGGAACTTCAACTGGAACGTTACACATTGAAACCTTTATTTATCTATTAAGATTTGAGCATTTATTTAGCTTTTATAGTTTTTAGTTGTTGAGTTCCTTTTTTGGTTTAACTATGTAGATGATACGAATCCGCTTACTTTTTACTGAGTTTTAGTAATTTGTCCATCGTTTCTTCGAACCATACTCAGATAGTTTGATCTTTAGCATTATCATTATGACGACATGATTTCAATGCCTTCCGATATTCATTCTCTTTTAATTTCATCTCGTCATATGATGTAGCAACTTTGCGCAGAGCAAATTTATGATAGGCTATATACTTTGATTATGACTGATTGTAAATGTTATCTCACTTTACATCCAGAGACCTTGAATAATATGGCTCAAAACCGTTTTCAATAGCGCAAGTGCATTCATTCTTTGTGTTCTCTCGAATTCTAACCTTTGGAGTTCCTAATCACCTTTTCTGTTTAAGTTTATTTCATTAGATTCTACGTTTTGAATAATATTGTTGAACTCTAAAATATCCGATTACTGCTAATATTTCTACTACCTCTACTATTATGAGATTTGAAGCGACAATTGCATCTCTGTGCTAATGTGGTATGAAAATTTGAACTGATGTACATACGTACGAAATTCTATGTTGCTGCTGACTGAATGACTTTATATCCTCCATATATTATACTTTGGACTGGCACTATGTTATACGTTTGCTGGATACAGTTTATGATAAAGTTTAGGTGTTTATCTTTTGAATCATATTTTTCCAAACATTTAAATGTAGAGTAAAGTAGGTGCAAAAACAGAGAATTATTCAAATGTTGGTGTAAAATAACAGACTTAGATTGCTGAAATTGATTTTTTAGATCAATCTTTAGCAGCATACATTTACGACACCAACTCAAGCGGTTAGACTTTATAACTTTCGGTCTAGCGTACGAATAATCTAGAACTCTAGAACAATGAGCTGGTATCTAGTAGTGTAGTAAGATATATAATAATAGTATAATAGGATACAGCAATTGTCCAGTGGTGGCCTTGCTAAAATTAGTTCGTCATTTAAACTAGAGAAATTCGACACTCTTCACAAAGCCACTATAATAATTTTCTAAATATTGATTTTTCTGCTATTTCAAGTTGTTAGGTATACTAAAATAACGCAACCGAGATTAATTACAGGTTAAGAGCTCTCATAAATTCCTGTACTATTTACATACTAGTATTTTTTAACTAATACGAGGTTTTACAATAAATAATCAGCCCAACAACACAATCTAATTTTCGCGAAAACGTAATTGGTGATTTCAGTAGATTAATTTTATTAACTAAGGGAAGAACAATGGAACAATGATGCATTTGCAATATCCCATCAGGTTGACATTTTGTTAGGATGTTCATTCAATATCCTAAGAGAATTATTTTAAGTCTAATTCTATTGGTTAATTACTATTGTTTAATTCCCATTGGTCGTCCTAACTATCAACATCACATACTTGAATGTTGTTGCCTATTCGACCGAACTGTATAAATATGCATTATCCCTAGTCCGGGATTCTGATTCTCTTCTGGACTCGGACCTCGTACTGTCTGGATGCTTGTAGAATACATGTTCTACTTAATGTTAAGTCTTCTTTTACTCAATGGAGGTTTGGGACACTCGGATTAGGGTAGCCTGTCGTGTCGCCGGATACTCGATCCTCGCTCTCGTTTCCCGACTAAGGTAAACTTGTAATAGTTCAGTCATATCAAATGACGTGTTTACGTGCATGCCTAACACATTTAAATCCTCAATTTATTTGGAATTATCACCTCGAGCCTTGGTGTTGCTGCCTACTACAAAGAGAACCAGCGAAACACAAAACAAATTCAACAAGAACTACTTTTGAGTAATTAAATTATAAACAATCCTTACATAAGTACTCCGACAGACTAACCTCATAGTTCTCTATACAACCTTGAATTAATGTAGAATGTCTATAACTCAAGATTCGGAACTTTCTCCATAAGCGCATAACCTATTAGCCCGTCCTATCTAAATAACAGCATCCATTTCTTATAAAATACTCAATGATTGACTAGATTGCGTTGACGTTTCGCAAATTTACGATATTGAATTTATTATAATGTTCATCATTCTCATAAATCAATTTCATAATAATACTTTTTAACGTTTTTTTAAAATATTAATTTATAGGTGCAAAATCACGTGAACATCTATACGAGGCACTGAATAATGTCTATCCTATTTTATACAATTATCGCAAAACCAACTAACTAGTCATTTGTATATTTGAATATTCTCTTGTAATTGATTTTCCTATTGAACACTTAAACTTCAAGATATATATATATATATATATATATATATATATATATGAAATACACAATGTAAATAAGTTATTTTAGTCAATTTTTATTCCTTACAAAGCAATAATATCTACTTACCAATGAGACAAGCTGTTACGATTGACTGCTTCACCACGTCAATTGTTATACGTGAACTATTATGAGTTCACCTTAGTCGGTAAACGAGAGCGAGGACCAGTGATACGGCGACACGATAGGCTACTCTAATCCGAGCGTCCCAACCCTCCACTAAGTAAAAGAAGAAGACTTAATATGCAGTAGAAGTGAATTCGACTAGCACCTAGGGAAGAGAGATCCGAGTCCAGAAGAGAATAAGGACACTGGACTAAGGATCTGGATCATAAAACGTTACAGGTAATGCATATTTATGCAGTTAGGTTGAATAGGAAACAACATTTGAAGTATGTGACATTGACAGTTAGGACGACCAATAGGAATCGAGCAATAGAATTAGACTTACAGAATAATTCTCTTGGGATATTTGACGAATATCCTAACACAAGCAAACGCCTATAATATTTCACAACGCTTACCATCAGATCTGGTTCTTAAAACGTGTTATTACTCAACTAATTTCAGTCTGTGATGACGATATATCATCGGTCTATTTGAAAACAGATGAACTCCCAAGTGCACAGAAAAGCTGTTTTGTGATAATAAAGCATTCGGGTAGAAAACAACATATAAGATGTGAAGGTCATAGTTTTCAACAGCGCTCAATTAGTCATAACTTAGCAGTTCAGACTTTATAGGTTATAATGTAAAACAGGCACTTATTAATTTTTGTTTTTAAAGATCTCAGTTCTTGATTTCATTCAGACTATAAACACTAACGAACTGCACATTCGAAATACATACTCTACCTAACTGTGGTTATTATCTCGGTATAATGATTCAACAACGTAATATCGGTCATAGCACTCGTTCGTTTAAGTCTTACCATGATAGTCAGGTCGATCAGTGAGAGCAGCACGATCAAGTGTCATATAGTGTCCAAAAGTAAAGTCGCACTGCTGACTACTGGAGTTTGTTTGACAAGAGTTCATTGTTTCTCTAGGGAATGTTGGTTCCTCATAACGAATAGGTCAAATAGAAATAACTTCACATTGCCCCGCGGATTTTTGACGCAGATGTTATGGTCTGAAAAATGTGAAGCTAAAGCATCAGGAATTACTCTTTGGTTCCATCTTTGCACGAGCCAGCAATACTAATGGGTTCGCGAAATATTTTTCTTAAAATTGCATTCCAAACTACATTTTAGAGCTTCCGATATCCAAGCCTTATGTCGAATCGAACAACAGCGTAGTCGAAATTACAAAGTGATCTAAGCTAAGAACCTAGAAGCGCCGGATGGCCGTTCCGTCCTAGTATGGGACTAATCAACAGTGCGTATTCACAAATCACAGACGCGGAAATCGAACCCGAAACTTCCAGTTTCTTGTGTAAACGCCCAACCTCTAGACCAGTGAGTCGGCATGCAAGTGCTAAGAATGTTGAAAAACCATCCATTGTCTGCGGTGGATAACCCGACACAGATTCATTAGTTGAAACTCTAGGATCTCCTAACACGTTCTGCCGCTATAATTTGTATCGGGTTCAAGTGACTAGCCACCAGTTTCGAAACATGATCAATGGAACTAGAAAACATGGGTAATCTCTGAAAAATGCACTCATTTTGCTACTGTAGAAAAGCACTGTTGAGGTCGGGGGCAGTTAAAAATACGAAATCGGTTGACAGGATTACTAACCTTCGACTAAGTTTGCTTTGGCAGGCACTAAATGTGTCAAGTCAACATCACCACAATGTGCAAAGCTGGCAAGCGTAAGTAGATTATCTTCCCTTATATGGTAAATCTCAAAATTATTTTATACCTTCTATCCAGTGGATTCATTATTTGAAGCATATTCTCTGTCGTGATGTAGTACTAGGTAGGGATGGCATATCAGTAGATGAAGTACTGAGGTGGTTGGGACATGTTACGTACGTCCTCGACGAGTTAGGTTTCGCGGCGTAGGTTCGAAGAAAACTAGGGGCGGCCAAACCAAAACATGCCACAAGTCCATGAAGTCACTGACAAGTGAACTGAATCATGTTGGTAAGTCTAAACTACCTGGTTGGGGTCCACGAGATGATAGTAATCGATGGTTAGAGACTTTGAATGATATGGCTCAAAATCGTTTGCAATGGTGCATGTGCATCCACTCTTTGTGTCCTCTCAAATCTAACCCTCTGAATTCCTCATGATTCGTATCTTTCTCTTTCTAAAGTTATCTCACTGAAATAATAATAATAATAATAATCTCACTGAATAATATCGTCGAACTCTAAAATTTCCGATTACTGCTAATACTTCTACAACTTCTACTACCATGGGATTCGAAGCGACAGTTGTCTCTGTGCTAATACGGTATGGCAATCTGAACTGATGTACTTACGTACGAAGTTCTACGTTATAAATGACTGACTGATGCAGTAACAATATAAGCCAATTAACATTGCTTAGGAATATCATACTCCCGAATAAAAACAATGTCGTCAATTAATCAAAGTAACAAAACTTAAACATTACTACTATCAACAAGAATTCCACGATCCATTCTTATACATTTCAACATTTACAATTGTAATGTGGTAATTATGACTTTTGTATTTCATTCTTATCATGAAATATAACTTTACAACTAATACACCCACCTACTACGTATATACACATATATATTGCGTGTGTGTGTGTGTGAGAGAGAGAGAGCTATGACCGAATTCTAAGCGACATACATAGGGGAAATCAAGCAATAAAGTAAATAAAATTTATACCATATACATTCATAAAATGTTTATTTTTTCATCAGAAAACTTTTAACAGTAGTGAATTTTTTTAAACAATTCTATTCTATTTCTAACAATAAATACAATATATATATATATATATATATATATAATCGAGGATTAATTGTATATATTTTATCAAAAATGTTAATGTATGTATGTATGTATGCAACAGACAATTTTATTTCAATTGAATGAACCACAATAACGAACAATCGAGAGACAGAAACAATTTGAAATTCATGAAATTGATTAAATCTTCTTTGAGTCATTTTCTCTATAAGCATTGTATATATATATATATATATAGGTATATATATGGGTATATATGTATGTATATAGGTATATATATATAGATATATATGCGGCGCAGAACAATATCACAATCGCACACTGATATTCATTCGCATTACAAAAGCATTACAAAATACAATGTTGTTGTTTTTTTTCTTAACGAACACAAACTTTATTGTATGCGTGGTATGTATGTATGTAACAACAGTGTTGTTTAGTAAGATCAGAGTTCAGTTGATTTATTCATTTATTCCATAATGTCTCCATGATACTTTCTATTTCATTTGAAGTTACACAACCTAACAAGCCTAATAAAATTCAATTAGAAGATAGGAAAAAAAACTATGATCATGATGTAATTTTTAATTTAAACATTTAAAATATCACCACAAATTGAATGAATTTGAATATGTTGATCAATGATCAATACTGTGATATAATAAATATATTATCTGAAGATAATGAATGTACTACTCGATAGAGACGATCTGAAACGGTGGAGTTAATCCCTAATATTCTCCATTAGCACTAATTCTTCTACTATCACTGTGGTGCGCGCTACTTATAAGTAGTATATGACACGAGTGTAAACGTAATGTCTGGCGGCAGAAGATGGTGGAAGATCAAGAAAGGAAGTGTGGGAACACGATGGAATTTGTATGAAATGCATGAATAGTGAAATGCCAGACAATGGATTGATGATGGATTGAAGATTTGCAAATTAACAGTTACGATATGGTTTTCCTATTTTACTGAGTAATTCTGTAATTTTCGTTAAACGCAATTCGGTCGCCCTCACCTGTGTTCTCCTTCACTACATCGCCACTACTATGGGATATGAACTGACAGTTGCTTCTCTGTGCTAATTAATGCAGTATGGCGACCTGAACTGATTGATGTACGCACGTACAAAGTTCCACACGTTGCAACCACCAACTGACTGAAGGTGGGGGGTTATGTATCTGAAACTTTATGGTGATTGTGTAATAACTAAACTAAGAAGGAACATATTCAGTGTTGTATGTAATTCAGATGATTAAAAATTACTTCTATAGATTCATAAATGTTTGCTTCAAAAGATTATTAAGATCACTGGTTTGATGTGAGAGTACAGTTGTGTGTTGTTTAGTCTTTAGTGCTGATCGGATCATTTTATTGATCAAGCTGTAGTTCAGCCACTGGTTCAAGTTTCTTGATATGGCATACACTACGTTTTCGTATAAGATTATTGAATAACACAGGTTTGAATCCAACAAAGAAGAGTTCCCTTAAAATCTCAGTTATGCTTCGCTGACAAGTGCCAACTAGCATTAAACCTAGTTCCAAGGTAGCCTAATTACTTTCAAGCACCTGACACATCAAGATTATGGATAGTAATAAATCATTTAGGCAGATATTATTTGGTCTCGTGCCTGAGTTGGCATACAAAGATACATATGTCCAATTTCAATCAATTCACGATGCTAAGCAACCTTCGTTCATTGCCTTCGATGGATGACTGTCTCGCACCCGACATGGTTGAATCCCACTCGTCATAGTCTCTCACTAGAACTCCATGATTCGCATCTGGAAGCTACTTATCAACGGTTATGTGATTGCTATTAGCATAATAAATAAATGTGCGGATCGTGGAACTATCATGGTTTGAATTACTAACTGATCTTAGACTACCACCGAAAATATTAGACAATCATTTCGTCCAAGGATGGTTTAGAGGTTAAGCCTTAGGGACTGTGGCCGGAGGTTCTGAGCTTGATTCCCGGATGCAAAGTTATGGATACGCATTGCTGAGGAGTCCCTCACTAGAATGAAACGGACGTCCAGCGTTTCCTGGTTTTATACATATATGGTGGTCTAACCAAGATCAGTTTGTGATTTAAATACTCTCCACAAGTCCCTCTACATTAAAAGAAATACTCGTGGAATAACATGAATCAAACGTAATTTAATTAAAAATTAAACACAATTACACATAATGATCTCTGATGAGGCCATAATTTATAGACAATTTTTGAGGGATACTTAGATGGCCTTGAGCAACTTTAACTACTTGGTAGAGTTTGAAGTTAGGGTTTCCTTTATCATGAACTGACATCAGTTATCATGTCAAAATGCTATTCAACTTATAAATATATATGAATGAATTCTGAATTAATAACCAAGACTTATTACTTCAAATATAATTAATTGACCAACAAAAAAGACATACCTGTAACATCTAAAAATTCTTCGACACTTGCAATTGTTAAAAGATTCTCTTCAAAATAAGCAAGCAATTTTGGAGCGGCTTTCATTAAAGCTTCATCTGATGTACGAATATAGTGAGATAAAGAAGCTGACCATGAAAGTGATGTTTGACTAGCAGTACTACCACTACCACTACCATTACTACTACTATCTGATGTAGTTGATTTCATTTTACTATCGGATGAACTTGTTATCAATGGAACATTCTGCGTATAAGAAGAGAGTAGAAATGACAATTAGTTTGTAATATACTAACATAATGAACGAATAAAAATATTTCTCGTTTGTCATGTTGTACACACAATAAACATATCAAGTGATTGAAAGTATGCTACTACAAGAGTGGATATGCAACTGATACGCAAATACCTAGACTGGACCAAATAAAGGGAAGCAGAGTTTAGACTATACAATACAAAGCACTTTATACTCAGTGATTACAGACTAAAAATCACGATGTGACCAGTGGAGTTCAACCCCGTAGGATGTAGGCAGTAACTACTGAAAACAATGGGTGAATATGAGCGAAAATCCTATTATTGATCGGAGTTAAACATTAAAACTGTTGGATGCTGGTCCAGCGGTTAGGTGCTTGCGCGCAAGAACGAAGATGCTGGGTTCGAATCCTGTGGATGTGCACTGATGATGAGTTCCATGCCAGGACGAAACGGACGTCCAGTGCTTCCAGGTTTCTAATGTTAGTTCGAAAATAATTCACTCATGATTTTAGTGTAAAAATCAATATCAGAACAATCAGTAAGCTGTGTCTTTCAGCTTGCGCTCAGTGGTCAACCATATTTACCTTCACTTCGCCACATAACACATACATAAGTGGCTGAATAGTCGATTAACTGATCATAGTTTGTTAACTGGAAATACATTGTTAAAATCAGGAAGCATTAGACAGCTATTTCAATTCTACCGTTGTACACTGTTCGGAGATGTCCAAAGATTCAAACGTCTATATTCGTGAAGTATAGTTCAGTGAAATAAGGTCGAAAACATCCAGCACATCCAGTCCTGGAATAAAAGCACATCTAGCTGACGAGTCCCACATAGAACGAAACACATACTACATTATATATACACTAAAATATCACTATCACATAGTTACGTCAAATTATTTCAATCAGTGACAGTGAACATAATTAGCAAGAAACCAACAACAACAACAGCAACAACAACATTACAAATACATAATACTACTAATAATAATACTGATAAAACACCTACTTTAAATAAATATTCATAGATAGAATCGATCAGACCAAAATAAATTAAATATGGTTTGATCAATATAAATCGATTATCCACAGTACTACTAGTTGAACATGTTGCATTATTGGAACGCCCCACAGCCATATACAATAAACTATGCAACAAAGTGATTCGATGATTCAACCATTCATTATGTGACCATAAATGTAATGCTGCTACTAAACGATATAGAGGTCCAGTAGTTACCCAACATTTATCTGATTTTGACCAACTTTTTTTTCGTTGTTGTTGTTGTTTTGAAAAAGAAAATACAAACAATTAGAGGAATGATATTTTGAGAAAAACAAACAAACACAGTTGATATGCAGTCAGTCAGTTGCAACGTAGAACTTCGTACGTAAGTACATCAGTTCATGTTGTCCCATACCACATCAGCACAGAGATATAATTGTCAATTCAAATCCAATAGTAGAATAGTAAAGGTATGAGAAGTAATCGGAGAGGTTAGGATTAGAAGATATTATTCAAGAAGTATGATTAAATGAGAAAAGTTTAGAAAGTCAAAACTAGAGGGATTGAAGAATCCAGAAGATTAGGATTTCAGAGAACACAAAGAATAAATGCACCGGCGCCATCGCAAACGATTTTGAGCCATGTCATTCAAGGTCTCTAACCATCGATTATTATCATCTCGCGGACCCCAACCAGGTAGTCGACAATTACCGACATGGCTCAGTCCACTCGTCAATGACTTCATGGATTTCTGCCATGTTTTGGTTTGGCCGCCCCTAGATTTCTTCCAACCTATTCCTACACTACAAAACAAAGTTCGTCGAGGCAGTCGGTGGTTAGGCATACGCAGCACATGTCCCAACCACCTCAACTGATGAAGTTTCATTACTTCGTCTATTGATCTGCCCTTCTTACCTAGCACTCGTTTCCTAATAACAGCGTTGCTGACTCGGAATCGGGTGCTAGTTGATATGCAAATTCATAGTTGAAGCTATGAAATTGTAAAGTCAATGAAATAACAATAACACTCTAATTAAGCCAATTAACTAACTAACTAACTCACCAATCAACCAATCACGTTCAAAGTGCATGTATGTACTAAAGAGAACTGATGATGAAACGTTGGATTGTTGATATCAACAATGAATACTGCATAATTAAATAATCGGGAACTTAAGATCTGGTTCTACATTATCTACATCGTTATCGATTTCCTTTTTATATTGAGTCTAACTGATTAATTAGCTTTTAACCTTTCTTTAAACGGTAATTTAAAAGTGAGAGGGCCTAATTACCAAGTTAGGCTGGTCTAGAGTAAGAAATCATTGGGTTGTGAAGCAATGGTGTACAGATAAGTAATTTTTATAGTCAAACAATTCCATCAAACTATATTGTTAGTTGATATCAATCAACACCAAAGTTAGAATTTTCAATACAAATGTCAAGACACTTCTACTGTATAGAGTGGAAACTTGGAGAACTACCAAAGCCATCATCCAGAAGATACAAGTGTTTATGAACAGTTGTCTTCGCAAAATACATCGGATTCGTTGGCCAGACACGATCAGCAACAACTTACTTTAGGATAGAACAAACCAGATTCCAATAGAGGAGGAAATCAGGAAGAAGCGGTGGAAGTGGATATGACTGTTGGGGATGTTAGATCCCCAAAACTCTCTTGTTAAATGAATTATTTTGGATTCTACGTTTGCCAGCATGGGCTGATCTGTTGACCTTGAGATTTTGATTCCCACCAGGAAAATCCGTGGCTGTGATTGGCTGCTGTGTATTTTAGTATGCTATTCTTGTGACTGTCCCTAGGACGTTCCTACGATGTATAAATAAACGAGAGTTGTATGCTTGATTGTACTGTGATTGCTGGGTGTTTGTAGAATATACTTTCTACGCCTACAAAGCCTTCTTACTTTAGTTCGGGATTCAAGGTAGCCTCCCTGGACGCTGGTAAAAGTCTCGTTCGCGTTTATCGACTAAGGTAAACTCGTAATAGCCTCAAGCATACTTACTGACGAACACAATAATGACACACACTACGAAAAGCACCTAACTGCGTCACAAGACGAGCCCTCACATGGAACCCGCAAGGTCAAAGGAAAGAGGAAGTCCAAGGAACACATTACGCCAAGAAATAGAAAAAGACATGAGAAGAATGAACAAAAACTGGAAGGAACTAGAAAGGGAAGCTCAGGTCAGAGTTGGTTGGAGAAACCTGGTGGGCGGCCTATGCTCCATTTGGGGTAACAGGCGTAAGTAAGTAAGTAAGTAATACTACTCAAAGACATCGTACAGAATCACAAGTCTCATTCTACACCTCTATATGGTTTAATGATACTAACTGTATGTTTAAACTAATAATCTACAGTTTTGAACAATATTATCATCATACTACTCATATGATGAATGGGAAAGCGACCAATTTATTAATTTAATGAATCTTCTCATGAAATAAAAAAATTATTTACTTGTTTGCTCACGTCTGTTACCCCTATTGGAGCATAAGCCGACAACCAGTATTCTAAAATGAATACTACGGTTCGTATTTTCCTGTTTTACATAGTAAATTGAATACCTGAATCTCTCTTAACTAATTGTTACAACATCAAACAGATAACATCATAGTAAAAAATGAAATTTTAAAATATCATATAATTTTGAATGATAAACTAAACGTATCAAAATCAACTTGGTGAATTTCCGGTGACACAATAAATCGATCAAACAAAAAAAAAACACCTGCAAATTTGAGAGATGCATAACTTACTAAGATGTAGGAACTTCAATGAACTGTTTTAAAGCTTCCAATTCTTGATCAACATGCGAACTCATTAACAATGAATGTAAATAAACCTATGGACAATGAAAAAAAAATTTATATCACATATATATTTTCGAAATGAAATATGTATATCTTTGAAATAAGCATTATACAAAAAAAATGGAACCCTGGTTAAGGTTTACAACAAGAGATATTCAACTCTAGGACCTTCGGTTTCGCGAGTGAATGCTTAAAATCTCGATTCCCACGAGCGGTTGTCATGGATGCGCACTACTGATGAGTCTCATACTAGGACGAAACGACTGTCCAGTACTTCCAGGTTGCTAATAGTAGTAGTCTAACAATGATCGATTCAGTATTTCAATGAAACTTAACAATCTCCATAACTCAATAATCAAAAAATTAGTGTTTTTCATAAAAACTAAGTTCTTGGAGTCACACAGTCTAGAGTTTTCTCACTATGGTTAAACAGATTAATGAAATATAAGATTTATGAAGCAATAAATAATACTTGTTATCAATTCATGTTTCACTTGTACACACATCTGTTTCGATTATCGTATGTGATATTCATTCGGTTGTATTAGCGTGAAAGGCATTTAAACCATTCAATGTAATCATATGTTCTCATCTATCATCAATCTAACTACTGAGAGATTTAAAAGTGAGTAGCATAATGTCTAGCAATATTTTCCTCTTTATTCTTTCTTTGAAAAATGACAGCCAATTACACTGAGATTCATGGATTACGATGTTGATATACTCGCCAACGGATATGCTTGCTTGAAACTATTACGAGTTCATCTTACTCGATAAACGGAATGAAGATCAACGACGATACAGTGACACGATAGGCTATCACAATCCAATTGTCCCAGACCTAGCTAACTAAATCAAGAAGTCTTGATAAGACGTAGAGAGAATGTATTCACAAGCACCCCGTAAAAGACGAGGTCCACAAGCACACAACTCAAGTTTATTTATACAATGATAAAATGCCCTTGGTGTGAGCCATAAAATAACGTACTAAAATAATTCACCAATCAATGACAGTCAAGGATTTTCCGAGTGGGAAATTAAGCTAAAGGTCAACTAAGCGTATTTGGCGCGAAAACATAGAAATTCACAACTTCAGAATTAAATTACAAAATTAAGACCTCCAAGTGAACTATGGGGATCTAACGTCCCCCAACAGATGTATTCCGATTAAAGTGTTCTTTTCGTTCACTACATAAATGACAGTGATTAGTATTTGTGTTGAACTACTAAATGTAGTTCATAATATCATTTGTGTCAATGAGAGTTATGAAGGATATTGGACCTTGAAATGGTTTAGATTATCTGGTTGTTGATATGTTCACTGAAATTCGATCAACCTTTGTTGGCGAATGGGCATTCTGTGCGGATTGTCTCGCAATATAGCTATTATGACACAAGAATGGATAGAATGGGACAAAACACTCGTCCTGGATTCCACTACTAACCATCTTGAGAAGTCAAGAAATAGAAACAAAACACTCTGGCATGAATAACAATACTATTACTACTAATATATCCACTCACTTGCATCAAATGTGGCAATAACTGCATATTACTTTCTTTACTGCCGCCACCAGTCTCAACAGTGAATGGTCGATTACAGGCAAAACGTAATAATAGCAATTTAATATCATGTAAAGCCATTACATAACCAGGACATATGCTGAGTTTATGCTGTAAATGAAGTAAGTAACAAGTAAGATTAATTGGAGTAAGTAAATAATGTGAAAATCTCTTGCTTGTAGCAAGATCTAACTAATACTTTTGAGTTCGATTATTCATATGATAGTGGTCGTTGGCATACAGTGATGAACACTCGCAAATAAAAGAAACAACTGTTTTGTAAGTTACAGTGCTTAGTGATTCTTCAGTTGAAGTCAATCTGAGACAAAAATCGACCTAAAATTATATCAATCTTCATAAATTATTTTATCAAATAAATAAGCTTATTGGTAAATATTTCAAAATTAACTGATCAGTTGACAGTGACTAATATCATATTCGTTTAGTCCTTCAGTATCTATCAAACTGTAATGTAGCCACTAGTTTCAGTGATTAGATTGAGATGTTAAGTGATTTGAGGCAGTTAGTGGTTAGATCCTCGACTGAGGTTTCCTGTCAGTTGACACTCATCACAAAAACGTATCTACAACCTTGAAGGGACCGATGGTTGCTGCGGGGATTCAAATCTGGAACTTAATCTACAGAATTCCATTAACACTAAAAGTATAAACAAACATGATGTTGATCAACACTCTGGGCAACCAAGGTACTCGGGACACAAAAGCGACCTCATTACTGAGTAAACAAACAAAAAAATTTAAATCAGTAAAGACTGAAGAAAGCTAATTGATACGTTCCTCTCAAGTAACCTCTGATTAATCAGTGACTGAAAACAAACATGTCTGGTTCATTGTTGTTAGTGGGACATAGATGGAATTAAAGCATGACTGTGTCAGCTGCGCGCTGATTGGCTAATTTCCTATCCAATCAGCGCCCGATAGAGTCTTGGAGAATAGGTTAAAAAATTCTCGTGTTGTTAGCTACACGCTGATTGGCTAAATCTAATCCAGTCGATCACGTGAATTACAATCCAGAAGCTTCTCATGTATATACTAGAAAGAAGCTAACGTTGTATCTATTTGGCCTTCGCCTTCAGTTTCATATTTCCATTAACCTTACTATTTGGAATATAATCTTTTCTAGTTCCACCGTGTTTTTGATTCTTTGGAACTTGTCCAGTGTATTGTTGTGGTCAGAGAATACTAAGCAATAGGAATTAGCCGAGAATTATTCAAGCAACCGTTACAACAATTGTACATCTTCATACCATATCTAGTTCTTAAACCAATGATCAAATAATAACTGAATACAAATGTATCACATGATGAAGCAACTGTACTAACTAACATAAATGCCAACAACTACTTACCATAATGAAATCCATAAAAGTGGCTAAATGTCCAGCATAAACAGTATCTGGTGCTTGTTGTTGCTGTTGTTGTCCAGTTTTTGATGAAGATGCTTTACTGTCAGACGATGATGACGATGTCGATGTTGTAGTAGTAGTAGTACTACTGCCAGCAGTTGTACTTGAACTAGTAACAGAACTACTGCTACTAGTTGGCGGATTTAATATCGGTAAAATGTTATTACAACCAACATCCCAATTATGTCGTTGAGCTACTATCCATTCATTCTCTGATGAAGCTTTATATGACTAGGAAAATAATAATAATAATATACAGTAAATAATTAGTATAAAAAAAACAACACGATTTATAGTTTGCAATACTATTTCTGATAGGTTTAAAGTCAACAACATCCAATCAAGATTGAGATCAACAGAACAAACTATAGGTCATATATTCACGGAGAATTCTGAATACTTCATTTTTATCTGAAGTTTTTGTGCTGATAATGTTGTTCAATAGAAGAACAATGAAAGATCCTCCCACAACTAAAACATCCAGTTCAGAGAATGAAATTCAACCACAATCATTCACTTGAGCTACAGCAAATTTTCTTCACTATCTCAATATTTCTAAAGGGGTTCATTTTGTGATTTGTTAAAGTTGTTAGTATACACTTATTTGCATTACGGGGTTGTGAAGATTGTTAAGTTACACATTTTTGAAACCATGAATCGATCAATGTTAGACCATCATTAGAAACCTGGGAGCACTGGACGGCCGTTTTATCCTGGTATGGGACTCCTGCACCCCGCAGGATTCGAACCCAGGACCTTTGGTATTGTAGGCGAAGGCCTAACCGTTGGACCACTGAGCCGGTACATAACGGCGTTAATGTCTAACTTGATCAATTCACGGAGTTGCGCAACCTTATACACAGTCTTCGGTAGACACTGTCTACACCCGAACAGGTTGAACTTCACACTTATTTAAATTACATGCTTTGACCACAATTTTCAGTTCAATGGTGTACACATACACATATAGGTAAGATGATAGGACAAGGAAACAGTTCCAACGTTTAAGTTACTCAACATATCTAATGAAATCGATTACGTAACTACACATAATAATAGGTAAAAGTACAAGTTGATAATAGGAGGACAAGTGTACTATTAGTAACAAGAATAATCGTAAACAATAGTTGAACATTGGAAATAGTAGGTGAAATGTAGATAAATAGACTTGAAATAATAATTACAAAACAGCATTATTAGAATTACGTAATAAGAAAGAAGTGTGTAAATGATTATTAGATTGTGAAGAATATATGCCAGAAGAGACGAAAATCGACAAACAAATACAAGATGTGAAAACAATAGAGGTAATATAACAACAATAATAATAATATAGTCTATTAACTTATATCCGGATAAGGAAGGGACATGGGGGGGGGGGTCACGAATTTCTTCTGAACGCTAAAAACTGGGATTATAAGTTCGGATTCTTATAGAGTCCACTATATATAGGATACAAGATCAAATCCTATCGGGAAATGACGAAGCTACATGATAGATTACTCAAAATGACTCCGTTTTACCTACAGTATTACCTCTATCAATAAGGTGAACCAAAAAAACAGCTGCATATCGTTTTTATCCGACCCTTTGCAAACCACGTTGAGAGATGTTCACTCATATGTTGGTTAACCTGCCTGGTAGTACACGCATGAGAGTAGCTGCATTTATAAATGTGGTGGTGTTTCGTTCTCTGAGCTGGATGAGTTTCGGTTGAGAAGCTTTCATTGTTCTTCTGAACAACACATCATCAGCAGAAGAACAATGAAAGCTCCACAACCAAAACAACCAGCTCAGAGAACGAAACACTACCACAATCATCCACCTGAGCTACAAGTTTTCTCCACCATCTCATTTATAAATATACATTTCATATAAATATTCATGTATATAAAAGTAAACCCTGATGACGATCTAATTAAAAACAGTATTATTAGCTTATATGCATTAGTCCAACTTTCACAATGATATTTGTAAAAACATATGTTTATAAATATTTACATATATACATTATTTTTCAAGCATAACTAATCAACTCACTTTAGTATGACATGAAAAATGTACAATAACAAAATTTGATAAAGTTGAATAACCATCAGGAATATTCGATGGTGGATTATTATTATTAGTAGTAGTAGTAGTGAAATTAATTGTTGACTCACAACCCATCATATAAATATTTTCTTCTAATACACATCGACGAACATATACATAAATACCTAAAGCTTCATTTGGTGCAATACGTAATCCTTCATGACAAATAACACATGATAAACCAGTTTCTTCTTGAACAATTGCAGTCATTTTATTTAATCGATCTGTTTCGACCATTGCAACCTAAAGAAAAGATATGAAATGAAATTGTTAGAGAAAGAATAAAAAAGACAAAATGATAGAAAATTCATCCATCTCTAGTGTTTTTTTCTTTCAAAATCTAAAAGATTAAGAAGCCATTACAGTTGTAAGAAGATGTAGCATCTTTATATAAAATATTATGTACAACAATCAGATGAGAGATTATACTACAACAGTATGATATGCTCGTCAAGTGATATGCTTTAATGTTATTACGAGTTCACCTTATTCGGTAAACGAAAGTGAAGACAAATGACCCAGTGACAGAATAGGCTATTCTAACCTGTTTTTCCCAGCCCGGCTAACTAGAGGAAGAAGTCTTGATATGGCGTAGAAAGTGTATTCTACAAGCACCCAGAAAAACATGAGGTGAACAAGCACACAAATCGAGCTTATTTAAAACATGATAGAAACATGCTTGGGAGAGCCACAAAAATAGCGTACTAAAATAATACATCAACCAATGACAGACAAAGATTTTCCAAGTGGGAAATGTATTCTCAAGGTCAACTGAGCTGCCCAAGCGCGAAAACACGAAAATCCAAAATTAGGACCTTTTTTAAGTGAGTTCTGGGGACCTAACGTCCCCCAAAAAGTAATATAACAGAAAAAAATTGTACTGTTTAAGCAGTAGACTGAATATGCTTATGGTAAGAAATATTTGGAAACGTGTTGTTGGGTGCTTTCCCTAAGATTCCTGAAGGCCCTTAGTTTGATTCATGTGTGAAACCGTGTAATAAAACAAAAAAAAAACAGTTGTCCAGTATTTCTTCAATGTCCGTAGTATTCTGACTGGGATCTAACTGTGACGAATACCAGCTGCCAATTAAATCAGTCTTCATGAACCCTCTTCATACATAGCCCAATGTTTTATTTATGAGAACAAGCTACCTACTACAGTAGAAATAATTGGTTCGAGTATAGATTGAACATTAAAGTATTTTGAATGAATTTGGTATATTACATTGATACAGACAGATGAATTTGTTACAACAAATCACAGAGTAGCGGAAGTAGTAGTAAAGATTAGGTATACAAAAAGAAAAAAAGGGGATAAGTAGATTTCAGGGATTCAGGTTTTAAGTGAAGACAAGAGACTGAATAGACCTACGCTATTGCGGACGACTCTGAGCCACGTCACACAGTCTCTAACCATAGATGGTTACTAAAGCGTGGATCCTAACCAACTAGTCTATACCTATTTACATACCTATCTAACTGTCACTGACTTCATGCATTGGTATCATGTCTTGATTTGTTCAACAATAGTTTTATTTCAGCCTATTCCTACGTCAGACAACATCGCCTACCGAGATAGACGGTATTTAAGTATCCGTAATACACACAGGTCAACCACCTGAATCAATAAATATTAACTAGCCCCATCAACCAATTTTCCATCTACACCTAACTTGACCACTTGCTTACTCGATGGTCGCCCAAAATGCAACAGGTAAAATTATCATGACTTCTAATCGATATCACGAATTACTTTTTATTTGTAATCATTAAGAAATAATAAACAAATAGCAAAGACAAACATAAAACTTACTTGTCCTTTTTCATTAACACGCATATTAAGACTACGTAAACGTTTTTCACGCATATTCTGTGCCAGTGAACGTGCACGTCGAAGAGTGGCATCACGAAGATTATGAATAACTTGACTAATTGTAATCGTTGCATTTTTCAAAGATTCACTACTCTTTGTATTAGTAGTAGTAGTAGTGATACTTTTATCTTCTGTACTACTAGCCCAATTATTTAACATATCTTCAGCTAAAAGACCAACACGTCCAGATGATTTACTAGTTTCTAATTGATGAAATAAACAAAGTAATTGATGTGCTTCAATACGACGTCGATTAGTTTCAGGCGAACATTCAGGTTGACTTAAAATGGTCGCTTCTTGATCACCATCCACACACACATGTAATAATTGTAATATATATGGTAATGAAGGTTCAGCTAAGAATTTGGCAACTTCCGGATCAGTTGTACTGGTGGGATAAATTGGAAAAAAAGGGAATATATCAGCATTTTATAGATCAATATGTAATGAATAAATACAAGTATGAAAAAGTGTACGTATTAGATTGTAAGCTAAACACATACATTATTTCATAGTTACGTCATCATACTACATGGCTTAACTATACTAGCTAGAAGAATAATCCACAGATGGTATGCTATGCTCGTCAAGTGATATGCTTGAATGCTATTACGAGTTCATCTTAGTCGGTAAGCGAGAGCGAAGACAAATGATGCAGTGATACGATATGCTATTCTAACCTGTTTTCTCCGGCCCGGATAACTAGAGGAAGAAGTCGTGATATGGCGTAGAAAGTGTATTCTACAAACACCCAGAAAATATAATGATCTCCAGCACACAAATCGAGCTTATTTATACATCTGAGAAACTTCATTGGGAGAGCCACAAAATAGTGTACTAAAATAATACATCAACTAATGACAGTCAAGGATTTCTGAGTGGGAAACGTAATCTCAAGGTCAACTGAGCTGCCCGTGCGCGAAAACACAAATATTCAAAATTAGAACCTTCATCAAGTGAGTTCTGGGGATCTAACGTCCCCAACATGGGAATATGTCAAACAGTCTATGAGCTAAAGACATTTTAAACTATTTGTGTGAAGTGAACAAATTAGTACGTAAAACTTTATAATCAAAGAAACTGCTGTAAATACTATCAAAACACACATACAACTTGAGCCACTCATAATGAATTATTACATATGATCATATAAAAGCTAATGAAAGTGATTTCGGACATTATTGCTGTAAATTGTTTCCTTGTGAATAATAGTAAAATGCTGTTATCTTTATGATCAAAATTATTACATCGCATGGTTCTTAGATGATTGTATCAAACATGTGATGAGAAACATTCAGATGTGAATGAAAGATTGATTTTTATACAGCATTATGATGACTGTAGTTATGATACGTGATTCAGTGGTCAATTCTTTTCAACTATGCTCATTTTTTGTAATACAATATGACAATCTTCTTTAATTCAAACTCTACATGTTCACTGAATGATTTACAACTACCTAGCTCAGTAACTAACACTTCAGTCTACTGTGTGTGTGTGTGGGAGAGAGAGAGATGGAAAAAACATTAAAAATCATCATATTCGATCACAAACCTTCCTGTATATCATACTTAGGCGAACCCGGCTTGTGCGACAGCGGTAATAAGAAGCCATATACATGTTCGGTTGGACGAGTTTATTTCATGCAATCAAACACGCATACAGACATGAGAATACAAAGTGCAGAAGCGTAACAAAGTGAAGTGAAGATGATAACTGAGCCAACTCAATGCGATGACGTATGACCAAGTTATTTATAGTCAAGCAAAACTAGGCTAGACATGTAATAAGCAAAGTAAGCATGCACATACACACACACATAACACACTCAAATACAACTGACAAGGTCGAAAGAAGTAGGAATAGTAACTTGGACAGAAAAGGTCAATTAATTTATCCAAAGGCTGGGCTATGCGCTGCGGACTCGACATACTTGTACACTACTACACACTACAAGTGTATCAAGCTAAGAAAATTTCAACAAATGTAGATAGTCATATTGAATTAATAGCACAATTGATTGATTGCTTGATGAGACGAATTTTTTCTAACTTCAAGCATCTGCAACAATTAACATTTATGTTAGTGGGACATAGATGGAATTAAAGCATGACTACGTTGCTGCGCGCTGATTGGCTAATTTCCTATCTAATCAGCGCCCGATCGATTCTTGGAGAACACAATAGAAAATTCTCGTGTTGTTAGCTACACGCTGATTGGCTAAATCTAATCCAGTCGATCACGTGAATTACTATCCAGAAGCTTCTCATGTAAATACTATAAAGAAACTAACGTTGTATCTGTTTCTGCCTTCGCCTTCGGCTTCATATTTCCATTTAACCTTGCTTATTGGAATATAATCTTTTCTTGTTCAACCGTGTTTTTTGATTCTTTGGAACTTGTCCAGTGTATTGTGTGGTCAGAGAATACTAAGCAATAGGAATTAGCCGGGAATTATTCAAGAAAGCGTTACAACAATTTACAAAAAATTACGACACAAACAACAAACTCAATAATAATAATAATAATAATAATAATAATAATAATAATAATAATAATAATAATAATAATAGACAATATCACATACTTGGCTGCTGCTGATGCTGCTGAACTAGCAGTTGTTGTTGTTGTAGAAGAGAATTCATCTAAATTCTTATTACTATTATCCAAACAAGATAATGGATATGTTGACCATAAGAAATGTAGACTAGTTTGTAAAAGCATTGCATTTTGTTTAACTCTTTGCTTGAATAATACACCATTGCGACTAGTTTTTGGTATAGCAAATAACAATGAACAACAACAATCTAAAAGTGCTATTTCAAATGAATTGAATTGAGCTGATGGTCTGAAAGATGAAAATAATGATAATAATAATAATAATAATAATAATAATAATAATAAAAGAATAAAGAAACATGAATTGAAAAAAAACGAGAGACAAGTTTGAATTGACAACTTTTACTCATAGTTAACATCGTACATAGATAAACAACTCTTGAGAGCCAAAAAATGCTGAACTATCGTTATTTCCGAGTATGAGACTTCATCAAAGCAGTGTGCATCTCCGACCCCATTGAGGACTGAATGGACGAGTGTTTGTTTGATCTTTAGGTGACTGATCTAGTGTGTAATAGTTTACTTCAATAAATTCATGATATTTCAACCGAGTGAGCAACGCTGTTATTAAGAAAAACAGGTGCTAGGTAAGAATGGCAGATCAATAGATGAAATAATGAAACTTCATCAGTTGAGGTGGTTAGGACATGTGTTACGCACGCTCAATCACCGACTGACTCATCGAGTGATATTTTGTGGTGTAGGAATAGGCTGGACGAAAGATAGGGGCGGCTAGACCAAAACATGGCACAAATGAATGAAGTCATTCACAAGTGGACTGAGTCATTTCGGTAGGTATCGACTAACTGGTTGGGGTCCCCGAGATGTTGGTAATCGATGGTTAAAGACCCTGAATGACATGGCTCAAAACCGTTTGCAATGATGTAGGTGCATCCACTCTTTGTCTTCCCTCAGATTCTAACCTTCTGAATTCTTCCTCATCTTTATCGCTCTTTTTTAAAATTTATTTCACTTGGTTCCACTTCTTGAATAATGTCTTCTAATCTTAAACTCTCCGACTACTTCTAATACTTTTATTACCTCTACTACTACTACTTCTAATACCCTTACTACCTCTACTACTATATGATTTGAAGTGACTATTGAGTCTCTGTGCTAATGTAGTATGGCAACATGAACTGATGTACGTACGTACGAAGTTCTTCGTTTCTATTGATTGATTGAATTCATGATACTGAGCAACCAACCTCTAAAGTAGTAACATGCAGGTAACTGTCTCACACTTGATATGGCTGAACTCTGCTGATTATTGGCTTCTCTTTAAAACTCCAAGAATAATTGCTTAAAACTAGAGTTACTAGTGAGCACATCACTAATATTACTTATAGGAGGTTCGTCTGATTGTTACAACATAATTTGCTTTGAATTAGAAAACTACTGAAAACCGGTAGCCTCCACAAGCTCTCTATAGTAATAAAATTATTCAACAATGATAGTCTAAAGTAAAAGGCAAACAATTGAGTGGTAGATGGTTGGCTATCTAGTCGGAAGAAAGCTCTGCATTTTCTGGAATTCTTCAAGAAATCAACACTTTCTTCAGAAAGTTCGAACTCATGCTAACCTGATGTCACTCTATCAACAGTCTTACCACAGAGTCATGTAAGATATAAATGACGTTTACACTGGTTTATGTTGATGTGAAAATGAGGCACTGAAAACTATCTAAACCTAGGTTGTTCGAATTTCAATAACATCTAAACTTCTGTCGATAGATCGTTTAAGGAAAACGCGCAAACTTGTGTAAAGTATTCGATTACTGAAGAAAAATGTTTACCTAGTTATCAACGATCATTCAGTTATGTAGAGCGTCAAAGTTAACATTTTAAAAAAACTCCCCACCAAATAATGACTAAAATATGAGATTATAGACTATAGACTTTTATATTCTGTGACACATTCTTCGCACTGCCTTTTAGAGAGATATTTATGTCACATACTATCATACAAAAGACAGTTGAAATATATAATTTTGAAGTAAACGTTGAAAACAGTTATTAATGAAGCATACTAGACAGTCAAGTCTATTGTCACTGCGAGCATAATTCCTATGCTTCCACATAAACTACAACAATATTATCATCATCATTAACAGCAAGGTAGAACTTCGTACGTAAGTACAGCAGTTCAAGTTGTCGTACCACGTTAGCAAAGACATGTAATTGTCAATTCAAATCCCATAGTAGTAGTGTGGTGTGAGCTACTTATAAGTAGTATATGACGTGAGTGTCAACGTAATGTCTGGCAGTAGAAGATGGGGGAACATCAAGAAAGGAAGAAGAGTGGGAACACAATGGAATTTGTATGAAACGCATGAATAGTGACAATGGATTGATGTTTTGCAACAGGAACAGTCCAGTTCAATATGATGAACTGTTATTTTGCAAATGAACGATTTACGATATGGTTTTCCAATTTTACTGAGTAACTCTGTAATTTTCGTTAAATACAATTCGGTTGCCCCATCTGTGTTCTTGTTCACTACAGTAGAGGTAGTAAAAGTATTCGAAGTTATCGGAGAGATTAGAGTTCGAAGATATTATTCAAGAAATATAATTCAGTTAGGCAAATTAAGAAAGAGAAATATTGTGGTGATCAGGAATTCATAGGGTTGGAATTTCATAGAACACAAAGAGTAAATGCAGTTGCGCCATTGCGAACGGTTTTGAGCCATGTCATTCAGGGTCTCTAACCATCGATTACTATCATTTCGCGGGCCCCAACCAGGTAGTCGATACCTACCGACAGGTCTCAGTCCACTTGTCAATGACTTCATTCATTTGTGCCATGTTTCGGTTTGGCCGCCCCTAGATTTCTTCCAACCTATTTCTACATCGCAAAACATAGCTCGACGAGGCAACACATGTCCCAACCACCTCAACTGATGAAGTTTCAAAACTTCATCTATTGATCTGCCATTCTTACCTAGCACCTAACAACAACCTAGCACCTTTCCTAACAACAGCATCGTTTATTCGGCAGTCCCACGATACTTGAGCAATGCTTCAGAGACAATATTGTACATTTAATTAATTACTGAACAAATATTACACTGAATAAAAAAACATGATTCAGCATTTTATGTCGTTCTAATATCGTCTGATGACTATTGCTACTACTCACTGTTACTACTAGTACTACTACTAGTAGTAGTGTAGTAGTACTAAATCTTTATAATAATCCACACACTCACTTTAATTGATCTAAATTAATTTTCAAAAAATCAATGATTGCATCCATTTTCTTTTCATCAGAAAATGTCATCAAACCAAGTAGACTTGCAACATCCACACTAATATTTGGTATATTTGGATGAGTTGTAATAAAATTCAAAAGGAATTTAATTGAATTCAAATCAACTAAATTGGTGATATCTTTAAAAGAAGAAACATTGAAAGAAATGTGATATTTTTTTAAAAACATAGTTATTGCAATAACATTTACAATGATTAAGTAAACATGCGAATATATATTGACTTAGAAGAACGCAATCGAAGTACTTCTCGTATGACTGATGGGAAAGAGCCTTTGTCGTCATTCGCTCTTAGTTATGAATGTAGGATTTAATTTTTCATACAGATGTAATTCTACAACGGTAAACGTAATATTGGCGAGCACAGAGTCTATGGGAAAGCTATAGTCAGAACAAGATCAACTTTTGCTTTAAACTTTATCTGTTTCTAAACATAAAAACAATTAGATTAGTACAATTAATTAATAAGGAAATTACAGTTATCAAGTAAACCCAGTAAACATACTGACCAACATAGCGTATCTTATGGAAATGAATAAAACTATAAGTCACATCAATATAATAAAATAATGATGTCCTTCAATTAGTAGGTCATTTACAACAAAGAAAGTTTACCAACGCGTCAGATCAGATCACGTGGTGGGCGCTTAAACCACAATTTGATTGGTTACTTATGACATAACTACAATTAGTTATGGAAATAACTAACAATGAACTCTTAGAAATCACCGGAAGGTTCATGTATTTGAGTAGTTGTGAGACTGCCGTTCGACATGTGGTAGACATGATCCATTCATGTATTAATGAAAGCTAGAGCAAATCATCTCAATTTAAGCAATCTAATTAAGGAGGGGTCAAGATGTTGGTGCGTCTCTATAAGGTTGGATTGTTCAAATGTTGGTGATACCATTTCTGCTCTATATTGAAGAAATTGGACTCCTCAACTCTGAGCTGAGGACGTCTAGCGACTTTCGTATTTCATTATCAGTGTCTACTCATTCATGAGTAGTCTACCTTTTTTTCCGCGCCATTGAATCCACAACTTATATGTATTCGATTAGATCGTCATCAGGCTTCGCTCTAATATACATGAATATTCATATGAAAATGTTAAACCAATCAAGGCAATTTGAGTAATAATTCAATAGTGTACACCCGGCAATCACCTTCACTGGTGAAGAGGAATATGATAAAAAAACTGACTTTCCTTGACATCACACTAAGTAGGCGAAGTGATGGTTCACTAAGTAGAAGCGTGCATAGAAAAAACCCGACTGCTTGCCAATACACTCACTTTTGTAGTTTTACACCTATCCGCTACAAAAGAAATTTGGTTACATATCTCACTGACAGAGCAAATATGATATGTTCAGTGGATACTTTAAGTCAGGAACTGGAATTCATCAACGGCTCACTAACCGAGATTGGTTATCCCAGCGCATTCATAAAGAAGTATATGTTTGCCGTAAAAAAGAAGTCGGTGGCTTCGACTGCCCAAAAGAAGCCTTTATTTATGAAGTTACAATTCAACGGAGATGTGGCCTGCGATACTCTGCAGGACAGATTAATAACAGTAATTAATAGAACATTCAACGCTGAAAAAAACTTGCATTGACGTAATCTTTTCCCTTTCATTGTGATTATGACTCAAATTGCCTTGATTGGTTTAACATTTTCATATAAATAAATATTCATGTACATTAGAGTAAAGCCTGATGACGATTTAATCGAAAACAATATTGTTCGCTTATATGCGTTGTTCTAATTTTCATAATGGGAATATTTAATATATATGTATTCAATATGTTGTTAATAACTGTCTCGACTCGGTTATTTTGTTTAAATTAATGAATACAACTCACAGTAGTGGAATGAAATGAAATAGAATTTTCTCTGTGTGTTGTTATCATTGTAAAAAAAGTATTTCTTATAGTAAATTCACTAACCTGACTGTAACAATTCACAAGAACTCATAGTTGCATTCAACTTGTTATCAACTAATTCAAGGAATGATTTCAACACGGTGATTAAACGTTTAGTGATATTTTCAGCAATATCTGTCGATTGTTGATACTGATAAAGATGATGATGATGAGATTTTTGTTGATTTGATTGAAGGCATATAATCAATGTATGCAATAATCTGGGCACAGCTCTATAAATAGTCAACGCAAAAATGAAGAATATGAAAGGAAAAGGAAGGATTAGTCAAAAAAAAAAGAACATTTGAAAGAAATCATTTCTTGTTTACACTACTCTTTTTAATTAACAAAACAATACCGAACAGAAGCGATGAGTTTTATAAATATTGAAACTACTTTCTAACAACATCATAGTCTTCGAAATTCCGACAGAAAAGATAAGAAATATGAAAGAAACTCAACTGGAAGGTTAGTTCATGTTAAAAAAACGTGACATTAATAAGTTTATATGCTACATTGCGATACTAACAGCTACTGGAAACATGCCAAAAACTAGTAAAGAAATAGATAAGTAAGTATTCAATTTAGACATGGTACAAATTAATTTTATAGCTTTGTAGAATTCTTCTGGAAGGTTCTAAGGTACGTTATTGATTGGACAACACTTTCACAGTTTTCGTGAACTTATTCGAGGAATTATTCAAGTCTTCCGATAAAGAGTCGGAGAGATGAAATCAACTGTTGATGATTCAAGTGAACGAATTAAATTCACCTTATGATTATGCATATCTGAGTGGTATCTGATTATTTATCTCGTAAGTAAAAAAGTATTGATGGAATATGGTAATACAAACTAAGTTATCCACATATACATTGAAATCATGAATCAATTATTGTTAAACCATTATTAGAAACCTGGAAGCACTGGGTAGCTGTTTCGTCCTTGTGTAGGACTCATCCATCAGTACGCGCATCCACGACTCCTGCTACTCATACGATTCGAACCCAGGAGCTTCTGTCTTGTGCGTGAACACCTAAACTCTGGACCACTGGGCCAGCATGAAACGGTGTTAACTTCTAACTCTGATTAATCAAGAGATTATGCGCGATCTCACCATGTCGTGTACGGATTAGTTGTATGACGTTTTAATCTTTGAATGAGGAAAAGTAGAAGTTCTCCTATAAATTTAAAAACTTGTCCTTCATTTACTCTCATCGAATGATATTAGGATAAATACAATTAAAAGCATATTGACTGTATTAACTAGCCGTAGCAGCAGAGTAGCATTGATATCTTTGTCTACTAGAGTGAGAACTCTTATTCATCTTATGAATAAAACTAATCAAACAGATATATAGACGTACGTATTTTTTTAAAAAACGAACCCAATTGTGTTTACTACTCAAAACAAGTCATGATCAATTAGAATTTCACCAGTTCAAATTCTCTGTATAGTTCAAAATGTGAAGAAAATAAGACTGAAATTCGCATGTGTATAAAACAGTAGTGATAATGGAGTTGAGATAAGTGATTTGATCATTTAAAAAATTGGGATTCTGTCAATCACAAATCATAAAAATAATAAGGCTGTCAATTGGTCTTGGACAAATAGTGTTCAAAATGATGCCCATTGATATCAGTGAGAATGAAATCAAAGCAATAAAATAATGAAGAACACAATAATAGGGAAAAACCAAACCAAACCAAACCAAATCAAACCTACTTAATATCAGGATCCGTAAGATGTTCTATGCAAGTTGGTATTTTCAAACAATACTCTAATATATGAACAATCACATCGATTAAATCACGATTATATACAGCATTCTGTGAACTAGCTAAACGTTTCAATAAATCACCTAATCCATTTGGATGTGTCACTAACACTGACAGATGTGAATATTGTTCAAATGGAATTTGTTCTGAGGATAAATTCTCGACATATGGTAAATTATCAGCTTCTAGTCCAGGTATACGATATCGTAAACGCATAGGTTTATTTACCTGCAAAAAAGATTATTATTATTATTATTATCACTGTTATTATGCAATGTTTTATATTGTCAATGAATCTCAAGTTCAGTTACATCTCACAGATTGTCAATCAATTAGTCAGTCATGAGTAAAACGTAACGCCTACAATATACGCGTGTATTGGTTCAATATAACAAACCTTGTTGGTACAGCTACATAAAATTATCAAGATAAATGCCAGAATAGTAAAATTAATAGAAAATATCACACATGGGACAATGGGATTCCAGAGGAATGAAAATATAAAATTATCTTAAAACTTTGGATCTAAAGGGAAACGATAAAGAGTGAAAGTAACTACGCGATTGTAACCAATTCTAAACAACGTTACACATAGACCACAGTAAAGACTTCGAAGTACACAGTTAACACATCAAGAAAGAAAGGTTATGTGATTGGCTTTTCAATCTACACGATTACTGTTTAATTCAGTTTCTTTTTCAGATACTTCAAATAGAAGTATTATTTTATAGTGTGCGCAACTGAAGAATAACATTTGACCAAGTGTCCCTTACAGTACTCAAGATTATCATGTTCACTATACGAATCAACTTACGATAATTATTGAAGATTGAGAAGCACTGAACTATTAATTTGTTCAAGTCTGAGACTCTCCCTAAAAATTTTCGCCAACGACCGCATTGTCGATCGAATCTACAGGGGTTACAGTGTGGTGTGTACCACTTACAATGAAACTTATAAGTAGTATAAAGTAAATATGCAGTAGAGTGTCAACCCAAAGTTACGGACGAAACGAAGGCTGCTGTATTCCGATGCATCAAGCGATCGAAATGTTTTGAAGTATAGAAGATACGCGGGAGAAGACAGCTATGAATACGCTTTTTGGCTAGTAGATAATATCTTCAAATAAGTTGTTTATCCTACCTAGTCTTCCGTTTTCTTCTGTTACAATAGGAACTGTGTTAGCTGTCAACTACTATATTAGCATCTTATCACTTATGTTAGATACGGAATAGAAAAGATGAAACATATAAACAAAATACATCGTCTAACTTTTCTGGCGTCCTGATTAGACAGGTTAGTGGAAGAAATAAATTATGCTAGGCAGCTGGCGTCAGTATACTTAAAGGGCAAAATAGTTTAAGCGAAGGTCATTAGTATTATTGACTCAATAAATTAATGATCCTGCTGAGTGAGCGAACTGAAGTTGAATTCATATGTCTAACTAAAGTTAATTTAACACTTGGATAATCCAGTTTGTTTTAATGATATTACCCAACAATCTGTAATGAATAGTTTTAGAAATTATTTTATTTTTTTTTTGAAAAAAAAACTCATTCACTTACATTATTCCGATTAGCACACCATATTTGAGTGTAAACATCATGAAGACGTAGTTGAGGCATAAGTATTTGTCCTTCACATACTATTTCTAGCCGCATATCTGTTGTCAAATTATTAGCATCACATATAAAATCAATTAGATTATGTATACGTGGACCCAAACCTCGAGTATCAGATCTGTTGTAAAAATGAATAAGATGAAATGGAATAATCGGATGAAATGATAAGCATGGTAAGTAACAAGTTAAATACCACATTCAAGTCTCTGTGAGAGAAAAATATCATCTGAAATCATCAATCAATCATTGTTAGACCACCATTAGAAACCTGGAAGCACTGGACGGCCGTCAAGTCCTGGTATTGAACTCAGCGCATCCACGACTCCTGCACCTCGCAGGATTCGAACCCGTGACATTCGGTACTGTGCTCGAACGCCTAACCATCAGACCACTGGGCCGGCATCCAACGGTGTTAATGTCTAACTCTTGCGAGCTGCAGGAGTCGTGGATGCGCACTACTGATGAGTCCCATAAAAGGACGAAACGGCCGTTCAGTGCTTCCAGGTTTCTAATGGTGGTCAAACATTGATCGATTCATGATTTCAAATGTGTAAAAACACGAATTTCCAAAACTCTGCCCGAAAAAATATCATCATCAAATAACAGATATTAAACAATTGTGTATGAAGTTCAGTAAGGGGGCTAGGGGTAATTACTAGTTATGTAACAGCTGAGGCTTATTATTCTAGTATAAACTGGTTCTGTGATCGACTAGACAGCATAAAAACTGACAAAAAATAAATCTTCAATGATAATGAAGCCACGGTTTAATATGGAATGACAGCAATGCGGCTTTGTAGGTCACCAAGAAACTGACAAAACGACAACAGCTAGTCAGATAACAATAGCTAAAGTTATTGAAGAAATACAAGTCAGTACAAAAGCCTAAAAGGTTATCGTTTAAAGAAACAACTAACAAAAACTAGATTATAATAACATAAGCTCTCTGTTTAGCAGCATTAGCACGAAATTAATACTCGCATAAACAAACTAGCGGGTTAATAAAACAAAAAGTCTACACTAAAAAAAAAAACAGGAAGTTGTAAGAAATCGCAATGAAATCGATAATTATTTTGATTTTGGGCCGAGCGGTTAGTGTTTAACTATTTTCAGCTACTAGGTCGCTTAGTCGAAACCTACACTACCTACTTCGGTTCAAGCAACCGACATCATTAGTATCATTAGTACAGGCAGTGTAGCTCAAAACTGACTGCACAAATCTGTATCTGGTAAGTTCGGTCAACAACATTACCAATTCAGAGTCACATTTTTCTGGCATCGGAGAAAATGTAATCTGAAAAATAATATCTACACTAAAACGAAAACGATAGACAGGGCCGGGGGGATGGGGGGGGGAACTCACAAAACCTAAGTCGTTTGTCATAAGAGATCATTGAAATAATAATTAATTGTATAATAAGATAACAATATACACAATGTTATGCTTGAATGCTATTACGAGTTCACCTTAGTCGGTAAACGAGAGCGAAGACAAATCATCCAGTGGCTCGATAGGCTACTCTAATCCGAGCAACCCAAGCCACCACTAAGTAGAAGAAGAAGCCTTTATATGGCCTAGAAAGTGTATTCTACAAGCACCCAGAAAATCGGGGTCTTGTACAGAAGAAGAAGAGGAGCATAAAACTTTACAGACAATGCATATTTATACAGTTAGGTCGATCGTGAATACTAACCAATAGGAGATAACATTTAAAAGTATAGGAACTTGATAGTTCAGAACGACCTTGAATACTGACCAATAGGAATTAGACTTATAAAATACTTCCTTTAGGATATTTGATGCATATCCTAACACACAACGGATTAACAGCATAAATGACAAATGACACTAATTAACTTACGGTAAAATTTCAATTCTTGATCTAGCCAATAGATAATCTTCATGTGGACGCCATACTTCCAATTTAATTTGAAATACTGACTGATCAATATCCAATGGACAGACTGGTGTGCACAGGCGATGTAATAAATACGTAGCAGATCGATGATCATCTATTGGATACTCAGCTAAGACGTCTAATACCGTCTGATATATCAGAGATAATAAGAAAAACAAAAGAAAGGGATATTCAGAATAGATTGAGCGATTATCAATAAACTTGTTAAAATAATCAAGAAAACAAGTTATAAAACTTATAGTAACTAGGCATTATTTTCATAGCAAAAAAATTCTGTGCAACATTGAAAGTGAATTTTTCTAAAAAAAAGATGAATTTTTATCTGGCTGTGTAGCTCAAGACTCATATTTCGTTAAGATTTAGGATTCATCTGAAAAATAGTGGGGATAACGTGTCAAATATTTGAAACGAAAAGTTTTGTGTTCCAGTTCTAGCGTGAACATGAACGCAGATAAAAGTATATCCAGCTGATAAGTTCAAAAAAATTTTAGGGAAGCGAACGTCCGGAATTCCACTGCTAGCCAAAATTCAATCTGTTCTATAAAAACTGGTAAAAATGGTTATATCGAGGCAAGTGGCATTGGATGAAGAATAAGCGAACGAAAAGTGGTGGTGTCTCGTTCTCTGAGCTGAATGTTTTGTTTGTGAAGTTTTCATTACCTTTCTGAACAACATCATCAGCATAAACTTCAGAAGGAAAATGAAAGCTCCAAAACCGAAATATTCAGCTCAGAGAATGAAACGCCACCACAACGAAGAGTGTTCAAAATCCAATCAAGGTTAATCATCAACGTGATGATTCAAGCTCTCTCTATAATCATGACATTTCTAGATCAGTAAAATCTAAATCAAATATTTTGAAGTAGTCATTGTTCTTAAGCTAGTCTAAACACACACACACACACACACGTGTACGTAGAGTCTGTACACAATAAAGAAATGATTTTTTGTTGGAGTTCTGAGATATAATCATGAAACATAGTTTACGTACCATTCTCATACTACAAACTAATATCGATGTTAAAAACTACAGTTTATTGATTATTTAGTGTTAACGACCAAACAAATTTAAGTATTACTCATGAAATTTCTTTTATATATCGCAAGATAATTCATTTGTAGATTCCAGTCGGTCAGTCAGTTACAACGTAGAACTTCGTACATGAGTACATCAGTTCAGGTTGCCATACCACATTAGCACAGAGACGCAGTTGTCAGTTCAAATCTCATAGTGGTAGACATAGCAGAAGTATTAGTGGTAATGGAGAAGATTAGGGTTCCAAGATATTATTCAAGAAGTACTATTCAGTGAGATAATAGCTGCTACCTTGTCGTGGTGGTCAGGCTTGCCTATCGTGATGACTCAACTAAGCTATATTGGCTGCAACATATGTTCCCGTAGGTTCCATCATGCCAGGCAGGTCGATTGGAGAACGACGAGACTAAGAGTAACAACTCAGGATCTAAGGGTCAAGTCGTACTGCTGACTGTAGCTGGGTGTGACACCAGTAAAGTGTCTCCCTTGGAAAACCAACATCTGCAGTGATGATTCAAGGAAGGAAGGGGTTAGAAAAAGTCGACCCTAAAAATGTTACACCGCACCATACCTCACGGATTTCCGTCTCCGGCGGTAAGGACTTTTAAACAAGAGTGGAGCTAATACTTTAAAAACTCATCATAAAAAGGCCGTGCGTGACCAGCCTCAAGCAGCTGTCCCTTGGGCTCTGCAGTCAGGCTCCTAGATCTCTAAGACAGACGCTAATCTACCTTTCCTTCCAGGTTCTTTAAGAAACATCCTTCCACGGTGTGGGCAGCCAGGAAGTGACATCCGCCCTCGTAACCATAATAGCACACGAGACCGAATTGGTCACAATCAAGCCCTTCCATTTGTAGATTTATAAACTTGCTGTTGTTTTTCTAACACCGATTTTATTGACAATACAAATAATGAAAAATGAAATAATATCACAAGAATAAATAAAAAAAAACCCAGATATGAAACTTACCGATAGAAATTCTTCAATTTGTATACCCGAGACACCGGTCAATTCAGCAAGCATAGAATCAAATACAGTTTGAGCTTTTACAGTACAATCAGTACGTTGAAATACTAAATATCTTAATTGAACACAAGCTGGTAGCAGAACATGCAATAATTGATTTTGTTGTGATCTGGTCAATTGTTTCTAAGAAATTAAAAGAAATGAATGACAAATATCAACAGGGATTAATGTAGGAGAACAGATCGACGACTACAGGATCAACTATCCATCTATCTATCGATCTGTGATAGCCCCATCCACACTTGGACCATTTACTTAAACAATCAAATTTAATCTGTCCAAATTTCATACTATTAATATATACAATTTCATATGATGTCACATCATAGAATACAGCATACGAAATCATATATATACATTCTGTTAGGTTTGATCTGTCAGTCAGTCAGTCAGATGCAACGTAGAACTTCGTACGTAAGTACATCAATTCATGTCGCCATACCACATTAGCACAGAGATGTAATTATCAATTCAAATGCAATAGTAGAAGAGGTAGTAAGGGAATTAGGAGTAATCGAAGAGGTTAGGATTAGAAGAAATTATTCAAGAAGTATGATTTAATGAGAAAAGTTTAGAAAGTTAAAACTAGAGTTGTTGAAGAATCCAGAAGATTAGGATTTGAGAGAACACAAAGAATAAATGCTCCGGCGCCATTGAGAACGATTTTGAGCCATGACATTCAAGGTCTCTAACCATCGATTATTATCATCTCGCGGACCCCGAACAGGTAGTCGACAATTACTGACATGGCTAAGTTCACTCATCAATGACTTCATAGGTTTGATCTGTAGAACATGGGGTATTAAAATAATCAGACTGATTTCGGTTGTACTAAATAATTTTCTGACTGTCCCATCAAGATGTATTTTTAAATTTACATTAAGCTTTATGTGTGTTATGTATGCTTTAAACATTGACATATATAATCGATAAGATTATCTGACTCTATCAGTTATCCTTGATTACAGGCAATAATATGGTCAATAGGAAAAGATTATTTTTCTCAAATTAGATTCATACATACAACTGTAATCTTAATAGGCTTTTCTTTACTTTTCAGAACAAATGTCTCATATGCATTACAAATAATAGTGATTTCAATATTTTTTAACAGGACTGAATGACGACCGGTTGAGTATGTTTGACTATATTTGCTTGAGAAGCTTGAATTAGATTACTGGGCGAGACCTTGGATTTACTTAAAATTCAATTGTTGAGACTTTAGTGAATACAATTTTCCTTCTCAATGTCTTACATTAACTCACAGCCGAACTACTGTGAAATTATCCGTTCAAATTTAAACGAAAATACTTATAATATTTAATCGCGAGGTATCTATGGCGATTAATGCATCTGTCTACATGTTTGGAAATAAAAAGAACTTATGTAGTGATAACATAAAGATTGATTACCGCATACGATAGACAGACAGACACAACGCAGAAATACGTACATAAGTACATCAGTTCAGGTTGCCATACTGCATCAGCACAGAGACGCAACTGTCAGTTCACATCCAAGAATGACAACGATAGTAGAAGTATTAGCAGTAATGGAGAAGATTAGGGAGCGAAGATATGATTCGAGAAGTATAATTCAGTGAGATAAATTTAGAAGGAGAAAGGTAGAGATTATGAGGAATTCAGAAGGTTAGAATTAGAGAGAACACAAAGACCGAAACTGCTACCTTGACGTGGTGGTCGGGCTTGCCTATCGTCATGACCTAACCGAAATATATTGGCTGCAACATATGTTCCTGAAGGTTCTATCATGCCAGGCAGGTCGGTTGGAGAACGATGAGACTAAAAGCAGCTACCCAAGTCTCACTGCTGACTATAGAGGAGTGTGATAGCAGTAAGGCGTTTCCCTCGGACAGTCAGCATCTGCAGTGATGCTGCCTTCTCACAAAGAAGGAAGGGTTAGAAAAGGTAGACCCTAAAAATGTCACACCTCACCCTACCTCACGGATTTCCGTCTTCAGTGGTAACGGTGCCCATTAAGGTCTTTTAAGAGCGGAGCTAATATTCTAAAAACCAAGCAGTTGTCCCTTGGGCTCTGCGGTCATGGTCCCAGGTCGTTAAGACCAACACTAATCTACTTTACTTCCCATGTTCCTCAAGAAACACCCTTCCACGGTGTGGGCAGCCGGAAGGTGACAACCGCGTTCATACCCGTAACAGCACGCGAGACCGAATCGGTAATAATCAAATCCTTCCTACACCCTCAAATATCTCTCTTTTCTCTACGATTACCGCATATGACAGCATAAACAACAACTGGTACCTGTACCTACTCTATAAATCAACAACCAGAATGGAAATTAAGGGAACACAAATATCTGAGCTGCTGGATTTAGACAAAAATTCAGGGAGTGTAAATAAGAAAAAAACTGGTAATAACTGGTACAAGGCTCGACTAAATTTTCAGTTCTAATCAATTCCGGTAAATTAATTTCTTCCAAATTACTTAACCGATGATCTATGACGGCATAATCAAGACAGCAATTCACTTAAAATACAGAATGTAATGAAATAATCTCAGTGTTCACTGACTTGAATATTATGTAGTGAAGATGAGATACTTGACAATGTGTCATACAGTAACATCACAATCTCAGATGTTATTATCAAACTATTCAGATTGCAACTCACCTTACTGTAAAACTAAGCTATCTTACAAAGTATTGATCAGTGATTAGTGAATAAGTGTAATATTTGTTAAGTCTTTCAGTGTTGTAGATAGAATGATCACTAGCTTAAGTGACTCGATACTGCGTGCACTACATATGGATGCAAAATAGTTGGAGATAGAATAATTTAATAAGAAACCCTAAACTCTGTACAGTCAACACTAAGGACTAGATGAACAATAACACAGATCACTTACTACCTCATGATCAATAAATCAATGGAATAACTCAAATATGTTCAGTTCAAACATTTTCAATATCACAATTATATCCCTCTGACTAATATTCTAATTATACCTAGAGTGATGATTTCTAAATAACCAACTGAAATATATCAATTTAACTAAGGGACCATAAATAATAATAATAATAACTTACTAGAGGTTTAAGTACACTTAATAACTCTGCAACTAATGCGATTGCATAACCAGGCGCACCTCCATTACATGAACCAGAACCACTAGTTGGACTTAAAGTGGCAGCCATCAATTCATTCCAATAACCAACAGGTACTGATTCGATACGAGTCATTTGAAGTAGTAATTTACGCATTAAAATTCTCACATACCCTATAAAGTAGATTATTATATATGGGGAATAATTATTATATATATATATTTCATTGATAAATAAAAAGGGTATGAGTATGATATATAATTAGGATACATATAGTAACACTTAATGAATTTAAGGTTTTAATGAATTGAAATTCACAATGTGCTTCAAGTTTAAGCGATTTGACATTGTGACTAGTGTACATTCAGATGTTGGGTGATTGGATCTAATCGACACGAAACTATGCTCCACCTAGGTTTCGTTTTAGTTAGACCTAATCAGTAATGCATATCTACAATATTGAGTAATTGTTCATTGTTAGATCATCATTAGAAACCTAGGAGCACTGGATGGCCGTTTCGTCCTACTATAGGACTCATCACTACTGCGCAACCCACAACCCCCTCTGGCGAGAATCGAACAATGATCGATTAATAATCTCAAAAAACTCAATAATCTCTGTAAGTTTAGTGAAAAATAATAAAATGTGTCCACTAAATTCGTAAGGGAATTCTAAGAGTTTTTGTTTGAAGCTGTGACCAGTGGAGTTCAACCCTGTCGGGTGTAAACAGTTACCTACTGAACATAATGGGTGAGGTTGCGCAATATCAGGTACTGATTAAAGTAAGACATTAACATAGTTGGATACGGGCTCAACAGTCCTGAGGTTAAGAGTTTGTGCACGAGACTGAAGGTCCTAAGTTAGATTTCAGTAAGCGGGAGTTGTGGGTACGCATTGCTGATGAGTCCGATACTAGGATGAAGAGGCAGTCCAGTGCTTCCAGGTTTCTAAAAGTAGTCTAACAATGACCGATCCATAATTTTAATGAAATCTTGAGTAAATTAATGCTCCCCACCATAGTGAGACAGGAGCTCGCATTGCTATGAGACGTCGAACTTGATCAGTTGCTATTCATTAAGCAATCAGTCAGTTATACAGGGGTCAGTTACGCTACGCATATTTCGGTAAAATAGCTACACATAGTTTAAATAGCTCATGTTGATAAAATCGTAAGAATGGTCGATATAGGTTTCACAATGAAACTACCAAGCTCAGAGAACAAGACTCTATTAAAACTCATAGTACATCTCTGAATGCACAGCACTATATGGTATAAATGAAAATCCCACAGAAATACATCAATCGAATTGGATGCGTAAAAACTATCTCTCAAGTTAATGGGTGTCGACTAGAGATCCAACGCATCAAAATAAAATTGCAACCATGCTTTAGAATATCGATTACAACAAATTAACAATATGTTGTTGTAATTACTATATAATAGCTAAATATAGAAGCAGATTAATACAAGAGAATATATATATACATATATATATATATATATATATCCAAATTAAACTAACCTAAAAAGTTTCCTTTAATTAATAAATAAGGTATAAATGGTGATTTCGATATACTAATTTTATTCTGATCCGATACATTATTATTATTAATGTTGTTGTTAGTAGTAGTATTAGTATTAGTAGTAGTAGTATGTTTCCTTTTTTGTCCAATTGAACCATGTTCCAATTCTAATGTAGTTAGTTGACGAAATTCCGTGACAAAAATATCTCCAGCAGTTGTAGTAGTCATAGTTGTAGACGAATTATTTCGTGCTACCGATGATGCTGCTGTCACCGTAGACGCTGATGCTGCTGCTGACGATGATGATGCTGCTGAAGTTGAAGATGTTGATGTACGTTCAGTAAGTAATAAATATGCATCACGTGTTGATGCTAATTCATCTAGTCGTGGAACACAAATTTCAGTAAGATATCGTAATACAATACATCGACGTTTATTGAATAAAATCTTTAAACTCTTGTAACAGTATGATGTATTGATGGATTGAGTATTATTATTAGTAGTAGTACTACTACTACTACAATTACCACTAACAGTTTCTACAGAAATTTGTTTTGGTACAATGCTTGATGTAATCGCACGCAGTAATTTCATACAGTCGTATACACCGCGTGCATTTGAATCTGGTGGTGAGAATAGAATATTGGTAAGCCAATTATCAGAAGAAATACGATCCGCTTTGATGAAAGCTATAATAAGTTATTTTTTAACAGAAAAGAGAAAAGACAGTGAGAAAAATATCAGAGAAAAGTAGATAACATATGCGTATACACTCAGCCAATCAAAAGTAGATATCAAAAGAAATGCTGTTTACAATAATGAATAAATAGGTCAAATTTACTAATAACCCTACTTCATTCACATTTATTAACTTAGATGTTCAAGAAAAATTTCAAACATGAAGTTTATAGATTGAACTCATACTCAATCTGTGTTGTCTAGCATTTCAGTCAGTCAGTTACAACGTAGAACTTCGTTTGGACGAATATAAGTTCAGGTTGCCATAACACCTTAACACAGAGACGCAATTGTTAGTTCAAATCCCGTAGAGGTAAAGATAATAGAAGCACATTAGTAGTAAGTAATGGAGAAAATTAGGGTTCAAAGATATTATTCAACAAGTAGAATTCAGTGAAAAAATACATAAAAATAAAAAGATAAAGGTGGTGAGGAATTATGAAGATTAGAATTTGAGAGAACACAAAGAGTGAATGCACCTGCGTCATTGAAAACGATTTTGAGTCATGTCGTTCAAGGTCTCTAACCATCGATTGCTATTATCTCGTGGACCCCAACCAGGTAGTCTACATCTACCGACATGACTCAGTCCACTTGTCAGTGATTTCATGCATTTCTGCCATGTTTTGGTTTGGCCGCACCTAGCTTTCGTCTAAGCTATTCCTAAATCGCAAAACATATCTCGACGAAGCAGTCAGTGGCTGGACATTCGTAACACATGTCCCAACCACTACAACTGATGAAATTTCATTACTTCATCTATTGATCTGCCTTTCTTACCTAGCACCCGCCTCCAAATAACAGCGTTACTCACTCGGGTGTCCCACGATATACGAGCAATGCTTCGGACACACTTATGATCGAAAACCAGTAACCGACGAATATCTTCTACTCTCACGGGCCATGTTTCGCATCCATATAGTAGGATGGGATAAACTGCTGCACAGTAGATGCAATGATCTTTCAGTTCTATCCATCATAACTAATTCATTATCAATGATTACCATATAATTAATGCTTTATAATGGTACCCAGATCATGACTACACAACTGTTGTGTGAACAAGACGAAATAGTGATTGGTTGATTTCTTAGACAGACTTGTAGATAGTTTGAGACGTATCAGATAAGCTTCATATATTATGCCCTACCCCTTGTATATAGTTGATTGTTGGCTAATTTACCTACTAGTCAGGAGAATTACGTGTTCTTGATTTGAATTGTGTTGAAGTCTGGTAGAACCACGTTGACTGGGTATCTGGTGTAAAGTGAACGAATTGTAAACACATATAAATCGCTTTTTGTTTGTTCTAAGCATACATGTGTAACTGTACTGCCCTTTTAGTGATTTATTGAATTCTGTAAACTGCATAATATAAATTGAGTAAACAACACCACCACCACCACAGAGAAATATATCCCGTGATATGAAGCAAGTTTAAATCATAAGGTTCTTTAAAAGAAAAACACACACACACAGAGAGAATTTCCACTTACAACAATTTGTTATAGATATACCCCAATGTTTTGCCCATTGTTTCATTTTGACAATAGTTTTCCAACGTATTGCATAATGTACAACTAAATTCATTTGTTTACTATTTAATTCTTTCCATATTGATGTTTGTTGATCAGATGATGTATTATCTTCATTGTCTATTTGAATATGTTGATGTTGTTGTAGCATTGATGTTGCATTGGTTTGTATCGACATACGTTCTCTCCAAGCCTAAATGTATATATAATATAAAACATGAAATTACACATACATACATATATATTCGTGATAAGGTTGTAGAGATCGTCGAGTTACTTTGAAATAATACATCGATCTATGTTAGACCACCATTAGAAACCTGAAAGCGCGGGACAGCCTAGAGGTGAAGTGTTCACTCACAAGACCAAAGGTCCTGGCTTCGATTCTCGCGATTAGGAGTCGTGGATGCGTACTGTGGATGAGTCCTATATTAAGAAGAAACGGCCGTTCAGGTTTCTAATGGTAGTCTAACACTGATCGATGATTCATGACTTCGAAATATATGTACCTAACAGTTTAAGTGTTCTTTTGGAATCATTTCTACCGGACATATATATATATATATATAAACAACTAGGCAAATATATTACTTTATTTCTAAATATAACCGCTCTTAGTTGATTATCAAAGTAAAGAGTACAATAACAAGCTCTGTTCTTGACACATTTAGTAGATACGGACTACCATTTGGATACATATTTAGCTTTTAAAATTACTTATCACATTGCGTTGAACCTGCCACATTAGCTTCAAACTTCGTCTTCTACATACATCACAATGCATAGGTATGTATAAACACTAATAATTTTTATATGCACAACAAGTTTGTTTAGTCACATAATTTGCCACGAAAATTTTTCTCCGTAGTTATAATGCATCGCAAAATTTTCAAGCTTATTCAAAATTGTTGTCTTTTTAAAAAAAAAATTTATTGAATTTCCGTATGTAACTTCATTTTACGTGATTTATTCATCTATCTACCTATCTATCTATCTATCCTAACAATCTAATTATCGAATTTTATTTGTACTCATTTTTAAAATATTAACATTTTCACACTAAAATCATCCTTATTATCAATTGAATCATGAATTTCTAATCTAAACATAACGAATTATTATGATTATTATTATTAACCGATTATAGAAATATATTGGATAGGACATACAACATTGAGCAGAAAGCACCCAACTGCATAACAAGACAGGCCCTCAATTAGAACCCTCAAAGTCAAAGGAAAATAGGAAAGCCAAAGAAAACATTACGTCAAGAAGTTGGAGAAAGACATAAGAAGAATAAACAAAAATTGGACGGAACTGGAAAGGTAAGCGCTCAAGACAGAGTAGGTTTGAGAATGCTGTTGGTCGGCAGTCTATGCTCCATTGGTGGGGGGGGGGGGTAACAGACGTAAGTAAGTAATAGAAATAGATCAGTATCAATCTATCCATATGAAAAGATTGAATAAATCTACATAGCTAGAAATCAATCGGACAAAATAGTCAACTTATCATTATCGCTAAAATATACACGGCAGTTTATTCGTAGCTATGATTGTATCAGCACAATAATTGTGTTATGACGCAACGCTTCTTCCATCAAACATTTTCCAACCCGTAATACTAGACTCGGGATCGAAATCCTTTTTTAGACAAAACATTTACGGTCAATGATGACTACCTCTCTCTCCCGTATGAGACAGTAATTGTATCATTACTAACTAGTAAATATATCATACATAAAAAGAATGAAAATAATCACAATTAACAAGGGTGATAAAATATAGGAGTTATCAGTTGTGTATCAAATTTCCATCAGATAACCAATCCCAATGCAAAGTAGTGGTGACTCAATGGTTAGCAAGTTCACATTTCAATCAATAAGTCCCAGGTTCGAACCCTGTATCGCATACTTTGATTTAGGTATCCGAATGGCGTAACTAAGTTTCATGAATCTAGTAGATAAATGACTTTGATCGAAATGAACCCAAGGTTTCCTTTCAACCTTAAACAATTCACTCACACACACACACACACACAAATACAAAGTACAACATACCATAAATGAAGCGTACGGTTGATTAGTTAACCATGCCTGAAATGATGTCATCATATTCGAATCATGAATTGAATGTGCCATATTTCCAAATGATACTAGACCAGTTGACCTTGATGAACATTGAGTAGTCTGATTTGATTGATGATCATTTTCATTACTATATGTTTGTGTAACAGGCGCCAATTGATTATTCGTATTGGTAGTTGAAATCGATACAGAGGATTGTTTTGTAACTAATGCTAAACTACTTGGATTCGGCTTATATGAAACTAATCCATACAATAATTCTACAAGTGGTAATAAAATATTTTGTACAACAGGAACCGATGGATTGAATGTACTGTGACTATGAATACTGCTGTTGTTACCATTGCTAGTGGTGGTGGTGGTGGTGGTGGTGGTGGATAGTTTCATTAAAATTTTAAATACCGGACGTAAACGTGCTTCCCAATTACGTACACTAAAATCTAATGATTGTTTACGTAGTTGTTGATGATTAATATGTTGTGATTTTCTTGGAAGAATTGATTCTACACTAGCTTGTAATAGACAAACATCATTGTATGCTAAAGGTCCAAGTAGATGAGCTTGATCACCATGAGTGTTAGCTGTTCGAATTAATCGATCACTGAGAATATCGCCAAGATGAGTTATCTTTATTTATTTTGGTTTTAAAGAAAAAAAAAACAAACAAACAAATATTGCAATGTAAAACCCAATTAAATAATTAATTAATCGATGTATTATTATGCAATAGCCAGAGTAGGAGAGAGTACAAGAGAATGGTAATCAAAATGCTATCATGACTATATTCTCTACGAAGCGAGATTGATTAACTGCTAATCCTATACATCAATCGAAAGATTCGAACAAGTAGTTCAAATGAACCACCAGATTTCAACTCATTACATAAACCAGTAGCGATCTGGACTCGGTGGCTAAGTAGATGATGGCAATGGCGTTTGAAGTGAATGGTTCTGCGTTCCCAGTCTCGAAGTGAACATCAAATCCAGGGTGCAGGCAGATACATCAAGCTGATAAGTCTCAGATAAGACGAAACACGCTTCCTGTATTCTACTGTTAGCTACTGTCCATCCTCTGAGAAAAATGCTTATGATTTAACGGTGAAAACGATTACATCAAATTCAGAATAGATTCAAGTATACCATTGAAGTCAACAATGAATAGCATCAATTCAGAATTTATTCAATATGGAGTTCAACCCTGTCGGGTGTAGGCAGTAACTACCAAAGACAAATGTGTGAGGTCGCGTAAAATCCCTAGATCAATCAGAGTTAGACATTAACACCGTTGGATGCCGGCCCAGTGGTCCAATGGTTAGGCGTTCGCGAACAATACCGAAGCTCCCGGGTTCGAATCTTGCGAGGAGCAAGAGTCGTGGATGCGCACTGCTGATGAGTCCCATGCCAGGAGAAAACGGCCGTCCAGTGATCCCAGGTTTCTAATGGTGGTCTAACAATGATTGATTGATGATTTCAAATGTGTAGAAACTTATATGTCGCGTGACAGTGGACTGTGTGTGACCAGCTGACACAATAAGCAAAGAGACAAATAAACATTCAGCTTTGCTGAATGTAACTCCGCCTAAAACCCTTCTCTGAGGCTCCAAGCCCGAATAAAGAAGGAGGGGTAGGTATGGATGGGGTTAGCGATCCCATCTCGCATAGAAAACCAACTTCCTATAAAAACATTAACCAGGAAAAAGTAGTAATTTCGCTACTACTCTGGATTTCATTCACTGAGTATAGAAGAGACTGCTTGTATTGTATTGTATGCTAAACATCAACAATGTTCTGACTACTTATGAAGCTGGATTTTTTTTAAAAAAAAAAACATATTCAGCTGTGTATCATATATCGCTTTTGATCATATGATCAATTAAAAGTTCAAATTTGAAAATAAATCAATCACAGAAAGTAATTAATTAATTAATTAATTAACTAACTCACCAAAGATTGACAATCTTTAGTCAAATAAATTAACAAAGTACGTAATTCCTGTTGTAAATGTTGCGGATAAATATTTAAACCAGATTCAATGAGATTTGTAATTAAATTACGTATAATATCCATAGAGTTCATAGATGATATTTGTGATGTCGGTGGTGTGGTTTGCGATGAAGACGATGAGGAAACATTGAACAAACGGAAAGCAGAATAGTCATCATTATTATTATTATCACCGGTAGTAGTAGTAGTAGTACCGAATAACCAATGTGATTTATTATCCCAACATGGGATTTGATGAACATTTTTCAGCATTGTGAATGAAGTGAATTCTGCAATATTTCGTAGAAAATAACTACATTGATAAATGGTATTTATTAAGCACCAATAACATCCAGACAATGATGGATCTGTGATGAAAGCAAGAAAGAAAAACACATTACATAATCATAATAAATGTATTGATTTTTTTACATTAAATAGGCAATTTATAATGATTAATGAGTAAAAGGGACTAACTAATAACGTTTATAACACTTAAAGTGTTGTGGCTCGCAGTGAATCTTGAAATGATAGAGAATATATGCAATTCAAGTGGATGTTTCTAATGTGATTGAATTCGTTGAGTTCCATGTCTGAAATGAAGTAGTTTTTATTGTAAGTCTGGAAAATATCATCAATGTTTATGCTGTGTCAAAAGCGTATATGATGTTGTCTAGAACAATAATCGGAAGTGCGCTATTGAACCATTTCGTTTAAAAGAACTCAGGATGAATAAAATGTCGTAAGAATAGTAGTTAAAGCATTTTATATTCAACTGACAGATTACAGGTTCCAGTATCGAATTTACAATTGGCAAACTGATATGCTTGAAACTATTACGACATCACCTTAGTTGGTAAACGAGAGCAAAGCAATGATACATTGACATGATAGGCTACCCTGATTCCATTGTCCCCAGCCCTGCCAACTATATCAAGAAGTCTTGATAAGGCTTAAAAAGTGTATTCTACAAGCACCAAGAAAATATGAGGTCAACGAGCACATAAATCGACCTTATTTATACAACGATAAAGACGTCTTTAGGAGAGCCATAAAAACAGCGTACTCAAATAATACATCGACCAATGACAGTCAAGAATTTTCCATGTAGGAAATGTAATCTCAAGGTCAACTAAGCAGCTTATGCGCGAAAACATAAAAAATCCAAAATTAAGACCTTTTCCAAATGAATTATCATGCTATGTAAGTACAAAGTACTTTCAACAATCACAATTACACACTAAATATTCTCGTCTTATAAGAAAAATCAAAATAATTAAGTTTTATGGCTGCCATAATTGAAAAAGTAAAAAAAAAATTTTTATTTCAAGAAAAAACAAATTTTTTAAAAAGGCAATAAAAAAACAAACAAAACTTACAAAACATTTTATCTAATTCCAAATAATTTAATTGTGTTTTATTTGATGTACAACCACAGTTGGAAACTTCCGATGTAATCGATTGATTATTTAACAAACCTAACACAGTTGATTCATGTTGTTCTTCTGTATCAAATTCTACAACAGATTGACGTGCAGCCCATAAACGACGTGTTATGACAGCTGCATCTAAACTAAATGCTCGTGCTTTTAAAGCTGAACTAATCAACCGTATTATAGCAGGATTAACAAAACCGGTATAATTCGAGTTTGATATTGTAGATTGTGAAAGATCTTTAGCTTTTTCATTTGTTAAAGTGTTATTATTCGATGGTATAGTTGAAGTTTTATCAGTGAATGATGTATCATGATGTATCGATGTAAAATCAATAGCACCAGTATCTAATGAACATAATCGATATAAGCATTCAGTCACATCAACTTGAATAAGACGTGAAAGTGTTTGAGAGGTTTTACTTAATTCACGAGACAAGGTTAGAATACGACCACAAGCTGATTCACGATCATCTCGATCATGTAATGGTTCAATTGCAGAATAGTATGGTCTGTATAAAAATAATGTTTGATTATTGTGAGACGAAAAAATAATAAAAATACACATTAAATTAATAATATAAAGAAATAAACGAAAGAGATATTAACGAAATGACCAATTACTAAGTGATTGACATAAGGTCCGATGTTTATATCACTATTTGAATTGGAAAGCTTACTGATATGCTTAACACTGGAGAAATGAATGAATAAAAAGTCAATAGTTAGTCAGTCATCGATAACGTAGAACTTCGTATGTGCATACATAACTCCAGGTGACCGTACCACATTAGCACACAGAGATGCGATTGTCAATTCAAATGCCATAGTGGTAGAGATAGTGTAAGTATTAGCGGTGATGAAAAAGATTAGGGTTTAAAGATATTATTCAAGTAGTAGAATCTAGTGAAATGAACTTAAAAAGAAAACGATTAAGGTGATGAGGAATTCAGAAGAACAGAATTTGAGAGAACACAAAGAGTGGATGCACCTGCGCCATTGCAAATGATTTTGAGCCATATCAATCAAGGTTTTCAACCATCAGTTACTATCGTCTTGCGGACCCTAACCAGTTAGTTTACATTCACCAACATGACTCAGTCCACTTGTTAGTGACTTCATGGATTTATGCGAAGTTCTGGTTTGGCCGCCCCTAACTTTCTTCCAACCTACTCCTACACCACAAAACATAGCTCGTCGAGGCAGTCGGTGGTTAGGCATACGTAACACATGTCCCAACCACCTCAACTGATGAAGTTTCACCACTTCGTCCATTGATCTGCCATCCTTACCTAGTACTCGTTTCCTAACGACAGCATTGCTTACTTGGTCGTCCCAGGATACACGAACAATGCTTCGGATACACCTATAATCGAAGACTAGTAGCCTGGAAACATCTTCTCCCCTTAAAGGCCATGTTTCGCATCCGTATAGTAGGACAGAGCGAAGTGTTGCGCAGTTCACTCGTCCTTTGGTTAACAAGCGGATATCTCGCCTGCGCCATAAGTGACGCAGGTTGGCAAAAGCCAATCGAGTCTTCTGTATCCGAGCTGAGATTTCGTCAGTCACCAGACCATCAGCACTGTACATACAAATTACACTATTACGTATTTGATTCAGGTTAGTTAAATCAATCTGAAATGTGTAGGTAAATAAACACCCAACCAGATTACATACTATCATCTCACAGCTACATGATAGATAGGTAATATGAGTATATAAGTAGTATGAATATATTGTTGACGGAAGTGAATTATACATTTAACCAAGGTCAAACTCTCTATGTACCCCTTTGGGTCAGTAAAGATACGCGTATACATAGACACACATGATGTGGTTACAAACCTCCCTCAGCACTTCAGTCCTTACATTTGCATAGAGAATCTAGTCAATCTTTAGAAACAGCATCTACTATTAGTATTGCTATACAAACATGTAGATCGTGACAAACGCTTCAAGATAGTGAATATTCTTCATTTTAACTAATACCATTGTCTTAATATGAAGTTCCTTAAGAAATATTGACTATTTAATTTCAATTTTCAATAATCAATTGCAGTCAGTCAGTTACAATGTACAACTTCGTACGTAAGTACATCAGTTCATGTCGCCATACGACATTAGCACACACAGATGTAATTGTCAATTCAAACCCAATAGTAGAAGAGGTAGTAAAGGTATTAGAAGTAATCTGAGAGGTTAGGATTAGAAGATATTCTATTCAAGAAGTATGATTCAGTGAGAAAAGTTTAGAAAGTCAAAGCTAGAGGTGTTGATAAATCCAGAAGATTAGGATTTGAGAGAACACAAAGAATAAATGCACTGGCGCCATTGCGAACGATTTTGAGCCATGTCATTCAGGGTCTCTAACCATCGATTATTATCAATTGCAATACGGAAGAAAAACAAAAACAAAACAAGATATAAATGAAAAAATCATTCAAATTTGTTGTCACTCACTCACCTAGCAGTAATACTGAATTCAATTTTCCCATGTCTTGATGTACCACAATTAGCGCATAAAAATACATCTTCATTACTTAGATTTAATGATCGACAACGGAAACATTCATTTACATTACTATGACACATCATACATGTACTACCTTGTAAATCGGATGCATGACAACGTGGACAAATACGACGTTCTTCTTGACCACTACTACTGGAATGAAATTCTGCATATTCAAATATTAAACGTGATGCACGTATTGGTAGACCTGGTGTTTGTTTTAAATTTAATGAATCAATTACCAAGTCTCGATTCATTGTAATACGTTTATCGGTAGCATAGTCTTGATTTGCCACTGCTAACCAAATTGGTATAGGTGATGGGTGGGAGAAACATATTCTAGCTACTGTTTGATTTCGACTAAATTGTACTGATGCAACGGGTTGCCATAATTTTGGTTCATGAATTAATCTTGCTGAGGCACGATCAGTTAGATCACATGTATAGACATTCAAAGTTTTAACATATCTAGGACGTTTTGATAAAACGTTAAACTAGTGCGGGGGAAGAGAAAAAAAAACAAGAAATTCATTTTAAGGAGGAATATTATTATTAAGTAATAAAATCAATCCACTTGTATTTAGAAAGATTATTCAAATATGAAAAACACAGAAGTTCAATTAGGAACAGCTACATTATAGTTTTTCATTAACGAGGAGTGAAATATTACGTGGTGAAATACTGTTTATGTAGGACACACTATCACCAATTTCAACGTATAACCACCACCAAAGAATGTGGATGCGCACTGCTGAGGAGTCCCATATTAGGACGAAACGGCCGTCCAGTGCTTCCAGGTTTCTAATGGTGGTCTAACAATGATGATTGATTAATGGTTTCAAATGTGTCTATTAATAACCCAGATGGATAGTTCGGAAACAGTTTTCTTGATTCACAGCACTCTAGTCCGTTATTAAGACTGGATTTAATTAAACTTTATATATATAAATTTACCCTGTATTGTCAAGGGAAATTTTACATTGGTTTTCAGGAGAACCAAAGAGACTGGACACGTTTTATTATTAATTACTACATGAACAGTTCGGTTCAATGCTGTAGTGCAACCATACAGGTACCTGATTCCCCTGGTTGACCATTCACACCATTTCATATATACACAATGTTATATATATATTTCCGATCAATGATCGCGTCAATCAATATGCACCGCATGAACAGACCATTTCGACCCATCCCGCTTACATGACTGTCAAACTCATTATTATTAGCAATGGTGATATGTAATACAGCACCCCAATGACAATGGCCCTCGGGAATGTCGCAAAACAACCACCTATATTAATGGAATCGGTCAGCCTGCCAACCAATTTTGTATATGGACTGTTAACAATGCTTACCAAAGCAAAGCCAAGCCATCCACAATATTCACAGCGAACCTCTAGTCTCATAGGAGACCTTCAGCTCTATATAGCAGTATAGCATATAGCACATTTAATTGACAGGACACAAATTAGTGAGGTAAGCAATACTATTTAATTTAAGACGAAAAGAGAAAATTAGTGTCACAAGGAATTATTTCCAATTGATTCTCAAGAGAATTCTGACAAACGAAGTAGATTGGGCAAAAACCTAATGAGAAATGACAGATAATTGGCGGTTGCATTTAATTGGTTGAGAATATGATTTCATATTATGAGTTGTGTATCTACACTCGATTCGAGGCATTATTATACTCACTTTCTAGTTTTTGCATACAAGTTGATTGATTAATCCCACACATGGGAACTGAATAATTCAACACCAGACTCAAACGACTGCACAAAATAAAAATATCATGGCACAAATGCATGAAATCAATGACAAGTGAACTGAGTCATGTCATCAGGTGTCGACTACCTTGTTGGTACCCGCGAGATGAAAGTAATTGATGGTTAGAGACCTTGAACGACATGTATCAAAACCGTTTGCGATGGTGCAGGTGCATCCACTCTTTGCCTTCCATCAGATTCTAACCTTCTGAATTACTCATCATCTCTATCTCTCTCTTTTTAAATTTATTTCACTTGGTTCTACTTCTTGAATAATACCGTCGAACTCTAAAATTACCGATTACTGCTAATACTTCTACTACCTCTGCTATTATGAGATTTCAGTCAGTCAGTCAGATGCAACGTAGAACTTCGTACGTAAGTACATCAGTTCATGTTTCATACCACATCAGCACACATGTAATTGTCAATTCAAATCCAATAGTAGAAGAGGTTGTAAAGGTATTAGAAGTAATCGGAGAGGTTAGAATTAGAAGATATTATTCAAGAAGTATGATTCAGTGAGAAAAGTTTAGAAAGTCAAACTAGAGGGATTGAAGAATCCAGAAAATTAGGATTTGAGAGAACACAAAGAATAAATGCACCGGCGCCATTGCGAACGATTTTGAGCCATGTCATTCAAGGTCTCTAGCCATCGATTATTATCAGCTCGCGGACCCCAACCAGGTAGTCGATAATTACCGACATGGCTAAGTCCACTTGTCAATGACTTCATGGATTTCTGCCATGTTTTGGTCTGGCCGCCCCTAACTTTCTTTCAACCTACTCCTACACTACAAAACAAAGCTCTTCGAGACAGTCGGTGGTTAGGCATATGCAGCACATGTCCCAACCACCTCATCTGATGAAGTTTCAGCACTTCATCTATTGACCTGCCATTCTTACCTAGCACCCGTTTCCTAATAACAGCGTTGCTCACTCGGGTGTCTGAGGATATACAAGCAATGCTTCGAAGACACCTGTGATCGAAAACCAGTAACCTACGAATATCTTCTACTCTCACTGGCCATGTTTCACAGCCATAAAGTAAGACGGAGCGAACTGCTGCGCAGTACACTCGTGACAATTACGTCTCTGTGCTAATGTGGTATAGCAACTCGAACTGATGTACGAACGTTCGAAATTCTACATTGTAGCTGACTAACTGGCTTATCTTTATATGATTCTGGAATTTATCAATAAGAGAACACATTTATATTACAGAGGAAAACATTAAAGTTACGATTATATATATATATATATATATATATATATATATATTTACATACCTTGACTGTGATTTGTGAAATTAAATAACTGCCTTCAAGATCAAAAATGTGAACTGAAGAAGTAGCACGTGATTTCAACTGTACAGGAATAATCAATGAAAATGGGTTTGATGAAGCTCCAGTAGTTCCACCAGTACTAGCACTACCAGAAGTAGCTGTTGTTGACGTGGTTGATGTACTACTACTACTGGGTATTGTTGATGTAACAGTATTTTTCGGTATATTTGAAGTTGTTTGAATTAAACCAGAAATATTTGGAGTTGCTGTATTGGAAGATGTCGATGGAGTATCTGTTGTTTAGATAGAAGATAAACAGTAAAGATTGAGAATTCATGTATAACTAACTTATGAAATCAACTGATCAATAGATGTACACATACAACTAACTAAAAGAGATCTTATATCCTCTAACTAATCAATTGAAATAACTCAATGTGTTTAATATTTTACAACAACTTATTTATTTATACTCAGTTTTAGATGTGAATGCTGAGTACAAAAGAAAAGACAACAACACTCAAAAGAGAAATTTCTTTCTTAGGTTCTTGTAAAAACTGAAAATCATCAACTGAAGAATACATATGAAACTATCTCATTTCTTATTTAGGGAAATTTGATGTCGATACGGAAAAATAAAAATTATGCATTACGGGGTTGTGAAGATTGTTAAGTTACACATGTTTTGAAACCATGAATCGATCAATGTTAGACCACACCATTAGAAACCTGGAAGCACTGGACGGCCGTTTCGTCATAGTATGGGACTCCACAGCTCACTAGTGACTACCTTGGTGAGGAATCTTCTCTGAGTTCTAGTGGGAAGACGTGACCAGTGAAGTTCAACCTGTTCGGGTGTAGGCAGTGTCTACCGAAGACTGTGTATGAGGTTGCGCAACTCCGTCAATTTGATCAAGTTAGACATTAACACCGTAACACACCGGCTCAGTGGTCTTCTAACGGTTGGGGCGTTCGCGCACATTACCGAAGGTCACGGGTTCGAATCCTGCGGGGTGCAGGAGTCGTGGATGCGCACTGCTGAGGAGTCAGTCCCATACTAGGACGAAACGGCCGTCTAGTGCTGCCAGGTTTCTAATGGTGTGGTCTAACATTGATCGATTCATGGTTTCAAAAAATGTTTTAAATAAAAAATAATCATACAAATAAATCTATTTAATGAAATAATAACAAATACCTGTTCCATTTGCTCTAATGTTTGACGGTGGCGTCGTACTACTACTACTACTAGTATTAGTAGTATTAGTACGTAATGGGTTTTGTGCTAATAAATTTCCAATAGATGATTGTCTAAATTGTTGTGTAAATCGACTATTATAAATAGTTGATACTACTGATTGAATGGAACGTCTCGATACATTCGGTTCAGAATCCCAACGTAATATAATATAAAATGGTTCATCAATCACTTTAGCATGACATAATAAACAAGGTTCCAATTCAAATGTGAACGGAGAACATGAAGTACTAGTTGACGATGATGATGATGGTGTCGATAGATTGCTACATAGATTACGATTACAATCTGTTATTACAGTTTCTGGTGTAATAGTACTATTTTGATTTGCACTATTATTGTTACTGGTTGAAGATGACTGTGGCGTGGTAGTTGGTCTTTGAGCTACAACAGAAGCCCATGAACGTGAGGTGGATGATGAATCAGCGGTTGTTGCTGTTGCTGTTGTTGTAGCGGTGGTTGTTGTTGTTGTTGTTGTAGGTTGTAAACATATGAATTCATTTGTAACACGATCTAATGACCTATTTCTTTCACTAGATGATTCTAATGGAATCAATACACCGGGTAAAAGACCGTTTTGAGAATGAGCAAAATGCTGAGAAGTACAAAAAAAAAGAAAAGCGGATGTCATTGAAAAAAAAGTAAAATTGTAGAAAAATGACAAAAAAATGATACAGCAGAAATACTGTTTACATGTGTCCACTAGTGTGACTAGCTTGGTGAGGAATCTTCTCCGAGTTCTAGTGGGAAGTCGTGACCAGTGAAGTTCAAACCTGTTCGGATGTATACAAGGTATGAGGTTGCGCAACTCCGTGAATTTGATCAAGTTAGACATTAACACCGTTAGATACCGGCTCAGTGGTCTAACGGTTAGGGCGTTCGCGCACAATACCGAAGGTCCCGGGTTCGAATCCTGTGGGGTGCAGGAGTCGTGGATGCGCACTGCCACTGATGAGTCCCATACCAGGACGAAACGGACGTCCAGTGCTTCCAGGTTTCTAATGGTGGTCTAACATTGATCGATTCATGGTTACAAATAAATCTAAAACGTTTACACTTGACAAGAAAAAAAAACATACCATCAGCACTGAATAAAGTGTACGATTTGGATGACGTTTTAATGCTTCAAGACGTTGCATCAATATCCAAATTATTTGTTCTAACAGTTCTGCTCGACCGGACCAATTAGGATAAGAATTAAGAAGATGAATACTTAATTGAACAAATTGATTAGAATAAGGCACGAATGTAGATAATTCCGGCCAAAGATATGCAATTAAACTGAGTATACGAGATTGAGCTTCTCGAGAAACACAGCTAAATTGACACACACATTGTAATATTGATGAGAAGAAAAAAAAGTATAATTATATTGTAGTACAAAGTTAATGAACATTTTACTAATAAGAAAAGACAGATTAAATTTTGCATTACGGCGTTGTGAAGGTTGTTAAGTTACACATTTTTGAAACCATGAATCGATCAATGTTAGACTATCATTAGAAACCTGGAAGCACTCAACGAGAGTTTCGTCTTGGTATGGGACTTATCAGCATTGCGCATTCCGTACGAGGACGAAACAGCTGTCCAGGATTTTAATGGTGGTCTAACAATGATTGTGATTCATGATTTCAAAAGATTAAACTTTATAAACTTTATTTTAAAAAATGTTAAATCAATCTAAGCTTTCAGGTTATCATAATTAAGCAGTGACTGAAACGTAGCAAAATGTTCACTTCCCTTTTTAATTTGATATCTTTGTCAACTAGGTTTCACATGATGTCAAGATTAAGTGAACATTCATGAATATAGAAGGTATAGATAGATGAAGAGAAGAAGTAATCGGTGAACAAATAAAATTTAGATAACCCATCCAATCCAATGCATTTCAGATGAACTTTATTGAACGGTATTACATAGATATAGTTTATAGTTTGATACTCTTTTATTCTACAAAAAAGTAACAGTTGTAGTTTTATTAAAATGAACTATAATATTCTCCTATAATAAATTATAGACATTTTTATTTTCAAATGTTTCTTCAGTTTTACTGTCTCTGTGTAAAAGTCACTTATGACAATGAAGAAGAAACTGAACTGACTTGTTAAAAAAGAGATATGTACAGTTCTATTCAAATTTTAAATTCTATCATCTTGTGATATATAATAATGATCTGAAAAAAGTCACCCATTATGTATGAAAACAAGAGGCATACACTACTATTGTTAACATTCACAATCAGTAACAACAATACTAGTTAAATTACTTAATACTGACTACATAGTTAAACATTGATTTCCGTGAGTTACCATGAGATATTGAAATTCAACTGTATCAGGAGTGAGACAAACATCAGTGAATGGGTTGGTTGCATAGAATAGCGAATTAAATATACAAAACTAGTGAATAGAAAACCCAGTATTTTAAGAATAGATGGTTGTGATGATACCTGAAGGTTCCAAGTTCCATCTCAGATGGGAGCATGAATCTGTATTGTTATACAGTCAGTCAGTCACTTCTTACTCGGCCGAAACAGCCACTCAATGATTGCCGATTTTCAGTAGTTGTATAGTTAAAATCAGTCAACAATATCAACAAAAAAGTTCAACAATCTCCACTTGTGGCGATATCATTCTGTTAATCAAAGGACGAGTCTACTGTGCAGGAGTTCGCTCCGTCCAACTATATGGATGTGAAACAGGGCCAGTAAAAGTCGAAGATATCCTTAGGTTATTAGAATTCGATTAAAGATGTCTTCGAAGCATTGCTCGTGTATCATGGGACAACAACCAAGTAAGCAATGCCGTTGTTACGAAACGAGTACTAGGTAGGGATGGAAAATCAATAGATGAAGTATTGAGACTTCATCAGTTGAGGTGATCGGGACATGTGTTACGTATGCCTCGACAAGCTATGTTTTGTAATGTAGGAGTAGGCTGGAAGAAAACTAGGGGTGGCCAAATCAAAACATGGAACAAATCCATGAAGTCAATGACAAGTGAATTAAGTCAAGTTGACAGATGTAGACTACCTGTGGTTGGGGTCTGCCAGACGATAGTAACCGATGGTTAGAGATCTATTGAACGAGATGGCTCAAATGCGCTTGCAATGGCGCAGGTTCATCCACTCTTTGTGTTCTCTCAAATTCTAATCTTCTGAATTCCTCATCACCTTTATCTTTTTCTGTTTAAGGTTGTTTTTCACTAGATTCTACTTCTTGAATAATATCGGCGAACCCTAATCTCTTCGATTACTGTTAATATTTCTACCACGATGGGATTTGAAGCGACAATGGTATCTCTGTGCTAATGTGGTATGGCAACTTGAAGTAATGTACGTACGTACGTACGTACGAAGTTTTATGTTGTAACTGACTGAACAACAATACCCTAAAGTACACAAAATTATATGATCCTTCTTTTTCTCCCCTCTCTCTGTCTCACTCTCTCGCTTAAAAATAAAAACAAAAACAGAAAGAAATTTACCTGAATATAGTGAATAATATATGCGCTGTTGAATCACGAATAGCTTTTTTTGGACATCGACATAAAAATGTACGAATGAATTGTATAAATAATGGTGAAATATGTAAATAATCTTTATGATCAAAATGATTAGCGCTGGATGTATTGTCATCTAAACTTATTTCAGAACATGTGGATAATTGTGAATTACGTGGTAGTATTAAATAACGTGCTATAATACGTGATAATTTAACTTCGATTGATTGAATTGAATAAAATGAACGTTTGAATTCATCATGTAACTTTCATAGTAGAAAGAGAGAGAGAGAGAGAAAAAAAAACACAAACAAATAATACAATAAAACAGTAAAACATTTAAGCATCATGAAATAATAAATTAACACACATCATGACAATTGTATATTTTATAAGAGAGTGACTCCGCCAGTAGAACCTTCGGGGCTAGTGCTGGTCCCAAGACCGGAAAAAAGGAGGAGGGTTAGGCATGGGGTTGGCGAGTCCATCCCGTCAAAAACTAACTTGCCAAAAAAACGCTGACTAGAAAAAAAAACCCAGACATTATATTGAAGTCTATTTAAACAGTTCATGTTTGCATTACATTGTTGAAACCTGTGTGATTGAGCTATTCGTACGAGAGTAGTGGTGTACTTTAGTCTGATTATTGATTAATTCGCCTAATTTGCTTGTATAATAGAATCAATTACTTTCTGTTAGTCATTGGTACAATGATATTTTATGGCCAACAACGACCGACATCAATACATAATATAGTCAAAAATGCAGCTTCCCCTATGATGCTACTTTTGTCTAATAGCCAGAAAAGAAATAAGCAGAAAGATTTGTTACTGAGAAGTTCAATGGCATAACTTGAAAATTGTGTGATATAAAATATACATTACGGGGTTGTGAAGATTGTTAAGTTACACATATTTTGAAACCATGAATCGATCAATGATATACCACCATTAGGAGGAATCTTTTCCCAGTTCTAGTGGGAAGACGCGACCAGTGAAGTTCAACCTGTTCGGGTGTAGGCAGTGTCTACCGAAGACTGTATGGGGTTGCGCACCCCGTGAATCTGATCAAGTTAGACATTAACACCGTAACACATCGGCTCAGTGGTCTAACGGTTAGGGCGTTCGCGCACATTACCGAAGGTTACGGGTTCGAATCCTGTGGGGTGCAGGAGTCGTGGATGCGCACTATGAGTCCCATGCTAGGACGAAACGGCCGTCCAGTGCTTCCAGGTTTCTAATGGTGGTCTAACATGGATCGATTCATGGTTTCAAAAAAATATATAAAATATAGTTTGATTACTTGATTGAACAACAACAGTATGAAATAGGAAAATAACAACGTACTCAAGACTACACAAATATACCAAGAAAGAAAAACTGAACAGTCAATCCATATTTTTTAACATGGAATGAATGAAGCTCATGAAGTAGTTATTGACAAGTTGATGAATTGGTTAGGAACCGTGAGATTTGCAAAAGCACAACTGTACCTGTTATCTGGCCTTTCCTTAAGCTGTATTTTTTGATGCCTAATAATTAAAAATTACTTCAGCTAAACAAAACAATTAAATTCCGAAAAACTTAATAGAGTTTATTTATTTAGAAAATTCTGGCAGATCTATTCAAAATTAGACACTTGTGGCAATAATACCTGCATGTCTTTGGAGGAGGGAGTAGAACTGTACTCTGTTGAGAAAACTGAAAAACTAAATACACTGAACAGTTGTTGTATTATTCAAGCTAGGAATTTTTCAACAATTATGAAGCGTTGTAATCGAATTGAATTAGGATCACCATTTTCAGGAGGTTCAAACTAACTAACTGAGGTAGATAGACGTGTTAATATTGTAATCAACAGTGGTTAGAGATCCATGATGATATGAGTTGAAATTGTGTTACGCTCGTCACTAAGTATGCTTGAGGCTATTACGAGTTTACCTTAGTCGATTAACACGAACGAGACTTTTACCAGCGTCCAGGTAGGCTACCTTGAATCCCCAAATAGAGTAAAAAGGCTTTGTAAGCGTAGAAAGTATATTCTACAAACATCCAGCAATCACAGTACAATCAAGCATACAACTCTCGTTTATTTACACATCATAGAAATGTCCTTGGGACAGTTAAGAAAATAGCACACTAAAATACACAGCAGCCAATCACAGCCATAGATTTTCATGGTGGGAATTGAACTCTCAAGGTCAACTGATCAACCCATGCTGGCAAACGTGAAAACCAAAATAAGGCATTTATCAAGCGAATTTTGGGGATCTAACATCCCCAACAAATTGATGGGATTGGCATGAACCAATCCATTCCTAAATTTTCTTTAAGTATTTAATTTTAATATTGTTCAGTAGTGAGTGTTTTCAACCAGTTTTTCAAGCTATTATTCTCAATTTACCAATTAACATTTTATACTTTTATTCCTACAATTTTGACCTTGTTAATTTTTTTACCTCTTCGTAGATTATCTGACACTTCTATTGCACACGCAACAAAAAATGCAAAAAGAAAACGACCAGGGTAGAAGCAGCCTCAGCAGCAACAGGACTCAACGTACACAAACAAAGGAAAAAGCAAGATTCTCCGATACAACAAAACACGTACAAATCACATCACACTTGATGGAGATGCCTTGGAGGACGTGAAAAGCTTTACCTATCTGGGTAGAATCATTGACTAGCAAGGTGGATCTGATGCAGATGTGAATGCGCGGATCGGTAAAGTATGAGCTGTATTTCGACAATTGAACATCTGGAATTCCAAACAACTATCGACCAACACGAAAATCAGAATTCTAGATACAAATGTCAAGACAGTTCTATTGTATGGGGCGGAAACTTGGAAAAATACAAAAGCCATCATCCAGAAGATATAACTATATATTAACACTTATCTATGTACAACACTTCGGATCCGCTGGCCAGAAAACATCAGCAACAACCTGCTGTGGGATAGAACAAACCAGATTTCAGTGGAGAACGAAATCAAGAGGAAGCGCTGGAAGTGAATGGGACACATATTGAAGAAAAAAACACACAACTGCGTCACAAGATAAGCCACCACTTAGGACCCTCAAGGTAAAGGGAAAAGGGGAAGGCCAAGAAACATAATACGCCGAGAAATAGAGGTAGGAATTTTAGAGGTTGGACAAAACTGGAGAGGAAGGCCAAAGACAGAGTACGCTGAAGAATACTGGTGGGCGGCCCATGGCCCTATTAGCGGTAACAGGTGTTAGAATGTAAGTAAGTAATTTTATCTCCTTTTACCTATAATATTTAGTCTAGATAACTTTAATTATTGCATATAATTGTAAAAAGTTCTAAACAGTGTTCATAAGTGTAGTTGACTAACTAATCATCTTTTTCAAATCCAAACAGAACTCAAATAAACCTCTGTGTTAATTTGAATTTTCAAAGAAAAAGAAGAAAAGAAAGAGAAGACTTACATTTTTTCCAGCATTATGACTACGTGATTCCACCAATAAGCTTGGACAAATAGCCAATTGAATTAAATATAACATATTCCGTGCAATTTTTCGATCAAGAACCAAACTGGTATGCAACAAGAACAACAAAGTACCTTGAATGGATAAAAACAGAAACAATGGATAAGTAAATAAGGGTAAATCAGTCGGATTCGGACTTCAGTCAGTCAGTCAGTCAGATGCAACGAAGAACTTCGTACGTAAGTACATCAGTTCATATCGCCATACCATATCAGCACAGAGATGTAATTGTCAATTCAAATCTAATAGTAGAAGAGGTAGTAAAGGTATTAGAAGTAATCGGATAGGTTAGGATTAGAAGATATTATTCAAGAAGTATGATTCAGTGAGAAAAGTTTAGACAGTCAAAACTATAGGTGTCGAAGAATCCAGAAGATTAGGATATGAAAGAACACAAAGAATAAATGCACCGGCGCCATTGCGAACGATTTTGAGCCATGTCACTCAGGGTCTCTAACCATCGATTATTATCATCTCGCGTACCCGAACCAGGTAGTCGACAATTACCGACATGGCTAAGTCCACTTGTCAATGATTTCATGGATTTCTGCCATGTTTTGATTTGGCCGCCCCTAAATATCTTCCAACCTATTCCTACACTACAAAACAAAGCTCTTCGAGGCAGTCGGTGGTTAGGCATACGCAACACATGTCCCAACCACCTCAACTGATGAAGTTTCAATGCTTCATCTATTGATCTGCCATTCTTACCTAGCACCCGTTTCCTAATAACAGCGTTGCTCGGATTAGGACTTATTTCATTTCATATCTGATAACTTGTACGGAGAAATTTAATTATCTAGTTTTTCGTAATCACATACATGTGAATTATTTTCTTCAATAACAACCTCTCTGGTTAAGTGATTGATTGATTGTTATCACTTCAAGTTCGCTTTTTCGCAAGCTCCAAAGTTAATTGGGTGTTCGTTCATATGGTAAACATAGTTGGAACTTCTCAATTTCATTTGACAGACAGCATAGATAGATGTTTGGTCTATTCATCAAGTTCTTATTTATTGTATTATACTAGAAAGACCTTCAGTCGTTCAGCAACAGATTCGGAAACCTCGATAAGTATTAATCGTTGATTAACATTTAACAATAACAATCGGTAAGAACAGGTCTTCAGACTAAATGACAATAGACACACACAACTGCTGAGAAGAATTACTTATCCCTAACCACCCCACCTACCTATTACCTTAACGCACAATGTTTACTGGTGTAATTGTTGTAGAAAGCTAGAGGTGACCAATAGGTGTGACGAATAGGTGTGGCACACAAACCAACGGAATCACTTCAGTCAATCCTATGTAGACCAAAGGACAAAATGACAAAGGAAGAAAAACCAAATATCATCTACAAAATAAATTGCTCAAATTGTGAAAAACACTACATAGGACAAAGTGGACGACCTCTTCAGCTCCGTTTACGTGAACATCAATTAGCAGTCAAACGCCACGACAACGCTTCGCTTATATCAATACACACCGACAATTATGGACACACATTTGATTGGAACAACTTGGAAATACTAGGTAGGGGGAGGACAAAGAACACTAGATAATTTTTAGAAGCTTGGCACTCAGGTCAATTAGCAATCAACAAACACATCGACATTGACCCAATTTATCAACCAATCAGGAAAATCATAGGTGACACTAGATCAAGAAACAGATCAAAAGAGGGAGGCAATCAAAACATAGTTGCAAACAACGACAGGTCAAAGGTCAACAACAACCAATCAAGATGGAGGTTAGCAGAACAAGCTACAGGTCAAACGTGGAGAAATTCTAATGCTTCACTTCTATCTGAAGTTCGTGCTGATTATGTTGTTCAGTAGAAGAACAATCAAAGCTCCACAACCAAAACAACCAGCTCAGAGAACAAAACACCACCACAGTGACCAATCGAAAAACACGGCATTAATCCATGAACTAATTGATTACTGAACTGAGCATCATGCAATAATATTAAAGGATTATCTCTGTAGACCTTGTCTTCCCTTAGACTTAGGTTTGAGATTATTATATAATTTTTATTATAAAATTTTATCCTCTCTTCTCATACGACATTGTATGTGCTTAATATTTACTATTGTTGTCGATAGCGTTTTTTATTAACAACTATATTGATAATTTTATCCCACTGTGATGATAAAGCGTGGCAATCGAAACGGATGAACATAAATGTCACACTCTACTTATAATTGGCTTATCTGTACATATGTTGTTACGGGTGTGAAGGCGGATGACACCGCCCGGTTGCCTACACCGTAGAAGGGTGTTTCTCGAGGAACCTGAAAAAGAAATCGGGTTAGTGTTGGTCATAGCAACCTGAGAGCGTGACCACAGAGCCTAAGGGACGACTGATTGAGACCGGTCACATCCAGTCTTTTCATAGGATGATTTAACGTGTTAGCTTGACTCTTCATAAAGCATTACCATCGGAGACGGAAATCCGTGAGGTAAGGTGAGGTGTGACATTTTTAGAGTCGACCTTTTCTAACCCCTTCCTTCTTTGTGGGAAGGCAGCATCGCCGCAGATGCTGATTGTCCGAGGGAAACACTTTACTGCTGTCATACTCAGCCACAGTCAGCAGTACGACTTGCTGCTTCTAGTCTCACAGTTCTCCTATCGACCTACCTGGCATGATATAACCTACAGTAACATATTTTGCAGCCGATATAGCTCAGCAGAGTCATCATGATAGGCAAGTCCGACTAACACGCGTCAAGGTTGCAGCTACGGTTAAGCTTATCTGTATCGAAGTTAAAGTCATTCAAAAAAAACGAAGTGGTGAACAGAATTAATGAGATAAACAAAATAAATCAAAAGCTAACCTGACGAACGAAGGCATAATCTTTGCCAGTAAGCTGCATTACGCACTGCTATTGCTAGACATGAAGAAATATTTTCCAACTAAAAATGAAAACCAAAATTTTAAATAATTTAATAGTTTTGTAAGAGAAAAAAAAGTATAAAATGCAATAGCTATTACACCAACTTTGAGATAAAGGTTTCCAGTTCAGTATTGTTTGTCACCAAAAACACAAATTCCTTACAGGCACAAGATCAAGTACATTAAAGTTAAGCAATATTAGGTTATCTAGGTTTGATAAATCGAACTACACAACGACACATTGATTACGCTGAATAGTTTGCATGATATTCAAGATACCACCATATGGTTCATCATACCTATATTTTTTTACAATGATACAGACTATTTAAAAGGTAAAAGAAGGATTTACGGTAATTATTCAGTGGTTTGAGATTTGCTTACGATTATAGGGAAGCATTAACACAGAAGAATAAATGAAAACGAAAGAATGCCGATCACCAATTTTGTTCCATAGGCAAGATACTATGCTTGAACTAGATTTTGTGCTACTAGTTAGGCTCCTGTCATTAAAGGCGTAATTACAGTCTTCAAGGAATGGATACTTTCTGTGAGATTCAAAGTTGTACCAGACATCTTTACTGTTTGAGATGTGATTATTGAGCTGATCAGGCTGTAACTGATCGTGATTGGTCACTACAACTCAATCATTACTCAGTCGCAACACATGTCGCCTTAGTTTGCAACTTGATCAACATAAAAATCCTAGGCTTCATCTCAGAAAAAGATATATAGCAGTTTTCTATTGATTATGAGTTCCGAATCAAACGGAAACAAATATTCAATGCTTCAAATTTACAAATAATTTTAAGCGATAACGCGGAAATTCTTATAAAAACAATTAATATGAACTTAGTTGAGAATTATTCACTTATTATTACAGACAAATTTGTTTCATCATCAGTTAACTGAAACAATCTAACAAACAAGCGACAATGCATCGAATACACATTTATAACTTAACACACGGTTTTTTTTAAACCCTGAATTTTAAACTCTGAGCAATATAGTCAGTCAGTTACAACGTACAAATTCGCTCGGACGTACATCAATCCAGGTTGCCATACCACACATTAGCACAGAGAAGTAAAATTCAGTGGCATGAATTCAAAGAGAGAAAGATAGAGGTGATGAGGAATTCAGGAGATAAGGATTTGAGAGAACACAAAGAGTGGATGCACCTGCGCCATTGCAAACAATTTCGAGCTATGTCGTTGAAGGTCTCTATCCATCGGATACTATTATCTCGCGGGCCCCAAACATGCAGTCGACATCTACCAACATGACCAAATCCAGTCGTCAGTGACTTCATGGATTTGTGTCACGTTTCGGTTTGGCCGCTCCTAGTGCTACATCACAAAACATCGCTCGTCGAGGCAGTCAGTTGTGTCGGGCTTACGTGACACATATCGCAACCATCTCAACTGATGAAGTTTCACAATACTTCACAATATATATCATGATAATCAGTTCATGTAAAACTGATACAAAATAAAACATCATTTGTTAGAATTAAATGTAGTAATAGTTTATTGATATAAAAAGTAAAATCTTTATTTAGTCTATGAAATGACTACTCATATTTTTAAAGAAAAAAATAGATTGACCATGATTATTTTTTGTCTTTGTTATACACATATACGAAATTATTTATAATTAATAATTGAATTGAGTAATAAATGTTGAAAAAACTTACAATTTCTCTTTGAGCTATATAAGGTAAACGTAATTGTCTGGCGAATACATTTTTATCATGTAACCACCAATCGGTGGTGCTTGATTTCAATCGTGGATCTCCATCACTAGGGCTAAATTGAAGTTTAGTAGCTGTTGACAAATTATTCAGATCATTTGATGAAGTACCAGTAGGTGTTGTTGTTGACGGTCCACCACCACTAGTTGTAAACTGCATCGATCCACAACCATTATGCAATACTAGACCACCAATATTAACACAAATATCACGGATTCGCTGTAACAGTTTAGCTAAACGATGAACATCTTGTAGTTGACGATAACTTTTAGGTCCTACTATTGATATTAACAGCTGAAATAAACGTAAATGTATAAGTGTAGATATATATATATATATAGGAATTTATTAATGTGTCATCAGTCATGATTGGATACTATTTAGATGATATGATTCACAATCCGCCAAAGTAACTTATTCGGGTAAATTTTCTCTTTTCCACTAAATCATATTCTTAAATTATATTTCTCATATTTAGATTATCATTACTGTTACGCATGCACGTTCTTGTACCAATTTGTTGGGTATCTTCATGTCAAAGCTCAACAACAAGCTGATCTCTGACAGCGCACTTGTTACATACGCACGTAAACACGTCATTTGAGATGCTTGAACTACTATGAGTTTACCTTTATCAGTAAACGAGAGCGAGGATCGAGGATCCGGCGACACGACAAGCTACTTTAATTCGATTGGCACCAACCCCAATTGAATAACAGAAGAAGACTTGATATGAAGTAGAACATGTATTTCTACAAGCATCCACAAAGTACGAGGTCCGAGTCCAGAAGAAGATAAGGATCCCAGACTAAAGATTCAGGTACGGATCCAGGTTTGAGTCATAAAAGGTTACAGATAATGCGTATTTATACAGTTAGGTCAAATAGGAAACAACATTGAAGTATGTGACACTGATAGTTAGGACAACCAATAGAATTACACTTACAAACAATTATCTTAGGATCTTGGAAGAATATGCTAACAATTACAGCTTAAACATTATTTAGTTACTTCTGGTACATAACAGAATCAGTCAGTCAGTCAGTCGATAGGCAACAACGTAGAGCATCGTATCCACTTACATCAGTTCAAGTTCCCACATCACATTAGCAACACAGAGATGCAATTGTCAATTCAAATACCATAGTGGTAGATATAGTAGAAGTATTAGCAGTAATGGAGAAGATTAAACCTTCGATGATATTATTCGAGAAGTATAATATCATAACAGATTCACTTCGTTTTTTTTTTCTTACTGATAAGATGTATGGATAATGCGTATTGATCAATAATAGTTTTTTTTTTTAACTACGTACTGCTGCTACCATTATGAATTACTTCTCCCCCTCCCCTCTCACATCTCAGCAGCTATAATCTAAAATCTCACAGATATCATCATCATAGAAAGCGACTTCTTTTAAGTTGAAATTTAAATCAAAAATACCCATTAACTAACAATTGTGGTATAAAAGGGACACACACACACATGCACACACAGAGAGAGAGACAAAAAATCAATAACTTACAGATTGCAATTCACGTTCTAATGGATAAATGAATTTCGATGTTCGTTGTATGCCTTCCACATGGATAAATTGGAAGAGATTGTTGAAATTTTTTGAAATATTATTATCTGTACAAGAAGAGCCTGAAGTATCAACATTAGTAGGTTGTTGTTGTTGATGTGATTGTCCATTCTTTAAAGAATGCGATTTATTCACTTGTGATTGAAGTAAATTAGGATGATGTAATAAATCTTTAAAATTAAATAATACAGAACACCAACGACTTTCACATTCATTAGATAGATAACATAGTTTATGTGAATGATTCAATGATTTGACATGATGATTAGTATTATTATTTGATGTTGATCCTGATGATGTTGATGTTGTTGATGCCAATAAGCTATTTTTATCTTTGATTGTTAATGATAAAATATATAATAAAATATTTGGTAATTTAATACAAGCTCTAATAGCTAACCAACCTAATTGACTTAGAATTGGATTATCAATATAATCTAAACAATGAGATGATGATTGTAATAAAGGTAACCAACTGAGTAAACTGCTAGCTGATGTGCCAGTGACAATTTCACCACTATTTTGTAAATTATACATACAACCTTGTAATAGACCATATGCTAATGGATTATTAATAGCATTTGGATAACTGTTGGCTGGAGATGAATAAACTGGGCATTGTTTGGCATCATTTTGTTCTATAGTGTTCATTTCCTAAAAATGAGGAAAAAATGGTGAAAGGGAATATATATAAAAATGTGCGAATCTTATTGGAATCATAAAATGGATGAAAGTTAGACAACTATTGAAAAAAGCTAAAAGCATTGGATAAATTCTTCGCATCAGTAAGAGACACATACACGAGCAACCAAGACCACAATGGCAAGAATCGAACCCAGGGCCTTTACTCTAGTGTTTAAACGATTAACCTATAGACCAACACTAAAAGGGGATTCAATGGTTTGTGATTCTAACGATATCTCACGATAATCTTCCATTGTCTTGAATGGAATGTAACAATTTCCACAACACAATACTACTAATACTGTAGTGAAGGAGAACACAGGTGGGGCAACCGAATTGTATTTAACGAAAATTACAGAGTTACTCAGTAAAATTGGAAAACCATATCGTAAATCGTTCATTTGCAAAATATCAGTTCATCATATCGAACTGGACTGTTCCTGTTGCAAACAACATCAATCCATTGTCACTATTCATGCGTTTCATACAAATTCCATTGTGTTCTAACTCTTCCTTTCTTGATCTTCCCCCATGTTCTGCTGCCAGACATTACGTTGACACTCACGTCATACACTACTTATAAGTAGCTCATACCATACCACAATACTAATAATAACTACTTTCGTGTTGCATAACTTTGTTATAACTATATTACACTTCGACAGTCCGTCTTTACTACTGATCGATCACTAAGTAGTGACATATGTCATGTACATCAACGTACGTCAAACTCTATCAATCAGGTTGAATTGTGTCTACTAGTCTAAAAGACTGAACAATGTGCCTACTGCATTAATAGGTAAGGTGGTGATTGAATGTCGCCAACAGAAAACTCTACTTGATCTACGTTTCGTGCTATTTGATACTTGTCAGAAAGCTGTACATGCAATCTTGAGAGAACTAAAATATACTCAATGATCACTGAATATACACATAAATCTCAGTCCTACAAGAGATCAGTCGCAGTCTGAATAGCTTAGCGATGACATCCAATTGTGAAGCTAGGTGACTTAAGATTGAAGTATCGATTTCTTCAAGATTATATGTACACCTTGCTGACAAGTCTCAAACAGTTCAAAACCGAGGTCAAGTACTGTTTCTTGTTCACTAGCTACAATCACCACATAGCAAAAGTTAATGTTAATTTCAAACTGATAAATATTTTATGAATCTCTAGAAACTTAAATTAAAAATAAATAATAGGCATTTATCGTTGGAAAGCTAGTACTCTACCAATCATTTAATCAACAACAACGTAGAACTTCGTACGTACGTACATCAGTCCAAGCCGCCATACCACATTAGCATAGTCAGTCAGTTGCAACGTAGAACTTCGTACGTATGTACATAAGTTCACATTGCCATATCACATTAGCACACAGACGCAAATGTCAAATCAAATCCCATAGTAACAAAGATAGTAGAGGTATTATTGGTAATGAAGAAGACTATGGTTCGGAGATATTATTCAAGAAGTATAATTCAGAGAGATAGGGTTAGGAAGACAAAGGTAGAGGTGCTGACAAATCCAGAAGATTAGGGTTTGAGAGAGCTCAACGAATGGATGCACTTGCACCATTGCGAACGATTTTGAGCCATGTCGTTCAAGGTCTCTAACCATTGGTGACTTTCGTCTCGCAGACCTCAACTAGGTGCCTACATCTACTAACATGACTCAGTCTACTTGTCAGTGACTTTATGGATTTGTGCCATGTTTTGGTCTGGCCGCCACTAGATTTCTTCCAATCTACTCCTACACCACAAAACATAGCTCGTCGAGGCAGTCGGTGGTTAGGCATACGTAACACATGTCCCAACCACATCAACTGATGAAGTTTCATCACTTCATCTATTCATCTGCCATCATTACCTAGTACTCGTTTCCTAACGACAGCATTGTTTACTCGGTTGTCCCACGGTATACGAGCAATGCTTCTTAAACATCTATGATCGAATACTAGTAACCTACGAACATCTTCTACTCTTAACGGCCATACATTAGCATAGAGATGTAATTGTCCATTCAAATCACTTAGTCATAGACGTAGTACAAGTATGAACAGTAATCGAAGAAATTAGGGTTCGACCACCATATACACCATGTAAAATAGTTTCCACTAAAGACTTCAATAATATAATGCCCCAACGTACACACACAAAAAACAAAATCATCATAAAATTAACATTTAATAAAAAAACGAACTCATACATAAATTCAACTAAAAAATATAATAGAGCATAGAATAGAAAACTTACATTTGTACTACAATTAGAGTACATAATTTCAAAACCTTTAAGAAATTGTGCATATAATGTTTCTATGAAAATTAAACAAAATTCTATTGTTTGATCAATGAATGCACGTAATTCAGGTTCATTGGATAATACATTCATTTGGTCCATTGTTGTTGTTGTAGGTGTAGTTGTTGTGACAGGTTTCGGACTGAACTGTGGTTGTCCTGTGAATGATGACGATGAAGATGGTTGTACGGATGATGACAATGTTGACGGTTGTGTTACTTTCTTATTAACATCATCTAATCCACATTCGTCAGATAACCATAAATGAATGAGAGAAAATGAATTGGGCGTATCATTTGAAGAAGAGAATAATAATGTTGATGATGGTGTTGAACCAAAAATTTCTATTAATGCATATAATTGTAATACAATAAATTCGATTAAGAATAAAGAATCTGAATGAATGAGTTGTTCAAAATTTTCACGTAGATTATTACTGCTAAATTCTGGTGTTGTTGTTGTTGAAGTTGTAGATTCATCATTATTAGTAGTAGGCAAAGTTGAAACACTTTGTATTAATCCATTTATAAGTGTTCGAATGAGTTGTTTCAATGTCAATCTAAACATAAAGTATAACAACATTTTGTAAAAAAAAGTATTTATGCTAAAAACTTTTTTTTCTTTTTTGAAACCACGAATCGATCAATGTTAGACAACCATTAGAAACCTGGAAGCACTGGACGGCCGTTTCGTCCTGGTACGGGACTCCTCAGCAGTGAGCATCCACCGAAGACTGTGCATGAGGTTGCGCGACTCCGTGAATTTGATCAAGTTAGACATTAACACCGTAACACACTGGCTCAGTGGTCTAACGGCTAGGGCGTTCACGCACAATACCGAAGGTCCCGGGATCGAATCCTGCGAGGTGCAGGAGTCGTGGATGCGCACTGCCACTAATGAGTCCCATACCAGGACGAAACGGCCGTCCAGTGCTCCCAGGTTTCTAATGGTGGTCTAACATTGATCGATTCATGGTTTCAAAAAATGTGTAACTTAACAATCTTCACAACCTCTGTAATAAAATCTTATTGACTATCGTCGTTACATAGTCTTTTGGAAAGAATACAAACAAAAGTAATGTCAATAAAACCATAAACTGATCAAAGTTAGACAACCACTGAAAAACCTTAAAGTATTGGAGGTGTTGTTTCGTCCTATTATGAGACTCCTCAGCGGTGTGTGTCTAAACTCGAGAACAAAACAATTCACTAAAGGAAGACAATTAGACCGGAAATTTACGGCGTGAAGCTTTTGGTTGTTGACCTTCAAACAGATAGAACACGGATTCGAACCCTGATTGAGATTAACCTATTTCAAATAGCTGAAGCATTGCTTGTCTATATCATGGAATGAATGAATTAGCAATGCTGTGATAAAGTATAAGGTACTTGACAAAGATGTCAAAATCGTTAATGTGGTTAAGAATTTCCACCAACTGAGATGGTTTTTATACTTATCACGAGGTACTCACTAATCTGGCTAAGGCACCAGATATTCGCTTTACGTTCTCTTGATTTTCTAAATAATACCAGTATGACTATAGGAAAGTTAGTTGGATTTCCCTGACAGTAACTACATACAGTTGCAAAGTAGAACACAGAGATGCAATTGTCAATTCACATTCCATAGTGGTAGAGATAGTAGAAGTATTAACAGTAATGGAGAAGATTAGGGTTAGAAGATATGATTCGAGAAGTATAATTCAGTGAAATCAATTCAAAAATAGAAAGAGAAAGGAATTGAAGAATCTACAGGATTAAGATTGAAGAGAACACAACGAGTAGATGCACCTGAGCCATTGCAAACGATTTTGAGCCATGTCATTCAAAGTCTCTAACCATCGGTGACTATCATCTTGCGAACTCCGACCAGGTAGTCTACATCTACCAACATGACTCAGTCCACTTGTCAGTGACTTCAAGGGTTTGTGTCATGTTTTGGTTTGGTCACCCCTAGCTTTATTCCAACCTACTCCCACACCACAAAACATCGGTGGTTAGGCGTTCATAACACATACATACACGTGCCCATATGAGGAGAACATTACAAAAGGAAGAGTGAACTCTTCCCACTGTCAGCCGCCGTAACCAAGACAGACTGTATACCAACTAGACAAACAATAGAAAAAAAATGACTCTCAGTTTTTGACACTTTTCAAAACCAATAACCTAAAATCACTCAACACAATCAAAAACCGAATCAATGGATATTTTACAACAACAACAAAAATCATTACTTCAAATATTAAAACAAAAAAAACAAAACAAACAAACACAATTTCTCACTTGATTTTATGCAATAATTGTTTAATATAATCTAAATAAAATTTATTCTGATAATTTATTGGATTATTATAGAATTTTCTATCAGTAGTAGTAGTAGTAGACATTGAATTCGATTGAACATGAGATTGTTGTTGTGGTTGTGGTTGCTCTTGCTGCTGTTGTTGTTGTTGAAGTACTATGATCTCTGCACTCAATTGACATGCATTTCCATGTAGAATACGTATTAAACTAATGATAAATTGTAATATAGGTAAAAAGTATTGACTACTAGTAGTAGTACTACTACTACTATATGATGATGACTGAGATGTTGATAATGTACGATTGAATTGTTGTTTACATTGTTTGATAATATTCATCCATTCATTGCATAAATAATTTGATATATTTAAACAAAATAATAATGCTAAATTTTGTCTACGATATTTTGAATTGGCAGTTTTATTGTTTAGAGAATGTTTTAATAAAGATAAAATAACGTGTTTATCATTATTTTGATCATCGTTATTTCTTTCTTCATTGTCATTGTTCGTTGGATTGTTATTTTTTGCAGAATGATTGTCAGTTATAGTATTTGTCTCTTGAACATCATCAGGAACAGCATCATCATCATTATCGTGATTGGCAGAAGTATCGTCAGGATTATGATGATCACCGTCGTCGTCGTCATCATCATCATCATCATCATCATGGTCATCATCATAATCATAATAAAAAGATGACTTCATCTTATTATTATAACGATATGAATTCGGCAGAATATTCGATTCCGGTGCACTATCATCATCCTCATCAGCATCATCATCATCATCATCGTTATCATCACCATCGTCATTAGCAGTCTCGTCTTCAACATCATCACAGTCCTCGTCATTACTGCTCATATTCCCACTGCTTATCGATCGTGAATCGTGGCATTGATTTCTAGTTTGATTAGTTGTAGTAGTGTTATTATTGTTGTTAGTGATAATATTAACAACAGTTGTACCAGTCGCAGTAGCAGTAGTGGTAGTAGGAGGAGAATTATGTGGTGGATTCCTACCACGCATTTTATCATCACGTACCGTTTCTGTTAATTGAGACGAAGGCAATGATGATTCATTAAACAGAGTATGCAATTCAGGACAATCTTCTTCAATGCCAGCACAAATAGTAGCAGCACGATTTGCATCATGAACAACATTAGTTGTATGTGTTACATTCATTGATTGACATGGATTTGATGATTCTGAAGAAATAAGAAGAAAAAATCACAATGAAGGAAAAAATATTGAAAAAGAGAAAATTATGCATTATATGTATTTTCCCAATTTACTAAGTTGTAATTCTTCTTTTTTTTAAAAGAAAAAACACACACTAAAAGTACTACGAAATCTTCAAATGACCCGGTAGGATTAAGAGTGCGCGAGAAGAATCTTCTGACTTTCACCAAAAAACGAGTATTGCTCTGTATTAACAACCTATGTTAGAGAAGTCCTACTTACTACCTCCATAAGATAAAGATGGTTTTTCGGAAAGTGGGAAGATGAAACACACTCACTCAACGCTAAAAACGGATTGGTGGATACGGAGAGTCAATCTAGATAGAGAGGAGTTGGAAAACTGCAGTTTAAAAACTATGGTGTAGGAAGGATTTGATTTTGACCAATTTGGTCTCTCCTGAGGGCGGTTGTCACTTCCCGACTGCCCACACCGTGGAAGGTTGTTTCTTGAGGGACCTGTAAAAGAAGGTAGATTAGTGTCGGTCTTAGAGACCTGGTTGCGTGAGTGCAGAGCCCAAGAGGACAACTGCTTGAGGCCGGTCACGCACGGCCTTTTTATAAAGGGTTTTTGAGTATTAGCTCCGCTCTTGAAAGCCCTTAGTGGGCACCCTTACCACCGGAGACGGAAATCCGTGAGGTAGGGTGAGGTGTGACATTTTTAGGGTCGACCTTTTCTAAACCTTCCTTCCTTATGAGAAGGCAGCATCGCTGCAGATGTATGTATGGCAAACCAAAACATGGCAGAAATCCATGAAGTTACTGACAAGTGGACTGAGTCATCTTGGTAGATGTAGACTACCTGGTTGGAGTCCGCGAGACGAAAGTCGCCGACGGTTAGAGACCTTAAACGATATGGCTCAAAATGGTTTGCGATGGCGTAGGTGCATTTATTCATTGTGTTCTCTCAAATTCTAACATTCTGAATTCCTCATCACCTCTATGTTTCCCCTTCTAAATTTATCTCATTGAATTATACTTTTCGAATCATATCTTCGCTCCCTAATCTTCTCCATTGCTGCTAATAATTCTACTATCGCTATCACTCTTGGATTTGAACTGACAGTTACGTCTCTGTGCTGACGTGGTATGGCAACCTGAACTGATGTACTTATGTACGAAGTTCTGCGTTGAATCTGTCTGTCTCTCTGTTCTACAATCTATGGTGTGTATGGATTGTAGAATCTTGAGTTTTATGATTGGTGGAGGATCTTGACATTGCTTTACCGCTGTGTGTATTGAAACCCTAGATTGAAGACTGAAGTAGTAGCTTGCTAAGAAAATCATCTGAATTATAGTCAAGGCATAGCGATAATAGTATTCGAGCCTAAACACAAATTTCATTTTACAGAGAGAGTAATTTATTGTTGGCTCCTAACAGTTACACCGAATAAAAGCAACTGAAGTTCTTGAAGTGGAAAAAAAGATCAGACATTTTAAATTGAATGATAAGAAGATATTATTTTATAGTAGTGATAAATTTAAAAATCACATTCTATTCATCAATTGAAAATGAATTTCAAGGTATACTAAGAAAAAAATTAATCGATTGTCACATTGTATATAACATTCTAATGAAATTTCACAATGTGACAAACACCATAATTGATAATAGAGGCATAAAAACTCCTTTTGGTGGTGTTTCGTTCTTTGAGCTGGTTGTTTTGGTTGTGGAGCTTTCATTGTTCTTCTACTGAAATATATCATCAGCACAAACTTCAGATAGAAGTGAAGTATTCGAATTTCTCCACGTTTGACCTGTAGCTTGTTCTGCTAACCTCGATCTTGATTGGTTGCTGTTGACCTTTAACCTGTCATTGTTTGCACATTTGTTTTGATTGTATCCCCCTTTTGATCTGTTTCTTGATCCTATGTCCCCTATGATTTTTCTGATTGGTTGATAAATTGGGTCAAAGTCGATGTGTTTATTCATTGCTGATTGACCTGAATGCCAAGCTTCTAAAAATTCTCTAGTGTTCCTTGTCCTCCCCCTATTCAGTGTTTCCACATTGTCCCAATCGAATGTATGTCCATAATTGTCGGTATGTATTGATATAAGCGAAGAGTTGTCGTGGCGTTTGACTGCTAATTGGTAATTTTGAAACTTGTATGATAACTAATATCCTGTTGCATACCAGCACATATTGGAAATGCACAATCCAACAAAATGAATCATTATTCCGATTGGAAGATACTGAATCTAAAATGATAACATTGACGAGTATGATACAAGAGAAGTAACCATACTTCACTTTTCATTCTAGAGTTGTGGAGGTTGTTAAGTTTTATCAAAATCATATATCGACCCATTTTAGAAGACCATTAGAAGTCTGGAAACACTGAACAGCTGTTTTTTCCTAGTATGAGACTCATCAGCAGTGCACATCCATGACCATCAGTGAGAGTCAGAAGGCAGTGAACAGCTGATTTGACCTAGGATAGGACTCTTGGAAATCATGCCTAATGAGACAGATGGTTGGGCAGTATCATGAGTCTGTTGAAGTTGGTCATGTAAACCAGTGGATACTGACTAAGCGGCCTATAGGTCAGGTGCTCAGGTTTGAGACAGAAGCTTCTAGGTTCGACCCCAGCGTGCGGAGGTTGTGGATTCGCACTGCTGATGAGTTCAATACTAAGACGAAACAGCCGTTCAGTTCTTCTAAATTTCTAATAGTGATCTAACATTGAAAGATTCATGATTTCAATGATATTTACTTTTGCTTAAAAGAATTTTATCAAAGTCATTTTCATTCTTTTTTTTTAATGTTGTATTTAAGACAAATTAATCTCACCTGCAATATTATTAAGAATTAAGGAAATACTGGACAAGACAACTAGATCTAATAGTGAAAGCTTATTTATTATAAAAGAACACTGAATCGATTTAATAATGATAGAATAATGATAGAACTTCAAATCGATTCGAGACATAGTGAGTGAGTGTTATGATTAATTGAATCCAACTATAGACAGACGACTACCATTAGAGATCAATTTGAGATGAATACACAACTTACAAATATGTGATTTTATACAGAGGAAAAGTCAAATTTACCCTGAAACGAAGAAGAAGAAGAGGGAGCATTCACGATCGTTTCATGCTAAATTTAAAGAATAAAAAAAACAAAGGAGACAGAAAAAAACAAATAGATTGACATTAAAAATGTGTATGTAACGAAAAACTCAATTCAAATAACACTTTTCGTGAAGTAAACGTATTTTATGTTCGTGAAATAATAATGATAATAATAATAATAAATGATGAACAAACAATCAATGCATAGGAAGGACAGAGTTTTTATCATGAACTTAACACGCACCGAGAGTTGCTATTTAAGCATGATCAGGGTATTCCACTTCAATGGTTTTTAGCGTATATTTGAAAGCCTAAGATTTTCAAATTAGGCTAAATAGAAAGCTTTCAGGTTTCACGGTAGTCCACCAAGTGTTTAGAATACTAATCTAGTGGTGTTACGGGTGTGATGTGGTAACCTGAACTGATGTACTTACGTACGAAGTTCTGCGTTGTATCTGTCTGTCTGTCTGTCACTATAATCTAGTATTCTCAAATTCAATCACTCAATATGCAACAACACAATGCAACCTAACATAATGCAATCCATAAAACTGATTGTTGCTGTTTCGTGTTCAATCAGTTTTCTAAGCTAATTTCTATCGGTGATAAAAGCCATCTATAGAAAAGCGAACGACAAAAGCCTAGAGCTCTAACCAAACATTAAGTAATAACATAAGCCTTAAATTTAGAAGAGAATAAAACGGTCGACTGGTTTGCAGTAAGTGTCATCAGCTTTTACATTCCAGCTATCGAGAGTCTTTTATAATAGATTTTTCACTTGTATCTGAAAGTATTTGTTGATAAAAAAAAACCAAAAGCCTAGTTAGGATGAGTAATTAACAGATTCATAGGTTTTAATAATGTGTCGATAACTCTGTTAGGTTCGTCACTAGGTATTCTTGAAAACTATTACAAATTCACCTTAGTCGATAAACGCGAACGAGACAATGAACCAGAGTCTAGGTAGCCTACCTTGATCCGAAAACGGCAAAACAGAAGACTTGATAAGCGTAGAAAGTATATTCTACAAACACCTAGCAACCATAATACAATCAAGCACACAAATCTCGTTTATTTACGCATCATAGAAACGTCCTTGGGATAGTCACAAAAATAGCACACTAAAATACACAGCAGCCAATGAATTTCCTGGTGGGAAATGAAATATCAAGGTCAAGTGATCAGCTCATGCTCGCAAACGTGATATCCAAAATAAGGCATTTATCAAGCGAGTTCTGGGGATCTAACGTCCCCAACAAACTCGCGCTTGAACACCTTGAGAAAGAACTCAGAAATAAGTATTTGTATGTTGAAAAATAGGGAAATGCTCACTACCAGATAAATTAGCGAAAATCATTAGTGATGTGACTTGTTTACTAAGAAAATGCTGGTGTGAATCAGTGATATTAACCAAATATGCACACAAGAATTAAGTATAGCTGAAATTCACAAAAGCCGTGACCTCTACATCGTCATTACAGACTTAACAGGCAATAAAACATCACCCTGTTAGTTAAAATTTACTTTAAAGCGTTGTCGTGATTCTGATGCTTTCATTTTTTCTATCATATTCCATCTAATTTATAATAGAGCTACGCAGCAGTTATCATTGCTTACATTGATGATAAAATCAGTCATTCTAATTATATAGCCAAAGTACTGTACAACAGCAAATAGACACGCATAAAAACCTGTGGTTAATAAATGACCACTTAATGAACTCGAGTAAAACAAACACTCCACAAGGACTCAGAGTATTATCACGCATTTTAGAGTTGTTTCTCTCATCGTTCGACAATTCATATCTCATTCGCTTAGCAAATAAAACGTGTATTTAAAATGAAATGACAAATAAAGAAAACATTTTTTTAGCATCTTACTGCAACCGATACACTTGGTTCTTCAGACCAATTTGTGATATGATCTAACTGACTGAATTCTGCAAAATCTTGTTGATTGTTTGATTGTGCTGTGTGATCAATATTTTCATTTCCAGATATAGAGACAACATCTTGAGAGACAGATTGAAGGTGTGCAGTATTGGCTGACTGCTGGTTACTTTCTTCAATGTTATCTCTAGTACCCGGACCACCTTGATCACGAAGACTTAATTGTAAGGCCAGTGTAAATAGCTATAGAATAACGACAAACCGGCAGTAACGATCAATATAATAAAAAGAAGCAAAAAATGTGCAACATTATGATATGAAAAGACGGAACAAGAACAATCTACTCATAACACACCGAATACTACTTTGGTCGATCATAATCACAAATGGACATTGGTTCAAGTTCCTGCATATCTCGAGTGCTATTAGAGGTACCTACACACGATTTTCACTTTCCGGTCGCTCTACTCGAGAGACAGGGAAAAGTAATTGGATGGATAGTAGCCTTGTAGACAGGAGAGTGTGACCACAGTGCCCAATGGGAAACTGCATCAAAACAATACAAGTCCTTGTTCTGACCCTAGATAAAGTGGGCTATTTTTGGCAGTAGACAAATGTCTCACCTTCCCGCTTGGCAAGAGGAGCATCGGATAATGAGTTTACTGCTTTTGTTCCTAACACTCTCCAACCGTTTGGCCCTGCATAGTATGGAACAAGTGTTCCAACCGGTATAGCTTCACTGGGTGGGTCATCACGGTATTTAAACCAGACCACCATATCAAAGTAACATATATGGCTGAGTAACGCTCTTTTGTTTAAACGGAAAGAAACATGTGGATACCACCCAATTAATGTAACAAGAAAACACGAATTAAGGTACCGGATGCAAACACACCCGAAGGATTGGTCAATCGGTATAATCGTTGAAGATAATAAATTTTATCTCCCCTTAAATCCTAAGTTTCAAAATTCCTCATTATTTTATTGAAATTTTACTAATTTATACTTACTTCCCAAATGATATCAGTCAGTCAACTACAAGGTAGAAATCGGTACATGGATACATTTTTGATGTCTAATCTTTTCTATGACCACTAGATATGCTACTCTGGGATTCGCTCTAATAATTTTATCTCATTGTGCTACTGATGCGTGGTGACTTGAAACTATATAAACACATACCAGGTTTAACATTGCGTTTGATTGATCATAGGTGTCTCCAAAGCATTGCTCGTGTATCCTGGGACAACCAAGGAAACAAGTCCTCGATAAGGATGGCAGGTCAATAGATGAAGTATTGAAACTTCATCAGTTGAAGTGGTTGAGACATAGGCCTAACCACCGACTGTCTTGTTGAGCTATGCTTTACGATGTAGGAACAGTTTGGAAGAAACCTACTGACGGCCAAACCAAAAAATGACAGAAATCCATGAAGTCACTTAACAACTGGATTAGGTCATGTTCGTAGGTGTCGACTACTTGGTTAGGTTCTGCGAGATTATAGCAAACGATGGTTAAAAACCCTGAATGACATGGCTCAAAACAGTTTGCACTCATTCTTCGTATTTTCTCAAATCGTAACCTTCTGAATTCTTCATCACCTTTATCTTTTTCCTTTTAAATGTATTTCACTAGATTCTACTTCTTGAATAATAAATATCTTCGAACCTTAACCTCTTTGATCACTGCCAATACTTTTACTACGTCTACTAATACGGGATTTGAGTTGACTCTTGCATCTCTGTGCTAATGTAGTATGGTTACTTGAACTAATGTACGTGCGTACGTACGAAGTTCTACGTTGCTATTGATTGATGATGAAGAATAACCACTACTTTTCCAACTCAGTTTATCGTCCACAGACAAGAAAATATTTCCTTCATACGAACTATTGATCGTTCTAAATTTTCATCCACAATATTTATCATATCACTTAATTGTTGCATGTATTTGATGTGACCAGGAATGGCAGTATTTTTATCAATACATAGGAACATACATAGGAGCAATGATTAACACTTTCAAGATTTCATATCTGACTGAGATTATTTACGATCGATAGATATAATATGAGCAATTCATTGATAGGAAAATAATTCATATACTCATAGATAAAATCAACCTTATTGTAGGCATAAATCCATTTAGAAATAAATAAAAAAATATATATATATATACATAATTATAAATTAAAAGACAACATACAACATCTTCTTCTAAATTATCAGAAAATGCCCACATATCTAATCCTTCTTGTACATCTTCCATACTTAATAGATCAGAATTTAGATTGATCGGTTCATCTAGATTGTTTGATGCTTGTCTTTGCAGATCATTACTTCTTTGTTCTTGTATATCTTCAAGTCTAGATTCTGTTTGACTAGTTGATTGAATAGTACGATTGGATGTTACGCTAGATTCATGAATTTGAGCTTCATGAACTCCGGATGTAGTAGATGTTGTCGTTGTTGTTGTTTGAGTCGTGGAGACCGGTGAATTTGTCACTGATATATTTGTACCTGAAATTGATAGTGTAGTAGTAGTAATAGCAGTAGTAGCTGTTGTTGTTGTACTATTCTGAACAACTGTACGTTGTGGTCGATTTAAAACACTTCTAAAACTAGAAAAATGCATTCCCAATTGATCAATAAGCGATTCTTGATCATTCATAGTCGATTGACCAGATTCAGCAACTAATTGTGCTAATAGCAAAGCCATTTCACTGGATAAATTTTCACTTATATCTAATCTTAATTGTTCATCGTTATCCTCTTCCTCCTCCTCTTCCTCGTCATCATCATCATCTTCTTCTTCTTCAGCATCAATCACACCTTCACCTTCTTCTACTTCATCTTCGTCAACATCATCATTCTCATCTTTCTCATCATTATCCATATCTATGTCATCATCATTTTGTTCATCTTCACCACCATCATCGTCAACATCATTGTCTTCATCATCATCATCATCATCGTCGTCATCTTCATCATCATCAACATCCTCATCATCATCATCTTCTGCACCGATATTCTCAGGTTCCGTTTCTCGAATTTCATCATTCACATTCAATGCCGGATTGATTCGAGCATCAAAATCATTCTCCCCAACTGATTCCGAATCAGCAACCATTTGTCGAAGTGAAACAATACGTCGTGAACCCCATATTTGTCTACATAAACGTAGAATACGATATGCTCTACTGTCATCATCACTTTCTTCACGTAATGTTGAAATGGATGGTTCTATGCTATCTAGATCAAGAAATTCCGATAATAGATAACTGTCAGCATTATTAAAATCAGTTGTATCTAAATTCATGTCGAATGGACCACATTCATCTGCGGCATCATTATCCATGTCCATATAACGAATAGGTTCATTAATAGTGAAAGCTGTTGTTGCAGTACTATGACCAATAGGTGATCGACTGGTTTCACCTTCCCATATCGGTATGGAAGAATGTTGATTCTAAATTTATTGTAGTACAAAAAAAGAAGAAATAAACAGAAAACATGAAACAGAATGTTACGTGTTTGTTTGTTGTTTATTGGTATTGATCAGAAAATGAAATAACATTAAAAAGCATAATTCAAACAAAAAGAGATAATTAATTAAACAATTGATATATGGAGACAAGAATGATCGTTTGTGAATCTAAATGAATAACCCAGTTTAAGGCAAATACAATAAAATTGTTAGTGTTTAAATCCGTAGATCAATCAGAGTTAGACATTAACACTGTTGGATGCCGGCCCAGTGGTCCGATGCTTAGGCGTTCGCGCACAATATCGAAGGTCTCGGGTTCGAATCCTGTGAGGTGCAGGAGTCGGGGATTCGCACTGCTGATGAGTCCCATACCACGACGAAACGGCCGTCCAGCGCTTCCAGGTTTCTAATGGTTGTCTAACAATGATTGAATGATGATTTCAAATGTGAAAAAACACTAATCTCCAAAGCTCTAGCCGAAAATAATTAATTGAACAAGGTTACACGAATAACCATTGTGTTCAAAATATACAGGTTCGCTGATTTTGATCATTGAACATATGTGAATCTGATCTGTGTTCAAATAATCGGGGTCATATTTGAATTGTTAAATTGCTAAATGTACAAAAGGTATAGTATACTTGAGGAAATGAGTTGTACTAATTGTACTAGTCAATAATTCAACAGTAGTTATCCAACCTGAGGCTATTGAAATTTTTCTAGATCACTGAATTTACATGTGTAATATTATTGAAAGCTGACTAAATTAGATTAAGGATCTAAATTTAAAAACGTGAATAAATGGCTGGTTGAAGTATCAGCCAGTAGAAAATTCAAGTTGAATTCATATATTCACAAAACGATGTCAAATTATAACTATTTTGGTCAACTGACAATTTTTTATTAAACTTTTACTAATTATTATTTGTATTATGTGATATGATTTTGGCTTAGTTCATTGTTACTTTATTTCACACTTTGAAATGATAGATTTTCAATTAACGAACGCTTAAAACTATTGTATATTATTCAAATGTATAATTGGCAAGTGTTGGGAACGTTAAATCCCCAGAACTCACTAGCAAAAAGTCCTAATTTTGCATTTATTTTTTTATGTTTTCGCGAGTAAGTTGCTTAGTTGACCTTCAGCTTACATTTCCTTGACTGTCATTAGTTGATAGATTATTTTAGTACACTATTTTCGTGGCTCTCCCAAGGATGTTTCTATCATGTATAAATAAGCTTGATTTGCGTGTTTGTAGAATACACTTCCTATGCCTTATCAAGACTTCTTGATATAGTTAGCCGAGCAAGTTTACCCGTTTACCAAGCATATCAATAAGACAATTCATCTTACTAGTTTTCGAACTACGTATTCTTGGATTTCAACTTTATATAATCTTGCGTGGCCGTATTCAGATATAAACTATGCCAAATGAACTTATCCAGGCTTCGACACCCAAACTTACCAAATCAATATACATGTTTTAAGAAATTTTCCACTGAGGCACATCGACTTTTATTCTGGTGTATCTCTTTGGTCTTTACTACTTAACCTGCGGTTATCGAACATTTTATGAACCAGGTAACAACGATTGGTGGTCATGATGTTTGGGTTAGGAGCTTTTGAATCATTGCAATGGACATTTATATTCCATTATTGATTCAGGCTTTTGACTGCATCTGCACCATAACGGTCACTAGAGAGGTGAGTGGGTGTTGAGAGGATTACGGATAACATGTATTTAAATATGTATCTACTTAGTCATCTATCTGTTCACTATGCTTTGCCTAAGCATTTATATACATCCAGAGAGAATTCTGTTTTTTGACTAACAAGGTCTGAGGGCGAAGTCGTACTGCTGACTGCAGAGGGGTGTGACAGCAGTAAGGTGTTTCCCTCGGACAACCAGCATCTGGAGTGATGGTGCCTTCTCACAAGGAAGGAAGGGTTAGAAAAGGTGGACCCTAATAATGTCACACCTCACCCTACCTCACGGATTTCTGTTGCGGCGATAAGGGTGCCCACTAAGGGCTTTCAAGAGCGGAGCTAATACTCAAAAAACCTTTCATAATAAGGCCGTGCGTGACCGGCCTCAAGCAGTTGTCCCCTGGGTTCTGCGGTCACGCACCCAGGTCTCTAAGACCAACACCAATCTACCTTCTTTTTCAGGTTCTTCAAGAAACACCCTTCCATAGTGTGGGCAGCCGGGAAGTGACAACCACCCTCATACCTGTAACAGCACACGAGACCAAACTGGTCAAAATCAAACAGAAGTAACATTCCCAGAGTTTTCATGAATACATTTATGAACTACAACTGTATAGGTTTTGGTTGATATTTATCAAATCTAATTTATTCGACTTTAGGAGAGTTTTCTAACCATTTTTGGAAGAAAATTGTATTGTAACTGACTCCAAATCTACTTCTACTCGTTGTGCCCAATCTTTAGCATGAGTATTCTTATTGCTCACTACAATTTGTAATCAACCTCGTATCTAAGTTGTTTTGTCAGATTATGTGGTCTTCAATGGATTGTGTGCCATAAATTTAATCTTATTCTGAATGTCATATTTAGCAGTTTTGTTTTATGTATGCATTAAATCTCCTAATGGGATATCCCTTCCGTCATTTATTTGCAGTACCAGTCATATCCTTGTATTTAATACTGTCATTAGCTTTATGTTATTGCTTCTGCCTGAAAATGATTGCTTCTAAGCTATATATATTAAGATATGAATTATACGAATTTCCATCATCTTGCTTTTTATTGACCAGAGCGTTTGTTCATTGTGATTACAAATAAGAATAGCTGATGAGCACGTCACAAGACGATATTGTTTTTCAGTCATATGAAACAGATATAGATAGATAGTTGAGCGAGAAGAGAGAAGGCTCGATTGGCTTTTGCCAACTTGGCGTAGGCGAGATATCCGTTTTCTTACCAAAGGACGAGTCTACTGCGCACCAGTTCGATCCGTCCTACTGTAGCTTAGTCGGGTTTTTGTTTAACTAAATTAAAAGTATCCTATAAGGTTTGACCATAAAAATAGAATAACCCCTATGAGTACACTAGCTAGTTAAAAGAAAAAAAACAACTCACAATTAACGTATATACATAGTTTCAAATAAAAAAAAGCTTACTAAAAGTCTCAAGAAATGACTTGATCTTCTTTGTCTGCTATTGTTAGTAGGATCTGCACGAGAATGCCAATTGCCAATACTTTCTTGATGATTGTTAATTAATGATGATAATCGATGATTGTCAACACTATCTAGATCATCAAGTGAAATCAGTTCACGCGTACCAGGATTTTCGTCATTTAATAGTACATCAATTAATTGACTTGGTTGTAAGGAATGATATTCACGTGGAGGACGTCGACGACCAGAGTATGGAGTAGTTCTTGATTGAAAACCACGCGCAGAAGAAACAGTTGGTGTTGTAGATGTATTTGAACCAACTGAAGTATATGTCTGATTAGAACTTTGTACAGATAATAAATCAGTATCAGTGTTTTGAGAGTTAGGTTTCTCTGAAACCGATTTAACAGATTTATTCTCATTGGAATGTGATACACTGGATTTTCTATGACCAGAATTATAACGACGACCCATAGAGGAATGAACTTTGTACCAGGCTATACGATCTTTTGGTCTTGCATGAATAATAAGACGACATAAAGCATCACGAGAAGCACATGATACCTGTAAATGGAGAAAAAATGGAAATAATTCAATAAATTTATTTATTTGTAACGAGGGTGGTTTGAATCTTTCCATTGGTGTTAACAACTACAAATGATCAGTCTGTTTTGGGAAAGGTAAATCATGTGTGGAAACCTTTAATATTGCTGTTCAATTATAGGTATCTTAATTTATATGAGAAAAAAATGGATATCATGAGAAGTTTACAAGCGGACACAAAAATAAAACAAAGAAACTTTAGGCATAAATAAATAATCATTGTCTTTAAACAAATCATTTAAAAATGATTCCACTCTCAAAGAATCAATAGTTAAGAGACTAAGTAGATTAGTTCAAAGGACGTTTAGCATATGGAAGCTACAATTCATGTCTTCTCGTCAGATGCAACGTAGAACTTCGTACGTAAGTACATCAGTTCGTGTTGCCATACTACATCAGCACAGAGATGTAAGTGTCAATTCAAATCCAATAGTAGAAGAGGTAGTAAGGGTATTACAAGTAATCGGAGAGGTTAAGATTAGAAGATATTATTCAAGAAGTATGATTCAATGAGAAAAGTTTAGAAAGTCAAAACTAGAGGGGTTGAATAATCTAGAAGATTAGGATTTGGGAGAACACAAAGAATAAATGCACCGGCGCCATTGCGAACGATTCTGAGCCATGTCTTCTACGCATCTCAAGGTCACATAAGGAGACAGGTAGATGATAAATTATCATTTTTTGTGTCCCCTAAGACAACTACTCCTATAGACCACGTTACATTGTGAGCTGTCCAAGGGATTCACTTTCCTTTACTCGTGAATAGAATTTAAGTATGGTTATGAGAAAATCTTGTTGAGATTGTCAATCGTTCCAAGAATTCAATCTGACCACCAAACAGAATCAGGACACTAACATTATCCAGTCATTTTGGATAATCCAACATGTTAAGAACAATCTACAACTCTGGTTCCAAAAATGAGAAATCGATTTTCTTCTAAAAACAAAAGGACTTAACTTAATTATTTTATCTTAAACATTCGCACAGTTAATTTAAAACTCCGAGTTAATGAATATTTATAATTCAGATGGATGATTCTAGTGAAGTTAAGTGTTTTAAATGCAGTGTATCTATTAACTTCTTTCTCGTTATCAAATTCGTGTTATTGATGTATTTTACTTTAGAAAACGCAACCATATGTAGTAATTCGCCTGGTATAATACATACCAGGACGAAACAGCCATCTAGTGCTTCCAGGTTTCTAATGGTGGTCTAGTAACAATGATTGATTGATGATTTCAAATGTGCAAAAACACAAATCTCCATAGCTCTAATTGAAAATAATACATAACCTCTGATTAGAATATGCGAATTGATATTCCTGTCAGTATGACTTGCATTGTCCAAACGCATCATCACTACTCATTTCCTACCTATCATTTAGGTCTTACAATTTTATTTGATCTAAAACATTTCAACATTTACAAGTTTCTATTATTGAAAGGCGATTTTTTTCTTCAAATTTAAACTAATTAATCTGACTATATCAAATAAAATTTCAAACACCTCACAGTCCTTGCTGACTCGTATAGAAGTTTTCTACTGAAAAATAAAAATTTAAACAGTTTCAGTCATTCAGTCAGTTAGTCAACAACAACAACAACAACATAGAACTTCGTACGTACGTACGTACGTACATCAGTTCAAAATGCCATACTGCATTAGCACACAGAGATGCAATTGTCACTTCAAATCCCATATTAGTAGAGGTAGTAGAAGTATTAGTCATTAGGATGATTTCAACTAATATATAGAGCACATTCTATAAAATAAAATTAAAAAAAACAAGAAACTATTCTTTTTTTTTCCGAATGTAACAAATTATACTACTTACCAAATGATTACAATGTGTTAGTAGTGTGATTAACAATTTCCCATATTGATTCAACGACGACTCAATGGTATCCAATGATTTATTTTGTTGAGAATTAACATGATTATTTTCAGCTGGTGGTTTAATCAAACAAGTCATAATCAACTCATCTAACTTTGTATTATCATCTTCATCACCGGCATCGCTTGATAACTGTTGTTGATCTATAAGTGCACTTAAATAAAGTGTATACAATGCCCGTGTCATTGGATTCATAAAGCATTGGATAGATTTATTAAAATAAGATTTTGGTCGGAAATCCAATCGCGATAATGATGGCGACAATGAAGAAGGAATCGATGGCAATACACCACCATACTGTGGTGTACAATCATTCAAGCTATCACCTATCATCATTGAAGATAATTGAGCTAAATCCTGTTCAAATACTAACGAGAACAAATCGAATTTTATTGACCATATAGGATCAATTGTATGAAATGGATGCATGGGAACAGGTAAATTCGAAATGAATACATGAAATAATTGAAGTAGAATTGTATAAAATGCTGATTCATTGTTATCATCATTCAATGGTTGACTGGATAACCATTTCATTAAATTCAATGGACTGATATGTAAGAAATGATAAATTGACATAGAGAATTGTTGAATTAAACGAATTGATTTTAATGTTGTATAATGTTTCGATATTAGCTGATCATCATTACGAAAAACAGCAACAGTAGCAGCAGAAGCACTGTCATCATTTTTATTATCAGTTAATTGTTTCCATGCATTATTCAATGGATAATATAAGATTTCATTGAGAATATTTTCGATATTATGATGATGATTATTATTAGCAGTTGATGCCTTGAATTCGTCTTTTTCAATATGTAAAAAACGTGTAATCATTAAAGCCAGCTGGTAAAGATGTATGGATAAACTATGTAGTAGTGTAGGTTGATGAACATTGGATGCATTGAATAATGATATCCAATTGATGAATTTTATTATTTCTATAAGTAGTATGTTTAAATTGGTTGATGGAATTTTGTTAGTAGTTTCGATTGTTTGTCTGGTATTATGATTATTATTGTATTTATTGAAAATTTGTTTTAAACTAGATAATATTAAATTGAATCCAGTAAAATTTGGATTCTAAATAAAAGGGGAAATGGAAAATAATATAAATATATTAAAAAAATGAGTGAAGCTATATATATAGACACATCTACCTTAAATCTAAAAAAAATCGGTTTACTCAAATCTAGAACAAGTATGCAATACTCAATTTTACACTTTGTTACAAACACTACTTGTCTAGGGTATGTAGGATTACATTTTCAGGACAAAAGTTACACAAATTTCAGTTAGAATAAAATGCTCAATCAATGACGGACTTGATGACAGGAGAGAGAGAGTATGACCGCATCACTTTATGGATAACCGCTTCAAACAATAAATGTGCTTGTTATGTCTAGTCAAACATGTTTACTCCATATGTAAAATGCATTAGTGATGGCGACTGAAATCCATGGGATAAGGTGAGTTGTGTTGTTTTTAGAGTCGACTAATTGTCACCATCCTTCCGCAGGAGAAAGGTAGCATCTTAATAAATGGTAGTCGTCCCCATATGAAACCGATTATTGCTATTACACCACTGTATATTTGGCAGCATGACTACGTCTTCGAATACGTATGTTCCGTCCTTATAACAATACATTAACACCGATGAGCAAAATCCGTAAGTTCGATACTTTTGATCCTTTATTTCTCTAGCCGACATGGTTGGCACGATATGATATAAACAAAAGATTGTTCAAGACAACATGGGTCCATCGGCTTATTATGTAGAGAGAAACATGTACATTACGTCAAGGTAGTAGTTAAGGTTGAATTGCACCCTATTAAATAGAAACTAATCGCTATAGGTAATTGAGACATATGAGGTAACACAGGTATATGTAGTGAAAAACTACTGATATTCACTAGTTATTTGTTTTTAACCCTTATAAAATACAGGAGTAAAATTTTAATGGCTCTATCTAAAGTCTTTCAATAACCATCGTTGATTACATCTTCAAATAAGCGTTGTGTTGAAACTAACTAGTAATTCAGATTATGATCAAGGCACTATATTAGTTCATATATTCATTGATCATTGATACAACTTGTATCATGAGGTGCGGACATCATGACTGCGATTGTGAAAGGAATTATAATGTGGTCGAAGACCTTAAATGGTATAACTCATGGTGAAAATGTATTTATAATGTGTCTTTCTTCAAATATTCAGTGTTTTCATCATTAAGAACTTCTAAATACTTAATTATAATATTTAATGAACAATTTGGTTTTTAATCTTTATATGTGCTGTCATGAGTCATAGCAGCTCTGGCCGATATGTATTTTACAACTAGAACCTACATTAATAATGACTGACTTGTAAATGCACATTACAGATAAACTAACTAACTGTATAACATATCTATCTCATTAGTAGACTATATAAAACTTCTAAAAATATAATGTACACAAAATTATGAAAGAGAAGCCTCAATTTTCAAAATTAACTTACATGTTCATCAGATTTAGCAGCAATACCCATGTTCACTATTGCACATAACATATTAGTAATGGATGCTGTTAAACCACAATAATTCGAAATCATACATAATGGAAAAGAAGACAAGGGCGATGATGACGAGTTGTTATTTATTGACGTGAAATGTGAACAATATCCTGGATTTTGTGTCAATGTAAACATGGTATTTGGTACAGGTGGAAATGGTTTTGACATAGACAATTGTGGTAAATGAGATTGTGATACTTTTTTATTATTGTGTTTATTATCGTTATCGGTTGTTAATTCAGTGACAAATCCAGTACCAAATAAACGATCAAGTCGAAAAGCTAATGATTGTTCTGTAAGTATAAAAAAATAACGAAGAAATACTACTCAAATTGCTAAATAAATAGTGAATAGAGGTAACACAAACAGATGAACTTTTAGACAATTATGACAAACATGTACATATTTAAAAACATTTTTTATTTAATTCCACAAACAATCAAGGTCTTACTTTACAGATCACAGCAGCAGTCAAACATTTACTGAACACTCATAGTGTGATATTCCATGATAGAGAGCACACAACACTCTACCTAGGATCAAACCGAGAGTTTTCAGGTTCCTCAGTGAATGCTTATATTGTGCGCGAACGCCTAACCTCTGGGCCACAGCCGGTATCTAACGGCGTTCACGTATAACTTGATCAATTCATGGAGTTGCGCAACCTCATACACAGTCTTCGGTAGTTACTGTGTACACCTGAACAGGTTGAACTTCACTGTTCACATCTTCCCACTGAAACTCGGAGAAGATTCCTCACGGAGCTAGTCACTAGTGAGCACAGGTAATTTGCATTACGGGATTAAGATTGTTAAGTTACACATTTTTGAAACCACGAATCGATCAGTGGTTCGATGGTTAGGCGTTCGCACACAACACCGAAGGTCCTGGGTTCGAGTTCTGCGAGGTTCAGGAGTCGTGGATGCGCACTGCTGAGGAGTCCCATACCAGGGCGAAACGGCCGTCCAGTGATTCCAGGTTTCTAATGGTGGTCTAACATTGAACGATTCACGGTTTCAAAAATGTGTAACTTAACAATCTTCACAACCCCGCAATGCGAATGCTTAAATGTTAGATCACACGACAAGGATCAGGTTTCTTTATCATGAAAAATTCTCATTTAAACGAAAAGTGAATTTAAGACCACATAAACATAAATGTAAGACTAAACTGAATGACACAAATACAATTAGAACTCAAACAAATCCAAACTTCCTTTAGACAACAAAGTAAATCTATTTATAATTACTACTTATAATCAATATTAGTATGTTTCACCCATTAAAATAACAAATATAGGTATTAGATATTGTAAGATATAACTATACCCTCTTAACCTGATATAGAAGTTCAAAGTCATACGCTATACTCTAAAATCACTGGACTACAATCTCAACTACATTGGATTTATGATAACTCAGAGAAACGATCATTCCTCATGTATAGTTAAACATATTTCCAACTTTATTTGATATTTAGGATGTGACTCAAAGTATAGCAGAATATTGCGAGTGATATAGTGAACCAATAAGAAATGACCAAACAAAGCTACTTGATGTCAATCAGTAATGTTTCAAACAACAAACGCATATCATTGGTTAAAAAATGTTCTATCTCTAGTTGCGAAACAATTCAAATAAATCAGACTCCTTAATTAACTTGTTGGTATGTTTTTTATGACCTATTTTTAATTTTTTACTGTTGTTCTTGTACGACTATTGAGCACTGTGTTCATTCATTGAAATTGTGGCGATCAAATGGGAAGTTGTTTAAGCAAGGCATTAAAATTACGCAGAAATCTACTCGCAGTTTGTCTATGTATTGAACAGATCGTGTACTTACAAATCAATCACGACCTTAATCGATAACGGGCTCAATAAGAACTAGCTTCGTGAGGAAATTCTCGGAGCTCTAGTTGAGGAGACGTGACCAATGGAGTTCAACCCTGTAGGGTGTAGGCAGTAACTACCAAAAACAAATAGGTGAGGTCGCGCAAAATCCCTAGATCAATCAGAGTTAGATATTGACACCGCTGGATGCCGGTCCAGTGGTCCGATGGTTAAGCGTTCGAGCACAAAACCGAAGGTCCCGGGTTCGAATCATGCGAGGTGCAGGAGTCGTGGATGCGCTGAGTCCCGTACCAGGACGAAACGGTCGTCCAGTGCTCCCAGGTTTCTAATGGTGATCTAACAATGATTGATTGATGATTTCAAATATGTGAAAGTACACTCACTTAAGATAGTATTCTATTGAATACGAGACAAATTACTCACTAAGTTATTTAAACCTCAGTTTGTGTATTTATTGAATAAACTGTAAACATCTTACTTTTATAGCCATTAAACACTAACAATGTATCTTAATGCTCACACAAGAAAAAATTAACGAATATAATGTCAAACCCTACAACAAATACGAAGCATATCTTATTAGAACTTTTACAATTTCAAAGAATAAATGTCATGAAAATAAGAAACACAGCCAGTAGGCAGCAATAACAACACTATTACAACTGAAAATGAACTTACCAACAGTGTTAATAATATTCATTCGAATAAATTCTTCTGGACCACTAATGCAATCATCATTCACAATTTCATGTAGATGATTATTGACACCATGATCGACATCATGATTATCATGATTATTAGTGGTGGTAGTGCTTTTTATAACAAATGAATCCATTGGACCTTGAATATTTTTACGATCATTATTATTATAATCATTCATCGATTTCTTTTTAGATGGTATTTTATTTGGGACCATATGGTTATTTGTTGATATTAATTGTTTTTCATTTAATAAATTATCAGTTGGATTTGATTGAGATGATAAAGATAAGACTAGATCACGATCAATACAATAAACTGTTATACAATCGATACTTGTCATATCTTCTGGATCATCACTAGTACCAACTGTGAAATATGAATAAAAAATATGTGTGAAATAATCATGAGACAATTATGGTAGATCAATCAGTCAATCAACTACAATGTTAAAACTTTGTAAGTACGTACAACAGTTCAAGTTGCTATATTACACATCAACACAGAGAGATGTAATTGTCAATTCGAATCCTATATTAGTAGAGGTAATAGAACGATTAGCGGTAATCAAAAGGATTAGATATTATTCAAGAAGTATATTAAGGTAAAATAAATTTAAAAAGAGAAAAAAACGGTTATGAGGAATAGAGAAGATTAGAATTTGAGAGAAGATAAAGAATGGATGCACCTGAGCCATTGCAAAACGGTTTTAAGCCACATCATTCAATGTATCTAACCATCGGTTATTATCGTCTCGTGGACACCAACATGGATCAGTAATTAATGAACCTATTGGAGTTTCAAATAACTCTATAGAATACATATTTTCGAACTCTCATAAGAACGCGAAGTTTCCCAGAATTCACCATATTGTTTCCAGTTCCGTCTAGAAACAGTGATTCAGCGTTGTGGTTTAGGATGCGAAGTAAGGGTTGGTTCACGTTTTACAAGCTACATAGATAGAACAGAACATCTAGTAGATTCAACACTATTATTGTTATTCTACAATGACAAAGTATAAATGAATCAGTTAGATGTGGATCACTAGCTTTGGCACAAACTTGGGAAGAGCTTCATGATGAAAATAGCAAGATGTCTAAGAAAACGATGGAAAAAAATCATGTTAAGAAGATGACGAAATCGCTCTGGACATCTGCTTCATCAAATATCAATGGTAAGCGGTTATAACAGCTGACTGTTACACTAATAAATGAAAAGCACTCGGTTAGTCTAACGTGCGAACGTTTAACCACAAGACCACTACTGAGTCAACATCGCGCGAAGTGGAGAAATAAGAACAGAATTGGAAAAAATATTAACAGCTATTTGGAATTAATTAGGGTAGAAATGAGTATCGTTACGATGCAATAATTCATACTATAAACCTTCTTACTGACTCATTAATTTTGCTATTTCTTCTACACTATTCACATTACACACAAATTTGTTAACGAACAGTATGTATACCCAGAATAGGTTTATTAACTCTATTTTTATCTTCTATTGTATTCAGATAACATACACAAACAAGTAATAGCTCAAAAATTTTATGTATCGGGTTGCGAATCATAATAGCTCAAATTGTGAAGCTAGTTGATGCAGTTTAAAATTCTAAAGACAACATTAGTTCTATCAGCAACAAACATACACCTTGTTAACGAGTATCGACTGACACAGACGTTAGGTATCCCCAGTGTTGCCTAACAACAACTTTTAACTACCTGCTATAATGAAAAAAATTTAATTCAAGTTGCACGATAATTACATTGAAAAGTGAAATTATTGAAGTTAAATCTTGTTCCGATTAATATAAGAGTTTAATTGAACAGATCATATGACTTCTTTTGGGTCTCGTGAATCGATCAATGTTAGACCATCATAAGAAACATGAAAGCACTGGACTATCGTTTCGTCCTGACATGGGACTCATCAGCAGTGCGCACTAGCGACTCCTGCATCTCGGTCTTGTGCGCGAACGCCTAACCTCTGGACCATTGAGCCGGTTTCTAACGGTGTTAATGCCCAACTTCGATCAATTCACGGTCTTGTGCAACCTCACACACTATCTTCGGTCAGCACTGTTTCGCGCACGAAAAGGGTTGAACTTCACTGGTCACGACTTCTCACTAGAACTCGGAAAAGATTCTTTGTTTTGAGGTGCAGGAGTTGTGGATGTACACTGTTAATGAGTCCCATTCCACGACAAAACGGCTGTTCAGTGCTTCCAGGTTTCTAATGAAGGTCAAACATTGATCCATTCATGATTTCAAACTGAACAATCTCCACAACCACATAATGCGAGATCATATAACATAATTTAATAGTATCCCTAGTTTCTGGATTATTCATGAGCTTATCACTAAACATTCGTATCACTACGATATATATATATTAATTCTGAATAGTTCAAAACTGAGTAATAATAATAATAATACATGATAAACTTACCAACAAGTTGTAAAAATTCATTTGATTGTAACATTTCACAACGATATAACGGTAAATCGATTGTACGCGCTGATGTCATGCCAGGATAAGGTAATGGAACAAGTATAGTTCTATTGAACAACTACAAAAATATATAATGAAAATCATCAATCAACACACGTTAGATTCATTGATTACAACAAATGTATTACTACTACACATAAGTAAAAATAGTGCATTTTTTTGTATAAATTATTACGTTATTTGTCATTAGTTATTATTCACAAATGAACGAATTGTTCTTCGTATCATTCATTGCCTCGTCGTATTGAACCGATCATTTTCTTTTGCTGGTCGATTGTTATCGATCTGTTCGCTATTTTGACGACAAAGATTTTAAATGTAAGCTAATTATTGGTCTAGTAAAGATAATGTCAATTATTTGTATATATATATATATATATATATATATCATTAATAATGTATGAAAATTTCGAAAATTGCAAGACTTGACTGTATTAGATTTTTAATCAATTTAACAGTAAAGAACTAAAGAGAATTCACTAAAAATTTAAAAAAAAAACATCACAAATTTTAAAAAAAGAAACATTGACATCTAATCGATTTTTACTGTAAAAATCAATTTATTTAACCTATGGTGGCTACGCATCAATGAGATGAAATATTGGTTACAAGAAAAATACAGATTTTGTCTCATTTAACACGTTACAAAATGAAAAATTGGAAAATGATTTCTTCTATGGGGGTATATCTTGAATATGACTGAAAACAAACTAACAACAGGCAACAACAACAACAACTAGAAAAAGAATTAAAACATACCTTGAAAAATCTTGGCCATCGACTTGTATTTTCATCAGCTGTAGCTGATGATGATGATGACGACAGTGCAGGCAATGTAACACGAAGGCCAGCCAATAGGGTATCATTCGAACGACGATTATAAATGTCAATCACATAAGCTATATGTTGATGTGGTGCTTGTTGTCCAATGGATGTATTCGACGCAGTGGTAATTTTAGATCCAACACGTGTTGGTATAAACTCTTTATAAGGTTTATGAATAATACGTGTCCCAGCACCAATAACTGGATTACCTAATGTTGTTAAACGTCGTCTCAATTGTTCATAATTATAAAATTGTAACAGATCTGGACCGCCGAAATCAATCTATGCAAAAAATAATAATTATTTTTTGTTTTTAAGCAGAGGAAAGAAAAAAAACAACAAAAAAAAAGCAAATTGCAACCTATTGAATGTATGGATTGACACAGTCAGTCAGTCAGTCAGTTGCAACGTAGAACTTCGTACGTATGTACATCAGTTCATGTTGCCATACCACATTAGGACACAGGGACGCAAATGTCAAATCAAATCCCACATAGTGATAAAGATAGTAGAGGTATTAATGGTAATGAAGAAGACTAGGGTTTGAAGATATTATTCAACAAGTATAATTCAGTGAGATAAAGTTAGAAAGACAAAGGTAGTGGTGCTGACGAATCCAGAAGATTAGGATTTGAGAGAGCTCAAACAATGGATGCACTTACGCCATTGCGAACGATTTTGAGCCATGTCGTTTGAGGTCTCTAACCATTGGTGACTTTCGTCTCGCGGACCCCAACCAGGTAGTCTACATCTACCAACATGACTCAGTCCACTTGTCAGTGGATTGACACAATACGAGTCATACTTGTTCATTATATATAATAAGGTGTCCCCTCTTAGCAATCTATAAGAGTATACACTATATGTGTTATCGATTTTTAGCTACGAGATCAATTGTTTGTTGCAAAAAAAGATAAACAGATAGATAGATCATGAATGTGGTTTATTGGCGAAAAGATTCAACTTTGAACTATCAGACTCAAAGTTTGGATTCCATTCATCTAGTCTGTTTTTAGGCAATCGAGAAGTATGAGATTGAGTTATACACAAATTGTAACTTCAAAACTAGCTAGCCACACATATTTATACTTGTCAGACAGATTACTTCTTATTTGATAAACCATTACTACTTTCAATCGACATACAATCTGTTGTAACGGCTTGCTTAGATAATTTCTAGCTAAATCCTATTGCTTAGTATTCTCTGACCACAATACACTGGACAAGTTCCCAAGAATCAAAAACACGGTTGAACAGGAAAAGATTATATTCCAAATAGCAAGGTTAAATGGAAATAAGAAGCCAAAGGTGATGGCGAAGGCGAAGGCACAAAAATGGATACAACGTTAGTCTATTTACAGCATTTACATGAGAAGCTTCTGGATAGAAATTCACGTGATCGGCTGGATTAAATTTAACCAATCAGCACGCAGCTAAAAGTACGAGAATCTTCTATCCCGTTCTCCAAGATTCCATCAGGCGCTGATTGGATAGGAAATTAGCCAATCAGCGCGTAGCAACGTAGTCATGCTTTAATTCAATCTATGTCCCACTAACACAATCAATCAATCATTAATAAAAAATAGAAATAAAAACCACACTTACTTCATTTGTCTCAGTAACATATTCAAAAAAGTCCACAGGTAAAGGACCGAATGCAGGTGATTCAATTAAATAATTTTGTAATAATTCAATAGTCGTTTCATCAGCTATACTGAATGATTTCTTGCTGGCAATATGATATTTTAAATTTGGCTGATTTAGGCAGCATTGTTGAGAGGCATTATCCAATAATTGATAAGGTGAAGTACTGGTTGCTAAATCCCATAAAGCACCTTTTGGTAAATTACATACTAATGAATCGATTGAATTCGAACTATTCGATGGTGATAATAATCCATGATTAAATGATGTAGAATTCAATGATGTCATTGGTTTATCAGAGAAATCATTTTGTAACCAATATTGTCCAGGTAGTACAGTAGTAGTACACTGATAATTATTAGGTATTTTTGATATAGTTTTATTATCATTTGTATTCTTTAAAGTGTATACTAAGGATCTAGGCAATTGAATAAAAAAAACATATGCATAAGATTTAAATTACAGAACATGAAACTACTTTCGAGATTAAAATTGAATATTGATCAATGAAGAGAAAAAAAACAAGAGCTCAAATTTCAAAGTTGAAATCATCATTCCATGATCAATGAAAGAGGAAATGTTACTGAATAAGGTGAATGAATAAAAATGTGATGTACGTGGACAATCGAGTTCACAACAATGAATAATGTTTCGGGACGTTAGATCCCCAGAACTCACTTCATAAAGGTCATAATTTTTGAATTTTATGCTTTAGCGCATGGGCTGATCAGTTGACCTTGAAGTCATATTTCCCACCCGGAAAATCCTTGGTCATTAATTGATGTACTATTTTAGTACGCTATTTTTGTGGCTCTCTCAAGGGCGATTCTATGATGTATAACTAAACTCGATTTGTGTGTTTGTAAAGTACGCTTTCTACGCCACATCAAGACTTCTTCATCTACTTAGTGGGACCTTGTGACGCTCGGATTAGAATAGCCTATCGTGTCACTGGATCATTTGTCTTCTCTCTCATTTACCGACTAAGGTGAACTGGTAATAGTTTCAAGCACATAAACTGATGAGCATATCAAATTATAACGAAAACCAGAACACGTCTCTCGAATGTAGTTTAGCACAAGTAAATACAAGTAGTTATTTATAAGCCATTTAGGGTAAAACAATTGTGATACCAAAGTGCCATCAGTACATATACTTTCGCAAAGACAGATTTGCATGCAATAAAGTGAAATAACACAGATCAACAGATTAGAACTACAATTCACTTAACTGACAAATAAAACACTCAAATAATCAGCCAGAATGCAGAACTTTATAAGTACGTACATCAGTTCATATTGCCATACCACATTAGCACAAAGAGACGCAGTTGTCAATTCAAATCCCATAGTAGTAAAGGTAGAAGAAGCATTAGCGGTTATGGGGAAGATCAGTGTCCGAAGATATTATTCTAGAAGTATAATCCGGTGAAACAAATTTAAAAAGAGAAAGATGAAGGTAATGAGGAATTCAGAAGATTATGATTTGAGAGAAGACAAGGAATGAAGCCACGTCACTCAAAGTCTGTAACCATCTGTTACTATTTTCTCGCGGACCCCAACCTGATAGTCTACACTTAATAACATGGTGCAACATTGCTTACTCGGCAGTTCCAGCATAAACAACCGGGAATTCATATCGCTGTAATTTTCCACGCAATACAGCTAGCTTGGCGAGGATTTAATAAAATATTAATTATGCAAGTCTAATTATAATACAAGTTTACAACAACCAAAACAGAAGTCTTTTTTAATTACAGCTAAGAAGAGATGAACGACACTCAACAACAAGTAAGGATCCGTAATAAAACGAAATAAATTGCTTCATATATTTCAATTTTAAAAAGATCTTTCGAAATCAATTAAATCAATCAATAATAGAAATCTTGAGATAAATCAAAGAGCGGATAATATATATTGCCTATTCATAAACATACCTTGGAGCAGTAGCATTAATTAACAAGTGTCCATCTGAGGTTAATAAAAATGTCACAGTGCGACCACTGTATTCTGGAGAGCCAAACCAATGAAATGAGAATGAATCTAATAAGTGCATTGAAGGAGCTGAAAAATCAATTAAATAAATTATTATTATTATTATTATTATTATTTGATTAAAGTCTTCTAATAATTAACCTATTAAGCATAAATAAATACAATATTTCTATAAATGAATGAGATTTCAAATACAAATGTTTACTTCATAAATTAGTATCAATAAAGCAACTATTCAGAATTAAGAAACATTTACCAGTTATCTCATTTATTCCAGTAAACAGTCAGTCAGTCAGTTAGAAACGCAGAACTTCGTACGCACATACGACAGTTCAGATTGCCATACCACATTAGCACAGAGACGCAAATGTCAGTTAAAATCCAAGAGTGATAGCGATAGTAGACGTATTAGCAGTAACGGAGAAGATTAGGGTTCCAAGATATGATTCAAAAAGTATAATTCAGTGAGATAAATTTAGAAAGCGAAAGATAAAGATGATGGGGAATTCAGAAGGTTATAATTTGAGAGAACACAATGAATGAATACACCTACGCCGTTGCAAACGATTTTGAGCCATGTCGTTCAAGGTCTCTAACCATCGGTCACTTCGTCTCGCGGACCCCAACGAGGTAGTCTACATCTATCGACATGACTGAGTCCACTTGTCAGTGACTTCATGGATTTATGGCATATTTTGGTCTGGCCGCCCCTAGCTTTCTTCCAGCCTAAGCCTACACCACAAAACACAGCTCGTCGCATTCCAGTAAACATATCTGCATCCTATCAGGGATCGAACCTAGGATATCCGGTTCGTTCAGTGAGTAGTTAAAATTCAGTTCATTGGCTTGTTTATTTAATGGTTTGCATTAACTAATTTTAATTAATGAAGTTATTTTCTAATGCAACTAACTACCAGAGAATAACTGTTCAAGATATTCAATATAAGTAAACTTCATTAAAAGCATGATTTCAAAATCGATCACCTATGTATTGCATTGTTACATTACATTTGATATTACAACAAATAAACTGTATATATGACAAGACTAAACAAAAAAAGGAAACTCACACAATATATGCCCTGTTTCAGATTTATCTGGATGATGAACTTTTCCACTTAAATTACTAGTAGCAGTAGTACTAGTCGTCGTCGGTGTTGTCGTCGCCGGTGTAGTAGTAGTAGTAGTAGTAGTAGTAGCATTCGTCTTCGAAGAAGATGGTAGTGATTCGTTTAATTTTGCTGTTGTTGTTGTCATCGTTGTGAATGTTTTCATTGTTGAATCATGTATATTAAATAAACGTGAACTAGGATGAATCAATAAACGTTGTATCCATATTTGATCAGGTTCAAATGCCATTAAAAATGATTGATGTTGTGAAGATACATTTGAAGATGTTAATGAAATTTTAGATAATGCACTTACTAGACCAGGATGATCATTTATTTCTGTCCAACGATATAATGGACCAATACTGGGAATCAGTAATTTTTGGCTTGACTGAGTACAACATGATGTTGATGTTGATGTTGATGATGACAATGAAGATTTACAACAAGTGGATTGTTGTAATGATGGATCAATAGCAGAATGTGCTGCTAAAAGTAACGAGATTAGAAGATTATCGGAATTTAGAGCTGAAGAAGCTTCTGAATAAATCATAGGTGGATTTCTGTAGAAGGAAAAATTAAATCAAAGAGAAAACAGTTATTATTTGAATATTTAGTTAATTAGTTGGTTAATGATAACTAGTGAATAATCTAAGTTATTATTACTATGAAGTAATGAACAAAGACGTCGATATTAGATGGAGATGACACAGTCTATTTAGAAAAAAATTTACATGCAATCTTCAAACACCCATTTGCAGTATACAAACAGTCTTCTGACTGTCTTCTCTCATATCTCTTCGGGTCTTCAATACATTCTGATGGCGCCATACATTTCCGTCTTCAGAGACTCCTCTTCGGTAGCCACTTCTAGGCGCCGCTTTGCTGCATACTATTTATATGCCACCTTGTGAATAGCATCCACCATTACTATTGTAATACATTGCGACGAAATTCATAAGATTGAAAGCAAAACAGATCAAAATTATTTAGTACTTGCCATAAAAAATGAACACTTATTGAAAATATAGTACGATAGGAAAGAATAAAAAAGTGAACGCGACTGCCCTACTATCATATGTCATACAACATCTACAACCCCCAGTAACGGTTATCACGCAAGATTCAATCAGAGAGTTTGCAACAGTCAATACGCCTCGGGCAAAAAGTTAGTAATTTCAACGACTGATGCCACGTAACCTTGGTATTAAACTTATATCAAGAATCGATCATTGTTAGACCACCATTAGAAACCTGGAAGCGATGGATGACTGTTTCGTCCTGCTTTGGGACTCGTCAGCAGTGCACATCCACAACTCCTGAACCTCACATGATTCGAACCCAGGACCTCGTGAGCGAACGCCTAACCTCCGGACCAATGAACCGGTATCTAGCGGTGTTCATGTCTAACTTCGGATAAATGAACGCTATTATAGATGAACCGTATTAACCTATCGCATGCACAAATCATATGGTTGAAAAAAAGAGAAATACCACTAGATAGAAGAAATTCCAGTCCAAAAGTAAACAATAATGATTAGAAATAAAAAAAATTTCTTTAACAAAAGACGAACCCAGCATATTTAACAGATGATGTAGTCGTGTTGCCTTCTCCACCTTTTGAACCAACTGCCAATAGAATTGAATGTGTAATACACAATTCATTCTTGTTTTGTTGTGTTTGTGTTGTCGAATCATCAGTACTATTAAATAATTTAATACCACTAGCAATAGAATGACCCGACTGATAAGAATGCAATAAAAGACCCATTGAATTGATATACTGAACACTAACTCCACCACCGCCAAGTATGCCGGTTAAACGATCTATTGTTAATTCTGGAATTGTTCCAAGATCTGATGTTGTATTGACAGTTTTATTCAAACTTGTAATATCCCATTCTAATGATTCAGCTAAAAAGAATGGACCTAATGATGATAAACAATCGGGACCAAGTTTCTGTAGAAGAATGAAAAGAAGATAAAAACATATAGAAAAGAATCAATCAGTTAATCATGAGTATGTTGTACTGATTTACTAGGTTGGAAGAAAGCTAGGGGCGGCCAAACCAAAATATGGCACAAATCAATGAAGTCATTGACAAGTGGACTTAGCCATGTCGGTAATTGTCGACTACCTCGTTGGGGTCCGCGAGATGATAATAATCGATGGTTAGAGACCTTGAATGACATGGCTCAAAACCGTTTGCAATGGCGCCGGTGCATTTATTCTTTGTGTTCTCTCAAATCGTAATCTTTTAGATTGTTCAACCCCTCTAGTTTTGACTTTCTAAACTTTTCTGACTGAATCATATTTCTTGAATATCTTCTAATCCTAACCTCTTTGATTACTTCAAATATCTGTACTACCTCTTCTACCATTGGATTCGAATTGACAATTATATCTCTGTGCTGATGTGGTATGGGGCAACATGAACTGATGTACTTACGTACGAAGTTCTACGTTGCATCTGACTGACTGACTGATTTACTAGATACAACAGATTCGTATAGTTAACGTCGGACCTCATTCACTCTATGTGGATGAGTGTGTGTGTGTGTGTGCAAGGTTAGTGATAGATACTAATCGTTTGCCCGAACCGAGGCAATGTGGCGCTCAATTTGAATTTCAAAAGCCGAACGCTATAACTATTCACTGCACCACTAAGCTATCATTCGATTCGTCACCAATAATCAAAGATATTTAAAATAATATAATTACACAGAAAAGAAAAGATACAGTCTGATCTAATTTAAGGAATCTTTTGTTTGTTACTATTTATAGGAGATAGAAATTTTGTTATTAGCGCTTTTTTTTAATTATTAACTTCCCATATATAGTAAGAAACCTTTTCAGTAATAACGATCGATAGTCTACAAGGGTACAATACTTGCACTCAATCCATTAAATCGCAAGAGGTTAGGGGCAAGATAGAATCCAGACTAAAAGGGAGTAATTCTGTACCCCTTTCCTTCTTGAAATAACTTTTAAGATTTTCTTCGGGGGAAGAAAAGCGCATATGATATGCAGACTTTTATGCATTTAGGTGGTGTTTCGTTCGTTCTCTGTTGAGCTGGATGTTTTGGTTGTGAAGCTTTCATTGTTCTTTTACTGAACCACGTCATCAGCACAAACTTCAGATGGAAGGAAAGTATTCGAATTTCTCCACGATTGACCTGTAGCTTGTTCTGCTAATCTCAATCATGATTGGTTGCTGTTGACCTTAACACCTGTCGTTACTGGCATGTTTGTTTTGATTGTATCCCCCTTTTGATCTATTTCTTGATCTTATGTCACCATAAGGGAGAAAAAATTTATTATCATTTAAGCGATAATGTTACATTAGTGTTTAACGATTTTTAAGAAAAGAAGAAAGACGTTTTCAATTCTCAATTTTTGGATTAAAGGGAAGCGACAATTCAAAGTTTGAGCATTGAACACAATTAATCGGTAGTATATAGTGTAAAGAAATCATATATATTGATCAAAAGCTGGAATAAACAAACCTGATGTAAAATAGAGCCTATATTAGCCATGACTAAAAGGTGAATATTCCATTCCGATGAGCTATTATGGCCAGCATCGTTACTATCATTATTATTAGTAGTAGTAGTAGTAGTACTGTTAGTTTTATGCTGTTCATCCACTGGTTTTGGCATAGATTGTAATGGTAAGTGTACAAATGTTGCATCACAAAAACTTCCATCAACTGGTTTAAAATTATATTTTGGTTTATTTGGATTGACAAATATATCAAATATCTATAAAAAGAGTAGAAACAGACAAAGAATATTTCTCATAAAAACAAGCTACTGCAAGAGTATTGTATAGGCACAATGGATGAATCAGTGAATAGAGGAGATGTTATGCATGCACGTAAACTCGTCATTTGATATGCTTGAACTATTACGAGCTTATCTTAGTCGGAAAACAAGAGCGATGATCGAGGATCCGGCGACACGACATACTAATCTAATCCGAGTGTTCCAACCCCTCCACTGAGTAAAAGAAGACTTGATATGAAGTAGAACGTGTATTCTACAAACATCCAGAAAGTACGAGGTCCGAACCCAGAAGAAGATGAAGATCCCGAACTAAGGATCCGGGTCTTAAGACGTTACACATAATACGTATTTATAAGGTTAGATCATATGGGGAACAACATTGACAGTTAGGACGACTTTAAAATTGACCAGTAAAAATTGACCAATAGACTAATACTTACAAACAAATATCTTAGGATATTGGATGAATATCCTAACAGGAGACTGGTGTCACTTTTGTCTAGACTTTCAATGACGATTGAATACTAACTAACAAAACTCTATATAGCCAAACATCTAAATGACTTAAAAATTACATGGAGTATGTTGACATGTCAACTGATTGATTGGTAGGTAATATCAGAAACAGTACAGCTGAGTGTGAGGCGTTAATGAATCCACCAAACACTGAGAACCAGTAATCTCACAACAGCAAACAAGTAATTTTAAATCTTGTAGAAGTCAAGTGAACGGTAGTGTATTTCTGAACTTCTGAATATTTATACATTTATTCCAATAATTAAATAAAATAAAAGTGATTGACTTAAACAAAAGTTTATCAAACTATTTCGTTTTACAATTTCTATCTTGATCTTGTCGTGCTTATCATTATATCCAATAATTTTTTTACATTTGTATTTTAGTATAGTTGCTAGTTGTAGTGTAGTTACTAGTTGTAAGCCGTCGGTTAAGGCGTGAACTGTTGACTTATGTTTTATGTTTCTCAAGTTTTTCATCATGGAGTTCTGAAGATTGTGAAGATTCATTTAAATCATGAATCCATCACTGTTAGACCATTAGACGACCGTTTCGCCCTAGCATGGAACTCATCAGCAGTAAGCATCCACCGAAGATAATGGGTGAGGTTGCACAAATACTCGGATTGATTAAAGTTAGACATTACCACTGTTGGATGCTGGCTCAGTGGCCTGGAGGTTAAGCGTTCCCGTGCGAAACCGAAGGTTCTAGGTTCGACTCCTATGAGCACGGGCCATGGATGAGCACTGCTGATGAGTCCCGTACTAGAACGAAATGGCTGTCCAGTTCTTTCAGGCTTCTGACAATGATCGGCTTATGATATTAACGAAATTTCTCAAGTTATTGGTAAATAATTAGGGAGCTACGTTCTACTGAAGGCTTAAATCTACGTTGTAATATCTGATTTATGTTGATGTGTGGTCAAGAATTTAGTCTGCATTACAGTATGAGTTAAGTCATAAAATCAAACTCTACACGATGGAGTTTTATCTACCTGTTGAGCTCTTTTCCAAACCCTAGCAATTGTGTAATCGAATGTACAGAAACTGCTTTCTTTTCGATAAACAAACACATATAAGGAACATCTCAACCGTGAATTTAAAGTTGATCATACAAGTCGAAGTGTATCAATGATAAAAGGCTTATATGCTGCTGCTGAGCTATCGATAAAATAGTACATTGTCCGGTAGAAGAGTACTATTACACGATGGCATCCTATGAAATGATATCGATTTGAATGCTGATTTCTTACTAAATTACAAACCTCAATCGACACATTTAAAAAAAAAAATTATATTTCTTTCTTTCATCAAAATCATCGCGTGTTCATTAATAAATAGTACAATAAATCAATCATAAAAGTGTACTTTTTTTTGAAAATCGATTTATCAACTAAATGAATCACGTTATACCAATGAATACAAAATAATATAGAACATTTGTAGAATCAAGAATCATTTTATAATCATAGGATAACGCCTCGTACAACTAATACAGTAAAAACAACATATAATTGATTCTTCTTACTTGAACAGATTGATCAGTGAGAATAGCCAATAGTTTAATTGAATTCGGTAACCATATAGCTTTGATAATCTGTTCTCGTCTTGTTCCAACAACTGGAACCACTGAGATACGACCACATATTTGACCAACCGATGATAAACACATAACAACACATTCCTGTAAATAAATATTTGTGGTTAGTTGAAAATGTAAGAATTAGATTTTCTTTTCAAAAAGAAAAAAGAATATAAATTCTATGGAACGAAATTGACGCAATTAAAATTACTAATTAGTAAAGATATTTTTTCTTTCAATACCGATAATTCAAACTTTGAGTAGAATATCGATCAAATTAACTTTGCATCAAGCCTGCAAAAATATAGACACAATCAGCTTGGACTGACTGACTGACTGACTGAGTACACAATATAAACCTTCGGGGTGATTTTTTTATTCGATAGTAGCATTACTTCAAGAATGAATGATAAGTTAAAAATAGAAACTATTGTCATCATGCAATTGTGTTCAGCAGATATTATCACTGTATTTTTTTTCTATACACCAAAATTACATTGGTGTTCTGATCAATCGATTCTTTGAAATATTATGTAAAATGTCAGTCAATAAGATGATATAACTAATCTAAATGTCACATGTTGGTGATATGATCAATTGTGAAGTAATTCAAAGCATCCATAAAAGCTTATATGAGATTAATAAAAGTAAACAAAAAGAGAAAAATATTATTACTATAATTATTACTACTATTATATTATAGGGTTGTAGAGATTGAAGACAAAATGGAGAGTCTTCTGACTATCCTATGCAATAAGGCAAGCATATTCGGGATGCGGTTCTCACTCTTGAAATGCAAAATGTTGCTTCAAGATTGGGTTGCATCGGTACCTGAACTAGTGATTGGAAGTGAAGCAGTCAGGTGTGTAGACCGCTTCACTTATCTGGGGAGTTTCACTTAGTGCTGATGGCCTGGTGATTGACGAAATCTCAGCGCGGATACAGAAAGCTCGATTGGCTTTTGACAACTTGCGTCATTTATGGCGTAGGCGAGATATCCGTTTGCTAACCAAAGGTCGAGGTCGAGTCTACTGATGACAGTTCGCTCTGACATACTTAATGGCTGTGAAAAAAAGCCAGTGAGAGTAGAGGATATTCATAGGTTTTAAGTATTCGACTATAGATATCTTCGAAGCATTGCTCGTACATCCTGGGACAGCCGAGTAAAGAGTACTAGGTGGCGATGACAGATCAATTGATGAAGTAGTAAAACTTCATCAGTTGAGGTGGTTGGGACATGTGTTACGAATGCCCAACCACTGACTGCCTCGACGAGCGATGTTTTGTGGTGTAGGTTTAGGCTGGAAGAAATCTAGGGACGGCCAAACCAAAACACGGCACAGACGTAAGTCATCGATGGTTAGAGACCTTGAATTACATGGCTAAAAATCGTTTGCAATGGCGCAGGTGCATCCACTCGTTGTGTTCTCTCAAAATCTAACCTTCTGAATTCCCCATCATCTCTATCTTCCTTTTTCTAAACTTATCTGACTGAATTACACCTCTTGAATAATATCTTCGAGCCATAATTTTTTACATTACCAGTAATACTTCTACTACCTCTACCACTATGTAGTATGGCAACTTGAACTGATGCACGTATGTACGAGGTTCTATGTTGTAACTGAATGACTGACCACACATTGAAATCATGAATCGATCAATGTTAGACCACCATCAGAAACCTGGAAGCACTGGACGACCGTTTCTTCCTGGCATGAGACTCATCAGCAATGCGCATTCTCTAGAACTCAGGACCTTCGGTCTTGCGCGCGAACGCCTAGACCACTTAGCCGGTATCTAACGGTGTTAATATCTGATTTCGATCAATTCACGGACATGCGCAACCCCATACACTGTCTTCGGTAGTTACTGTCTACACCCGAAGAACAGGGTTGAACTCCACTGGTCACAACTTCTCACTAGAACTCGGAGAAGATTTCTCACGAAGCTAGTGCTAGTGAGCACAGGTAATTGAATCGTTAAGTTACTTATTGATGAAATCATCGATCAATAAAAAATAACAATTCACTTACCCATAAACCACAAACAACAAATGTTGATGTACAAGATGGATTCACTGTCATACTAGAGATAAGAATACCAGCTGTTGCAGTACTAATTTTTGGTAAATCTTTTAAACTAACACAAAGTTGTTTTAATTGTTGATTCATTTCTTTAGACATTGAATTTAATGAATTTGTTAATTCTGTGGTGATAGTGTCTGTATTAGATTTTTCTAAATATAATGAAAAGTAATCATAACAATAATAATAATAATAATAATAATAATAAATATTAACAGCAATAACAATCACTTTATTGAATACCATTAATACAATCAAAATTTGCTTAGTGGAAGAATATATGTGATATTAGAAATAATTATCATCTCTTGTCCATTTTGTTATGACGAAGCTAGTATATTGGTATTGGAGAAGTCAAGACTACTTAACTGATTAGTATTATTATTATTCATATTTTCATAGTATATGATTAGAAGATAAGTAGATGGTGGCGTTTATACGCCGCCTGAATTGAAAGCTTTCACAGGACATATTAATTACTTTTATATGTTATATCATACCTACATTGTTTTTAATTAATAATATATCGATTACTCAGTTCTCCGACATATATGGCTGAATTGTGTAGTACGTATGACTTCTTAGTTGGAATGCGGTGCGTTCTGATAATTCATGTATACAAACTAATGAATTTATAAGTTAAAAGAATGACTGAGTGACTGAAATACATACAGATATATAGCAGCTTGTTTATTGCGTTCATATTTATCAAACTAGAGGTTAGGCTAGGTGAATGATGTGAATTTCGGGCCAATGGGAATTAAAATTATCTCGACCTCAACTCAAGGTTAAAATTGTGTCCATCAGAGCAAGTAATCAGTCAAAATATACGTCAGTCTATACAGATATATTACAGGATTCGTACTGATGAGTCACATCAGGTGACATCAACTAAATTAAAGCGTTAATATGGCCTAAACTACATTATTCAAACGAGGTGTGAAGATGTTCTCCTATTTCTTCTTCTTCTTCTTGACACAAAAATAATTCTAATGGACTAAAACATTTTTAATTTTTGAATGCTGTAAGAGTTACGATGCTGATTATCACGTTTCAGTGGTGAAAAAGGGACGGCCTGTAAACAAAACTGAATTATAGATAGTAGGGAAATCTGAAAACATGACAGGAATACACAGAAAAACAACGACTAGACCTATGAGTAAATAGTTCTTGGTATGTTAGCTCATTGTTGTTAAGGTCATACATACTGTCATCGAAGGAAATTTGTGGGGTCAAAGTGAGGTATGGTACTTTCTAGATTTGACTTTTTCCAACCCACCTACTCTTGTTATTGGAAAACAGCTTCGCTGTAGATGTTAGTTGTATGAGAGAAATTTGCCATCATAACCCTCTTCAATTAGTAACACAAGTTTGTCCACACGGATCACAAATTTGTCATTTTTGTTCGTACAGCTCTCCAACTGATCTATTTAGCGTGATAGGACCTAGAGAATGAAATGTATAGTCGATATAACCCTAATATGTCATCACGAAATCCAACCCCGACCACTACTTCAAGGTAACAACAACAGTTGGGCAACAATTATCTAAAAGATTATTTTGTAAAAAGACATATTGTACAGAACATTCATAAAACAACAACACACAAGTCAAAAATATATAGCAGTATACAATGAAAACACGTCAAAAAAAGATATCTCACCTTTATTCTCATTATCGCAATCCACTTTCATTTCAATATGCCTTGATTGAAGTAAAGCAGTGATAGTTTTTAATTTAGCTATTTCTTTTAAACCTCGATCTTGTTTTTCAGCAATCTGTACTAATAACTTATCTAAATTATAAATTGACATTAATCCACGTTGACCAAATGGTGAACGTGATCCTTTTAAATTATCTGATGTAGTTGAACCAGATATCAACCCTGTTGTATCTGTACCGGAAACAAGTGATCTAGGTCCTGTACTCGCCACTACTAAGTAATAAGAACATGTAGATTTAGCTGGAGTTGGCAAACGTAGAACACAAAAAACAGCTGCTCCACTGCTAGCAACCATTCCACTAACTGCAGTTTTACTCATTATCGATCCAGTAGTAGATGATAATGATGAAGAAGCATTGTTTGATAGACGTGGACCAAATAATTCTCTTAGTGATAATGCTGTACCAGATGGTAGAAATGATATGTTACTTCCATTTAAATTTTGTGTATCTGAAGCACCGCCACCACCAGAGGAGGAGAGTGGTGAAAAAGTCAGACCACCACGAGTAGTAGTAGTAGTAGTGGAATTTTCCGATCCAGCTAGAATACTTGCTAATGCTTGAATAAGTAAGACTGGATTAGATGATGATGATGCCGATGATGATGATGATGCACCACGTGATGTATTACTTGTACCAGACATAGATAATCCAGGCAATGAAACTATTGCATTCACTGGTGTGGTTGATATTGACGAGGATGAGAAAGACGAGACAGTAGTGGATATACTATCAGACAGCGATTGTATAGCAAGTCTTCCTTGGGAAACAGCATTGTGAGATGAAAGATAATCCGTAGATGATCCATGTGTATGACCTGATCTTGAAACTGTACTGTAATCAATCGGTGCACAAGTATTTTCTGGACGAGGTGAAACAGAATGAGGTGTTAAATATTTATTCAAATCATAAGCAGAAATAGGAGATGTAGATCGAAACAATTGATGACCGGCAAGAATAATACGACGCCAAAGTGCTCCATTTTGTAATGATATAGATGGGACTGGTGTCTGCTCAATAGACAAGAAAAACAAAAAAATCGATAAATATTTCCAAGTTGAGTAAACAAAATAGAGGAATTAATAGTTTTGGATCGAAAATGATTTCTCGGAGAAACAGTTTAAGTTGGATGAATGGTCAGGCGTTCTTTGCTATTGAGAGCAGAGGAATTCAAAACTACATGAAACATTTAAGCTACTCTCCTCTCTTTGTAGTAGGAAAACCTTCCTGAATATTTTTGGTATTCTAAAGATCGATTTGGTTCTTATTGAAAATAGCATAAATTGATATTTTCTACTTCAGTTGTAAATTTACTAAGTTTACAGGATTATTGAGTCTTTTTGTGAAGCTTAAACGAGTCGAATTTCATGAAAAGACTCCGCAATATAGAAAATATCACAATCGACACAACCTGATCGTTAGACACAATCTTTAATTTATATTACAAATAGTATATATTTCATACAGATTACCGTACAATACATACACACACTGATGTGTATGTATGGCAAAGCAGAACATGGCATGCTGTTGGAAGGATGGCAGATCAATAGATGAAGTATTGGAACTTCATCAGTTGAGGTGGTTGGGACATATATTACGTATGCCTAACCATCGACTGCCTCATCGAGCTATGTTTTGTAGTGTAGGAATAGGTTGGAAGAAAGCTAGGGGCGGCCAGACCAAAACATGGCACAAATCCATGAAGTCACTGACAAGTGGACTGAGACATGTTGGTAGATGTAAACTGCCTGGTTGGAGTCCGCGAGACGAAAGTCATCAATTGTTAGAGACCTTGAACGACATGGCTCAAAATCGTTTGCAACGGCGCAGGTGTATTCATTCTTTGTGTTATATCAAATTCTAATTTTCTGAATTCTTCATCACCTCTATTTTTTTTCTTTTTAAATTTATTTCACTAGATTATATTTCTTGAATAAAATATTCGAAACCGATTCTCTCCTATTACTGTTAATATTTCTACTACAATCGCTTCTCTGTGATATGGCAACTTGAACTGATGTACTACGTTGTAACTGACTGACTGATTGAAAGTCGTTAAATGTTTCAATTTAAACAGAGTAATTCACCTTTCCAATTTTTGATTTTTGCTGAGAGTATACAGCTATCCTGAAATTCCTATCATCTCTATCTCATAGTAGCGTGTGAATTCTCAAAATTGAAGTGTTGTTGTTGTTATGCATCAGACGCCGTTCAATTGAATTCCTGATAGAGAAAGCTTAGTTATTTTTCGTATTTATGAACGATCATACGGGATCGTGCCGAACCCAAACTTATGAAATAACAATATTTTTGAAACCATGAATCGATCAATGTTAGACCACCATTAGAAACCTGGAAGCACTGCAAGACGGCCGTTTCGTCGTGGTATGGGACTCCTCAGCAGCGCGCATCCACGACTCCTGAAACCCGCAGGATTCAAACCCAGGACCTTCGGTATTGTGCGCGAACGCCCTAACAATATGTCGACGGAAATGATAGTAGGAGTAATTAATACAAACAGGATGATATTTCGTGTATTGATACTACAATGTTATCACTAGTGTCTGAATCACGTCAACTGAAACTGGTATGATATTTTATATTTGAATACTATTGTAGGTCACTGTTATCGTTAGTTAATTAATTACACAAGACAACCGATGAGATGATAGTTTAAGCAATATGAGAAGGTTCATAGATCCAGACTCACAAGTTCACTAAGTTGGTTTTTTAAAACATACACAATATGTAGCACTACTATTTATCTCTACATTAGTTAAAATGATATTTTGTAAACCTATTACACTGATCAAATCATTTTATAAATTTAGTAAATTTTCTCTGACAATTAATAAAAAAAATAATGATTCAAAAATATAAAACCCTAGAGTGATGTTAATATCAAATCACAGTTCATGTTATACAAATTAAGACAACCGACTAACCGTAATATTTGAACACATACGAATGACTGGCTTATTATTATCTCGTTGATTTGAAAGCATTTGTTTTAATTTATTTAAACGAATTGCACTTTTTGATTCAACTTCATTTGTAGCGGAACAATGCATAAAATGATTGAATAAACCTAAATGGAAATGAAAAACAACATACTATTGTTACAAATGCACGTAAATATGTCATTTTTATAGGCTTGAATTATTACGAGTTTGCCTTCGTCGGAAAACGAGAGCGATAATCGAGGACCGGCGACACGACATGTTACTCTAATCCGAGTGTTCCAACCCCTCCACTGAGTAAAAGAAGAAGACTTGATATGAAATAGAACATGTTTTCTACAAACATCCATAAAGTACGAGTTCAGAGTCCAGAAGAGAATCAGGATCCCGGACTAGGGGATCCGGGTCCGGGTCCTGGTCATAAAACGCTACAGATAATGCGTATTTATACATTTAGGTCGAATAGGAAACAACATCGAGGTCTGTGACATTGATAGCTAGGACGATCACAATAGTGACTAGTAGGAATTGACCAATAGAACTAGACTTACAAATAATTCTCTTAGGATACTGGACGAATATCCTAACTATATATATATATATATAAGTTGCAAGTATTTGGTCATAGGTTTCTTAAATGTATCTATTCATCTATTACAAATGGTTAGGTAAGACGTCAGTTAGCTAATAGATTAACAAAGCTGAGAGCGATTATTCAGTAAGATATGTGATAACGTGATAAAGTAGCTTTCAAAAGTTATCTTACTGAATTATAATTCTCGCATCATATCTTCGAACCCTAAACTTCTCCATTACTGCTAATACTTCTAGTATCCGTACCACCATGAGATTTGTACTGACAGTTGCATCTCTGTGTTGATGTACTCAAGTACGAAGTTCAACGTTGTAACTGACTGACTAATCACTCAATATGCTATAAACACCGATGTGTATTACGAAAACTAACTTACAACTGACAATATGCAATCCATATTGCAAAGGACTTTTTTATGACAAACTATTCTAAATCTGTTTATGTGAAAATGATAATTTAATTTAGATAAAAGATGTATGAAGCGATTGACTTAATTAGAAATTTTCGTTTACACAACTGAAAGTTTAGTTTAATGTATGAGGTTTGAAATCAGATGAAAGTCTTGCCGGGATTTTATTCAATCGTTGTGAGATTTCAACTACTTGATTTATAAATCCATCTAATCTGTATTGTAAATTGACATGGGAAACCATTTACAATCCGTCAACACTTATTGCGTAAGAAACATGTTAGGCAGATTTTAAAAAATGATTTGTAAAAGTAACGATGAATAGGTTCTACACAATACAACACTGAGAAATAGGATAAATGACTAAGCGATACAAATATAATACTAAAATGTTATATGCAAGTACACTTTCCATACCTTTAACATCGGATTTACCAAATCCCATGAGTATTTCAGCTGCTTGTGAAACAACATCACATGTAAACAACATCATCGTCAATTGAGAACGACATGTACCAGTCTCGTCAGCATCAATCTGTATAATAATAATACCAAAGAAAGAAGCAAGTAGTTTCTTTTTTAAAACTATCACTTCTTAACAGAAAATATTCAGGTATCAAAAACGTAGCTTATTGTCACATAATTCCACATGAATAACACTACACGTCAAGGTGATATAAGAGCAGTTTAGTGGCACAGAATAGTAATGTCTGTCGAAGCAGCTGACTCTCACTATTTTAATTCGACTAGTTTGGCATAAATATGCTCTAGACAGTAGTTTAATTCTGTTCGATAAAAGAATCTAGATGAGCAAATAATTACTGAATAAGGATTTCTCGCTTTAGATAGAATAAAAATTGTTTCAAGACAGATTTGTACCAGTGTTTATAATTAAGCTAGGAAATACAGGATTTTTTTTACGTTTATAGCGTCACACATCGAATGACCCCTAAGAATCCTACGTCAAGCGCCTCACAAACGTTAAATATAGTCCCGATTATATTATGACCATAAGCATTTTTTGAATCGTTTGCTCACATATTATAAACGAATCGTCAAGTGACTAATATCAAGGTTAACAGCAAAGTATTACGCTCATAAAATAAGTAGACAAATGATACTACTGGCATTCATTGACAGAGGAAAATAAGGCCACGAACTACTCAGACTTAACTACTACTCCCTATCACAATATCCATAGGTAAATGATATATAAATAGGTTGGTCTCAAATCAAGTAATGAGTAAAATTAAAACAAAACATCAATCCATGAAACTATTAAATGATCAATTGCATAATATGCAAGAGATGTGTACCAGATCGAAACACTTTTATATGATTCATTTGTACTGACTTTTTGAATATTTCTATGGATAGTGTTTAGAACTAAAATAAATCAGTCTCATTTAGTATATAAATGAATTAAACTTCACCCCACTGTACAAGCCAGGGACTATCTAGACTCAACAGCTAAATGGCTAACGTGATGTTATTTGAGGCAAACGATATGCAGTTCCAGTCCCAGGTTGCACATCAACTCTGAAATGCAGGTACATCCAGCTGATGAACTCTAAATACGACGAAACGCTCTTCTTGGATTCCCACTGTTAGCCATCATCGATCTCTTTTTCATATTATTGTAAATAAATCAATATTTAACTTGATAAGTATATGAATATTTACTATGAGGATTATATATTGTTTATTTATTTGTATTGCGTGTAATATCAAGTTATTCAAATAAATGGCATAAACAATGTTAACAATCGAGTAAAAACTATACATACACACACACACACACTCACTTGTCTACGAACATGTTCAATTAATTTCATTTCATTCGGAACTAATTGAGTATGATGAAATCGATTTGGATCCAGTTTTAACGGAGTAGCAGTAGTAGCAGTAGAATGTTTGGAATATTTACGTTTACGTTTAATCCGATGCCAGTTGAAATTATCACATAAATTTAAAAAGTAAAATATATTTCTCAATCGTATACTAATACCTTGTTCATTAGAATCAACATCAGAATGATTAGCATCATCATCATCATAAGAAGAAGATGAAGGAAATTGTGATGTCACCGGTAGAATAACATTTGGTTTACACAATTTATCTACACCATACGGCAATGATTTAGTTGCAGATGAAATAGTTTGTTGATTCGATTGAGTATTGGATACTTTAGATTGTTGTTGGTGTTGTTGCTGCTGTTGATGCTGATTAATTTGATATGTTTTCAATAGTCTTGGTCCAGAATGTGATTCTGAAGAGATTTTTCTCAAACGAACTGCACCAGTTCGACGAAGATTAGTAGGTCGATTACTGTTAGATAATGATGTACGTTGATGAGTTAATGCAGAACCAGTGACTGAATCTATATTGTCAACAGATGTTATAGGACGCCAAAGTGGGCGAATATTGACTTGGTTTGTAGTAGAATGTTGATTTTCATGGACATTTAATGCAGTATCGGAAGAAATAGATGAGTTCACTGCTGAACTACTAACACCTGGAACAGAACGTGCGCGTGAAACTATCAAACGAAAAAAAAGAAGATGGAAAAACTCTTTATGTTCAGGGTAATACAAATTTCGACAAACAAAATTACATTAAATATATTTTCAGTCAGTCAGATGCAACGTAGAACTTCGTACGTAAGTACATCAGTTCATGTTGCCATACCACATCAGCACAGACATGTAATTGTCAATTCAAATCCAATAGTAGTTAAAGGTAGTAGAGGTATTAGAAGTAATCAGAGAGGTTAGGATTAGAAGATATTATTCAAGAAGTATGATATGTTTTACAACAAGCTTATCGATGGAGTGAACACACTATTCTTATTTTCTGTATCTTCAAACCTACCTACTTCCTCAACAATATTGTAGGTATGCCATAATGATAGGTATCGAATGATACAAAACCCAGGTTCGGAGTTGGAAATTCATTACCTACAACCACTTAATTTTAGAACGCAATCAACGAAATATCGAGTCTAGTAAGATAAGTGGCTACAACAAAATTTGATCACCACACTCAGTGGCTAATAAGTGTAAGATACACTCAGTCCTACAGGAGGTCAATCTCAATGGTAATTATTACTTATGAAAAACTATGATTACATGGATTATATGAATATGTGTAAATTAGATCCAAATATTATTCTTATTTAATTATATTTTGTTTTACTGCTGATAAACATTGAAAGTTCAATGTTAATCATAAATAAGCAGTATTTCAATAAATAAACATGATGTTAAGAGATATTGCATTACGGGGTTGTGTGAAGATTGTTAAGTTACACATTTGAAATCCATGAATCGACGATCAATATTAGACCATCATTAGAAACCTGGAAGCACTGAAAGACGGCCGTTTCGTCCTGGTATGGAACTCACCAGCAATGCGTATCCACGACTCTTGCACCTCGCAGGATTCGAACCCAGGACCCTCGGTCTTGCTTCCAGGTTTCTAATGATCGTCTAACATTGATCGATTCATGATTTCAAATGGATAAGATATATAGGACCTAGTAAAACAACCAATGACAGTGAACTCAATCTAAACGATCAATTGTCAAGAAATTAAATCTCCACAACTTGCATAATGATCAATGTTGCCACCTATGCGAAAAAAAATCTCAACATACAAAAGAAATGTTTGAAAACAAAAAGAGGAAAACTTCACAACACATACTTGCACTATCATCTTGTATCTCAATGAGATTTGAAGATTCTTTACGACGTCGTTTAATTAATTTAGAATTTAAAGGAATAATTAAACGTGAGTCATGTCTATCACCACCAATTGAATGCATAGATGATGATGTATGATGATCATCGTTCACGTGACCCGCTGCTTGATGATGACGATGATGATAGGGATCGTGAAATTCCTTTGATGAAACCGACGATAAAAATGGATGATAACCATCTAAGAAAGATAAACAAAATCAATTCCAATGTATAATATACATCTAACATGTAAATGAATATTTTTTCAAAACATATCGAATTCAACATGTGTCGTTCCGTATAGTTTGTATTAGTCCGTTGAATGTAGGTGTATTTATATGTATATGGATATCAGCCTACAATTCATTTATTCTAAACAAACATGAAATACCGATATCGGAGAAATCTAAATACATAAATCTATATATAAGCTGACAAAGATTTATCAAAAATTCAGTGATGAATATATTGTAACAATGGAACAATTCAAATCTTTACTGATAATGATATTGGAAATGCAAATGATTGATTTTTGTCATCATGATTACATACAACTACATTATGATACTTTATAATTTTTTCAACAAACGTTAATCATTGAAATCATCAATTAATCATCGTTAGAACCACCATTAGAAACCTGGGAGCACTGGACGACCATCTCATCCTGGTATGGGATTACTCATCAGCAGTGCGCATCTACGACTCTTGCACCTCACAGGATTCGAACCCACGGCCCTCGGTCTCAAGAGCACGAACACCTAACCTCTGGACCACAGAGCCGGCATCCAATGGTGTTAATATACTTGTAAAATAGGATATTCAGTCTCTCTGAACCATATCACAACCGCCCCCCTCCCGCCATTCTACATCATAATGGCTCGTCGTACATACATTTACAAACAATTCACAATAACCAATGTGTCTAAAAGATTTATCTTATGGATAAAATAATCAAAAAATAAGCATCTTTATTATCAATCAACCGTATGAATAATCGATTTCATCTCTGGCTTACTAATATTACGAAAGCACTTGGTAATGAAAGATATTTTGTAAATACATCACTGGTTACCAAAAATAAAACTTGAACAGTTAGATTGGCAAACTCTCTCTCCCTCTCTCAATGGATCATTGTTAGACCACCATTAGAGACGTGGAAGCACTGGACGCTCATTTCATCCTTGGTTCGAATCCTGCGAGGTGCAGGAGTCGTGGATGAGCGCTGCTGATGAGTCCCATACCAGGATAGAACGGCCGTCCAGTGCTTTTAGGTTTTCAATGGTAGTCTAACAATGATTGATTCATGATTTCAATGTGCAACAACACTAATCTCCATAACTCTGAAAAAAGGAGAGTTTATCATGAAATAAAGCATGAATTAACTATGCTAATAAACAGAAGTAAAGTTCTTCTAGTTTTAATCAACTTTATTAGAAATATTGTTATTGAATGTAATCATTTCCTCACCTAAAATACCTTATTTGGTGATACTGTGCTTAGAGTATAGGATTGGATAAGACAGTAAACAGTATGTAAAAGATTGCATGGAAATCAATAAAAATTCGATGTGTAATGATGCCAAGTTATGTGTAATCTTCTCAATATAACCAGTATATTCACACAACGATTCGAGGATAGGTTACCGATGATGGGCTCCTCCTCTATGTGTGTATACCACTTCAATTGCTCCTATGGAGCTAGTTACATAGACCGTACTTAGAATGTTTTAATCTTTACATGTTTGTGAACATGTACCGGAATGAGTGGAAAAAAGAGTCACGAAATCGATAGAACAGTGCCATCGTTTCTCACTTGGTCAATAGTGAACAACATACATTAAGCTTCCTATATTCTATATCAAGTTCCGAAAAATCTGCCTAAACGAGTTAGATTACAAATCCTCCACATAGCGAAGGTTACTTGGATCAACGCCAGAAAGCGTACATATCGGAAAGAGATGTATACTTAGCCCCTGTGTTTACCTTGGTCTACGACAGGATTAGCAGGAACCTAAACTGAATATTATAAAGTTATTGTCCTCCTTCACACGTCCTTTTATGTTTAGATCATTCTTTAATTTACAAATTCATCTTTATCATAAGTACTTTGATCGCACCGCTTATATATTTATGCAAAAAACATTATAATTATCATCTCCATTGTCCAAACTATGTACTTTATTTACACGATTTATCATACTATTATATTGATCACAGCTTGACACCATATTATGAATCATTCTGACCTTGATTAAGCGACCTTGGTAATTTACGAATAACATCATCTTGAAGTATTTATACCAACAGAATTGTAATCTCTGACCATTTTTAACATCATTCATTAATGCATGCCTTAATTTGGGCCTTTGTAAAATAACATAATAATTATGAACTTATGACTGACTATAGAGAGTGATGACGAAGTTATTGAAAACAATTGTTTGCTGAAATAATATTTGTTTCAGAGTATTTTTGATGGATTATTAAATTTTTAGCTGTTTAAATAATTATAAGAATAAAATTTCAACTAAGGTGAATGCTTGAAATGTCGTTAAATTCTCTGAACTCTCTCTCAGTCGTAATATATATATATATATATATATATATATATATATATAAGAGCAGTATTTCTACGACTGACAAACATCTGGAACTCCGAACAAATATCAATCAACACCAAAATCAGGATTTTCAATACAAATGTCATGACACTTATACTGTATGGAGCGGAAACATAAAGAACTATTAAAATCACCATACACAAGATACAAGTATTTATTAACAGTTGTCTACGCAAAATAATTCGGATCCGTTGGCCAGAAACCACCAGCAACTGACGGAATTCTTATGATGGATTCAACTGCAAAATCGTGAACGGAGGTCAGCTGACAAACTCGTCTGAGGTGAAGACCAGTGTCAGGCAAGGTTGCTTACTCTCAACCTTTCTCTTTCTCCTGGTGAAGACGTCAACATCTGGAGGGAAGCAGGGTATCCATTGAACAGCTAGGATGCAGATGGACGATCTCGACTTCGCAGATGACCTGGCTCTTCTATCTCACACTCAACAACAAATGCAAGAGAAGACCAGTGAAGCAGCAGTCTCTGCAGAAGTAGGTCTCAACACACAAAGGAAAAAGCAAAATCCTCCGATGCAACACAACATGCACCAACCAAATCACACTTGATGGAGATGCCTTGGAGGACGTTAACACCCTTACATATCTTGTCAGCATCATCGACGAGATAGGTGGATCCGATGCAGATGTGAATGCGCGGATCGGCAAAACAAGGGCTGCATTTCTACAATTGAAAAATATCTGGAAATCTAAACAACTTTCAACCAAAACCAAAATCAGGATTTTCAATACAAATGTCAAGACAGTTCTACTGTATGGGGCGGAAACTTAGAGAACTACCAAAGCCGTCATCCACAAGATACAAGTGTTTATGAACAGTTGTCTACGCAAAATACTTCAGATTCGTTGGCCAGACACCATCAGCAACAACCTACTGTGGGAGAGGACAAACCAGATTCCCGTGGAGTTGGAAATAAGGAAGAAGCAGTGGAAGTGGATAGGACACACACTGCGAAAGCACCGAACTGTGTCACAAGACAAGTCCTCACATGGAACTCTCAAGGTCAAAGGAAAAGAGGAAGGTCAAGGAACACATTACACCGAGAAATAGAGAAAAACATGACAGAACAGAGTTGGCTGGCGAAAACTGGTGGGCGGCCTATGCTCCATTGGGGGTAACAGGCGTAAGTAATTAAGTAAGTGAGGCTCTCTCTTGTTCTCTTCCCATCGTTTGCGAACATGCATAATCAGAAAAAAACCGTTAAGTGAAGTAAACAAACAATCAAAATTTTACCTGTTAACCATGGAAGATAATAATTCAATTCTTTCTTATTCATATATTGTAAAAATAGATTATTTCTATCTTGTGACATCATCATCATCATCATTGTCAAATTCGTAGGTAGCGGATGTTTATTCGATAGAACACGTGATGTCAATGCTTGACAAAATGAATCCACATGTTGACGACCAGCAGCACCACCACAATCACAAAAGAAACCACTAAATTTAGCATAACTTATATCATGCCCTGAATGACAAACTTTTGCGCATACAGAACAAACACCATGCGATTCTTGTAAACTACACGTATAACAATGATACCAATGTTGATCAATGAACATTTTTTGAGTTGCAACATATGTGCACATGGAATCATTAATTAATGGACCAGGAAATGTAGCATACACTTCATCTTCTAAACAATCATCACCATCCGCATCATCAACATCCTCATCATCATCTGTATCAGCAGACAATAATTGATTCATTTCAATAGTACGATTTGTTTTTACTGATTGATTGGATTGAATAGAACAACCAGGTGAGTTGTGTTTGAAAAAATGAGATTTAATATTCCATAATCCTAATTGATTCCAATTCTATGCCGATGCAAAAAAAAATTTTTTTTGAAACAAAAAAAAAGAATTAAATTACATTTCAATTTATTCAATTGTGAATAGTGGAATAAGTAAAACAAAAAAAAAATGTCTAAAAATTTACAGTTTCATCCTTCGTGAACAAATAGTGATAATAATATTAATAATAATGTATTAGAAATACAATCTAGATAAAATTTCCAAACGTGTCTCCAATGTTGATGAGAATAGTTTATGAAATACAATGAGTGCTCAATTAGAGATCATTGTTTTTACACATAGAAATCGTGAATCAATCATTGTTGTTAGACCACCACTAGATACTTGGAAGCATTGGATGACCGTTTCGTCTTGGTATGGAACTTATCAACAGTACGCATCCATGACCCCTGCTACTAGCAGGAATCGAGCCCAGGATTTTTGGATCTTGCGTGTGAACCTCTAACCTAACAATGATTGATTCACGATTTCTACTTGTAAAAACATTGAGTTCTGTTCATGATTTTAATAGATGAATTATATTCGTTAGACAAATCATTAATCTTAGGTTTGGATGAATGCAGAATGGTAGATTTAGTAGAATTTCTTTTACTAGGTACTTGAGTATGAGAGCCACATTTAATAAATGTGGAAGTTAATAATATTATATGGTTGGCCAAGCTAGAGTAAGTGTCAGTCAGTCAGTCAGTTAGTTACAACGTAGAACTTCGTACTTACGTATGTACATCAGTTCAAGTTGCCATACCACAACATTTGCACAGAGACGCCATTGGCACTTAAAACCACATAGTAGTAGAGACAGTAGAAGTATTAACAGTAATCAGAGAGATTTGGTTTCGAAGAAGTATATTATTCAAGAAGTATAATCGAGTAAAATAAGAACAAAATAAAGGTGATGAGGAACTCCGAAGGTTAGAATTTCATGGAACACAAAGAGTAAATGCACTTGGGCCATGGCAAACGATTTTGAATCATGTTAATCAAGGTCAATAACCATCGATTACTATCATCTCGCGGACCCCAACCAGGTAGTCGACACCTACCAACATGGCTCAGTCAACTTGTCAGTGACTTCATGAATTTGTGCCATGTTTTGTTTTGGCCACCCCTAACTTTCTTCCAACCTACTCCTACATAGCAAAATATAGCTAGTCGACACAGTCAGAGGTTAGGCATACGTAACACATGTCCCAACCACCTCAACTGATGCAGTTTCAATACTTCATCTATTGACCTGCCATCCTTATCGAAGACCCGTTTCCTTATGACAGCCTTGTTTATAGAGTAAGTGTAATGTGACTCAAACCTGAGACTAGCCAGCTGAAAGTTGTACGTTTTTATCGCACAAAAGCCACTACTTAATGATTATTCTAATTCCAATTAATGAATCATAACTAAGCATTTCATAAATTTCCCAATTTCGACAACAATTCAATTAAACTGTTTACATAGTTGAAATTTAAAAGGATAATATAAATGAATATAATCTTAAAAAGAGATTTTACAAACACAAGATTAAACAAAACTTTTAATATATTCCAATGAAGAATAGTTACAACCAAAAATAAACTACCCAGACTAAAAAAAATAATAAAGACCAGCTTATCACTACTTCACTCTACATTGAAAGCAAATTAAACAGACAGATATCATGAACATAGAGCTTGGTCCAAGTTACTGTACCATAGTAATACATTGCGAGACAAAATCGACAGAACGGATAGCAATAGAAATCAAAATAATGTACTTACAGTCATAATAACAATCACTACATATCGAGAATATATTAAGAGAAGACGGAAGGAATAAAGAAGTATACATGAAAGAATACTAGAACTCACGATCTAGGAGAAAGTCATAAGTAAACGCATCTACACCACTGTGATCGACTTCGAATCAAGTTACGCAGTCTCCGACCATTGATCACAATTATCAAGCAAGCCTCAACCAGGTATAGTCAGCATCTACCAATAATCAATGAGTTCATGAACTTATCTCGAATTTAGCTTTGGCACCCCTCTAGTTTTCATCTAACTTAATTCTAAGCTTGTAACTATCTTTTGTGAAGATAGACCATAGTTCAACACATGGTATAATCACCTCACTAACTGATTCGCTACATTTTCTCAGTACTCTATACTTAACCCAAAGTATTGCTTAGCCAACTATTCAGTGATACGCAAAAAATGTTCACAACAAAGTAGAAAAATAAAAAACTAACAAAAATGAAAATGTACAATTCATTCAATAATAGAAAATTACAACTCTTGCCTAACTTACTTTACGAAATGCTCTTTTACACAAATGACTATAATGTGAACTTAATAAATGAGAAAAAGTTTGTGTTTTAGAATAGAAACTTTTCATTAAAGAATTATTCAATACATTTGATGAAGTCTCTGACTCATCATCATCACCAACATCACCAACATCATTAGCTTTATTCATTGCAGTAGTAGCAAATAAACCAGGTTGTGTATGCGCAAAATTTGGCCAATTATCTAAACGAACACTAGCTGACAATGATGATGATGATGAATGTAGATCACCATCACCGGTGACTACTGTTGATTGACAATTTGGATTTAATACAATAATCATTGTAGATATATAGAAATAAATGGATTGTAAACTACAAATCAATGCAGCCTAGAGAATAAATTAAAAAAAAAACACAAGAAAAGAAAATTTGTACAGAATAAGAATGTGATCATTGTTGTACTTATTTATAAACGAAAACAATGAGACAAAGAAAAAACATCATTATTTATCGATCGATAAATTATACAATATACCTACCTGTGTTTATTAGTGTAAGAACTATTTATCTTTCTAATGTTGAATTTTAGTTATAACTGAATAGTGAAAGACTTATTTTACTTGTAACTAATTATCACCATTTATAGTTTACACTATGAACTAACCGTGAATTAGACGACTGTTGAAAATCAAGTATGAATCGGACAGTGGTTTCATCCTAGTATGGAACTCCTCAGAAGTTAGTTAAACACATATCTTAGTGAACTTTAGGTTACGAAAATTCTCGAAAACCTCCCTAAACTAACTCAGTCAGTCAGTCAGTCAGATGCAACGTAGAACTTGGTACGTACTTACATCAGTTCATGTCGCCATACCACATCAGCACAGAGATGTAATTGTCAATTCAAATCCAATAGTAGTAGAGGTAGAGTAAAGGTATTAGAAGTAATCGGAGAGGTTAGGTTTGGAAGATATTTTTCAGTGAGATAAGTTTATAAAGACAAAACTAGAGGTGTTGAAGAATACAGAAGATTAAGATTTGAGAGAACACAAAGAATAAATGTACCTGCGCCAGTGCAAACGGTTTTCAGCCATGTCATTCTGGGTCTCTAACCATCGATTATTATCATCTCGCAGACCCCAACCAGGTAGTCGACAACTGCCGACATGTCTCAGTCCACTTGTCAGTGACTTCATGGATTTCTGCCATGTTTTAGTCTGGCCGCCCTTAACTTTCTTTCAACCCACTCCTACACTACAAAACAAAGCTCGTCAATATCAATGTTTAGTAGTTAGCTGGTTATAATAGGTATTAGTTTAATAATGATAAATTGATTTGAACTGGAGAATTACTGAAAACCAGGAAAAATAAAACAGGTGGTTCAGTCTACATTAAGACTTTATACAGTAAGTAATATGTCCTCACTACTTCACCATTAATTTGAACTCTAAATAGAGCAGATGAGAGCAGATGAGTCTCAGTGCATTCGTCACACCGAATAGATAAAGTGAAATAAAATGATCAGAATGTACAGCTCGGTTAATTGAAGCAGTAATGGTGTTAGTTGATGGTAATCGGAAAACAAAGAGTAAGTGAATCTACAAAGTTACGATGGATTCTGAGCCACAGCAACTAACGTCTCCAAGCCTTAGAGTCACGATAAGCACGTGAGCTCACACCGATTAGTTTGCTCCTTTCAACATAGTTGTCTAATTAGCAATCTGTCACAAAGATTGCAAGTTATTTCACTTCTGTTAATTAATATTAGCTCCTTTCCCATAAACATAACCGCGAACACATTTTGTTTTATTAAGATTGACGGACGACCTTTGGAGCGATACGACTGTTTGTTAGTTATTTCGGTTTATTCTTTTACGTTAGTGCCAAGGTCATGTTTCACTATTTAGCGCTTAGCTATCTTCAAAACCTAGGAATGTACTAGAAAAAATTACGAAACGATGTTGGTAGTGGTTAGTCATAAATAAAATGTGCCAAAATCGTCTCAATCAACGGAGATTTCATCAGTTCCCATTTCTGACTTCAATCCATTCATTTACAATATATGATGTCTAACTTCAGTGTTCAAGTTGTGAAGCGTTCGTGAGCGAGACCGATAGTCTCGAATTCGAGTCCCGCCTGCAAGGTGGTCTATGAGCACTGCTAATGAATCCTATACTAGAACAAAAAGGCCGTCCAACGTTCCAAGGCTTTCCGTGGTGGTCTAACATCGATCGATTCATGATTTCGGTGAATATAAACCATTCAATATGCTGGTGGAACATAAATGGAATGAAGGCATGACTACGTTGCTACGCGCTGATTGGCTAATTTCCTATCCAATCAGTGCCTGATCGAGTCTTGGAAAACAGGGTAGAAAATTCTCGTATTGTTAGCTGCATGCTGGCTGGCTAAACCTAATCCAGTCGATCACGTAAATTACTATCCAGAAGCTTCTCATGTAAATGCTATAAAGAAACTAACGTTGTATCTATTTTTGCCTTCGCCTTCATATTTCCATTTAACCTTGCTATTTGGAATATAATCTTTTCCTGTTCCACCGTGTTTTTGATTCTTCGGAAATTGTTCAGTGTATTGTGGTCAGAGAATAATAAGTATTAGGAATTAGCCGGGAATTATTTAAGCAAGCGTTACAAAACAATAAAAAACGAAAATGGATTCAAAGTTCACTAATTAAAAAACAACCAATAAAACTTATTACCTCGTTATAATGTTGTAAACTCATTGATAGCATTAAATTAGTATCATTTAAACAAATTGACTTGTCAGCTTCCTTATTAGCTTTTTCTTTCATTATTAATTCATAGCAAATATTAGCACAATGTGTGAAGAAACCGAATAATTTACTATGTACAAAACCTGTGGTAAAACCAAATGATAGACAGTGTAGCGATGTAATAGCATATGGTAGAAATGTTAAATCATACACATGTTCATCTGTTATGGATTGTTTTACATTGTCAACTTTCTCTTGATGAGTAGACGTGGAGGCACTAGTTGGTTGTGGACAATCAGTAGTAGTAGAAGTAGTAGTAACAGTATTTCCGTTACTACTTTTTGAAGTTACACGAGAACGCCAGAGAGTTATAGCTGAAGTTAGTAAATGATTGCAATACTGAAACGGAAAAAATAAATAAATATAGACAAGGTCAATAATACTAATGTTAGTCATGAACAGAAGAAAATTATACCAGACAATGAATGATATAATCAGTTGAAGAAACATAAAAATATGAGGAAGTATTAGTTGACCCTTACTTATTCCATATAAATACTATTTAGCCGACAGTAAAAAAACATTGTAGACGTACACACAATCAGAGACATTTAGGATGTTCGGTGTTTTTGACTTCAATAAATATACAATATTTGTTTGATAATACGTTCTACTGAGGAGTACTTAGAAAACTGTGTCTTTGCTTATCTTAGATCAACTAACTGACTGTGGAAAAAAAATTTGTATGCTCAAAATACTTGAAAGCAATTCACAGAGAACGAAACAAATATTTTGGGAGAATATGATATTCCCAATCAAATCTGGACTGAAAAGGTGTGTGTGAAACGTACACGGCAAAACAAGGAAATTCAGTATATTCATCCAAACAAAACAAGGGCTGCATTTTCACAATCGAAGAACATCTGGAACTCAAAACAACTATCAACAAACACCACAGTCACAATTATCAATACAAAGGTCAAGACAGTCATACTGTATGGCGCGGAAACATGAAGAACTACTAAAGCCACCATCTAAAAGATACAAGTATTTGTTAACAAGTGTCTATGCAAAATACTCCGGATCCGTTGGCCAGTCACTATCAGCAACAACCTACTGTGGCAGAGAGAAAACCAGATTCTAGCTAAGGAAGAAATTAGAAAAAAGCGTCGGAATTGGATCGTACACTAATTGAGAAAAACGTCCAACTACGTCACAAGACAAGCCTTCACATGGAATCCTCATGATCAAAGGAAAAGAGGAAGGCCAAGAAACATATTACGCTGAGAACTGGAGAAAGACATAAGAAGAATGAACAAAAATTGGACAGAACTGAAAAGCGAGGCCCAAGATAGAGTAGGTTGGAGACTAATGGTCGGCGGCCTATGCTCCACTCGGGGTAGCAGGCGTAAGAAAGTAAGTAAGTAATCTAACTTATTCAGTCCCTTATAAATATTACCTAACAATAACATCATAATCATATTAACCGTTGGACGACACCTAAGTAGTTTAATGATTAAGCACTTGGCTTTGGATTTAATAATCGGCGATGATCGTGGGTGAGCACTGCAAGGAAGCTCCATGCGAAGCTGAAATATCTGTTTAATGTTTCCCTATTTTCAATAATTGTCGAATTAAGGTCAACCAGTGATGCAAATTCCGAAATCTAACCAACTGCTTTCACAAAACCCTTCCATCAATTTGACAATTAATAAAAAAACTTTTCATAATACTAATAATAATAATAATAATAATTGTGAAATAAAAACACACGAATTTCAAGCTCACTTTTTCACGTAAACTAACATCATCTATCCAATTCGATGCTAAAAGTCTTGTGAAACGTTCAAAATACAATGCTATGTAATATAAACATCGTTTCTGTTTCCATTCATTTAACAAAATCGTAGTATTATTCACCATCGAGGCTACATTAGCATCTAATAATAACCAATTGACATTAAGATGATCGTCACAATTTAAATTATTATTATTAATACTATTATTAGTATTAGTACTGATTGTACTACTGAATATATCATTGGTCAGTAGATCTTCTTCAGTTTCAAATAAAGATGATGAAGATGATGATTGTTGATTAGTTGATAGTAAATAATCATGATTATTTAATAAATCAGTAAACCATAGTTCAGTGTCATTATTCTTATGAAATAATTCCATATTGGGTAAGATATTTTCTAACCAATAAGAAGATAATGTTTGGCTAGTCTCTGTTTCAATTGATTTCCATGGATGATATAAACATGCTTCTAATGATAATTTGACAAGTTCAGTGAAAATGTAACGTGTTTTTGAAGAGGTATTAATAGCTGAAAGAAAGATTAACAATGAAATAAACTTGCATTATAAACATGAATTGAAATTTTTAAAAAAAGAGATCTTCCACAAACAGAGTTTCAAACTGTTAGGAGTTTTGTGTACTTTAATGCTAGATTTCTTTATAAACTATGCTTGAATGAGAAACTACTAGTGAAAACCAAGGAAAGTTCTAAATAGTCAGCTTCTTTCTATTTCAAAATATCTTAGTAATTGACATACGTAATGCTATAAAGCATTGAGTAAAAGACACGAATGCATTGTAATTGACAATGACATATCTGACCACAGTAAAGTAGAATCCAATAGTTCAAATTGGTAATTTCAGTCAGTTTGAATACTAGAGTAACATAGTGGAGCGTTGGTTCAGTGGTTAAAGCATTCAAGACTCAGTCAGAAAGTCGCAAGCTTGAACAATGTTGCATCCTACATAAGCTTAAGCAACCGGATATTCTGACTAGTCCTCACACTTGTAATGTGACCCGAAGTCAAGTAAATTAGTTAACTAAAAATTATTACTTTTATTTTGACTCATTTACCACCATGCAGAAATCCATGAAATTGAGTTCGACCTGCATTCTGTGAGACAGCATATAGTATTACCACCCGATGGCCATAACCAAAGATAAGCTAGGCAGGGTTGAAATTTAATGGCTGGAAACCTAATGCATTAACCACTGAGACATTCATTGTTTAACAACGAATATTTTGATGGTCGGAGTAATGTTAGTAGTACAATAAACTATTATATAAAAAGTTCAACAAACTGTTTAGTCTAAATAAATTTGCACAGATGAACGTTGAATTACAATGATAAATCGTTTTTACCACTATACTCAATGACATATGATTTGAAAATTCAGTATGTGCGTGTGTGTGTGTGTGTGTGTGTGCCGATCGATGAAAGAGTCTTAATACAGAAACAATACTTATATAATTCTAATCTTATTTAACTTTTATATACTAAAACTAAAGTGTTGTGAGTGTTGATGGTAAATTAAAAATTATCAAACTCTATGTAGGCGAATACTGAAAAGAGAATTATAAACATATTTCAGTCAGTCGGTCAGTCAGTTACAACGTAGAACTTCATACATGTGCACGTACATCAGTTCAAGTTGCCATACCACATCAGCACAGAGACGCAAATGTCAGGTCAAATCCCATAGTGGTAGAGATAGTAGAAGTATTACTGGTAATGAAGAAGATTAGAGTTCAAAGAAATTATTCAAAAAGTATAATTCAGTGAGATAAGTTTCGAAGGAGAAAGGTAGAGGTGATGACGAATTCAGAAGATTAGAATTTCATAGAACATAACGAGTGGATAGACCTGCGTCATTGCTAACGATTTTATAGCCATGTCAATCAAAATCTCTAACATATTTAGAACTGCATTTAGTGTACACTAAGTTTCCGTAAGAAATTTTCAAGTTTCAAAAACGATATCAAGAATATAGAATATAGTTGACAATATGAGATGATCATCGAAGCATTCAAATGTCTACACACACCATAATATCAACTTACCACGCATAAGAAGAACACATAATAAACGTAAAGATGACATTTGATATGTAAGTGAAGGAGGTCCATTTGATATTCTTATACCGTTCAGTAGATAAACATCCTGACATGGAATACTAGATGTAACTGAAGATGATGAGAATAAATTCATGAGTAGATCTTTATTGAAGATTGGTTTTTGAATCATTGTTATTATTGATTGTGTAGTTGGATCATGAGGAGTACCATTTGGCGAACCAGTACCATTCATATTACTATTTGAAGTATTATTATTATTATTATTATTATTATTCACATCAGTTAATAATGCAGATGACGATAATAATTGTTTCAAGATACGATGATTGCCTAATACAATTTCTAGAAATCCCATCACTTCACGACAGACATATGAACAGACACGAGATTCAAGAGAAGTTTTACCTTTAGGAAGAAAAAGAAAATATCAATGAAAATGAACAACAATGTAAAAACGGAAAAGTGTATCAAAAATAAATTACCTTCCTTACTTACATGTAAGACAGACAATAAGACATAATCAAACGTGGATCATATATTATCCGTCGGTTTATGACTGGTTGTCTCTTTCTATTGACATACAAAAGACGAAAAATATGAAATTATGTGAAGTACAAACCTATACTACAGTCAGTTCTGTATGACGACTTATGATACTACCAAACTGTGCACACCAGAATAGGTGGAACAGGACTCGAACCTGTGACTTGACAGTCGAAAGAAATCATGTTAACTACTAACCAATCACTGAAATTTTTACATAATGGCTAGTAAGTATCTTCGGTTAATTAAACAGAGCGTAGTAAACAGTAGAGATCTTGTATGAGAACATGACTACATTGGAAATTCAACTAATATTAACCAAATTTGATATCTTATCTTCAGAATTTCGATATAGACAAATCAAATGAAAATATGAGTAAAAACGCAATTAACATCAACAAATTTTACCTGAATTCGAAAGACATCTAGCCATAAAGAAGACAGTATACACAAGTCGATCTTCCAATGAATGATTGATCAATTTTTTCACTGGACGTGAATAGAAAACCTTTTTCAGTTGATCTTCAGTAGTATCAATTTTACATGACGATGTTGGCAATAATTTTGATGTGGACATTGTTCGATGTAGGCAACATAGATAAGCTAGATATTGTGCTATCGATGGTGATAGTTTCTCTGTTTCACCATTATTATTGTGATCATCACCAACAACATCATCATTGTCATCATTAACATCATCACAACCAATCAAGTCAATATTCAAAGCACTAAATACAGGATCATAATGCATTGCAGCAATTAGTTGTAGTCCATGATGATAACTTTCCTTGTACATTACGGTATGTTCTAATTTAGCGTCATTTGAATGTGATATTTTCTGTTGTATATCAAACAATTGACTAACTAATGATTTACACAATTCATAAATATTTTTTAATAAACAACATGCTTGAAATAATTTTAAATGATTAGCTAACTGTTTAGCATATTCAGGTGTAGTGGTGGAAGTATTAGTAGTAGTAGTAGTAGTACTAGTAGTACTGGCGGTTGTTGATATTGGTTCATTTGATGTTGGTGTTGTTGCATTCGTCGTATTCGATGATTCCACATTACTATCATCATCAACAGATGGATGATCTTTTTTTATTGTCAACTGATATAATGTTAATTCATATTGATATGTTAATATTTGATAGAAAGATTGAGATAGATTTGAACTAAACTGTAAATGATAAGAAAAATAGAAAGGATAACATGAAATGCTTTTTAAAAAAAAGTAATTCAACATCATAATTGACTTTTAACAGAACTTAGAAATCAAAATAAAAGCGTCTGATTATATTGTACAAAGTTTTCATAATATTATCCAATTACCTAAAATGAAACCGTTGAATGCCAGCTCAGTGGTCTAGAGATTAGGCATTCGCGCGCGAAACCGAAGGTCCTAGGCTCGATCCCCACGAGTGGGAGTAGTGGATGAGTACTGCTGATGAGGTCCATATTAGAACGAAACGACCATCCATTGCTTACACATCGATTCATAATTACAATGAAATATAATGTCATAGTTGGAAACAGTTTGAAAGTATGCACGGTTCAATATCAAACTATAAGGCTAGTTGAGTGTTGACTGTTTCATGAACAACGTGTTACAAAGTGAAGTTGCATGACATATTTCTAACTTTTTGTTAATTGTACTTAGAAATTCAGCTTTAAACCATATTCTGTGAGTAAGGACTTTTATAATATTACCTAGATGACCGACCACCAGATAGTATAGTTTTATTAGCACAAAGCCAGAAACCAATTTTTACTAAAAACAAGTGTTACAGAAGCTGAGATGAATCAGACAGTCAACAACAAAAAACTTCGTACGTGTGTACATTAGTTCTAGTTGCCGTACCACAACATTTGCACAGAAACGCAATTGTCAATTCAAATCCCATAGTAATAGAGGTAGTAGAAGCATTAGCAGTAATCCGAGAGATTAGGGTTCAATGATATTATTCAAGAAGTAAAATCTAGTAAAACAGACTTAAAAAGATAAAGTGGTGAGGAATTAAAAAGTTTAAGATATGGGAGAACACAAACGGTTTCGAGTCATGATAGTCAGGGTCTCTAACCATCAGTTACTATCGTCTCGTGAACCCCAACCAAGTAGTCGACACATACTAAAATGACGCAGTCCAGTCGTCAGTGACTTCATGGATTTCTGCCATGTTTTGATCTGGCCCAACCACCTCAACTTATGCAGTTCCAATACTTCATCTATGAACTTACCACCCATACCAAGGACCCGTTTCCTAACAACAGCATTGCTTACTCGGTTATCCCACGATATACGAGCAATGCTTCAAAGACATCTATAATCGAATACTAATAGCCTACGAATGTCCCCTCTACTCTTACCAGCCATATTTCACATCCATATAGTAGGTCAGAGCGAACTGCAGCGCAGTAGACTCGTCCTTTAATTAGCAAACGGATATCTCGCCTACGCCATAAGTGACGCAGGTTGGCAAAAGTCAATCGAACCTTCTGTATCCGCGCTTAGACTTCGTCAGTGTGACCAGACTATCAGTACTGTGAAAATATTAAAAGAAAGTTGACAATACAACAATATTTTCAATGTTCATTTAAAAATCATCTCATTTCTACAACTTACTTGATTTAATTCAATACATTTATTAGTATTACATTTTGTTGCAATATTATTCAACAAATCAAATTGTTTACCATAAATAATAGTAGCTAATTTCATACTATTAGCTAAACGTTGACGAGCTAATTTACTTGAAATCACATTGAATGTTGGTAATACACAATACTCTTGCATTAAACGATTTGGACATAACAATGTTAATACACCAATATTTTCTATAGTTGACGCTGACGCTGATGACAATTCACTGATATTCACTTTATTCCAATTAGGTAAATCAAGTTCTGTACGAATATGATAGCCTAGTTTATACATTAATTGTAAACAGGTGATCAATAAACTATGCCCAGTCTGTAATGAATGTGAATACATTGCAGATAACTAAGGGAAGAAGGGAAACAGAATATTAATAATAATAATAATAATAATAATAATAATAATAATACATGAAGTATACAAACAGTGTAAACCGATTAGTTGACATGTTCTACTTATCTAAACTATTCTAAACAATAATCAATCAAGTTGAAATTGAAAACATAAACCACTGGTATTCGACGCAACAATTTAAATCTAACACACACTTTATAATCCTAGATTCTATTATGGGTGAGTACATTTGAATACAATGCAGCGTAAAAAAAAACAACAGATATATCAATGTGCTTTGATTTCTAGTACATTCTAATCTGATATGATGTTTTGGGGCAGAGTTTTGGAGGTTTGTGTTTTTACACATTTGAAATCATCAACCAATCATTGTTAGACCACCATTATAAACCTGGAAGCACTGGACGGCCGTTTCGTCCTGGTATGGTACTACTCATCAGCAGTGCACATCCAAGACTCCTGCTCCTAGCGGGATTCGAACCCGGGACCTTCGGTATTGTGCGCGAACGTCTGATATCAATTCACATCAAAAGAAAAGCCAGCTTTAACCCAAAACAACAGTTAAGATACACAATAACAGTGTAATAATTATTTCTCATTTGAAATGATCTGCTTTTTTCTCGTTGTCTATATTCAACATTAATTGCTTACTGTTAACTCTGTCACATTCTATACTTATCTTCATGAAAAATAACTCCACCTAGAGCCTACCTGAGGCTACTGTCGCTCCCGAACCCCGATAAAGGAGGATGACGGTTGGGCGTGGGGTTAGCGACCCCGTCCGTTAGAAAGCCAACTAGTTAAAAAAACCAATTCAAACCATTCAAACTCTGCCCTGAGAGTTGGAACGTCTTCATTTAGAAAAGTTATGACGTCACATAATGAAATCCGAGTGTCTTCAGAAGGAAGGAAGGCCCAGGACAGAGTAGGTTGCAGAATTTTGGTCGGCGACCTATGCTCCAGTTGGGGTAAGTTCGTAAAAAAATGAAACCACATATGCGAATCAGATTATATATCTCGAGACTCGAACCTAGCATCTTTCGCTTCAAAACACTTAAAACGCGATTCATCAAGCTACTGAATTTTACAATATCCTTGACAGAACTTTTAACTGAAAATACCACAACTGATATACATCTTAAAGCAGTGCATAGAATTTCAACACGTAGTAAAGAACAGTCTCCTATAATCGTATAGAACTGTTCACAAGTTCAAAAAATAATATAACTAGAGTTAATACTATTATAAAAATATATTTGAGGTGATCTAAGGCAATTTCAAACATGTATTGAAGTATATACCCTTCATAAGAAGTCATAGATTTACTCGAATGATCTATCGAAGACTATACCTCATGAACATAAATGTACAACGTTAACATCTATGTCAAGCTTTGTTTACTTTCAACTCAGTACTACTACACTATGGATTTGAATCTAAAATCACAAAATGTAATGTAGATATATATGAGCCAAAAATGACAGAACAATTGTTTACTGCTATCTTGTCTCAAATATATGTCAAATTATAATGAAAGCCACGTTTATCGTACATTATTTAAGTGTCAAAAAACGTGCATATACCATCAGTAATGCTGAAATCACTTAACATAAAGTAACACATAGTAATAAGTGGTATTTTAAAAAAAAATGTAATGAAAAAAAGTAATCTAGTTTAAAGTTAGTCTTACTTACCTCTTTAGATGTTAAATTTGTATCACAACTTGTACTTGTGCTATCTCCAATGGTAGATGTTACAGAAGAAGAAACAACAGTATCTTGTAAAGTTGCATCGATCACTGCTTTATCCAATAAACAAATAGTTTTCTTTTCTTTTGGACTAATTGATTCAATATTATTATTATTAGGCTGTTTCAAAGTCTCTGTAGAAGAACCAGTGACAACAACACGTCCTTTACCAGCAGCATGACGTGTTCTATGCTTACCAGCACGTTTTGCATGTTCTACAGTGTCAGTGTATGATTTCGAAGAAGAAGAAGAAGAAGTACTCATTGGTTTTGTACTTTTAGAATCATTCAATGCTGTCAATTGTGATGTTAATGTATTTAAAAATTGAAATAAACTACTTAAATAAGATAATTGGCCAACAGTAATCCCATTGAAACTTTTCTTAATTGAATCCAACATAAGCTGTGAAGTTGAAAATTAAAAAATAAATTTATTTACAGTCTTTGTTTGGTTAAAATGACATCGTAGAAAAATGTTTAATATCAAATAGATATGCAAATTAAGTATATATCAACGTTTTTTAATCATAAAGTTATGGAAATTGTTAAGTTACAGGGAAATGATGAAGCAATTATTGTTAGACCACCATTAGAAACCTGGAAGCACTGGATAGCCGTTTCGGCCTAGTGCGGAGCTCGTCAACAGTGCGTGCCCACAACCTACGCTTGCGGAAATTAAACCTAGGACCTTGTCTCGTACGCTGACGAGCCCCAAACTAGGACAAAACGGTCGTCCAGTGCTTCCAAGGTTCTTAGGGTAGTCAAACAATGGTTAATTCATAATTTTAATGAAAAAAATATAAACGATTGGTAATTTGACATCATCTAAGGCTGATATTATTAAGAAACGTTGATGATTAGTCAGTATATGAAATAATACACAATTATTCCTATATTTAGCTTATACGTGCATTTTGTACTGCTAATAAAAATTGGAAACTTTTACAGAAAAAGAAAATTAGTAAATTACAAATTTAGATCGATTAAACTATCACTAATTATCTAAAATTAGGCAATAACAGAGAAGATTAAGATGAGTCAGGTTAGTTTATCTATGATAAAAACGATTAAAATAAATTGCTAAATTAATATTTTATTGCTTATCATAAACAAGTTATGCATATTAGCTCATTTACCGATTATAGACTAATGTATTCGAAATTGAGGCACACTTTAAGTACGGGAGTTAATGATATACTATTATCCGATTGATTGTCTAAACTGGGCAAGAGATAGGGGTAGTTTGAACTTAGGACTTGATGGTTGAAATTCAAATCTATGAACAATTGAACCACCGTTCAGTCATGTATCAATATGTTTGTAAATTTATCCCAGAATAGAGAACAAAACAATCAACAAGGTCATAATCTTAATTAATAATAGACATTGAACTGAAGTCAGTCTGTAATTTCAACCCTCTTTTATTATAAACTATAACTACAACTATTCTATTACTGACTTCTTAGAGAATTCAAAATGTTCTACTACTGAAAACTACTGAAGTCTAAGTATGTCTGTCAGTGGTATGAGATAGACATCATCTATGTTGGGGGTGATAGATCCCCAAAACTCTCTTGTTAAATGACTTATTTTGGATTTCACGTTTGCCAGCATCGGCTGATCAATTGACCTTGAGATTTCAGTTCCCACCAGCAAAATCCATGGCTGTGATTGACTGTTATGTATCTTAGTGTGCTATTTTCGTAACTGTCCCAACGACGTTTCTATGATGTATAAATAAACGAGAGTTGTGTGCTTGATGGTATTGTGATTACTGGGTGTTTGTAGAATATATTTTCTACGCTTACAAAGCCTTCTATCTTCAGCTTGGGATTCAAAGTAGCCTATCTGGACGCTGGTAATTGTCTCGTTCGCGTTTATCGATTAAGGTGAATTCGTAATAGCTTCAAGCGTACCTAGTGACGAACTCTACAATCTATAGTCAGTAGATGATGGTTGAACAATATCATGCACGCATTTAATGAAGCCTAGAATTACAATTCTGACGTTTCATGACTCAGTGTAAGTTACTGCTTCAGAGAATAAGTAAATTAAATTAAATTAACGCAAATTTATAAAGTACAATGGAACAAAGCAAACAAATTTACTGCAATCAATCTAAAACAGGTCTGGACAAGTTAATGTTATGTCATTCCGGTCAAGGTGATTCATATGAAATATGTTTTTGTAAAACTACAATTGACAAATCAAAAAAACATTATTCCATAACATATTCCATAAACTATCTGTGAAAAAAAAACACATCAAAAAACTTACTGAATAATGTTTCACTTGAAGAAAACCACATTCGAATAACAATGAAAATGATGCTATAGGATGAATTAAAGATATTAATTTATTAATTGATTCTTCAATGAGAGCAGTTTTTGTTTCTTCAGTTTCCTCATCATTTAATGATTTACTTGAACATTGAGCATGAATTAAACGCTTTAATTCTTTCTGTAAGTAGGCAAATGATATGAAAAAAAATGTTTCAACTAACTAGAAATTAAAAATTTAATGATTACATATTAACGATCAATAATACTGTGGTGGGCGCTACTTATATAAGTAGTATATGACGCAAGTGTAAACGTAATGTCTGACAACAGAAGATGGGGGAAGATCAAGAGAAAGGAAGAAGAGTGGGGAACACAATGGGATTTGTATGAAACGGATGAACAGTGAAACGTCAGACAATCGATTGATATTTTGCAAATTGACGGTTTACGATATGGTTTTCCTATTTTACCAATTAACTCTGTAATTTGCGACTAAATACAACTCGGTTGCCCTCACCTGTGTTCTCCTTCACTACAGTAGAAGTAATAGAAATAATATTAGCGGTATATATTAGACTGTATTGTGATGATCCACACAAGATCCACATACATGATCATTGATACAATGTGGGCCTAAGGATTACTACTTACGACTATTGAAATGAAATCCACATTGAAGAAAGAAGCAATACAACTAGTCAACTGAAATAAATTTCTAACTCTAGTAAAATTTAATGCCTACATTTGAAAAAATATTAGACACTAGAAAGCAAGCATAGTTAGAAGTCATAGACAATTTGAGGATACAGAATTTCGTAGGTCACTTAATACCTTATCAAAATAAAGATCTATGATACTCAAGAATTGAGGAAGGATACATTTCGATGAAATCTCTTGGAACTTATGTATTCACCTATCTTTTTTACATCTATCTTTCCAAAAAAATGGAAAAGAATTGAAAATGAAATCGACATTTAGGTTATTAACTACAAAAGATTAAGAATAATTCATACTTATACTAAATAAAAAAAACAATAATCTCTCTACACTAGTAATCGTTCATTCAAGGATTTTTTTCCAACTCGATGAATTTATTTGTTATGTCATTTAGAATCTGATAATCAAGAAAAAAATACACTTCATTGTACACTCTACATAGAGTTTAATGGAACATTTAGTTGAACAAGGCATTTTACATATTCCCATTTTAAAAAAAAATCCTTTAACTTCAATGCGAATTTTATCGTTTTGATTATTGATTAAATCGTTTTTAAATGTGAAAATAATCAGTTGTATAGAATAGGAAAAGATAACACAACAAACAGCTTTTTTTGATTTTCATGTGGGGACATATTGTTAACAATGAATGCAACAGTCATTTTGAAGACAAAATAATTTTATGTAGATAAGGCAAAAGTAGGATTAGCTGATTTTTTTTTTACTATCAATTGATTTATCAGATCTCTACATCTGTGTCAGTTAGATGCAATGTAGAACTTTGTACGTAAATACATCAGTTCATGTTGCCCCATACCACATCAGCACAGAGATATAATTGTCATTTTAAATCCAATAGTAAAAGAGGTAGTAAAGGTATTAGAAGTAATCGGAGAGGTTAGGATTAGAAGATACTATTCAAGAAATATGATTCAGTGAGAAAAGTTTAGAAAGTCAACTAGAGGGGTTGAAGAATCCAGAAGATTAAGATTTGAGAGAACATAAAGAATAAATGCACCGGCGCCACTGCAAACGATTTTTAACCATATCATTCAGGGTCTCTAACTATCGACTACTTGCATCCCGTGGACCCCAACCAGGTAGTCGACAACTACCGACATGGCTCAGTCCACTTGCCAATGACTTCATGGATTTCTGCCACGTTTTGGTTTGTCCGCCCCTAGCTCTCTTCCAACCTATTCCTACACTACAAAACAAAGCTCGACGAGGCAGCCGGTGGTTAGGCTTTCGTAATACATGTCCCAACCACCTCAACTGATGAAGTTTCATTACTTCATCTATAGATCTGCCATTCTTACCTAGCACCCGATTCCTGATAACAGCGTTGCTCACTCGGGTGTCTCACGATATACGAGCAATGCTTCGAAGACACCTATGATCGAAAACCAGTAACATACGAATATCTTCTACTCTGACTGGCCATGTTTCACAGCCATAAAAAAAGATGGAGCGAACTACTCCGTCTTACATCTGTGTACCTTATATCGTGTCGCAACTTTAAGCGTGATGTGATGGCCAGTGGCATCATCTAGTCAACTAAAATACTGTATGTAGTGTGTGGAGTGGGTTTTGAACTTGATACTTTCTATTTGAAAGTTCGATACGCCAACTTCTAAGCTACTAATTCATTTTTTGAAGCACTCTGTACGGTTATACGCCAATAGAAACTACACAGACAAAGTATTTATGAAAGATGTCACAACTCATCAAGATGCAATGGGGAGAGTTCACAAATGGTCAGAGCATTTCCAATGACTCTGGATATCCAGTCTACGATTATTCGTATTGGGCAAAAGGAACTATCGAATAAAAATCACACTGACTCATAATTTTCTGTCATAAATTGAAACATATACGTGATACGTAAAATAATGTTTAAAAATACAAAAAATTAATTTGTTTACTGAAAAGAATCATAACAATATGACCAATAAAAATAGTCAAACAAACGCACCAATAGATTTCCTCTTGAATCCAGTAAAGAATAAGTTGATGACGAGGATGATGATGTTATTGATGATGTTCGACTACTGGGTAGTGGAGGTAAATTAGCAGCAGCATTACTACTACCACTCGTACTAGTTGAACTAGTACTTGTAGATGTTACAGTAGATGATTCAGACTTTGATTTCGTCAGTGAACTATCATCAGTTCCAAAACCTAAATGAATAAAAAATATATTGTAGAATAATTGCTCTATTGGAAAAATAAAACCCAACATAGTAGATATTATAATACTTTCTTGAGGTCAGAAAGTCTCCAAGCTGACTGTTATACTTTTATTATCATAAGCTATGATTCGCTTTCAAAAACAGATTAATCGGATGTACACCAATCGCTTGAATAACTCTACAAACATGTGTACGATAATAATGTTGCGGGGAATTTATGTAGCCATCCACATTTAAGAACAAAATTTATTTACCATTGAAAAAAAAATAATAGCTTGATTGTCTAAACTGAATTCCCGTTGAAAAAGAATTTTAACATCCACATTCATAGTTTTACAACGATTTTAATAATTATTATTCCTCAATGAAGTATTCATTTAAAATAAACTAACTGAATGCGTATTTTATTCGTTTGTTTTAACACTAGTAGATATTTTGAAAGCATGAATCGATCAATGTTAGATGACCATTTCGTCCTGGTATGGGACTCATCAGCAGTGCGCATCCACGACTTCCGTTACTCGCAAGATTCGAACACAGGACCTTTTGGTCTTGCGCACGGACGATTAACCTCTGGACTACTGAACTGGCATCCAATGGTGTTAATGTCAAACTCCGATCAATCCACGGTCTTGAGAAACCTCGTCCACTTCTGATGAGTCCTATACCAGGACCAAACAGTCATCCAGTGCTTCCAAGTTTCTAATATGGATCTAACATGGATCAACACATGATTTCAAAACAAATCTACGATCTTCACAACCCTATTACGCAGCAGTTCGCTCCGTTCTCCTATACGGATGCGAAACATAGCCGTTAAGAGTAGATGTTCGTAGGTTACTAGTATTCGATCATAGATGTTTAAGAAGCATTGCTCGTATATCGTGGGACAACCGAGTAAGCAATGCTCTCGTTAGGAAACGGGTCCTCGATAAGGATGGCAGGTCAACAGATGAAGTAGTTAGGTGGTTGAGACATGTGTTACATATGGCTAACCACCGACTGCCTCGACGAGCTATGTTTTGTGGTGTAGGAGTATGTTTGGAAGAAAGCTAGGGGCGGCCAGACCAAAACATGGCAGAAATCCATGAAGTCACTGACTAGTGGACTGAGTCATGTTGGTAAATGTAGACTACCTGGTTGGGGTCCGCAAGACGAAAGTCACCAATGGTTAGAGACCTTGAACGACATGGCTCAAAATCGTTTGCAATGGCGCAAGTGCATCCATACTTTGAGCTCTCTCAAATCCTAATCCTCTGGATTCGTCAGCACCTCTACCTTTGTATTTCTCAACTTATCTCACTGAATTATACTTCTTGAATAATATCTTCGAACCATAATCTTCTTCATTACCATTAATACCTCTACTATCTTTATCACTATGTGGGATTTGATTCGACATTTGCATCTCTGTGTCCTAATATGGTATGGCAACATGAACTTATGTACATACATACGTAGTTCTACGTTGCAACTGACTGAATGACTGACTATTACGCAAATAAGTAGATATAATTTTTTTAATTCATTACATTCATTGCAAAAAAAAAAAATAACATTCAAATAAATACCTGAAGAATATTGATAATTTGGTTGAGTTGAATTATGTTGAATTCTATCTAATAAAATTATTAAATATAAATAATGTGAAGGTGATAAGAATATTTTTGAAACATTCTGCAAATTGTTCATTGTCTTCTGTGATGTTGATGTTGTTGTCAATAAATTAATGAATAAATTTAAATCATTTAAAAATTCTCTTGGTGGTGGAAGAATTTCTAATAATCTCCAATTTAATGCTAAACCATATGTACACAATGGTAATTGACAACATTCTAGAAGAAGAATAAGATTTGAATTAATTGATTGTTGATTTAATGAATCCGTCAATAGAAGTGAATCCAAATAATCAAGAAGTGAAGTGAATAAGTCATGATAATTGTTAAGTGAAGCTAATGATGAAACAGCCTGTAAATGGAAAAATGAAAAAGTAGAGTGTGATGACAACATCAAAAGAATATTATTGAACTCATGAAACCATGATGAAGTGTATAGTTTGAGAGAATTGTAGTTGATTAATCTTTATAGATTAATTTAAAGCTAAAATGAAATTATGTATCAGGAGAAATGATGAATCTTATACTTCTCGAATCATATCTTCGAACCCTAAACTTCTCCATTACTGCAAATACTATCTCTACCACTATGGGATTTGAACTGATACTTACGTCTCTGTGCTGATATGGTATGGCAACCTGAACTTATGTACCCATGTACGAAGTTCTACGTTGTAACCGACTGACTGATGAACCTTAATATACAGTCAATCATTAACAATCTAAGAAATACATAAATCTGACCTATTATTTATTCACTCATTGTATATATATATATATATATATATATATATATATATATATATATATATATATATTTCTATACTTAGCTTTGAGGGTTAATATTACTAATCTACTGTCCAATAACCAAAGTGGAATGTGATTCAAACCAGAATCTTTGTGTTACCATCTAAGTCGCCACACCTTACACTAACACAATGAGAGACAAAGGAAGAGAAATAATATAAACTATGATAAAAATCTAAATCTAAGAAAGATTATTAAACAAAAAACAGATGACATCCGGACATGGAAGATATGAAACGCCACTTAAATTCAAGATTTACAGAAAGATAAAAAATTGAATACTACTGAGTCACAGTTAACACAACTTCGGGTCATATTATCTGTGTTGAAGGTTCCAACCTTGAAGTTTGTGTATACTGATAGAACTTAGTTTAAAAGTTAGAAACTTAACACATTTCTTTTTTCTTGAGTATTCTAAACTTTCTTCCAACATACATTCAGATTATTATGATGATCTGAAGGGCAACAGATTAAACATCTTCAAGTGATGATATTAAGACTTGACATTAAACTTGTAGTTTTCGGGAATTCATGCGAAATACTTGATAACTCAAATATTTTCAATGAAATCTATATGAATGTTGTGGACGTTAGATCCCCAGAATTCACTTGGAAAGGGTGCTAACTTGGGATTTTTCGCGCATAAGTCGCTGAGTTGACCTTAAGCTTACATTTCCCACTCGGAAAATCCTTGATTGTCATTGGGTGATGGATTATTTTAGTAAGCTATTTTCGTGTCTCTCACAAGGAGGTTTCTATCATGTATAAATAAACTCGATTTGCGTGCTTGTCAACCACGTATTTTTTGGGTGCTTGTAAGAATACACTTTCTACGCCTTAACAAGTCTTCTTGATACAGTTAGCCGGGCAGGGGACAAACGGATTAGAATAGCCTATCGTGTCAATGAGTCATTGCTTCGTCCCGTTTACCAAGCAAGGTGAACTCGTAATGGCATTCAAACATATCAATTCATAAAACAAAAAACCCTATATACAGTTTAACATATAAATATATTCATTATCTTTTTTTGATGAACATCCGAATATTACACATAAATTCGTTATTTCTATTTGAATCATAATGTCTATTGATCTATTTTATTGTTTACTTTTCATATTTATCGATTATTATTTAAATTAAATCATTTGTACTTGTGTTTGAATCAAACTTTAATTGGATGAAGGATAGTAGTACTACTAAACTTAAGCGGAGTGGAGTTCGAACCTGTGACTTTAATTCTTAATTCATAGCTTTACTAATTCACCTTAACAGTCTGTAGTGAAAGAGAACACAGGTGAGGGCAACCGAATTGTATTTAACGAAAATTACAGTTACTCAGTAAAATTGGAAAACCATATCGTAAATCGTTCATTTGCAAATTATCAGTCCATCCTATCGAACTGGACTGTTCCTGTTGCAAACAACATCAATCCATTGTCACTACTATTCATGCGTTTCATACAAATTCCATTGTGTTCCCACTCTTCTTCCTTTCTTGATCTTCCCCCCGTCTTCTGCTGCCAGACATTACGTTGACACTCACGCCATATACTACTTATAAGTGTAGCTCACACCACAAGTCTACCATGACGAAATGTTCTTTTTTTAAAGCATATCATAATTCAAATAGAATAAAAATCATATTTAAATCCTATAACTTTTATGGTGAAGATGACTTACCAAACCATCAGGAGATGGAAGAGTTAAACTTGTACTAATTCTTTTAGTACTACTAATGCTACTATTTCCAACAAAAGTTGTTGTTGATGGTAATAATGATGAAGATGATTGATTTGCTGAAGTTAATAGATCATAAAAAAATGGAATATTATTATTATTATTGTGACTATTCTCTATTAATGGTAAAGGCAAAAAGTATGGATGTACTTTTGATATGAATTGGGCAATAGTTGAATATTCCCAAATTAGACATTTTTTCTGTTTATTATTATTATGATTTTGATGATGATGAGTAGTAGTAGTAGTAGATTGTAAAAACATACAAGGTTTTAATTGATATGATAAATAATTTGGTGGAATATAGAAATAATGTAACATATAACGTAGAATAACAATTAAACGTAACCAAAGATAATAAGTATGTGTGATTTGTTGGTGTTGGTTCACTGAGAGAATGTGAATAGTGTTGTTGCCCGTTGTGACAGACTGTTGTGGCTGGTGTTGTTTCTTCCAAATCGATTTATTCAAATCACAAAATAATTGAGTTAATAAAATAAGCAATTGTTTTTTTGCACTTAAACCTGGTGTTTGTCCAGCAAGGAAACAAGCTAGCTGTAATAAATTCGGATGAATATCTATCATATTATGTTCAATGATAGGGATAGTTTTCAACATTATTGATGATGATTCCCATGTTGTAGTGATTAGATTGTGTATACTTGTTAAAAAATTTGACCAAAATGATTTGATAGAATCTTCTAAAATAATCATTGAATCTGTAGTACGTAATATACTAAGCATATGACCAGATAATAAACAGAAAACATGTGATTCTATCCATAATGGCCAATTATTCATTAATAATGTGGAATTCCGTGAAAGGTCAGATTCTTGTAAAATACTATAATTGTTAGTAGTAGTACTACTACTACTACTCAATGAATAGCCTAAATGTTTTAATGCATTCCAAGTGATTCCATGACATGAAGTAAATGCATAAATTAAATGAGATAATTCTTCATCAAGAATATTGAATTTGCATTCCATACTGTAAGATGATGATGATGTGGAGGTCAACTCATGCATTACAATCTCATCAGCATAATTAATCATTTTCGATAAATAAAATCCAATAACTGATATGAATTCTGAATTATCTTTTGAAGAACTAGAAAAAAAATAAGTGTAAATGGAAAAATAAAATGAAACAGTAAATTTAATATCACGAGGTCTCATCAGTGATGATGGCCGGGTGTGTGACGAAATCTCAGTACGGATACAGAAAGCTCGATTGGCTTTTGCCAACTTGCGTCATTTATTGCGCTTGGCGAGATATCCGTTTGCTAACCAAAGATCGAGTGTACTGTGCAGCAGTTCACTCCGTTCTCCTATATGGATGCGAAACATGGCCGTAAGAGTTGAGGATATTCGTAAGTTATTAGTATTCGATTATAGATCACCTCGAAACATCGGTCGTGTATTCCGGGACAAATGAGTAAGCAATGTCATTTTTAGGAAAAGGGTGCCAGATAACAATCGCAAACAAATTGAAGTGGTAAAACTTCATCAGTTGAGATGGTTGGGACATGTGTTACGTATGCCCAACTACCAACTAAATCGTCGAGCGATGTTATTTGGTGTAGGAGTAGGTTGGGAGAAAGTTAGGGGCGGCCAAAACAAAACATGGCACAAATCCATGAAGCCACTGACAAGTGAACTAAGTCATGTTGGTAGATGTCGACTACCTGGTTGGGGTCCGCGAGATGATAGTGACCGATGGTTAGAGACATGGCTCAAAATCAGTTGCAGTGGCGCTGATGCATCCACTCTTTGTGTTCTGTGTAATGCTGAATTTCTGAATTCCTCAACACCTTTATCTTTTTCCTTTTAAGTTTATTTCACTGGATGATACTTCATGAATAATATCTTGGAACCCTAATCTTCTCCATTACCAGTAATACTTCTACTATTTCGACCACTATGGGATATGAATTGACAGTTGCGTCTCTGTGCTGATGTGGTATGGCAACCTGAACTGATGTACGTACGCATGTACGAAGTTCTACGTTGTAACTGACTGACTGCCTGATTGATATCACAGTGTGTGTGTGTGTATATATATAGGCATGGAGATGATCAATTTTCAATGCACTTGGCTGAAATTGTTCGAAGTTGATTTTTTTCGCCTTTAAAGTTTAATATTTTAAAATGGAAGAAATCTTAAAACAATTGATCATATTTAGACATATTTAACATACAACCTGGAACGAATAGTCGTTGCAGTCAAAATTGCCCATATCATACACATCAATATTTTTATTCACAGAGAAAAAAAACAAGAAAATAAGCACTTATCCAAAAAAATATAGAATACTGATGACTATCATATGACATGATTGAACTGTATGTAATTAAAATACCCCCTGATTGGTTCCTTTATTTATCAATCAGGATCAGTGGACAAACTGAGAATGTAAGAGACTGACACGTAAAGCCTACATTAAACATATAGTGTTTTTACTAATGATATATCTCAGTTATTTAAGTTAAATGAAATAAATATTGTTCCTTTAACACTTTAGTTTTAATTACAGAGTAAAGCAGTGTAGCCAGAGAATATTAAGCAGTAAATGAATATAACAGAATAAAAGGCTACAGAAAAAATACCAAGTGCAATGAAGATCCCAATATTGCCTAAAAAAAAGATAAATAAGACTGAAATTTAGAAAGATCTAAGGTGACATTCACTAGAGATTTGAACCCCGATAAAGTTTTGGTACTAGGGTTTCTCAATTTTTAGTGGTCCTCCTTCTAAATGAAGTTAGTAAGTGATGTGAACTACAGACATCAGCAATCTCCACAAACCCGTTAAACTCATAAATAAATATAGTTTAGTAATTTTTTTTAAAAAAATACAAACCTTTCTTCAGTAGGCCTGGAATCATTTGATAACTGATATTTCAGAAGGTTCGATCGAGCCAACAATAAATCATTGAGAAAATGTAAACCTTGTTTTGTACAATTCAGGAAAAATTTAAAATCCTACAAAATTAAAAAGGAGAGAGAGTATTGTTTTCAATAAAATATAGCAATTATTTATGATCATTGACGTAAATCAGAAATCTGTTCAGCTGATGAGTCCCGAATAGAACAAAACACACATCCTCAATCCCACTCTTAACCATATTCCATCTATCCCATTACAGACTAAATCATTTGATTAAAAGTCACATATTCTTTGTACATGATAATAGCTCTAGTGAAACGACCTGAGTGATCGAAATGAAACCGATAGATGCAAAGTTCAAACAGTTAAAGTTGAAGTGTTGTAAATGCTTCAACTGACATCTCTTATTATTCAACCACTTTCAGTTAATTTTGCTTGACGAAAACTTTTTAAATTTATCAAGGAGAAAAACTAAGATCTACATAACAACATAAAGACAATGATAAAAGCGCTACCAACACATAACAATAACAATGTCTAGGCATTTAACTTACATCAATTTGTAAATCTTGATACAGATTGGAAGAAGAGTCTACAAAATGAAAGAGTAAGCACAATTATTGATTTGCAAATAAAATTGAACAATCGCATACGTTTTACATAATTCTTAAGGTATCGATGACTTGTTTAACTATGCAATTAGTAAAATAAATACATATTGTTTAGATGATATGTTGGTCAACTCGATGCTTTACTCTTTGTCTAAGAGTACAATTGATGGGAAATCAACTTAAATTTAGGCAAAAGACTAGTATACGACTAACAGAGAATTACATTTACTATTGATTTATTTTAGCGAACTTAATTTTACCAAATATTTAACGAGAAAATGACTAGTTTATAGATATGTTACATTGGAGACACTAGGGAAATATTCAATCATGACACTGACGAACATATAACACCACAGACCATTTGAATTTAGAAAATATCCACTGTGACGTTTTAGTCCAGAATTTGAAGAGCAACATGTTATTCTCAATGCTTGAAATTTAAACGTAACTTTTCAGTTCATGATTCTAAAATAACTTAATAATATCTACAACCCTATACTGATAATTATCATGTGCTGACTAGTGACTGGCCTCGAGAGGGAGGTCTCAGAGTTATATTGAGAAGTAGTGACTAGTGCCATTCAATCGTATCGGGTGTGAGACAACAGTTACTCACCGAAGACAATAGATGATGGCTTTACAATACCTTGAATTGATTGAAGTTAGACACTAACATCGTTAGATGCAGACTTAGTGACCTAGAGATTATGCGTTTGAGCGCAAGACCGGAGGTTAAGAGTTCGATTTCCATGTACCGGGTCGTGGGTGCGAATTGTTTAAGAGTCTCATACTACGTAAAAACAACCGCCTAGCTTTCCCAGGCTTTTAATGGCGGTCTAACATTGATCGGTTTATGATTTCAAGGTAACTCGAAAATCTCCACAACCCTATACTGAGAATTTCTTTATCAATCTGCATTCCATATCTAATCATTACCAAAAATACTTGTATCATATTGCTTGTATCCATTCGTAAAAATGTCTGTGATACTCCGCTCTAAAAGCAGTGAAGTAAATCATAATAGATATTTTATAACAGCTAGCACGATAGTTTTTTACTGTAGTAATATAATATCCCCATATAAAAAATACTAGGTATAAGAAATATTAAAGAACATAAGTTTTTTTAAATCATGCACTCACTAGTCAATGAATGATTCTTGACTGACATATAATTATCTTTTTGCAATCAAACTACGCGACTCAGGTCACTAACTTTACCCTATAGGTGACATTTTATAATCAGTGTGACATTTTGCATTGGTACCCTCAAACAACGGAAAACTAATCATATATAAAGTGAGAACGAAACTAAACAGTATATTGAATAGATGGAAAAAAAGAGATGTTTAATGTCTATTACAAAAACACACAAACAGAATAATACCTTTACCCAGATATTGTTGATAACGACTACAAGACAATCTTCGAGAATGTTCTTGAATCTATAACACAGACACGCACAAAAAAACAATTAATCAAATGGAAAAGATAACTATTAATCATTCGATTCCATAGAATCAAATAAAAAGTGTACAGTGTCGGCAATCAAAAGACGGCATGGAAGCTATTAAGATGACATTTGCCAAACATTATCAGGCTACCGAACCTCGTGTTTCATGACAATGGCACACACATAACCAAAACTTAGCATCACTAACATAGCGTTACCACTCAATGTCAGTAATCCTTCGGATACAACCATGATCGAATACAGAGTTGACTAATACCCGCAGCTCCTCAGAGGATAGGTTTTATAAGTACAGAGCGTAAATGCTCTTGCCACTACGCCATGAACCTGACCTTTTATAGTTGAACTAACATTACATTCGTAAAAGCCGCTCTGACTTACGTCATACATAAAGGATAAAGTATAAAAACTACCGATATAGTTGGTATATAGTCAGATTCTATTGTTTTCATTTGCACAATTTACAAATTTGAACACTGTACATTCCCCAAAAAAAATAAACAAAATAAAATACACAAAATACACTTACCACATTAAACATCTCTGTTAGAATACGCATTAAATCAACATGAAAATAATGACCGCATAGTATAAATAAACGTGATAATGATGTACATTCTGTTGATTGGTGAATAAACTCTGTAAAAAGAAAAAATAATAAAAAGGATTTTTTGTAAACTGAATTTGATGAAGATACTGTATAGCAAACAGTTAACTGTTTACACTAAAAACTAACACTAGTTGGTGAAATACCTCCAGTAGAATGTAGAACAATTAAAAGACTGGAACATTATTCTAGACTATTTTTAACAACGAGCACTCTTCAAACATCCTGTAGGATGAACTGAAACGTAAGTGTCCTCGTAACATCTATTCTACGATAGAATCTATCGATATGTTGAACATATTCTTTAAATTATAGCATAAAATGATAGATTATGTATGAAAAGTAACACAGATTTCATTCTAAACTACAAGTGCCAATACGAACCTTTTGTATTTATGCACGGAATATGGAAATCCAAATCATTACTAAATTTCAACTAGATATTTTAAGTCTATTATGTGTCGCGAGATCTTGAAAACTAAAAATTATACTGCATTCGATTTTATGCAAAGTTTAGAGCGTAAACTTTAAAAGAGTCCTAAAAGTAAAACAAAAATAACTATCCAATGTTCCTTAGTTCTACTTAATTCACTTAACTGATGTGCCACTCCATGACAAAAACCATTTCGACATTAAAAACATGTATGATTGTGAACTATGAGAAACTTTACAAAACAATTTACAACAAAACTACATTAATTGTGTTAGAGTACCTGTTCAGTCAGTCAGTCAGTCAGTTGCAACGTAAGAACTTCGTACGTATGTACATAGGTTCATGTTGCCATACCACATTAGCACAGAGACGCAAATGTCAAATCAAATCCCATAGTGATAAAGATAGTAGAGGTATTAATGGTAATGAAGAAGACTATGGTTTGAAGATATTATTCAAGAAGTATAATTCAGTGAGATAAGGTTAAAAGGACAAAGGTAGAGGTGCTGACGAATCCAGAAGATTAGGATTTGAGAGAGCTCAAAAAATGGATGCACTTGCGCCATTGCAAACGATTTTGAGCCATGTCGTTCAAGGTCTCTAACCATTGGTGACTTTCGTTTCGCGGACCCCAACCAGGTAGTCTACATCTACCAACATGACTCAGTCCACTTGTCAGTGATTTCATGGATTTCTGCCATGTTTTGGTCTGGCCGCCCCTAGCTATCTTCCAATCTACTCCTACACCACCTGTTCAGTAGACCGATATAATACACGTATAACTTGAAAATTATGCTTTCTAGTTAAGAATATAACCTAGATACATACAACAGTATAGAATCTTACTTATCACAAAAGGAAATGAAGTATCAGAAAAGAAGAGTGCATTATGAGAAATAAGAAAGAATACGAGTGAGTAAATAGGCAACTAAATATCAAAAATCTAGCAGACAAAAAAAATTAGTGTGGTAGTATCAATGTAATCAATTCAGTCGTGTTATCTTGAGGATAACAAAACTAAGAAGCCAACATTCCTATACCAATATAACAGTCTTTGTGGGTTAATGCTATATTGCTTTTTACACGTGAGCATCTCCAATATTTGTATAAAACGTATGAAGGAAAATGTTTGAAATAAGCCAACTAATCAACGATGGAAATGAAACAATGAAAAATATAAAAGAAACCAAAGACAGACAGACAGATACAAAGCAGAACTTCGTACGTAAGTACATCAGTTCAGATTGCCATACCCCATCAGTACAGAGACGCAACTACTTCATCTATTGATTTGCCGTCCCTACCTAGAACTTGTTTCCTAACGACAGCATTGCTTATACGGTTGTCCCATGGTACACGAGCAATGCTTCCGAGACATCGATGATCGAAGATTAGTAACCTACGGAAGTCCTCTACTCTTAACGGCCAAGTCTCGCATCCGTACAGTAGGACGGAGCGAACTGCTGCACAGTACACTCGTCCTTTAGTCAGCAAACGGATATCTCGCCTACGCCATAGATGACGCAGGTTGGCAAAAGCCAATAGAGCCTTCTGTATCCGAGCTGAGATTTCGTCAGTCACCAGGCCATCAGCGCTGATGAGACTCTCAAGATAAGTGAAGAAACGAAAACATTTGATATACATATAACCTTCTTATTAAAAATCTTACCATTTGGATCAAATTTTTGATCTAATCGATATTTGATATTTTGATTCACTAAACTCAAATCATTCGCTGACGATGGCATGAATGCTGAAGAAGGTGATGATGACACTGAAAGAATATTTGAATTTTGTGTAACAGACAAAAAATCTGAACCATATTTATAATATTCAGTATCACCGGAAGCTAATAGTGTTAAGCTTAATTGAAATAATTGTGAAAAATACTTCAATTGTAAAGGTTTAATTGGTACTAAATTAAGCTGACGATCCCATTTGTTCAAAGATTCAATTAATCGTAATAAATCGGATTTATTAGCTGGTAAAATGTTAGATAATGATTTGGCAAATGAATTTAACATTGTTAAACCAGTACCAAAATTTAAACACTTGATTGTTTCTAGAATTTTCGTATTTGTCTGGAAAAAAAGGGAGCGAAGCATATAAATAACAACTATTAAATACTAAGATTTACTCAATTTTGTCAACGATAAGGTTTTTTATTAACAATAGAAAGATTAAAATCATTAAGTATATCAAAGTTCTAGTTAACACACGAAAACACACAATAAAGTTCAATTAAAAGATCAGATATGAAGTATCACAAATAGACACAGTCATCTCTAGATAATAGAATATAGACTGTTAGCAGGAGAGGACTAGTGTATACATAGTCTGGCCAAGCACAAATCAAACTAAACTGATTAGTTTGTTTTTAAGATATATAAGTGCCAGCGGGGGAATCGTAAAGTAAGTAAGTAAATCCCATATAAACTTCAGTGATTTTACTGTTATATCTTTACTGTTTGGTCACTCGGAGCAGATAATTTTTTTTCTGATTTACGAAGAGTCTAGTGAAGTACCAGAAGTACTCAACTATTCAATCACCGTTTTTAACTACGGTTTTTTTCACTAGCCATTTAATTATACACTTAGCTAAAGTTGATCAATCCAATTGACGAAATCACTAAACTAAACCCCGTTATGTTCACTCATTAAGTTGTACTCTATAACTAAAAAGTCTTAGGAAACAATACAAGCATTTCGAAATTGATCCTACACTTGTTAACACTAGAACAGTCGAAATAAACACTAGATCAGTGAGCAATTAACATAAAATATGTATGGATTTGCAGGAATCAGTGAACCAATGTATTGCTAGTATAACAGAAAGATTAAATAAAAAATATATGATGTTGGTGAATAGTTTATTACTCCATAATTACAAAGAAACAAATTTGACCCAACAGTCTAATGCACAAGGTAGTGGAGCGACGTAAAGAAGTCCAGTCTCATGGTAGCCGGTGACCAACACTAGGTTCATTAAGCCATTCGTTCCGTCAAGGTCCTGGAGAGCCTATGTGCATCAGTGGTTTGGAATCAGGGTTTTTCAATTCCTCTACGTAGATGCGACGACCCACCAGCCTAGCTAAAAGCAACAGATACTCGCTTTTTGTCCTCTCAGTTTCAGCGAAAAAATAACCTTTGCACGAGAAGGTAGTGAGTAGGACTTCTCTGGTAGTGGCTATATACGCATGGCCGTATGAGAGCATTTATAAAGGGAGAGTGAAGTTTCCCCACTCTCGGTCGTACTACGGCATTCAAGACATAAAACTTTATTAAAAAGCAAAATATGACAAATATGATATGCTTACTTGACAAGATGTTAATCGACCAAGGTGTTGTTGATAGAGAGAAGTCTGAAATAAAAATTTGATGAGCATAAGTAACTTTTGTTAGACGTTTTCCCATACAATTAATATAATTAACTATACTACTTAGACTTAGATGTAAAAATAAACTACCATACTCAAAAGTCACACACTACCTTGACAAGTTTCAAAACGTGGTTTTTAGCTGTTTGGATGGAGGAGCTGTTGAACACTTTATTTTATTAATTATAATAAAAGATTTTTTCCCTAAATACGTCACTTCGTCCTGGTATGTTGTGAAAGAATAAAGATATCAAACTAAAGTAATGATTTCTGGACTACTTATAACAGAATATAATAAAATGGAATGGAAACGAAAGTTGAAAACATGTTACGTTAGAAGAATAGGTTTACATGTTCCAATAAAAGAAACCTTATCCAAGCATCCAAGGCGTAAAGTCGCAATCAATGCATTCAACCCTAATGTTTTAGGTAGGGTCATGTATTAATTTCAAACACGGTCTTCCAAACTTTAAAGGATAAACTGATGTGGTTTATAAGCCGAAATGGATTTACTGAATGTCCATAACTTCTAGTAGAAACAAAGGTCACTTGAGTTGTTATACTTCCTATAGATAGCAAAGGAGAGCTATGACATGAAAATGCGACAAGTTGGATCTGGCAGAATTCTTTAGAGAAGTGCTTAGACAAAAACATTGAACACATAAATTTAAACCAATGAACTCCTATAAAATAGATGAATACTAGTATTCAACACAGTCAGCAAGCTGACATGTACTCATACGATCCAAACTATCATATAATGTCGTACATCTAGATAGCTAGTTATTTGTTTGACGAGGCACAAACATTTTTTACTTGCATCAGTTTAACTACCAATTTACCTTCCTCAACTTAAACACATCCCTAAAGTGAGCAATACTGAAGTAACAGTTTCATCTCATACATGTATCAGTTAGTAAACATTTGTTGTCTTCTGAACTTCTTTTCACGAAAGTAACTGTTGCAGTGATAGATAAGCACAGAAAGTTTACTACCATTGTCTCTAGTTGTAAATGCAACCATTGAAATTTCATGATTTTAAGAGAAACAATGTTGTAAATTAGGGAATATGAGATTGCCATTTCCAATAAATAAATTAACTATGAATTAGATTACTGAACTGTCTTCAGTTTTTCTCCAAAAAAAACATCAAACTGGTACAATCATAAAAACATTTTAAAAAATAATACTTACTAAATCAGCTAGGATTTCATTCAATAGTAATCTTTGATTTAATATAGCATCATTTAAATCTTTATATAGAATATAATTTGTAAACCATAAACAACCAGATTGAATAACTTTAGAAATAGATTCAATCCATTGGATGATAATTTTCTCTGGAACAGAAACAAACATTTGTTGATTTGGTATAAAACTATCATTTGTTAGTAATCTCTCGCTTGTTACTACGGTGTTTGTCAGCTGTATGCATGATATTTCAAGTGAAGCAACCAAGAACAATCGTGAAAGTGAGATAATAGTCTTAAGTCGAGCATGAACATGATTTACGTCATCGCTGAAATTGAAAAGCAAACAGTAAATAATGAAATGGTGCATGATCATTCTGGTAACAATGTAAATGAATAATTGTCAACATTTTGACGAAGGTAGTGACTGCGATGATACACTGGTTAATGAAGTGTATTGGAATCCTTGGAAATTTATGCTTCTGAGGAATGTTGCCCTAGTAACTTTATTGCAAAATCAAACAAATTTCTTGCATCAACTAGTTGATGCGTTGTTTTGTGACACCAGTAATGTTAGAAATTAATTTAAATATTTTAAGCTTAGAAACTACACATCACAGATACTATTAGTGAAAAAAAACACAGATGATAGAAGGTAAAATTACCTGACTGAAATAGATGGTATTGCATCCAAACTATTAAGCACATGTTGCCAACCGCTACAACTCCAAAATGTTTGGATACAACAAATTGCAAATTCATTGCGCATGGTGACAGTACAAAGATCAGAATTTCCTTGAATTTGTTTCTAAATTAATTAATCACAAGTAAGCGATTAGGAAATATGCTTCATTCTGAACACTGTTGATATATATACATATATTAGTAGTGAATTTATTGACACTCAGAAAAACAATAAATAGCAATCCAAGACACCATACCATTGAGTAAGACGGCAGGCGAGTGGACAGGAACAAAGTAACCAAGTAAAAGTACTGCTGAAATAAACGGATACTAACCGTCGGTCTACCTAACTCATGATGATGGCCTGATATCTGACAAAATCACACCATGGATACAGAAGGCTCGATTGGCTTTTTCCAACTTGCGTTATTTACGGAGTCGTCGAGATATCTGTATGCTAATCAAAGGACGAGTCTACTGCGCATGAGTTTGCTCCATCCTATTATATGGGTGTGAAACATGGTCAGTCAGAATAGAAGACACTTGTAAGCTATTAGTATTCGATCGTAGGTGTCTTCGAAGTATTACTCAAATATCCTGGGACAACCGAATAAGCAATGCTATTGACCGGAAAAGAATATTCGGTAAGGATAGCAGATCAAAAGATGAACTATTGAAACTTCATCAGTTGAGATGGTTGGGACATGTGTTAAGTATGCCTAACCACCGACTGTCTCGTTCAGTTGTTTTGTAGTGTAGCAGTAGGTTGGAGGAAAGCTAGGCGAAGCCAGGCAAAGAGATAGCACAAATCCATGACGTCACTGACAAGTGGACTGAGCTATGTTGGTAAGTGTAAACTGCCTGGTTGGGGTCCGCGAGATAATAGTAACCGATGGTTAGAGACCCTGAATAACATGGCTCAAAATCGGTTGTAATGGTGCAGATGCATCCATTCTTTGTCTTCTCTCAAATTCTAAGCTTCCGAATCGAATGATATTTTCGATTACAAATATTTTTGATTGGGGCTAACACTTCTACTACTTCTACTTCTACGGGATTTTGAATGGACAATTCTACGCTATGACTGACTGACTTCGAGCCAGGTGAATCAAACATTGAATCATTTGGTAATGAAAGATTGTGTTCCTCATTTGTTATTTAGTTGGAATTGCGAATATCACATATGAATAAGGATACACTAGAAAGCTCATTTCATAACATAGATTAGTCACTTATTCAATTAGCTAAAGTGTGCACCATTAGTAACCACAGTTTCTAGTGATAAATCGTAAGTTAAACAATAGTCGCGGTACAGAGAATGCTAAAATATGCTGCACAAATTAGTCGATGTTGAAAATCCATACCGTTAAAAAATTACTAGTTAAAAACCTCCAAAAAAAGCATATTGAAGACAACCAGAACTAGAAAGTAATATAGTTCATTTACTGGTAAGACACATTAAAGTTTCGGAAAATGTAATGACAGATGTTCTAAAATACTAAAAGGTTTTTGTATTCCAAACTCACCACAAATGAACACTGAAAACTACTGCTACATTATAAGATGTGACAAATCATTACATTAAAATCCAATAACCAAGTACAAGATTAAACAGTAAGTTATGAAAAACACAACAATACTTGACTTATTAATTAGAAACTCTCCATATCTGGTTTAAACACAACTATAGGTTAGAAATTAAAAGCACAATCCGAGAAGAGGAGATCACGCATAGTCGATGAATAACTTAGTCTAAATTTACAAGACCAAAAGAGAAAGTTAAAATTAAGTTTACGATTACACTTAATACTTCTTACCGTGTTTTGAGTAATTTCATTCCATAACTCATAGGCCAGGGAGGATTCGCGATGTTTCAGTAGTAATTTAGTTCCCTTAGGACTACCTTTCTTGTCCGGTACAATATCCTTCCACGTTTTTAGCAATTCTCGCTCAGAATCGCACAAACTTTCAACTATCTTTAATTGGTTCGTTGGTATGGGCTCCAAACAAAATAAAGAACACAACGTTTCTGATATACATTCCTGAGAAAATAAAGATAAAATATACCGATGAAAAGCATGCGAAAAACTAACAAATTATATAACTGATAAAATATAAAACAAGCGATAGCGAAATACACTTAGTCACACGCACTTATCTTACATGAGTTAACCAGACTTGATTCAGATCGATACAGTCATCACACAGGCAACCTCAAATACACCCTTGATAAAGTAGAGTGGAACGTTAACGTACGTGGTTAATGCTTACACTTTAACCTACAATAAGTACTTACTCATTTGAGAGCTTATTTGCAAGAAACAAAATCAGCTAGGTAGAGAGGGAAGAATGTGGTCTTTTGATATCCCAAATAGAAAGCTGAATTTAGAGCCAGTGAGCTGTGTTGGCTATGTTGACAGAAGATACGGAAAAGGTGTTTTAATACATTCAGTAGCACGAAAAATTGGTTCGACAGGGAAATCACACAACATAGAGAGCCATAAACACCATGATAGGATGAACAAATTTAAATATTTAGAAGTGATAATACTAACTTCAAGTCTTCTTAAAATAGTCTGTTTACACAGGCTTGACGCTTTCTACAGAAAGAGAACTTAACAGAAAGTACAGAAACTACCTCTGGCTCACCAAAACAAAACAAAACCAATTATCAACCTAAATAGGGATTTTCGTGGACAGATTTGACAAAACTAAATCAATAAAAAGACCCAGGACATATTATCAAAAACGTGTGTACATTTCCTTATACCACAATAAAAAACTCATACTAAACACTAAAGTGACGCGTCCTGATGACATTTTGTGATGAAATGCCGTACTAGAGGGTTACAGAAAAATTTGAAATAAACCACATTAGAATCTATCGAACAGTCAAGCTAACTTTTTGTAATGTTGGTGTATCTTCTGAATTCAAGTTAGGTATTTGCAATTTTAGGTATGAGTAAGACAGAGAGAAAACAAATATATAATACTTGTTATCAGTACGATTCACTATTGCAAGGAAAACCTTAAACTACTCACCACGTCATCTTTTTCTTCTTTGGACAAGAGATTGATGAGTTGACGAACCAATGATGTTCCAGGAATTTTTATGTTCAGGTGAGTAAGTTCTAGAAAAATATTGCCAAAAGTTCACAACAAACCAGATAAGCTTTTGATAAACAATCCTGATGAAGCACACAAAAGTTTAGTCCTGAGACCGTCGGAAATCTCCGACTCTGCGCAGTTCACATTTCTACAAAATGACTATACCAAATGAAACGTACTCGCTGTCCTCAAGGTCACATAAGAACTCCAGTAATTGCTCGATATCTTTGGCAGAAACCTGACATTTACCTGTGCAGCTATCAAACACAAGGGAACACATCCATCGGAACTTTTCTTGGACACCATTATCAGTCGTAAGTTTGGTCATACTAATAAAGACCGACAACCGAAGGTTGTAGATAACCTAGGTGTACCGCAAAAATTTGACGGCGCACCCAAATGAGTGACAACTTCAAAATATATTAGTGTAAACAGATAACTAAGTTTTTTATGTATTAAAGTTCCGAATTGAGAATATATTATCACTTTTCGAAACAAAATACTTCGTTTGTTTCCTGTCGACATCCAGAAACCATCAATTTACTACTAGGAATTTTGATCAACTCACCCGTTTTAATATGAAATACAGTTTACACGAGCTTTCACTATGGTTCCGGGTAGTTCTTAATGACTAGTGAATATTAGTCTAGCCAGCCGACCTTTCTCATTCTAGTCACTTGGCAGTTCTTGAAGAATGTGTGCGACCAGTGTTAGGGTGAGTGAACTTGCCTCAGGTCGCCAGTTATCACATTACCTGATCAGAGATCAATTAGCTGAAATGTAGATAGTAATAAGGAAAAATTCCAATGGATATGAGAAGAATAAAGTTTCAGAGCTACCCAAATAATTAAATAAGTTATTTAATTAGTAGATAAAATGGTACGAGTAGACATAAGTGTCAGCATAGAAGAGGATTCAGGTAATAAGCGAGGTAGAATGAATCTGTGTGATAGGAGGCAGTGATTACGATAACAACAATCGAGTTATGAGACAGGCATCAGATAGTAGGAGATTATTATCCGTATGAGTGCCCATCTGTCAAGTCTCTTCCTCAGTTTTCCACTGAGGGCGCAATCCAATTAAAGATAAATTCAAGTGGGAAAACGTGTGAACCTACCGACGTTTTCTCGCTTTAATATGTGGTGATTTCACCTTTACGAATTAAACACGATTGGTTAAATAGCAGTATTCATAAGGCCAGTGACAAATATACTTCTTCATCCAGAACTCTCTTTTTTCTGACTTCTGGATTTAACGGGATTTAACCTGGTAATCCCGCGAAGGTGTATATTTATATCAACTCACTATAACTGGTGAGCGACGATTAAAAACACTCATTAAATATGGTGAGTCTGTCAATTTCCTATACACTTTTCTTACTATTTTAACTGTTGTATAATATATATCGATATTTTCATATATATATGACTGCGACAGCGTTTAAAAATGGTGGATAGACCCAAAAATGATAACTTGGCAGACTCCCAGATGCTGGTCCTTAATTTTCGACCTGTCGATTTTATTCCCTACGACACAGAGGTCTGGTTCACCGCCCTGAAATCTCAGTTTCGCATCCGCTGCATCACGAACCAGTGGTAAATGTTTGCCTATGCCCTGTAGTCTCTTCCTGGAACTCCATTGCTTCTGTCAGTGAGGTTGTTTTAGAACCTGCAGTTCCCGATGTCTACGATCGTCTTAAACAGGCGAGGGTGGAACGGTGGAGAACATCGTTGGCACGTAACCCTCTGGGTGATTCTAAGTCAAGTCACCATCTCACGCGCCTGCAATCCTTGGCGGGACCCACGACAGCTGACTTTGACATAGGGGATTGTGGCTCAAAGCATTACCAGCTAATGTACAGCCCACAAACACTGCTCTGATCGCGGGTGCGCCGATTACGTAGGCTGTCCTCATAGCAGACAAGCTAGTAGAGCGAGTTAGCTCCCGAGACAACAACGTCACACTCAAACGTTGACTTCGACGCCGGTCACCTTCAGGCTCAATGAGACCGGGATTACTGTATCGTTCTCCCGTTCCTGAACACCACGTCCCACAAGCCCGCTCTCGATCGATAAAGGCTGCAAGTACTCGCCCCCAGCAGGCATCTTCCAAGCCACGTCAAAAGGTGGCTTCTGAAGCGAGTACCGGCTGATGCTGATTCCATAAGACTTTTAGGTCTGAAGCCTGTCATTTTCGCACTCCCTGCTCATACAAGGAGGGAAACTTCGAAGTCAACGAGTAAACACGGCCGTACTCGTCGGCCCGTCACCTCAGGTTGGCCGCCTATTCTACGTGCACCATATCCGCACTAACGCCAGGTACCTAGATGAAACAAGTGCCCAAGTTTCTGTCGTACCATTTGGTAGCAGCAAGTTTCAACCTATGATGTTTCGACTATGCTCTGCGAACAGCTCTGTCATTCCTACATATGGTATACGGCAGCTGTCGGTCAACCTGAGCAACCGACCACAGTATCTGTGGACGTTCATCATTGCTGATGTTCCCACAGCCATACTCGGTATCGATTTCCTACAGCACTATGAATTGCTAGTCGATTCATGTAGGCTGCAGCTAATCGATACTTCGTCGAACAGCAAATTTATGGGCTTTCGAGCTCAAACAGGTGCATACAATATTACAGGGGTATTTCATTCGTGTGATAATATTTTCCACGCTTTACCCGAAAAATTTCACCAGCTAACTAAACCACTCGAGTAGAATGTGGTACACCAAATCGTCGTCCGCGGACCACCAGTCATGCCGACTGGCACTGGTCAAATTAGCTTTCGCTAAACGTGAGTTTGCCGATTTACTAGCTACAGGTATTATTCGTCCTTCTCACAGTCTTTTGGCCTAACCACTCCACACGTTTCGCAAAGAGGAGGGGATAAGTTGGCGACCATGTGGCGACTACCGAGCATAAATGTAGCAACACGTCTCGATATCTATCCCATCCTCCACGTACACTACACCATGGAATCACTCATGGGCACGACTTTTTATACTAAGATTGATCTGGTACGAACATATCATCAGATCCCAGTCGCTCTTGAAGATATCGAGAAAACTGCTATCACGACTCCTTTCGGTCTATTTGAATTCCTACGAATGCCATTTGGATTACGGAATGCTGCTCAAGCTTTCCAAAGGTTTATCGATAGCATAGTACGAGACTTTGCTTTTGTTCACATCTATATTGATGATCTGCTAATCGCATCACCAAACGTAGATGAAGATTATAAACATCTTACGTTTTTGTTCCAACGCCTTTCGGATAATGGAATAGTTGTTAACCCAGAGAAGTGTGAAATGGGCAAGGCAGAAATAAGGGTTTTTGGTCACATCATTAAGCATGAGGGTATTCTACCTTGTGAAGATAAAGTACGTACAATGATGGAGTACACTGTACCGTTTTCACTCAAGGAACTGAAGGCTTTTCTCGGTTTGGTTAACTTCTACCGACATTTTATTCCTCACGCGACGGAGCAGTTAAGACCATTAACCGACTTGCTTCACGGTAACCCACGTAAATCAAAGTTGAAAGATGCCGCGCGCAATGCATTTTTAGAGATCGAAAATGCTTTAGCTGAAGTCACGCTTCTCGCCCATCCTGACCCATAAGCCACGCTTAATATAGCGGTTGATGCATCAGATTTTGCTATATGAGCCGTTATGCAACACAATATTCCTGGAGGTTGGCAACCTCTCGAATTTTCCTCATGACGCCTTACTCCCACGGAGATGAGATATAGCGCTTTTGGTCGCGAACTGCTAGCAGCCTACTGTGCCATCAAGCATTTGCGGCACTCTGTAGAAGATCATAATTTTATCCTTTTCACCGATCATAAGCCTCCACGTATGCTTTGCATGCTAAGTCTGATCGCTACTCACCACGAGAGTCCAGACATTTGGATAATATATCTCAGTTCACGATAGACCTTCGTCATATTAAAGGCGAGTTGAACTATGTTGCCTATGCTCTGTCACGTTTTCAAGTGAATGCAGTTACGTTACCGGTGCTTGATCTTCCTGCTATGGCCGCTGCCCAAGTAAATGAAGCACAACAATCTACATCCATTCAGTGCCAGGAAGTACCACTATATACCACCTCAGGTACTATCCTGTGTGACAACTCTACTGGTTTACCCCGACCCATTGTACCCTCTGCTCATCGTCGTCTCGTCTTCGATGCCCTTCATGGATAGTCTGATCCAGCAATCGCAGCTACATTGCGTCTCACCGCTGCACGAGACGTTTGGCCTTCCATGAATAAATATGTCCGTATGTGGATAAAGCAATGCTTACAACGTCAACAATCAAAAGTGCACAAGCATGTAGCCGCCCCTGTCGGCACATTTGCTACGCCTGGTGCTCGCTACGATCATGTGCATATTGACATTGTAGGGCCCCTGTCACCATCGCATTGGTTTGATCACATAGTCACGTGCATCGATCGTTTAACGAGATGGCCCGAAGATATTCCTATCACTTCTGTTACGGCGGAAACAGTTGCTCGCCGCTTAGTAGAACGATGGATAGCTCTATACGATTGTCCCTCAACTGCCTCAACTGACCGAGGACAACAGTTCGAGTCCGCATTATTCTTCTCGCCAACCCGGCTGCTTGGTACGGAGCACATACACACTACAGCCTACCAACAAGCTTCGAATGGTTTAGTTGAACGGTTTCATCGCCATTTTAAATGTTCTCTTCGAGCACACGAAAACAATAATCTGTACGAAACTTTACCGCTCGTTCTCTGAGGTATCGGAACGAGTTTAAAGGCAGATATTCAATTTTCCAGAGCTGAATCGGTATACGGCACGACACTGCGTCTGCCTGAGGAATTTTTCACATCACGGAGTTGTGATAACCTCAATAAACCAGACTACGTCCAACGATTGTCCGGATTTATGCGACCACTGCCTCTGGTGTCAACTCGAATACAACATCGACAGGTCGCTCTCCCTCGATAGTCCGCATATTTTCATACAAGCCGATTCGGTACGCAAACCTTTGCAACAACCTTACAAAGGACTTTTAAAAGTGATTTCTCGTCATGAAAAGGCCCTCAATGTTGCTCGACATGGCCGCGTCGAGATCGTCAGCAATGATCGTTTAAAGCCAGCACACGTCGATGACAGTGCCCCACTTGCTAATCCGAGACCCAATGCTGGACCTATCAAACCAACTAGCATGATCCTTAAAGCCACTTCGTATCCCACGCTAGAAAAATCAGAGACCTCATTCTCACGTCCCAGTCAACAGCACGCGTCATCTGCACCAAGGATGAGACTACGGTCTCACGTCCAGTTCGTCAGACCACGC